CGCTGCGCGAACGCAAAGGCTTAACTTCGCCGACCGGCACGATGCCGACGGGATTGCTGAATATTCGCTCGGGCCCGAAAACGGCGAAACACGCTCGCATGATGGAATATCAATTAAACGCGCCTCTCACGGCCGCGACTTTTGTTGTTTCAAGCGCGACCATTTGGCGCGTCAGAGTGCGAAGAAGTGCGATAAATTCGCGATCGCGTCGCAGTTGACGATTCTCGTTTAGTCACGTTACGTCACGAAAATGTATCAGCGTAAAAGTAATGACATGCAAGAGCGAAAAGTAACTGCGTGAAACGTCATTCGAATCACGCGTCGGTGCACTTTCCGAGGAGGAGGAGGAGGAGGAGGAGGAGGAGGAGCAGGAAGAGCAGTCCTTTCTAATGACAGGCGTTTCTGAATGCTTTATGGTACAGTGCGATTTTCAACGAACGCGGATTTACGCGTCAACTATTTCACGATCTGGTTTTGACGAAAATTGAGTTTCATGGTCACTGGACGCGCGAATGGCGATGATTAACGAGCTGCTCCGACGAGCCGAGCCGCTATCAATTTCGGTCATCCACGCCTACTTCCTGAAGGAAGGGACAGGAAGAGAGCGAGAACGGATGCGCGTGGGTCTTCAAGATCGCGATCGTGATTCGATAAAGCAGGTGGAAGATCGCGTTAGGCTCGCGTACATATGAGTTTCTTTGAGGGATCTCTGATGAAGTGAATGATACGGTATTATCCTCCCGCATTTTTGGGATCCAAGGACTAACGACGCGTGTCCACCTCGCGATTTACACGCACGGAAGATTTGTTTTGCGTATTTAACGTATTTTTAACGTATATTTCGCATAATTCGCGCGTTTTTTCTCTTTCGTTTATAAATGGAATTTTTCACACAATAAATTTAATCTGAGATAATTGTGTATTCAAATATATATTTATGGATATCAATAATCATTTGTACGAATTAACAAGCAGTTTGCTCCTTCACTCCTTCTCGTCCCTTTCTTCTCTACGAGCGTTCGGAAAAAATAAATACGTGCTATCTTTGTCGGGAGTTATTTATAGCTCGATCCAATAATTGCTCGTAATAAAACGCGCAGATGCTTCGATTGATCGGATGTTAACGCCACTGTACGGCGATCATAAAAGTTATGATATTAGAGAGCTGCGTGTGGATAATTCGTTCGAATTACAGTCGAAGCCGCGTAAACTGTCACAAACATGTTTCTCTCGTTTTACTTGCATCTAAGTAAAACAAAGCAGTTTGTAAAATAGAAAGAAAAATATCCTACTGTTGCAATGAAAATCTGATATTTCGAAACGTCACATCGGGACGTTCGTTAGTCCAGATACGATCGGAATTTCCATTTAATCTCAGCCGCGGTGAGTCCGGCTTATTATTCGCCTGTCGATAGAATTTATTACGCGGATTTATTATTCATACGGTGAGCAGACATCTCATTAGCCAGGCAACCTCCTTTATCATCGACAAACAAATATGCGGTTTTAATCGAGTGTGAAATAAGCAATCAGCGTTCGTCTTTCCATCCGAATTCTTTGGACTCAGATGATTAGCCGATTGTTTCTCTTTTTTTCTGCCGTTAACGAATCCTCATTGAAATAACCTCAATACTTTCTAACAATCTATAACCACAAATCTGTAATTTTGGATTGTCCGATTGAATGACAGGCGTTTGACGTAACAATCGCTGTAATGATGAACAATAGAAAGTATTTTGTCGATTGAAAAAATGGCAGTATTGCGAAAGTCGTCGTGCGTCTCTTTGTGCTCTCACGGTCGCGAGGCCTTTCCTATCTGTTATAATTACTTTCCGTTTTATCCAGTCGAGATTAATCTAATTCCGTGTTGAAACGATAAATGATATAAAATCGTAAATATCCACGCGGTTTTACCCGGAGATGTTATCGTAATTCACCCGGGGGAACGAATCGGCTGAAAACGCGGCTCTTGATAAGTCAATATGTCTAAAGTTACACGTGTAACAAAAAGAAATCTCCTCCCCTCCCCCTCTCCCGGAGTCACCACGCGAGCCCGTTACTCTCGATCCTAACCCCGTGGCGCGCGCTCGAGACTTGGTTAAAGTTTAAGCCAATCGCGAAGTAATAACAATCCGTTATCACGAGACGCTGGCGAATGCGGGGCACGTTTTTCAGGAGATTACACGACGACGACACGGCGCGGCGCGGCGACGGTCGAGCCGCGTGTTGATTCCGTGTTTTAAAAATAGCGGGCGGCGTCCGCGTTGCCAAGAGCGATCAAAGAACCTTTACGCCACCGGCCGAGCGGCCGGCAGGCGGCTTGTCGTTGATGAGTTTCGTCGGGCGATCGATAGGCGAACGGATGACTGGGTCTTTGAAGCGAGAGAAAGAGAGTCGATAATTAAAAGCCGTCGTCTCTCGCCGGCGAATGAAAGAGCGATGGTGGCCCTTTGACGAAATTGGGCCTCGTGGGATTTTATATTCCTCGCTGCCGCGCGCGAGCGCGCTCCTTCGTTTCGCGATTCCCCGCTAACTACTCGATAGCCGTCGAACGCTCGCTCGTTAACGAGCACGTGCGTTATCACGGCCATCAAATTGCAACAGCCGGGCCTCTTACCGCGAGGCCGGACGAGATTGGAAATCACCGTAGCTGCGCTACGCACGGTGCTGCTAGCTAAGAGCTTGAGCAAAACTGCGTAACAGCATTTCTGTTTCTGTTTTTCCTCTCCTTTCCCCCTTACCTCTCGCGTTATTGCAAAATTTGTTGTGCGGTATCGTGCAGCAGCGTGCGAATGTATTGGAATGTATTAGACGACGATGTATCGTCGACGGTATCTACTACTGTGATCAAAAAGTATCCGAACTTTATCTTTAAAAATCAAACTTACAATGCAATCATGAAAATTCTTATAGTCTCCTTCAAAGTAGTTCTCATTGCTTGCAACGCACATATGCCAGCGTTTGATCCAATCCTGGAAACAACGCTCATATGCGGCAGATGGTGTATGGCCTTCGATTCACGCAGCGATTTTTCTTTAATGCCCTCAATCGATTCGAAATGCTGTCCGCGAAATGTTTTTTTCAGTAGGGGGGACAGGAGAAAATTTTGGAGAAAATTCAGGTTTTTTCGGAATCAAGCGCGATGCGATCCGTTTCATGTCCATTATTGTGCATTACATTGGACGAAATGTGCTGGTACGATCCAAATGATATTCCAACTTCATCTGCTATCTCTCGCACAGTCAATCGACAATTTTGGAGCAGCAATTCTTTCACTTTCTCAATGTGAGCGTCACCCGTTGACGTTGATTTCGTTGACGTCTTTCAGAGCGTGGGTCGTCTTCAGCGAATTCTCGTCCTTCTTGAAACTTCTCAAACCACTCGACGTACTTGTTTTCGATAAGCAGTCATCGCCATAAGCTTTTTGCAACATTTTGAATGCATTTGTGAATGAAATTTCGTTCGCACCACAAAATTTCAAACAAATCCTTTGCTCCATATTTTTCGACATTGTAAAAATCGCCGTGCATAACAATTTTCACTGACATAAACAACTGCCACTTTCAAACGACTTTTGAAGGAACGTCATGATTTTTTCACCAAATGTGAAGGACATTTGTACCAACTTGAGAAAGCAAACGGATTTAATTTACAGTTTATCCGCGATTTTTAAAAAATAAAGTTCGGATACTTTTTGATCACAGTAGTATTGTATCATCACCAACGGCAATCACGGTGATATCACGCTTCCTCGGCACTCTTTTTTTTGACGCATTATTAATTTAGTAATAATTTCGATATTGTTGTTCGATGCTTTGATCTTATTTGAATTATAATTATAATAAAAATAACCCATAATTATAACCCAATAAAAATAACCGGTCGATAACGGTCATTAATTCACCGTGTGTGTGTGTGTGTGTGTGCGTCAGCCATTATTTGTTTAACAAAACTATATAAATATTCCAAGTTGAGCGGGCAATAATGTACGGCTCGATGCACAAACACGCCTTTGTACGCGTCTTTCTTCAGCTATGAATGGAATGAAGATAAGATTCATCGCTATTGACAACAGTCACGCGTCTCGGACCCCGTGGTTTGTCGAAAAGTTTGTCGTCGATGGTAACTTCTTCCTAATTTCACCATTAAAGTAGCCGTTGCCGCGCACGACGAGCAAGGATCGCGTGCCGTAGATTATTCCCGCGACCCGGGATATTATTGAAATGGTTTCTCCGCGGAGAGCGTGCCTCTAAAAGTCTCTCTCGCTTGATCTGGAAATACTGCCGTTGGACAGTCGACGACTCGCGAGTTCGGCGCGGCAACTTTCGTCGCTGGTCTCTTCTTCGCGGTACCGTTGAATTCCTCGCTCGATGATGCAAGATCGACCACGAAAAAACCGACGGCTCCGGTCTTTGCCTCTTATTAGTCATTTTCGACGGTTAGTGGCTCTCTCTCTCTCTCTCTTTCCCTCTGTCTCGTCGCTTGTTCCCTCTCGCTTTCACTCGGCCGACGTTGCTAAACATCGGATCGTGATCCCATGAAGAAGAGAACCATCGCGGCGAATCGCCGTTACCCAATTCAAACCGGCGCGTCGCTCGATGATAATGTCGCGCGATGATGATGAGCTGGCTGGCTGACCGGCGGCTCGACTCGGTTTGCATCGACGAGAGCGGAGGGCCCGTCATAAATGCCTGCTCACGTGAACGAGGAAGAAGCCGCGGGATAAGGGGAAAGTCGTGTCGGGTCTCTCGTCGAGTCGTTAAACTAGATCGCCAGCGATGCGCCGTGAGATAAACGAGACCGCGATCCGGCACGAGATACGAGAGAGAGAGAGAGAGAGAGAGAGAGAGAGAGAGAGAGAGAGAAAGAGAAAGACTATCTCTGAAGAGCGAAGTGCATAGTGTCGAGTCTTATCTCGACGAGAGGATACGCGACACTCGACCCTAACAAGCCGTATCAACCTGTCGTAATCCGGGTCCCTTTCCCTACGCTCGTTCCAGGTGCGTGCACTCAAGTTCCAGTCGACAGCGGCCTCCGCAACAGTCATGAGCAGGTCCTGATCGCGGACAGCCGTGGGCCGCGACAGGCTGGATGCGCGGCGGTCAACGACTAAGAGGATCACGAGGAGCCGGACGACGCTTAGCGAGACCAACCGCAACAGCGACCGCGACGTCATTGACGTTCGGCAGGGATCGCTCACACGTCGCGCGAGGATCTCGTGAGGATCGAACGAGGACGAAGGACGATCTTCCTTCATCGCCTCCTGTTCGCATCCTGCGGCCATCTCTCCACGCCATCAGTCGCGACAGAACGGACCCAGAGGAGGCTGTAGGATGAGCATCTTAGCCATCGCCCGCAGGAACTGGGCGCTGCGCCTGTCGGTGGTGCTGAATGTGTGTGTGCTGCTGTACGTGTGCGCTAACATCGGCTCCTCCGGGCCGTGGATCGAGGAACCGCCGACCAACTGGGCGGCGCCGCTCCAATCGGAGACCTACGGCGGCGCCATCGACCTCGTAAACGGCACTCAGAAGGGCGCCGCGTCCTCGTCAGCAGCTTCCGCCGCGTCTGTGGGCGCCGTCAAGGATGCCGCGACATCCAGGACGAACGGCGCCGCCGCCGCCGCCGCCGCCGCCGCCGCCTCTGTCGTCGCCGCCACCGGTCCCCTCAGGAGCAAGCTCCTCGTCACTACGACGCCCAACGGGGCCAAGGTCGAGGCTTTCGACAAGTCGGAGCACTCGCATAACCAGACGGTACGCTCTCTCCCCTTGCCGCCTTTCTTCTTATCATTCATCTTCCCTTTGATCCTTTGCTACGCTTCGACGCTTTCGGACAATTCTGCTGGACCGTAAGGATGAAAATCAAATTAAGGGAACATTGTAGCTGCTGCTCTCGTAGCACGAGAAATTCAAACTTGCACTCGAGCGTTTTAATCACTTTTTATTGGCCTCTCTGAAGAGACAGCTGCCGAGGATAGAAGGTAACATTCTTCGCAAAGAATGAAGTGTATAATTTTTTTTCCAATACCGAAGTGACTCTCTTTCTTTCAAGAGAGAGCGAGAGAGAGAGAGAGAGAGAGAGAGAGAGAGAGAGAGAGAGAGAAGCGAAATAAAAATGGACTGCACAATGCACAAAAGTTCCACGCAGAATTCCAGCGACTCGTTAACTCCAAAAAGCTGACGGTTATTTTCGTTATCTCAAGAGACGATCGCGCGCCGATTATCCTTGTGCCTTTCACGTTCACAATGATCAATATAGCCGTTCAACTGCCGAAGTTAGTGCGATTTTCTTCGAGAGCGCGTAGAAGAATTGAGGCTTCGTGGGCGATCGTTCGCTGCAGACGATAATTTCCTCGTTTGAGCGGCGGTTAAACGGCCGCTTTCTCGTCTTAGGTGAGGAACGGCATGACGGTCGCGCGGCCCGCGGCGATGAGCCTGAAGGAGGCCGTTCCCTGCAACGAGAAGTCAACCGAGCCGAGGCGGGCGCAGCGGGGCGACTACTGGGTGCTCTATAATTACGTGCCGATGAGCATGGCGTTGAGATGCTGGGAGAGCGTGACGTACACCACGCACGCCGACTACACGTTCCTGGACAATCTGGAGCCGCTGCTGGAGCGCTGGCGGGCGCCGATATCGATCGCCATGCACGCGCCCGGCACCGACTTCCCGGCGACCCTCGACGCCATCAGGTACTCGAGAAATTGCGGCAGCCCGTTGGTCTCGCAGCTGGTAACCTTCCACGTCTTCTTCAGCAGCAAACACGTGCCAAAAGCGGTGAGCGGACGATTTGATCCTTCGTCCAAGTATCGTCTATTGTCTCGAGTTCCACCAAAACCAAGTGTACACCTGGCTCCTCTCTGACTTTGAGCATCGCCAATTATGTCGTGTCACTGTGATGAAAAAAAAAATATACATATCCTTTTTTTCATTCCTGTCAATTTTCCCCGTAGTTGCTGGAGTTCCGTTGTGCACATCCCCGCGCACTTTCCCGAGACCTGGAAACGTTTCGTACGTAAGAGCCTGCGGCACTTCGCAAGTGTCCCGCTGTGATGCGCTTAATGGCGTCTGGAGAACCAACGAGGAGAGGACGTCGTTACGTCGCACCGAGCGCGCGACATCCAAATCTAGCGGAATTACTTTCAGGATTTTGTACTTGTCGATCGCCTGGCACGTGAATCATATTAATCGTCGTTACGTCCACCGGAGGGGGGATACGACGGATTAATGATAGATCCGACCGCCGCGGCGTGCGAACGTCGTTACGTTGCGGCATAGGCGGGGTGGGTGCTCCGTCCCGGTAATTTGTTTCTCGAGCGATGCGTGCGTAAATCCACCTTATGCATATGCAGCTCGTCGCTTGGCACGCGAACGGTATTTAGACCGTATACCCGCCTTGCTGCTGTTGTAGCGACCGTGTGTGTATCCTCGTCAGGCTGATACGCGTCGTAACGAGCACTTGGCCGTGGCGGATACGTGTATCACCGCGTATTCTGCTTCCGCGAGAAATCCACGCGGTTTCCGCTCCGACCGATTTCGCTCCTCGCGATGCTGAAGAGGGGAAACCGCGCATGGGCATCTGCTAATCACGAACGTCGGTCTTTCCTCCTCATCCTTCTTCGTGTGTTCTCCTCCTTTCCTCTTTTCTTTTTTAAGTGCGTTTAAATTTATTGAGAATTTATTTGATTAATTTATTTTATTATGATCTACTGATTTCTTATGATTAATTCAATTCTTATGATTAACTAACAATATTGATACTGGTATATTGACAAATTTGACTTGTCTCCGCTCCGCTACAAAACGCGCCTGCAATCCTGTCGTAGGTACCGCCATCGGAGCAGATCGTGTCCGACACGTACAACTGCTCGCTCGGGCCGCCGTGGGTGAACGTCAGCCTCTCGAAGATGTATAAGAACGACAAGAAGCTGCTGTACCCGGTGAACGTGGGCCGCAACGTAGCGCGAGAGTCCGCGCCCACTTTCTACGTGTTCCCCAGCGACATCGAGCTGTACCCCAGCCCGAATCTGCCCGCCAAGTTCCTGGAGATGATTCGCAGGAGGGATCAGCCGGCTCTCTACAAGCCGAATCCCAAGGTCTTCGTGCTGCCCATCTTCGAAGTGGACGGCAAGAGCCTGCCGCCCAACAATAAAACTCACCTGGTACGTCCGACGTGCTATTTGCATGCGCTCGGCGTGCGTGTCTATCAGTGATGGCAATTAAGCACGTGCGAAAGAGAGCACGACTAGGACGGGAGACGACGCGCGGCACACACGACTGCGCGTTGACAGTGTAGACCGAGGATCGACGAATCAATGGTACTTCCTTTGACCGTGGACCTTGATACGCGGAATTAGCGACGCTATTGTCCGACGGTCGCGTACTGCGCGCACGGCGACCGCGACACATGGCACATGGCTCGACGCATGGCACAATGCACCTTTTGTCACATCACATTCAGAACTGGAGCGCCGTGAACAAAGAGCGATTGTAATCTGGATGAGTGCGTGCGTGATACTAATTGTCGGTTATTTCTTTTACCACTTTCCGCCGATACGCGCAGGACACGCCAGGAGTCGGAAACGGCAAGCCATTGTTTACGACACGCTCGGTTTTTATTGCGTAATCACGTTCGGAGCAACTCTGTTTACTCTCCGTCATCGTGTGCGTCTAAAGCTCACGTGGTCTCGCAGGTGCAGATGCTGAAGACCGGCACCGCTATACCTTTCCACAAGAAATTGTGCTCCGGCTGCCACAACGTGCCGAAGAGCAAAGAGTGGCAGGAAGCGGCTGAGACGGAGGATCTGCACGTGTTCCACATCGGCAAGAGGACCGGTAGCTTCGTACACTGGGAGCCGATCTTCATCGGGACCAATAACGATCCTCTTTACGACGAGAGACTCAGTTGGGAGGGGAAGAGTGACAAGATGACACAGGTGAGTTTATCTCTAACTGTCTAAACTATTCAGCACGACGAGTGTAGACTAATCGGATTTAACAATCGCTCGCAGCAAGCGAACTTGCTTCTGCTGAGATAAATCAGCTCTACACACGCAGGATCATCGCGGTATAATGTATTATTTATGAACGTATACAAATGTAGATAAATATTGCATTATTTATATTGTACAAGTATAATATAATATATAGAGGAGAGAAGGTGGTATATATGTGTGTATATATATATATATACATATATACACATATATATATATATACACATATATGCACATATATATATATATATATTGCGTGACTCTTGTAAATACTTGTGGAATCATTAGATTAGTGGCCCGCCGCATAATGCAGTGGCGCTGATATAACACAAAACACAGTCGGCTGAGTCATTTTCTGCAACACATTTTTACTTTCGAGCATCTCGTGACGTTCTCAAGGTATATTTTAGCATTTGATTATACATGCTTTCTCATTCTTCTTAAACTCGGACGAATATATTTCCGCTTGAATTTTTGGTCCGTTATTCAACATTTTACACGGCTGTATATAATTCGAGTTACGCAAAGTTCAACAATAATATTATGACTCTACTGATGATCTACGAAATTTTTAATAAAATCAATTTTTTTTTTCTTTTTAGAGGAGGGGCATATTACCATCTCCTGTTCCTCTTCGACATTATGCACATATTATACGTTGTAATAAATGTTTTATCGCTTGCCGACAGGGCTACGCGCTTTGTGTTCTCGACTACGACTTTCTCATCTTGGACAACGCGTTTCTGGTGCACCGGCCGGGCATTAAGATCTTCAAGAAAGATCCTCATCGCGACTTGCTTACCGCCAAGACGAACGCGCTTATTAAGAAAATCATCATACCGGAGCTGAAGGTGCTATACGGCACGCGCAAGGGCTGCGCGGTGTAGCCCGTGGAGTCGCGGGCACGACGGCGTGTGCTCTACAAGTGCCCGTCTGTACGATGGAATCACTTGCGGCCCTCCTTGTCGTCCACGTCGTCGAGGCTCGTCGTCGCACGGCGACAGATCGCCCGAGATCGCGACGAACCGCGAAATCGTGTTCGCGTTCGCTCCTTGAGGGTCCCTCGCGCGAAGCAGGGCCCGAGGAATGTCCGTTGCGATTAATAAGACTCTTAAATAGTTTTGTGAACTCTTCCGTGTCGACACTCAACGGTGCAGACGAACGAATTAATGCACACAAATATTCACATTGAGCTCCCGAGCAACTGACCTGTCGTGCTCCCGCGATAAAAGCACGTTTCATCATTATTGTCAACGTCATCGTCATCATCGTCGTCGTTATCATCGTTATCACGAAGCGACTCAGCATTTACAGTGTTACTCGGTGGTTGGTGTACGAAGAACATTGAGACAAAGGTGAGGTGAGGGGCAGGAAAAGACGAAGGTAATGCAAGAGAAGTTGTGACGTATGGCGCGACGCTCAAATCATCTCGGCGATAATTCTCCTAACTTTCATAAGAAGAAGCAGAAAAAGAGAAGAACGTAGCGTGTAAAAGAATCGTATCACTTATTTTTCACGCGACAGATATATATACCGTCTAGCGCAACTGTATATAATGATAAAAACGGTGCCTCATATACATCAATACGTCTACAGGATTACTGTGCTTTCAGTGAAAGTTGTCACGAATGACGGTGCGAGTTCCGACGCGACTTCTTCGTGAATCGTGACCATTGTTATGTCCGCGGCGTTTCTTATGTATCGAGAAATCCAGAATGTTTTAAGCAACACTGCAGCTCGATGCGTTCGCACATGCGTCATCGAAGCAAATTACACAATGCCATCTATTTATCGGTGGCAAATGAACATATGAAAAAGATGAAATTTTGAATAATGAAGTAATTTACAATTTGCGATTAAACATTTTGTATTTTAAATAATTTCTTCCAATACATATTTTTTTTTATATTTTTAACTAGGAAATTTATTTGTTTGGAATTTATTATTGCTTTGTCTTTCTTTCTTATCCAAAATTGATTATCTTTTTCAAGACATAACCAATGTTATGAAAATATTTTTAATCTTTAAGATCATAATTCCTGCGCATATAAAAACATCTTCAATAATCGTGAATGTTCTACACGCGAGTTTTTAGTACACGATATATTTTTTTAATATTTTTCACTCAATGTCATTCGAGATATCGCTTTAAGACATTGTTGACTATTCTCAACCGAATTGAGTATTATTGCTGAATTGAATATCATTACGTCTAGGTGAATAAAATGTAATAGATGGAAACTAAAAAATTCAGAATCGTTCATCGTAATTACCTTACACACTAATATCGTATTACACCCACCAACACGACGAATAAACTTTTCTTCTACGTCTACAGATCTCGTCGACCTGTGAAACAACTTAGCGCGCGCGGAATTATTCACGAACGAAGGAAAAAGAGATCACCGTCCAAGAGACTGAGGGATGTTTGATATAAATTTTCTAAGGCGCTCCTCACACAGACTTAATCGACATAATTTATCGATTACCTAACATTGCAATAGCATAACGTAACGTCACATTTTCGGACTCCGCCCGACTATACGGTGTTTCGATTCGAACGTATACCGAATAGCCGCGAACACAGATTTTTTCGCGAACAAGAAACTAAACACGAAACAGTGAGACGCCATCGGGGATCGGATTACAAGCAATTCGTTCAGTCGATGCAGCTTTCGTGATTGCACTTGTAATAAGAAGAAGCCTCGCGAGCAATGTCGCATACGCTGGAAAACAAGGAAAGTCTTATCTTATAGATACAATTCGTCTTGTATTGTACCAAGCACGATCGCTCGATGATCATTGAGGTGCGGCGATCGAGCACGGAAAAATGTAGTGTTTTCTAATCTTAAATACTCTGATGTAACGTATTATCGTCTGTCTACGGCGTTATTGTATTCGCACGCAGGCGCCTGTTTAACGTAACGTGTATTAATCGTATTTAAAAGTAACACGTTCTACACGAAAGATTCTCTCGTGTAACGTAAATTTTCGCTTGAGGGAGTAGCGCGGTTTAAAGGAAGGATAAAAGTGTGAAAGAAAGACGGGAAAAGAAAAACAGAGATCGTGCACGAAACCGCGTATTCCGAAGATCGGCGCGTGATATATATATTGACGTTTTTCACAAGTAATTATTCGGAATTACTAGAGGTAATAATTCTTTTTCAGCAATGTCGTGCTGCAAAAATTTAAAATAAGAATTATTAATGCTGCCTTGTAACGGGTCTGATTCGTTCGTTTTTTAACAAAAATCTCAATCAACGATCTCCCGCTTTTTTCTGAGCGGCGGAATTACACACACGTCGCATCGCGATAAGATACATACACACCCCTACATGTGTACACGTATCCTTATCCGTGGCATGGCAAGATCGACACGGCAGAGAAACGACGTTTACTGTATATAATATAAGCGCATGATATATGAATACCGTATACTTTTCTATCACCACCCCGAGTAATATGACCAGGGAATGTACATGTAATTATTAAGACTCGCGCGAGAATAGTTGGGTCAGTATGTAACGATATAAAACGGTATAATTCCGAGAGCGATCAGTGTTAAGGCAACCTCGACCGGGACAGAGTGCTGACTCATTTTTTTGTGATAATATTAGGGCACAAAGTAATTAATATTCCTGTAATCGCGCTTCTTGTCCGCTGCTGAGGAATCCTTGAAGCCGATTAATCGTATGATTTCTCGCGTACACACCGTGAACACTATTGTTTTCACCGAGGATATTAATTAACGAGGTTCTTACGATATAGGCAATATATTTGAGTATAAAACAGATATGTGTGTGTGTATGTATTATGATTCACGTTGTTAAGTTTATGACTGTAAGAAGTCTTTTGTCACACCTTATTACCGCGTTTCTTTTACTTGCCGGAAAACTACTAAAGAGCTGATTAATATTCTCGGTAGTATACTATGCATATATATGTGTGTGTGTGTGTGTGTGTGTGTGTGCGTGTGTGCGTGCGTGCGTGTGCGTGCGTGCGTGTGTGTGTGTGTGTGTGTGTGTGTGTGTGTGTGTGTGTGTGTGTGTGCATATGGCTTAGATTTTCTCTTTTGTTTTACGTATCGCGCCGGTAAAACATTTTCTGTGGAATATACAGAACTCGTTTAATAGGTTTCTTTCTCCTCGTCTTTTTTTTTGTTTTTTTTTTAATTTACCAGAGCTATGCAACCACGTGTGTGTGTGTGTGTGTGTGTGTGTGTGTGTCGTCGCTCGCATATATAAAGTATAATATGTATTCTGTGCCTTATATATATCGTCTCTGTCTCCTCGCGTGCGTGCGTACGTGCATGTGCCAAAATGCGCGTGTACATTTACGGAAAGCTATGAGTGAACAAACAGAGAGACAAGCTGAAAGCTGACTCAATTATATATAATTACGACGTACGTGTGTCGAGATTGACTTATAATTGTAGCAAGATTTTTATATCTATTCCGGAAAGAGAGAGAGAGAGAGAGAGAAAGTGTGTCTTTTTTTGTTGTAACAAAAAGGTGTAAATGTTGCATGCAGAATGCCGCGATTTGTTCGCGTTCGTCGTTTCTTTTTTCCTCCTTTTATATAGAGTAATATAATGAATAGAATGAGAAAAGAGAGATACACACCGTTACATTACGCTCACGTAATAGCGTAACGCAAATGTTGTGGCGCTGAGTTTGTCTTTCCTGACTGAGCATTTTCATGCAACAAGTACGAGACTGTGAGAGAACTACCAGAAGTCAACTATCTGAAGAGATCGTTTTTTTTTTTTTTTTTTTTTTTTCTAAGAATAGGATAAAGAGAGAGAAGAATCAGTTTTTTGTGCGCGATACTTGTAATTAGTGTAAATACGTGTGATTGTAGGTAAGAAATATATCACATCGGCTATTTCATCTTCAACAAAATATGTTATTACGTATTCGTAGTCTACTCTTGAGGCGCGTCTGCAAATTTGCCGATCGGAATAAAAAAAAAAAAAAGAAAAATCTGCCGCATTGTCCTCGTTTGCGTTTGTAACAATATTTGGGAAAGAGAGAGAGAGAGAGAGAGAGAGAGAGAGAGAGAGAGAGAGAGAGAGAGAGAGAGAGAGAGAGAGAGAGAGAGAGAGGGAGAGAGAAAAAGATGCATAAGTGAATGACCCGACGACAGGAGAGCATTTTACATGTATCTTTGCCAGAAAATAATAACAACATGATAAAAATAAAGTTGCAAATTTGCGTATACAGGGTGTTAAAAAATAAAGTTCCAGGCGCTTACAGAGTAGATAATACTCATTATACTGAATAAAAAGTGCTTAACAATCATAAGTCGAGAAATCAACCCTTTTGGAGTTATGAACTTTTTCGATCCTGGTACTTGCAAGTTGTTTGTAGTCTGGAGCTCTTTCTTTTTTAATATCTTGTATACGCGCGGAATCCAAGATCTACAACGATCTTCTACAGCACAAAAAAACACATAATACAATAATAATAAAAGCTATTGATGATATGTTACGATATATATTTCGCCTCTTATCGTGCGACTTGATGAAATTTTCATTTCTGTTGCGATCATTAATGAAGCGACAGCTTTATGCAAATTTACGCGATAAGTAATACCGAGGTGTACATATTTGTAAGAGAAACGAAAAACTCAATCACTTGTTCCAAAGTGTGTACATATACGAAATTGTATTTTTTCAAGTAAAGAAACGGGCGAGAGAGATTGATTTAACATTTCCGGAGTCGTAAAGAGATCCATAAGAGCAGGCTGCAAAGCGCAAAAATACATTACAAACGGAATCGAGACAACGATCATTTTAGCTTAATTTTGTTTCTCGAGCTTTACCAAATTGTTTTCAAGAACAAGTGTCTTTTTGTCTCTCTATTCGTAGAAGATATATCAAAGTTGATACGAAAACTACACTACGCGTAACGTGTATTACATTACATTTAATTTGTGCGGAAAATTAAATGCAATACAGTGTAATTATGGCATAACATATAATTAAAATGACAAATGAGAAAACTGTAAAAGAAAACCGTATTTACATTTGAAATGTTGTAACAATTAAAATGGCGAAGGACTCTATCGGTCGAGGACAAGATAAACGGCCAATCATCAAACGACAAGAATTTTGTTTTTCTTTATTATAACATAAAATTTGATGGACTGAAAGCATAATAAACTACATGAGAGCGGAATAATTGTGAAGGATGCGGATAAAGCTATTTTAATAATCTCCGAAATTCTCTTTTTGTGTAATTGGCGTTTATGCATTTATGCTTAGAGCATATGACAGCGATGGTCGGTGCGTGACTACATACCGTATGTTCCAGCGTCGTGCCTAGATAAATAAATTAATTTATCAGCTAAATAAACCAAGTATTTCCTCATTTTTCTGTTTTAAAAGATAAGGAAAGAAAAATATAAATTTATCTTTGATTACACGCATAAGGTATCAGATGTACAATGTTCGTTAAACAATTATTATAAAGTTTAAAATTTCCTTTTCAAAATGCATTTTGCATCTATTATATGAATAATTTTTTAATGAAAGAGTGACTGAAAAATATGAGATTGAAAATACAGAGTCATCTCTTATTTCTTATTTAACTCGATATATTTTGACAGAAAATGGCAATAACATTGTGAATTTGATTGCGTTCAGAAAACAAAGCGTTCACTGAGCGCTTAGTAACTATTGGTCCTTATTGTTAGATCCTTATATTTAGACCAGTAACGTTGACGAATTACTCAACCGTTGTGTAACCATTGTGTTTTCTGAACGCAGCCTTTAATACGCTTACATATAGAGAGATTCCAACATTTAAAATTCTTTTCGAAATATTTCATTATCATCAGTTTTATGAAAATTACAGTTCGTTAAATTTTAGCTAAATTCTATAATAAACAATAAAAGTATTTTGGATTTATATACCGTTAATTTTCATTACTTGAAAATATAAAATACGTCTGACATGTGTCGAATCGTATCATGTTAGATCAGATACGTTCTGGACACGCCATGAAACATGTGACTTTTCTAGATAGCGAGCTATTAACTTATTCAGCCGCTTTGACCGTTCATATCCAGTCAGAAATCGCGTTGATAGTCTGTCTCTCTCTTGGATGCTGCCTTCTGTTATCTGCTTGTCTGCCAAAGTGTGAATCCGCCCTACATCTGACGTCACTTCTGCTAAAAAGAACACATCAATGTACACTTCTCGACTAGTACATACTTGAAGGTTCAGGTGGGAAGAGTAAATTCTATATGAAATGATATGCAAGGTTAAGTTTTTAGTTTGCATCCGTTGGATGTGGTTCCTGTAATTACGCATATTTTTTGATCGTGGGGACTGCATTGTCCCTGTTTTTCTTTTACCTTCATACTACTGGAAAATGGCGTATGGACAAAGCTAAATGCAGTCCGGAGCCATATATTGAACTGAACTGAACTGATATGTAAGGTTAGGTTCTCATACGTTGTATACATGATATTTATAATAATATAATGTAAGATGTTATATATATTTATATCAGTAATTTTTATTTTTCAGTTCATAGTATAAAAACTGCAATATTATATTTATATATAGTTATAGTTATTTTATATAATTCTACAAATGCGATAGATTTTATATGATATGTTGTTTTTGCACTGTTATTTTTATTGCCTTATTGTACTCTTATACTGTTCTGCATATTTTAGATAAATCACCACCATGGCGACTTTTAGACATCTTTCTGCTAAGACAAAGGATGATGAAAATGATCTCTTGCGCCAACAAGAGGAATTTTTAAAAGCAAATCAGCAACCCTCTGCCAGGATAGTATATCCAAAAAATACTGTTAAAAACGGTGGATCAAGATTCTCTAAGGAAAGAAAATTTAAGTCAAAACAAGAAATAGTCTCTACTTCACAAAGCAATGGAGAGATGATAAATCCTGTTGTCAAGGAAAAAATTCAGGAACAGAAGCTAGAAGATGCAGTACAAAACATACCTGTTACACCGTCAAATATTATACTTAGTAATGTTGTAGAAAAGAAGCATCAAATCAAAAAATATAAGTTTGACAATAGTCGAATCTCTCTTGCAAGTGAAATGGGATTTCCTAAAACTTTTACATCTGACAATATGGTATTTATGAAAAAAATATATTTTACCTTTTAAATATATTCTTATTATCTTTATGCTAATTACTATTTTTTTATATTTTATTACTTTGTAGGAGATAAACAGAAATCACAATTTATTCAGGCATAATGTTCCAATTTTGGAGTCTCTAAAACATGATTCACTGAAAGTTCAAGACGATGAATGTAACAATGACATGGAACAGGCTAGTAGTATAATCAAAGATCAACTGGCTGCTGAGATTCATAAAGAAAATTTAGAGAAACTAGCTCAAATGAGTGAAAAAGAGATACTGAAAGAAAAGAAGAACCTTGAGAAGAGTCTTGATCCTAGTATAATACAATTCTTAAAAAATAAGAATAAAAAGTCTGGAAAGAGACCACTTGATCAGGACGTTACAATGCAACATGATATTTTGATGAATGAGGAAAGGATAAAGAAAAATGCACCTGACGACAGAAATATAGAACTTTCTTCAGATGATAATAACACAAAAATGGATTGTGAACCAAATTCAACAGACGTACCAAAGCCATCAAAAGACATATTAGACAAAAGTAAACAGGAAGGTTGGCTCCACATGAATGACCCTGAACTAGAAAAATTCAAATGGATGGAGGACTTGCCCGTGCAGAAGAATGACGAGCCGACTTCGGACCAATGGTACAATGCACGATTTGATTTCAACGGTAAATATAATATACGTACCTCTACTCTATTTTAAAACAAAGGTATGACGACCATAATCATGACCAAGTGTTGCACTCAATCATCCATGAACACACTTATTCAGAAAGATGGAATAAATAAAAATTTATATTGTCTCTGTCTCTGTTTCAGGTCTTTTGTTGCCATACAAAGACGAAAGCCTGACCGTCGACAAAGGTCTCCATCATCATGGAGAAGAGCCTGAACGTCCTGGGTATTCCCTGCAAGAATTACTGCAACTTAGCAGGTCTTTCACGCAACAGCAACGATGCACAGCTCTCGTCACCCTGGCCAATATTATGGAGAAAACGCGTAAAGGCTGGTACGATGACGCCCTGCAACCGGCACCACTGAGCGCTTTGAGCCAGAAGAATATTCTTCTGCTGTTAAGATTCTCCCTAGACAACACGTCCGTGGGCATAGTGACGGCAGCGTTGCAAGCGCTCCGAGCTTTCCTGTGCAGTGAAGCGGACGAGGTATGCCTGGATAGATTGTACGGATTCGACGGTCAAGTGGAACCAACCCTGACGCCGCAACTCGAGGACAAGGATACGAGTAGTCTAAAGGATCACGAGTTGGCGCAATTGGACACTGTGGCTGCATTAGTGAGATCGGATATCCTGTTGAGAATTAGGTACTGGTAACTCGTTTATCCTGACTCGCGATCTTTGGACTCTAATTTGTATCTTCGCGATTTTAACATTTTGATTTTAATGATAATTTAATAATAATTTACAATTGAATATATTCCGAATTCTCTGATTTAAGAGCGTGAATATGACGAAGTTGATATGAATTATTTATGATATGAATAATTATTTCAGATATATATTGAATGAAATGCATCCACCGCCTGTTGGAGTAAAGAGTGCCTTAGAGATACTCATTCGCGTTGCAAGACACTCGCAAATAACTGCGTTGAATATCTCATCTACGCCGTACTTGTTGGACATTATTATTCACAATTTCATGCCTTTGTCTACGGATCGATTAGGTACTGTATAATTAGAAATAAAAATATAAATTGAATTTAGTGTAATCCAAATTTCAATGCTTCGCGGTGAATAATTTCTCATATCTTCTGATATCTTACATTCGTAAGTAAATTTAAAAGCGTAAGTTTTCTTCTTACAGCAATGCTGGATACGATAAATAATGCTTATGGGATTCCGGTGGTTAAAGCTGTTAAATTATGTCGCGTCCTTGTTACGTATGGCAAGAAGCCTGTCGCGCAAAAGTTGGATAACTTAAAAGTTATCCAAATCATCCTGACATACGTTAGTAGCGAAACAGGGTAAGTTCGTACGCGTAATATTACTTTCGTATTTCGTTAAACATTTCTATTTCTATTTCATTAAAACTTCAACATTTCAGAAAGAAAGATGACATTAATCTTAGCATCGAGAGCCTGCGGCTTTGGTGTTTATTATTGCAATACGAAGTGGGGTTGGACAGTGTCGCTGGCGCTCAGTTGATCCTATTGTCACAATTGCAGCTGCTGCTGAGTAACCACGATATTCAAAGCACGTCCGAGTTAGCATGCGAACACGCAGCTGCGTTAATCGCCGTAGCGAGTCACGAAAGAACACTGAAGCCGAACATCTCTATCTTGTTAGCGAAATGGAGTACTCAGCTGTCAACAGTATCTAGCATGACGGTAAGTTGTTATGTCAGTTGACTAAAGTAGAGATCTTAATCAGTCTTAAATTTGAATATACCCGTATATGATAAATAAAAGCGAAATTCTAAATTTTAGTGGGGCGTTATGAAGTTAATCTCAGAGACTTTATCGGCGGCCGATGAGATATCTGTCTTCCGAACCACGTGGATCTTCAACCAGCACCTTTTCTCGACGTTTCGGTAAGTATCGCTTTCCATCGTTCTAAAAAGAGAACCGTTCCTTTAACTCACTGCGTATTGTTCACAGATCCAATTCAAATTTACTGAGCGACAGTAAACCGGCTGTTGATCGAGAACCCTCTTGTCTACCAAACCTGGGTGTTCTGATGAAGAACGGAGAGCTGCAGCCGATCGTGTCTCTAAATTCTTTCATACCATTCTTAGCGACGGTGTTAAATAAGCTTTGCGATAACTTGCGCATGACGGAGATTCGAGCGATATTCGAGCAACCGTCCCTCCGTAAATACGCAATAGACTTGGAGGCGGCCGAGTGGAGTTTCGAGGGATCATGGTACAGCAGAACGGAGTTCTACTTATTAATGGCGATGGTGAGAGCAGCGTCCCTCCTGAGTGACACGCTCGACCACGCAACGGCGCAAATCGTATGGAAGATCACAATCAAGCTTATATCAGCTTTACCCGCGGACGCTGCTCATCACGTGAAAGATCTCTTGCGAATCGCATTGTCCAACGAGAAGCTGAATCTGGAGATCGTTACGAATAAGATGGCCAAGATGAATCTGACCTCTGCTGTGAATTCACCAGTTAAGATGAATTTGTGCAACGATGTAGCTTCGTTGTACGAGAGTTACGTTAGCCCTTGCGGAGACTGGAGCCAAGCGGCGATGCCTAAAGACTGGCCGTTCCTGCCGTTGGTTCACATTTACAACAAATGCAAGAACAACGTCAGGTTACAACCGGAGGATAATAACCGCATCGTGGCTGTGCTGAGTCTGGCGTTGGTCTTGCCCAATCTCACGGAGAAACTGTCGCCTAGTTTGAGGTTCAGTAGACTGATACTGACGTACCTTTGCGACACGATATACTTGGACAAGGACGTTTCCCTGCTGCTCGCTAGCGTCATGTCCGACCTGTTGAAAAGACACCACGCGAGACTAGACTTCAGAACGGAATTGCCGGGTCTGAGCTCCTTCACCGACCTGTTCACGGCAATGTGCGAGAACTTCTGCTCGAGCTCGTACGGTGACGACGGCTTCGCCATGATTTTATTGGTGCCTGTGGCGCAACGGCACGATACATACTACAGGTATTGCGTTGAAAGCTACTTGATGACTTCCTGATTAATTTAGATCTTGAATAATCTGTTCCTTTTCGTTAATTCTAGGAAACTACTGTGGTCGGAACATGCAGGCGCGCTTCGGTACTTGAGACTGCCGTCGAGCAGGTTGGTGGTGCCGTTGAAGGATTACCTCTATCCGGAGGAGGAGGACACGTCCCTGATCGAGAGTTACATCACCGCGCTGATCCGCGGTATGGTCAGGGAAGCGTGGTGTCCCATCCCGTACGCGATCGCCCTGCACCACTCGGCGATGTACCTCAAGCGCTCGAATAAGCTTGCGGGGCGGATGCGAACGCAGATGGAGAAGTTATGCGACAAGGACGTCGCCAGCAAGATACTGCAGTACGAGCCGCCGCGGTTATAAGTACTGCTGCACACTGAGACCCAACACGATGAATACGATTGCATACGATGGTGCGAATAATGGGCCTTTCTTCTTCGGTTCTTAAAGTGCGATTTCAGATTTCTTCAAATTTCGCGATTTTATCGTTACAATCTCAATTTGTTGTAGTTCTCGTTGGAATTCGCAGCGTAGATTAATACGATTTGTATTCCTGCACGGGATTTATTTCAGTCAAAGTTAGAAAGTACATTATATATTTTGTGTTACTGTCGGATGCGCGTAAGTATATATACCGTGCGCGAACGAGACATTTGTACTTACACGCGTGCGACGACGTAGCTTCATTAAAGTCTATTAAACAAGAGAGTAGAAACAACCTGCATTGGTTACAGTAAGCGTAGAGGCACTGATTGGTCACTTCGCTGATTGCCAAAGTTTCCGAGTACTTAAAGTGCGTCGAGTTCCTATCGTATAGCGTAATGCATCTGAGAATGCTTCTACATTAATTAATTCACCCACGATCTCTTCCTTTAAGCGGTGTACACGCACAAGAATGGTGTACGCGTCTCGGGCCCGTCGGATCTTTCATCGGTAAAGAAAGAAGGAAACTTCTCCGTAAGAAACGACGGAGTAAAAATCCTCGATTTCCTTTCGGAAATGTGAACATAGAGAAAAAAAAGAAGAGGCGGAGATTACTGTAAATAAGAGAGAAAGAAATAACACCGAAGCGAACGCGCACAGCGTTAACCCCTAATTACCGTTGAAGTGGACTTTCATTTCCCCCTGTATAATATCCGTGTGTGTGTGTATGTGTGTGTGTGTGTGTATGTGTGTATGATATGTTTTATAACATCTTAGATTCTGATATCAAACTAATAAACGTGTCGAGTTTCCGGAGGCACGAGAAAGAATGCATCGCTAGTGGCAATTTCCGCGAGCGAAGCCCCGCAAATCGTTATTTGTAATTTGGGAGTACAGCTCATTTTTCAAGCCCGCTATTACCGGTGATGCCAGCGGAACGTTACCGAAGCAGTTAGCGGTTAATAATGCGCATGAGAGTGCATCGTCATACGACGGGCGAGCGTTTCGATCGCGAACTTACGAAAGCTGACACCGCGCCGTCACGCGAGAGCTTGATTCTTCCCGGTTTTTTCAATTAGCAGGCAACACGCCTCCTCGTCGGCGTATCGCGCGATTGATTCGCGCGGCAATTAAATATTAATCAACGATCGATGACACGTGCGCGAGCGCTCGATAGGCAGCGCACAGGCACACGGTCTTATCAACGTGTTTAACCACGCTTCGTCTTTTCCCCTTCATTAATTCTTACCGCGGTCTCTCTCGCTGCGCGACAGCGACTGGAGATTCCGAGGAAGATTACGCGGAGGACGATCACAGACGGAGTTCAACCGACGATTCATTCCGTCTCGACACACGTCAACTCTCTTTCTCTCTCTCTCTCTCTCTCGTCCCTCACGTCGTGTCGCCAATCGGAGGCCTCGAGATTGTCTCGCGGCTGTTTCACAGCTCGCCAACATTGCGCGCGATGTCGCCCGGCGGCTGACGAATCACCAGTCGGTCTCGAGTCATCCGATGACACTTTCGCGAAATCTCCCCGCACGATTTGCGCGCCGTGTTGAGTCGAAAACGCCAGCTGGGTCCTTCGCGATACACCCAGCGCTTGAATTTTCTTCGTTCGCTCCAGCGCGTCGTTCGCAAGTATCAAGAGTACGCTACGCGAGCTCTGTCACTTAGTTAGAGTAACGTCGGCCAGAGCGATGAATTATTAAAACACCTATTAATGAAAATTTCCTATTAATAAACTCGCAGTGACAGACTCCGTAATGAAGGACAAAGAGCTACGAGTTACGCGTACGATCGCCGGCCCGATCGAATCCGTTCATCCTCGTGATCGCCCGGAGGTATCGGACGAACAGTATGGACCACCTCACACGAGAGCTTCGGCTCTGCCTGCTCTCGAAATAAACGCTGATTCTGGTCCGCGTACGATCGGCCGGTCGCGTGCGAGGGACATCGATTGCGGCGCGGTGGGTTTCGGGTTATCGCCGAGGGACGCTGATAACGAACGCGGTAATGACAGACGGACGGTACGCTAAGACTCGATGCCGAGCTTCCTGTAGGTCTCCCGGTCCACCGTGACCAGGCGGCCCTCCACGCTGGAGCAGTCGAGCTCGATGCAGTGCAGCCGGGCGCCCCATTCGCAGTGGCTTTGATCATCCAGCCGGTAGTACTTAATCTGCAGGCAGGTGGTCAGGTAGCCGGAGCCGAGGACTCGCATCGCGATCGACAGGTCCTCCCGGTGGCCGCGCGCGCTCGCTGGGATGTCCTTGGTGCTGTGGTAGGCACTGTACGCGCAAGCCGTGCCGTCCCTCGCCCGCTCGATCGCCTCCACCGATTTGCCGCCGATGCTCAGGGACCTGGAAGAAGCCGGTTGCTGTGTTAAGAGGCGCTCTCTGATCGACGTTACTCTGACGAGACGGACGCGCGCGCGCGCGCTCTACGTCCGCCGATGCACCTCGCGCAGGATGCATCGGCAGGATTCGGGAATTGAGAGGCCGCATCGATACGATTCGCGGCAAGCGAAACGCGGTAAAGCGCGCGTTTATTAGCCTCGAGATACGCGACTGTCACTAGGGCTTTCTGCTTTCGCTCATTTGTTCACCATATCCGTTGAGTAAGTAACGAACTTCAGGGTGTCCCGGAAACGAAACGCTTCGCGGAGGAGCTCGCGAGGACGCGACGCTGTTTGCGAGTTGTATTAAAATCGAGCGTTACACGCCGTGTTCGCGAGTATGACGGTGATTACTTTTATAACTGTTCATCGTAACAGCATTTTAGATCCACTTAAAATAGCAAGTTCAAGGTCATAGCTGAAAAATACAAAGACGAGGGGGGATCGATGAAAGTTTCTACATTTGCCTTGAAGCGCGCGCGGTCTCGCGACGACGAAGAAAAAGTTGCCGTTCACTGTGCATCCTCACGCTAGCATTTTATATAATATACGTATAAAGGCGCCTATTGTTTCTCTCACGGCGGTCTAGAAGCGACGATTTATTCCCGACGGAACGCTATTATTGCTACGACGTATTAGTCGTGTTTGCGGAATTAGCGGGAGACGGGAATTCGGACAAGTGCAACCGCGGGTTGCGCTTCCCGATGCGTTTCCCGATGCGGCGGAGCTTTTCTTTTCAGAGGCGGAAATGGACGTTTTCCGTCGCACAATCGCCGCCACGTGTGTGTGTGTGTACCTTGGTAATATTCTCTTCACGCCTGGCGTAACGTCAAGATAAACGAATCGGCGATCGCACTCGACGGCGGCGGCACTCCTACGAATCAACTTGTCGTAAAAATGTGTTGCGTCCATGGCGCTTAAAAATAGAGATCTAGATCGGGCTGAAAAGTCGAGGGCGGCTGTCGAGTCGCAAAAGCGAGATGCCCAAACAAAGCCGAGCACGTTCCGCGCGGTCTTCGTCTTCGTCTTCGTTGCGCAAGTTATAAATCAAAGCCGAAGCGCGATTGCACCATCGCCGAGATAGCCCGATCGGCCGCAAATTGAAGCACGCGGTCGATATTTCTATCGAGTCGCAGAAACGACCGAGTCGAGATACATCTTAGAACTTAGAATCCAAGACACGTCTAAGAGACATCTAAGAGACGTCTGACATCCGTCTTAACTTAACGACTAGACTTGGTTTAAAGCGACTTGGCTTAAAGGCTTGTAGACAATGAATCCTGACAAGTAACTTCTTGACAATTACACAGAGGGGATCCTACCGGGATGCGCGCCTTAACATCTTAACGGCCCGGAGACGCGCTCGTATCCTTCCGCGCGCGTCTCCGGGCCGCCTTCGAATTCTCTCGCGCGCTCTCTTTCGGATCGCTTGCGTCAGCCTCTCTCAGCTCGCTTATGTTCTCGGACGCTCCGATCCTTGGATCGACAGGTTCATATATCTTTAGAACGTATCGGTCCACTTTCTCATATGGACACGAGCGTGCTTGGACTCCGCTGCTTTATTTTTAGAGTTTTCGCGAACGCGGCGCGACCGGTGCGTGCAAATGACCTGTGCGCGTGCTGGCGGATCGCGCATATCGCTCGCGTGTATCGGCTTCTTATCTCAGCCGAGATAAGCCAGTAGTCGCCCGGTTATTTCGAAATGGTCGCCCTTCGACGTCGCTCCGTCACTGGGAACCCCCTCCGGTAGGACCGAGGGAGTGGGCGGTTACAGTAAATTAAGAGCGATCAGGAGCAGCCGGAGCGGCGCGTCTCACAGGACGCGTCAGCCGTGTTTAACGGTTGAAAAATGCACGATGAGCAGCGAGAGAGAAATCAGCCGGTGAGAATCGGCGGACGCGAATCCTCTCGCGGCCGCGAGAGCCACTTGCACTCGCGGGTCGATATAACACCATCGTTCGTGAAAAATGCAACGCTCCCGCGGCTTGTAATATCATAAGCTCGCTCGTTGGTTTATTCACGTCCCGTTTGTTCGCCGTCCTGCTGCCTTACATTCGCGCGGAATGTTATATTATATTAACGGACGGGAGACAAGGACGGCGAACTTTGCGACGTTATTGCGAAGTTCCCGCTCGCGACACTTCGATCCGCCCGCGATTCGATTCGCGCGCACGTTAAGCGCGCGTGTACTTTTCAGCGATTTTCGCCGGGTCTCCGAGCTTGCCGAATAATTAACGCGCGGAGAACATAATGAGAACCGGCCGTTCAAGCCCTCGCGACGGAACGGCGCGAGGAACGGAGTTCTCGCGTTCTCGTGGCTATCGTGGCCGCGACTAAAATCGAAAAGCAGGCCATGCAATAAGTACATCGCGTGATTTGTACCAGTAATCCGCAGCTGCTTAAAATTCCACGAGATTTCGGCGATAACCGCCGTGAGAGAGACACGGGGGGAGGGGGGAGAGAGAGAGAGAGAGAGAGAGAGAGAGAGAGAGAGAGAGAGAGAGAGAGAGAGAGAGAGAAGGAGGACTTCCATGGGCTTTCCCATTGTCCGAAAAATGACAATGGCAAACTGCTCTATTATAAATCGCGCACGCGGTACGGCACGCGAGCCTTCGTGACTTTTCAAAGATCATCCCGGACACTTCGGCTCTCATGACGCGCCGAGGCAGTCGGATTTATTTATGCGCGCTACGTTTATCCCCCGTAATTTGCATATTCGATTTCGAGTGCAACGCGTGCAAATCGGTGCATAATTGCCGCCGTCCGCCCGTTAATCGCCGCGAGTCGACGAGCGTCGAACCGCGAGCGTGCGGCCGCGCACATTTGTCGAGAACAGAGAGAGAAAGAGAGAGAGAGAGAGAGAACACCTGTTCCCTATTCTATAATTTTCCTCGATACCCGATTATCATGCCGGTCGAACGGCACGAGAGCTCTTCGATGTAAATGTCGTGTACGTATCGCGTCGTATAGATTTCGTTCAGCGCTTGCACGCGGTGGGGCTCCAACTTCGAGCCCCGAATTGTTCGTACACGAGGAAACAAGAATGGCGTAATTAACGGGACAATGAGGGAGCCAAACCGGGGTTTTGGTCGGAGTGTGGTAGAACTGCCGGTTCTTTGAGCAGAATTTGATTCATGAGGGACGAAAAGTTCTGTTCCTTTCAATGAGAACGCACTTTTAGTTTATCGTCACGTCAAGTCGATCAATCGCTCTCCTCCGTACGCGAAGCACGGCGCGAAAGCGGAAGATAAGGATAACTCGTCCTAATTGACGAAAATTACGTGATCGCGAAGGCAAGGTCAGTGGCAGCTTCCTCGGTGGCCCTTGACATTATCCGGATCATCCTGCGCGATCGCGTATCTCATCACTCGCACGACAACGTAATTGTTAGCAGCACCGCAATTGCAGCGATTATACTTAATGCGATATTTATCGGAGCTCGTGTCTGACCATGGAAAAGGGATATCGCAATAATGGACGATAACTCAAGCTCGTGCGATTAAATTCATCCAATGACACATCAATGTCATCAATGACAATTACGGGCCGCACGTGTGTGTGTATGTGTGATCGCACCTACGAGCAAATGGAAAACGTCATTCGTCGCGCCTCGGTTATTTCGGTAAGATAATTCATCATCTGTACGAATAACATATCATGTGTGTATGTATATAAAACAGTTGTTTGCAATCGTTGCATCTTGCACGGACTTGCCTATCATCGATCAGTCATTTATACCACTGTTGCACATATAAACATGCAACGGGCGCTCTGTAAAATCACGATCGATTCCTCAAGAAGAGAGCGAGCAAGTTTCGCAGTTCAAGGCAACACGTCCGTTTCTCGCACGCCGTTGTCGCGGAGGCACCGTCACACCTGGCGCGCGACTCACATGTGCGAGTCAGGGAGACGCTGGTCGTGTCGGCTCTCGCGAGGAACCGTTTCGAGTTCGCGGCTGCCACTTATCTCACGACAGAATCGCGTGTAACGTAACGTGCTCTCTCTCTCTCTCTCTCTCTGTCTCTCTCTCTCTCTCTCCCTCCCTCTCTCCCTCTCCCTCTGTGTCTCTCTTTCGCCCTACAAAGCGGTTCTCGAGGGACGAGCGCGAGAGCGGCTTGGCGCGACGTTTCCTGTGCGGCGATGAACTTCGCCAGTTAATTGCGACCCGTATAAATTAGTCGCCTGTATTCGCCGCCGTCGTCGTCGTTGTTGTTCGCGCTCATTCGATTTTAACCGTGCGCTCCAATTTTCCGCGCGAGACTCGCCCGTGTTAATCCTTTAAATTCCCGGCGCGCCGCTCCCGCTCGCTCCGCACGTGAAACCTGCAATTTGACAGAAATCTCTGCGATACAATAAGATCTTTGCGATCGCGCGGCGTCGCCGAGTAAAATTAGAATCCTCCGAAAACGACGCCTCGCGTCGTTTGCCCTCGTCGTAATTCACATCTCTCGAGATATGCGCCGCGCGTTGCGTATTTCGAGAGAATTCACATCGTGAGAGCTCTTCGGCCGAGTTAATTCGTAGTAATTAATTTTCTTTGATGTCACCATCCGCGAATCCGACGGCGAAGACGTCCGGAGTTTAATCCGCGGATTAAATTACCTAATTTCCGTGTCTCCAGGCAGATCCCTGCAGATTCTGCCGCAGAGCTGCACGCGCGCACTGCGGAAGTAAGACGTCTCGCGCGCGGTTGGTTTGACTTTTTCCCTCGCATCGGTTATTCGGTCATACTAAACGTTTCGAATGCGCGCATTCGGCAGTCGGGTTTATTTTCGGTATTACCGCTAACAGTTGGCATTATTAATGATTCTATATCCGAAGATATAGCGAGAACTCGTAATCCTCGTCCCTGGAGTACAGGAGCTTTCGACGTTGAAATTTATCGTCGGCTCCGCGCTCCATCCTCATGTTGGAAATGATCGTATAAATTTCTGATAAACCGCTACCAGTCGAGTGGGAATTTGTCGTGGGGAAATTTATGGACCCGCTGGGCCAAAAGTCGAGTAACCTTCTTTTCTGCTTAGCGAGTATCTCGAAAAGTTGAATAATTCAATAGCAGATTGCAGGTAAATTGTCGTACGCGAAGTCGATCGAGTTCTGTTTGGGATTTGCGGCGTGAGCGACGCGTATCTGTCCGAGATTCAAGCGTGAACCTCTCTCTACTCCTCGGTTCCAGAAGAATCTCGTTAGGATACTTAGAGGACATCGATGTCTTCGCTGCATTCAAGACACGTTGCGCATATCGAAGTCAATACACTTCTGCTAGTCCGCGAGACTAGAAAAGGATTTGCACCGCAACGAAACGCGAATGAAATCGCCTTGCGTCGAGATCCACGGCAGAAACGCGATACCCCAAATATCCGCTAGATATCTTAAAAATTAAGCAGAACAAGTAGTCACTCTTTCTTTCAGACTAAACTCCACTTTGTCGTTTAATCACGAAATTACACAACGTGCGCGTCTTACCGCCCCCGCCCTCCCTGAAATTTTCACTGACAGACAAACCGGTCATTCTAGCTTTTTAGTAAGTTAGTCAACTGATAGTTGAATCATATATTTATCTTTGTTTTTCCTTTAATTTAGACAAAGATAGACACATGATTTAACTTACCAAGCGATTGGAACAATCCTCACCCTAAGGGCAATTCCTTAGTAAGTTAATTGATAGTTAAATCATATGTCTTCGTTTAAATTGAAGGAAAAATAAAGGTAAAAACACATATGATTAACTATCAGTTAACTTATCAAGAAGTTGGAACAACTGGCCCAGAATGAACGAGCGACTAAACGAACGACTCGTGCAGCCGCCGAGACGGGGTCTACCGAGCGCACGTATGACTGCACATTTACTGTACCCACTGCAGCAGTTGCGGTGGCTTGAAGCTGATGTCGAGCCGGTAGGTAGTCTCGCAGCTCAGCTTCACCGTCTTCAGCTGCCGGAACCTGGCGGAGGTTTCCATCTTGCAGAACACCGGCCCAGCGCCCGGTTCCCTCCTGAGGGACAAGGTCACGCGAAAATGTCCATCGGCCCCCATTTAGCCGCCGCTCAACCCCATAGTCCACCGGAGAGTCGGCCGACGAGAGCAGCGTGTACGCGGTATCGCCGTCACCGGGGTGCCGCGTCCTCCCCGATGCACCGGCGAGTGCGTACTATCGCGGCGACGGCCAACGAGAAGACGGAGAGACGGTGCAACCTGCCTGCGCCACGGGCGTCGCGACGCTCACTGATTCGCCGGGAGCTTCGCAACTCCGTACGAGTTCGCGCGCCGACCGGCTTCCTTTCTTTCACATACAGACGCCTTCCTCCCTTTTCCCGCGATCTTCCTCGTGGTAGACGCGTGACGACCGACATTGACGAGTTCCTCGTAACGATGCGATAATAATGACGATGATGGAAGTCTGTTGGAAAGGATACACGTAAAGTATTCATGCGCGCGCATACGATAATGTTAGTATAGTGGAATTTGAGCGACTTATGAGCCGAGGTGGTAAAGCCGCAAATCAGCAGACCGAGATTCGCGGAGAAGACCGATCAATTTACATTTACAACGTGAAAACGTTTCCAGAGTAAACAAATCTAAATCGGCGCGAAGAAAGACTCGTTCAAATTGGTGCCGCGAGATTTGCAGCTGCGTTCCGCAAGAATGGTACGTAATGGTAAACGTAATGGAAACGTAATGGTAAACGCTATTTCGGTAAATCAAGCAAAATGATGCGAACGAGAGATTCGACTTGCCTTTTCTGCGATACGTTACTTTTTACTTTTCGTTGTAGCCAGCATCGATTGTATCGTTTCGTAAGCTCGCCCGGAGTGCGGATATGCTATGTAGAGACTGTGTACACGAAAGTGCTTCTAATGGTTGTTGCCTACGTGGTGCACAGTCGGATAGGACAGAAGGAGGCTTGCGGCTTTCTAGATCTAGAACAAGGCGAGTTATCAGGGTTAGTCGGGACAACATTGCGGATGTGGGAATTGACCGCAAACAGTTAATCGGCATGAAATTGAACCGCGGTGACTGATGACGGTAATGAAATATGGAACGAGGAGGGATACTGTGTGACGGAATCGCAGATTGGCCGAGTCAGGAGATTAATTATGACCACTATTGTTATTCAATATTACGCAAAAGGGCACTTTTAATCGAGCCTTTTATTATCCCGTGCGCTTGCGTCACAAAATATGTATCTATTCGATTGAGCACTCATATCACACACAATTTAATTCGCTTATTCGTTCGCGTGATCACATCAACGCTGAACACGTCGGGACAAATAGGGTTGAAAGTGCGGCGAGTCCCGAGATACCGTTAATATTAACGATAGAGATCATGAAGGCGCTCTCTCGCTCTAACGGGGTCAATCCGGCCGACGGCTTTTCGTGCGCAATGAGTCTTAAGATATACGACGCGGCTATTATTTCCTGGTTTGAAAAAGCGGCTAGAGCTTTAATTGAGGAAAGTGTTGCATCTGACGGCCTTGACCGGCCGACTAACTAGAGAGATCGATTTACCACGTGCACCTAAGAAAAATAGTTTACGATCCGACCTCCATTGGTAATGACGCGCAAGAAGTCGAGGAAATATCGTTCTCACGCACTGAGTGGTCCCACATATTTTTCCTTTCCTTCGTCTCTTCTTGTAATTATGTAAAGCTTTACATACATGTGCGCGCGCGCCTGTGTTACAAAAGTTCGCTCGCTGTGTGAGGGCTGGATGCACTGTAAAAAGTACACGTTGAACTGTGTCAAACTCATTATAAATCATCGTCTCTTTCGCGTGATACTCGATATCGCGCGATTGAAGTAACAAACGGGTATGACTTCGTAGAGATATATTTGCATGTAATCTCAAATAGGCCGATGATGATTTTCCCGCGCACGAAGGGTTATATACAATAGTACAATAGCACAAGATCGATACTTACATACTCGTAAAAAATAGTCTTCAGCACATTCAGAGATCTGTCCGTTTTGTTCTACCTACAATTCGAATTTGCATGGGATCGCGTGCGACATACAGGTACGTCTTTGACTTTTCACTAAGACTAAAACAGGAAAGTAGAGCTCCTATCGCTGGTCGTTCTGCCCTATGCTCCAATCTTCCCTATGTCCTTCCACTTGTGTGCAACGTCTATGATCAAATGCTGTTTAGTCCGTCTCTGATCGTCAGCCTCGCGATCAGGACACACACTCAACGCCTGACCAACTTTGATGGGCTGGCCAGTTTGCAGGCAGAACTGGAAGTCCGGCGGTGCCTCAAACAGGAGCACGATCGTCGAACCGAGTCTGAATTCGCCGAACAGTTCACCTTTAGCCATGCGCACGTTGTCGAAGCTGAGGTCCTTCCGGTACGCGGTGTCCGTCCATCGCACCTTGTTAGTCGCTAACTCTTGATCGCGGTAGACTTTTATCGAACCCACATTCGTTGCTCCGATCGCTGCATACGCCATGAAACCGCCCGCCCATTCTCCAAGGTACACGACACGTTCGTTCAATGAAAACAGATTCGGCATGTACTTCAGCACCGTCGGATTAACACTCAATAACTTCCCTGATGAAGGATTAAAAAGAGCGTGAGAATTCGTTAGTGATTGCAATATGCCACCATAAATTTCAAGATGGCATTTGCTCAACCGCCATAACTTTTGTGGAGTATCACCGTAATTTAGTTAGGAATTTAACAACATACCTGGGAAATGTCGTCGGAATTTTATATTCCAATCAGTTGGACTGTGAAATCGATGATAATCACCAGGTGCCAGGTAAACGATCAATTGATAAAGCCTATTGTCTGGATTCTTTAATAATGCATTAACAAAATCGTCCTTTTGCTCAGTCTTATGCACCATTTGGTCCACTGAAAGGCTGGATAAGTCACCCAAAAAATACTTGAGATCATAAGTTACTCCTTTGACTTGTTCCACACGGCAAGAAGTCACTGGCCCAAAGTAAAGAACTTCACCATCTGCAGGCGCAGTCTACAGAAGATATTCAACGATATGTATTACTTTTTTATACAAAGTTTAGCTGTGATATATAATATCCATGTTAAATAGTTACCATATTTGTATTTTGAGCAATCGGTCTGGCATTGTTTTTAAGTGCCCTCACAAAAAACTCAACCAGACTTGGAAATGTTGACAAGTCTAATTCTATCTCATCCTGATTGACATTAAACATATTGGCAAAAACACGATATATTGTTGGCCTCAAGCCGACTGGTAAATTGATGCTGGTCAGCCAACCTCCTATCCTGCTGGTTATCCTCAGCGGTAAGCAACAATAGCATGTTACCTGTATGAAAAGAACTTTAGGTTTTATTTAATAACGATATGATAAGTATGACGTGTTGATTCAGCACAAATGTCGCACCACTTACCATAAAATCATTCAACAATTCCGGCTTGTCGTCGGCTACATCAACGGGATACCCATGTTGATGCAGATACCTCCACTGAGTCACCAAAGCTGCTGAGAATCCAACTCCTGCTGGTACAAACAGCCGCCACATTCGAACAGTACTCTTCACAGACTCCACAGCGACGCTCGACGCGCGTCTTCCAATGATCTTCGTTGTATGTCCCTGTATTACCCTTGGTGAAGAGTGGCAATACCGTTGGTATCCCCTGACACAATGTCGAGAGGTTATGTTAGAGCAGAACACAGTGTGTTAAACACAAGCGCAAATGAGTTGTACGCGAATAAGAATATGAAATATACCTGACGAGGGAGCTCAATTTCTTCATACTGTTGATTCTCATCGCCTAAAAGCGGGAGGAGGATGATCTCGAGGCTGAACGTCGGTCTTGCTTCACGCGCGCTCCGCATCGGCACGATTTCAAAATGGTTCAAAACGCAAAGTGGCGGGGAAAGAGCGACGCGCGCCGAACATCCACCTGTACGCGCGTACCGGCTGCGCGCGTGTAAAACGACACGACGTCCGTGACGCACACTAGGAGGCGGGGGTGCAAGGTAACAGGTGGCTCCGCGTCGCGGCAGGTGAATCGTCGATTCGGACTTTTTTTGTGCACCGCGCGACCGACCACGGGTTCGCTCGCCAGTTCCCATTGTTTTCCGCCGTCTGTGTCTCGGCCTGCTCCTCTGCCTCTGCCTCGATCTCGGTTATAGTCGACGACGTATCGCATCGCGCAGGTAGCTCTGCATCAGCGGGTAAACCAAGTTCACCTACCTCATGACGACGGTGTTCCCGGGAGAGGCATGACGTGCCGCTTCGCGACGCAACATTGCTCCAGGTCGGTAGTCTGAAAGCAACGACGACGGCCGCCGCGGCGGCGCCGAGTAGCAGAAGCAGGAGCAGGAGGAGGAGGAGGAGGAGGAGGAGAAGGAAGAAGAGAAGGTCGTACGTAGGGTCTGTCGTACCCGCGTCCGCATGAAAGGTCGGGGTTGCGGGAAGATCAAGAGCGAGACAATGCCGCCATCCTCGCACACCAACTGGACGAGGCCGCTACTCAAGGGCGGACAAACCATGCAGATGCAGGTAAAGCAGCAGTCGACGACCACGACGACGACGACGATGACAGCGGCGGCGGTGATGGCGACAACAACGACGTCGTCGTCGGCGCCTACTAGTACTGGCGCCAGTGTTAGTGTGACTCAGAATCAAAACGACGCAGCGACGCCACTCGACAAGCGAATCAAGGTGGTCCTGGTGGGCGACGGTGCCGTCGGCAAGACCAGTCTAGTGGTCTCGTACTCGACTAATGGCTTCCCAGGGGAATATGTGCCAACTGCTTTCGACAATTATAATGGTATGTATGGCTGTGGATGTACATTCATTGATAACGCAATTATCAGAATATGCTTAGAATAGCGAATTTTTTGCTTTGCCTCCTATTTTGATGAATTCCTCACTTACAAGCTTTTATTTGTTATTACTTTTTATCTTTCTATTTCTATGCAGCTTGGTATTTTATTCTGAGCAAATGAATAGTATATTGTGTTAAATTGTCTGTAAAACAATATTAACAGCCTTGCAACATCCATTTCAGTGGTTGTAAATGTGGATGGTCAGCCGCTGAATGTCCAACTGTGTGACACAGCAGGACAGGATGACTTTGATCCGTTACGATCATTGTGCTATCCTGAGACTGATGTATTTCTAGTTTGCTTCAGCGTTGTGTGTCCTTCATCCTATCACAGTGTGGCATCAAGATGGATTAATGAAGTGCGAAAGTACTGTCCAAATGCTCCAATCATTTTGGTATGATCCAAATACTTTGATTATGTCTTACAATCATATTTTGCAATCAGAGATTATATCAATGTCTGTAAAATTTACTTTATTGTGATATATTCAGCAATACTTACCATATATAATTAATAATAATAGTAACAACAGTACAATATAATTATTGCAATTTATACTCATTTAATATTAAAAACATGATATGATTATTGCCACTGTTCATCCGTCAATGTATAAACTGATATATATCACAATTATAATATGTGATTACAAATTATATGTGGTATCTCAGGTAGGAACAAAGTGCGATCTGAGATCGGATGTGCGTTTGATGCTGCAACTTGCCAGATACGGCCAAGCACCGATCACCACTATCCAGGGTCACCAGCTGGCGCAGAGGCTAGGCGCTGTGAATTACGTGGAGACGTCCGCGTTGACGCAACACGACCTCAAGGAGGCTTTCGACCAAGCGATAGTCAGCGCCCTCAATACGAGGCGCGGCGGTGCTAGTTTATTATACCGGCGTAGGAAGCCGCCCCCGCTGTGGCGTAGATGGTTGTGCTGTTGGGGACGGTCGTCTTCGAGCGAAACTTAAACGAGATCCTACGTGATAGACTATAACTTCTTTAAAATCCCTCTGTGATCATAGGCGGTCGCCGTTCGCCACTGTCAGAATTGTGCTCCAAGCATGACGTATTTGATAGCTACGTTCTCATTGTCGATTATCCTGACACAGAGAGAAAGAGAGAAAGAGAAAAAAGAGGGGGAGAAAGAGGGAGCAGCTAGTATTTTGTTATTTAGATTTTAGGTGAGTAGACAGTCGATTGTTTCAGTTCGCGACGATTACGCGAGAGAGCGACGAAAGAAGCGATAGAGTGTTTTGATACTAGTTGTTCCAGCGAGTTCTACTAGTAAAAACTTCGCGCACAATCATGTTAGAATAACAATTCTCGAGTGCAGTCACGCGCGATGCTCTAGCCGTTATCTTCGCAAATCACACATAGCCTTCGACCGTTTTACATGTTTTTGCACGTTTTACGCGTGTATGAAACTAACGAACTGCCTAATAAACGCCCAAGGATACGACGCTGTTTAGAATATCGTGCAGCACCGTACCGGGACTAATGACTGAGTAGCCTAATCTCGCGAATCGATGGTCTGTACTCGAGGATTATGCGAACACTTTTACGTCATCCACGGATATTCCGACGCTACGTCGGCCGTGATAAATATTGGAGGGGTCGCGACAGATGACAGATACGTTCTGACAGACGAAGCGGGCGCCGCCCGTAAAATTCCTGAAGCCGCACTTGGCATAATTTATTGTAATATTAATCGTATTAATCATTATTTTTGTTACTAGCATGTAATTGGCTACTCGCTGGTTGTGATTTTTGTACGTAATATCTGTTTTAATCGTCGCGGTGAGATCAGTTCTTTACTGCCTTCACATACCCCGCGCCTCCTTCCTCTTCCCCATTGAGGATAATTAAGCGGAGCCATTGCGCCCCTCTACGACCACACGTGGCGTATGACAATTGTATATTTTTTACTTGTTGCGACGACGTGCATATATATAAATATATTTATTTTTTAATATCTCTTTGATATATATACATATATGTACATCGGTATTTTAGTAGAAGTAAAAGTTAGCTTTAATCGCCATTCTCGCAAACCTAGTGACATCACACGTATACAGATACATGTGTGTGTTTGAACGCAGAATTTATACGTATAATATTATAAGGCAACGGTAACGGAGCAATGATATTTCGTATAATGTGTTTTTTTTATATAAATTTATGTGATGTAGTAGTGTTTGTACGAACGCGATAGCAGTAACTGTAGGAAGGAATATCAAACACGTTAATTAAAACGAGGAGTGTAGAACGTGCGCAAATAAGGAGAGACCGACCACCCGACATTAACTCGACGATCCAGGCGCACTTGAAGTTTGTAGAAAAAGGAAACACACTGTGATCTTACCTGAAACTGTCTTCTGGAGGTTCTCTGTATGTCACATACGGAATTGTATGAATAAGGCTACAGATAAGATTCAAAATTGTTCTGCATAATGTATAAGCTTAACTTGCTGTAACACTTTGTTTCCATCAAGGTGCATCAAAAATAAATTGTATATAAGTATTTATTCATCAAATATGAAAATCTCTGTATTATTTATGATATCTCACGCCCGATACCGGTGATAACATTTTTAACAACCTAAATTTTTTTGTACTTGGTAAAATTTTAATTTCTGCGACTTTGATTATTGATGCAACTTTAATGATTAATTTTAAGTTTAATATTTGTTATCTTATATTTTATAACAAATATTTATTATCTTATATTTTACTAATAATATCGTTAAAAATGTTTCCTTCATTTCCCTCTTCAGGATAGAAATGAAGAACTTTGATTGGTTTATTCTCTTATGCGTTGTGTATTATGCGTTATGCAGAAGTCTGTGCTCTTGCCCTTAGCCTCGCTCGCGTCGCTGAGCGAGAAAGAGGGAAAGATATTCTCGCTCGCGTCGCTCAACGAACACAAGAGCAAGAAGGAGGAAATATCTCTCTGTCGCTCGGCGCGCCGACGATTGCCGACAATTGCCGAGCGCGTGATCCACACGAATAGACTGAGCCGTTGGCTCAGGCTATGGTGCGTGCGTGGTGGGGGAAATCAGAAAAGAGTCGTGGACATTGGCATCGTAGTTCATGTGTACGGTTGTACAGAGGGCGCCTCATACTGGGCTCGGCTAAAAGCCGGCGGCCCATGACGCCTCTGCTTCTTCTCTCTGCCAACGATCTTTATTGAGGTTCTGTCGGTATCCATGTGTTTCATGGTACTGAATAAACGATGGCGAATCGTGTATTCGTCAGTACGACAGTAAATTCGCCTAAACAGCTGTACAAATATTTATTACGCGAATGCGAAAAGCTGCCAAAACATACACAGCAATTTTACAAAAATTCCGTGAAACAAGTATGCACAAAATATTCTCACCTAAATGTTAATAACCTGATTGGTGCGATCGAATATACTTATTTTATTATTTTTCTTTTCTTGTTTGTGGGATAGTTCTGGGGATTAATTTCATCTCTATTAAATGCAAAGAAATTATTCAGCAGTCGCACCATGACAGGATGTTACCCTGTTTGAGCATAGTAAATCTTTTTATAAATTTTCAGTTATTAGAAACATATTTTCAGAGCTTCAAACAACATGCTTTAGAGACTGATGAAGAACGCGTGCAACAGATTATGGAACGTGCACTATTAGATGCCAAGTGGGTGATACAAAAGGTACTTTTGTCTTCAACTTGTATATTTATTTGATAATTTTTCAATATTATATATATAATTTGTATTTTTTTCTGTTCAATAGTATAGTCAACCAGGTACCACTCCAACACCCAAATAAATTTATGATACTCAGATAAATTGGTATATATATATAAGATACAAGATATTAGTATTAGTATTAGATAGAAAAAAATGGACTTTGAACAAATTGCTAATGAGAGCACTAATGGCAGTGCCTCCCAGTTTTGGAAAGCTATTTCAATTTGGATGAGAAATCCTCATGCTATAAACCGCAGAATCTTAATATCTCGAGAATTATTAGCAATTGAAATAAATTGCAGTGTTTTGGATATTTTTGAACACATTGCCAAGTTACAGATACAACCTGATGATTTTGAGAATGATTCACCTACAGAAAGCCAAAAATACCTATTAGAAACGTTGAATATTGCAGAATATTGCCAATCATTGGAACATTTGGATCCGATTGAGAAATTAAATGATGATAAAGTTTATTTGTACGTGAAAAAATTATTACCACGCAATATGCAATTGTTTTCACCGATGTTGGAGCTTACGTTCGTCGACAAGAGATCTACCAGCGTTTTTAGTCTTCATAAAAATATCATTCAAGACAAACAGTCTCTAGGTCCAAATACAGCCTACAGTATACAATACCACGAGTGCGGCACTACAAGTATAAGTATGCAAAAAACGGAAGATCGAGATTACAGTAAAAGCTGCGATTGGTTCAGATCCAAGTTCTTACCTCGTTTCATTAAATGGATGATGAGTGAGAACAATAACGTTGGCCCGAAGATCAGTTCTCTCAGCCTAATTTCCGCCGAGAAATACACCATGCTGTACAATCGATTGAAGGAGAAGTACGGTACCGAAATGGTGAAAGTGTGGCCTGAGAACACAGACCCGATCAAGTTCGTTTACGAGGATGTCGCGATTGCAACGTACCTGTTACTGTTGTGGGAAAAGGAGAGATCAGAGAAGGGCACGCAAAAGTTGCAAACATTCATAGATTTCGGTTGCGGGAACGGCCTCCTTGTTTACATCTTGTCGAGCGAAGGTCACATGGGAATGGGAATCGATTTGCGCAAGAGAAAGATCTGGGATCTGTTTCCAAAAAGCACTCATTTGCAAGTATGTAAAAAAAAAATCTCTAAGATCATTATTTATTATTTACCTGATGATCTTGAGTATCATTTATCCGCGAGAAACTGCAAAAGCACCTAAGAAAAATTATACATATTGCAGTGTACTGATAGGGACTCAAGTGTTATATCAGTCCAATCTCGAAACAAACAGAAGCTTGTATTGTAACAGATAAGATCAATCTGTGAAATCATTCAGTGTGATAGCTTGTAATTTTTCCTTCAAGTAAAATATTAGGAAAAACTAAATCACATTTTATAAGCAACTTCTCCTACATGTTCCACGTACGTCAGAGATAAAACATATGATTTTTGCGGGCTGATATAATATTCATCAATGTTACATACACCTTACAAACATACACCTACCAAACATTTAAAAATAATCTACTGCGTCAGGTCAGCACGATCGTCCCGTCCTCTGACACGGTCTTTCCTGACGTGGATTGGATCATAGGCAATCACTCGGACGAACTCACCCCGTGGATCCCCGTGATCGCCGCACGCAGTTCCTACGAGTGCCGGTTCTTCCTGCTGCCCTGTTGCGCCTACGAGTTCGACGGGAAATACCGGAGATGCAATGCCGCCGAGAGTCAATATTCAGAGTACATGTCCTATGTGAGAAGCGTGTGCGAAGCTTGCGGCTTCGTCACGCAAGTGGACAGACTGCGGATTCCGTCGACGAAGCGAACGTGTTTCATCGGCTGGCAAAGGAACTACGCGAGAGAGAATAGCGAGGCACTGGACGCTACCATCAAGATGATCATAAACGCACGACCAGCAAGAGCGACGCCTCAAGGCGATACCACGAGCGTAGCGACAGAAGATAGCGGCCTGTGGTCTGCGAGCTTCAAGCCGCGCAGTCCGACGGAACGAACGCGAAATTGCACGCAGCTGGACAAAGACCTGGTCTTGCGCATCGTCAACGAGGTCGCGGCACATCTGCTACGCACGGAGCGCAGGATACCGCTGGAGCGGAGGCCTGACAAAACGTGGAACGCTGGCCGGCAGATCGACATCAGTGAAGTGGCGAAGCTGATAGCACCCGAGATGCTGCAGCAACTACGACACGAGTGCGGAGGCCTGCAGACTTTGCTGAAGAATCATAGTCACATCTTTCGCGTGGCACAGGGGAAGGTGCAGTTCAGGATCCCAGGCAATATACAAAAAGTTGTCGTCGACAGCAAGGCGAGGAAGAGCAGGAGAAGCGGCGGCGCATCTGCGAGGAAGGTGAAGCCCTGTTGGTTCTACAAGAATCATCCTGATGGTTGTCCGGCTCTCGAAGTCGACTGCGACTTTCAGCACTGAGTTCCTTTTTATATATATATATCTCGCAGAAGATTGTAAATCCAGATTTGTGTGTACGGTCAGATACGACGGTGTATATAACAACGCGTTTTTATTTTAAATAATTGCGACTGTCATTTGCGTGTGTCAGCATTTAAAGTAGAAAGAACGCGCGCAATCGAGGCGCCAGTTCGAAACGCACAATCAGCGAACTGTATCGACTCGTAGGTCGGCAAATATAAAATGTCATAACAATAGTCAATTATAAACAGTGTTAAATTACGCCTCGAGAGTACGCAGGAATTGTTCTAACAGCGTCACACTGATATACGCATGTCGTATACATCTTAACGCGCTTGAAATCTCTTCTTGTTTACAGCGCTTCTATATTACAAGCTACTACTATATTACAAGCTCGCTTTTCTTCTCTTTCTCCCTCTCTTGAAAGGAACATCTGTCCGCAACGACTGATTTTTATTTCTCTTAATATTCACTTGAAGAAATCTACCACCAATATATCGTCCAAGCTCACTAACTTCGCGTCACCCTGATTATCCTGCAAGAGCGCACCCAACACCTGCTGGCCGCTCCTAAGCTTCTTCATGTCGAACATAACTAGCTGATGGACGCGCTTCAGGTGCGTCTGCAGATTGCATTTCTGCGTGAACGAGTGCTTGCAGTGCGGGCACGGGTATGGTCGGTCGCCGGTGTGGTGCTTCTGGTGCAGCTGTAACGAGAACTTCTGCGCGAACGACTTGCTGCAGAGCTCGCACTTGTACGGTCGCTCGCCTGTGTGTATGCGTTTGTGCCGCTCCACTTGACAAGGCTTGGTGAACGTCTTGCCGCACACGTCGCACTCCTTCCGTGACTGCGCCGTTTTCGCTGCTTGTAGACCGCCGCTTGTCACATGACTCATTTTCGCCTTGAACACCCTGCTGCCGTCCGCAGCTTGATCCACTTGCACGGGCACAGAAGATACGGGCATACAGTCGTTTATCTGAATCACAGCCGCATCGTTCGCGTCAGAGTTCGTCGTCTCCGTTGTGGGTACTTGAACTGGACTGGTTATCACCATGTGATTAGCGTTGTTTAGTTCGCAGGTGTCTGGGAAGGGGCTCGGGTTGACCAATTCGATGACGTTGGCCGGCATGATGCCGGCGCCGTCAGGATCGCCAGTCGTCGGCTGCGTCGTCAGCAACGAGTCGTCTGTCTGAATGGTGACGAGGCCGTTCGCCAGTAGGAACTGCAGATTCGCCACGAGCTCGTTGCTCTCGTTCACAGACAGCATCGCGTTGTTGTTGAGTATTGTCGTCGCATCCGTCTGATTGAACGTGATTTGATTCGACAGCACCGCGGTGGTGTCGAGGCTCACTGATGTGTCCAACGCGGGGTAGCTCAGGTGATTTTGCTGCGCCACCGCCGCCGCCACCGTCTCGTCGCTGATCACAGTCATGGTCGTCGGCGTAGTCGTTGCCGTCGTTGGCGTCACGTTCGTATGATCCAGAGAATTGCCGTTATCGACGTTGTTGCCGAGGCTGGCCGCTGCCGCTGCCACTGCTGCAACTTTCAGGTGTTTTGGCTTGCGTTTCGCGCCACCTTTGTGCTCGCGCGCGTGCTTCAGCATGTGCACCTTCTTGTGGCCCGAAGTGCGGAATCGCAAGTCGCACATGGGACACTTGAACGGCTTCGAGCCTGAAACAGACATTCAAATCAACGTGAACTCTTTCTACGAGTTAGCCGACTTAGTCTGAAGCAGCTAACTTGCTCGACATCACACGACTTCATGTATTCTGATATGACTAGCACGCTGTAAGAAGCTCGACTCACTGCATAGATAACTACATTGGGAGGTTTATGCGTTAAACTGAGTTTCTTATAGCGAACGGTGTTAAATTCTAGTTAAGCCGCTTGACTCGCGACACGATGACAGTGCGGCGCGGAACGATTCCGAGGAATTACCAGTATGCAGCCTCATGTGGACCTTCAAGCTGCCCTTCGTAGCGAACAAACTACTGCACACGTGACAGCGGAATGTCTTCTTGCCCGTGTGGACCTTCATGTGCGAATCCAACGTGCACTTGACCGCGAAACTTTTATTGCAGTGATCGCACTTGAACGGCCGTTCACCCGTGTGCGTGCGAATGTGCCTGATGAGGTCACTCGGCTTACGGAAGGTCTTCGGGCAGTATTTGCATTTGTTCGTGTACTCTCTTGTCTCTTTCTTCTCCATGTTCTCCTGGAATACGTTGTATATCATTACGTAAGTCATTTGACTAGCGGGAACGTCTGCCAACACAGGGACTCGTATCGATCGACACTCACATCTACGCAATCCATGATCTTTCTCTCGGCAACTGTGTCCAGCAAGACCTTCTCAGACACCGACGAGTCCGCGTCTATTCGGACATCGAGCGCCACTATTGAAGGAAGAACGGAATTCGAAATCGGTTCCTTCTGAGAACCGTCAGGTTTCATGGACTCGATCCACGTGTCAGTGTGCATCTTATTATGCAACTTCAGTTGTTGCTTGGTGTCCAGAACCTTGTGACACGTTGTACATTTCCACAGTCTGCACAAGATCGGCAGAACAATGTAATATTTACATAATAATTAATATAATAATAATAATAATATAAATATATTAAGTACAGTATTTAGTTAAAATGTTTTTAATTATTAATTATATTTTAATTAATTAAAATTTTAATTAGAAGTTAAAAATTTAATCAAAACAAATGTCAGAAATAAATCTTTTCATTATAAATATAATAATAAATATTAAATATCTGTTATTCTATTTAATATTTAATCGGCCACGTCAATCATACATACGCACAAACAAGATGTTTCTTTCATTGATCTTTTTACTCACTTGTTTATATGTGTCCTCATGTGTCTGCTGAGACCACTGTTTGTGCAGAACCGCTGTAGACACACCGAGCACTGATATTCCTTCTCACCGCGATGAGACTTCAGATGTTCCTGTAAGAAATTTATCATGTATTTTAAAGCAGTCTTGCGATGACGTCTTTTGTGCAGAAATGTATCGCCTGCGTCCGAGTATACATCTCAGAAGAATCGCGAGGAAAACGCTTAAATACTTTAAAAAGGAAAAAGCCCTTTGGAAATATTTGTTTAATTGTAATTTGTGTCATTGTACGAAAACTTTAACGTGTTAAAATTATACCTTCAGCCCTTCGGTTGTGAAACCCTGATTGCCGCACATGTGACACTGCAACAAGTTAGCGCATTCCGATATCGTCGCCGTGGTATCCATGCCAGAAGAAATAAACGAGTCCGACTGTATCGTACTTTGAAAAGGCTTCCTGTAAACATCACGTATTTTACAATTACCGATTTATCGCGCAAAGCTGCTAGATACTAGCAACTTTTTGTCCATTTTTGCAATCGATAAATGTAAACTGAGAAGTAAAAGTGCGAAAGTCCACCGAAAGTTGCAAGTACTCAGCAGCTTGGTACAATGCTTTTGTTCAACGAAATAGAAGGAACTTACGCGAACGACAGACTACTCCTATCGCTCTCGCACGCTAAAGCGTTATTTTCCTGCGGTGTTTTCTCCTGCCCGTTCACAATCTGCATCTCCGATTCATTAGTAGTGTCCGCCTTCGCGATGACTTTCGAGTACCTCGGGCATACTTGCGAGAGCTTGACCAATTCTGAACAGTTTTCCTTAGAATTGATGATCATCAGATGAGTGTTTCTCGTAATCAGAGACGCGTCCATATCGCTGGCAGTCGTAATTGGCGCAGTTCGTTGCTCTTCCGCTTGTTGTCCACCGTTCCCTCCCACGGATCTTGATAAAATACTGGACATGCTCGTGGAGTTGCTCACGCTTAGGCCAATGTCTATGTCATTGTCCGTCTGAAAAACCGATTACTATGTGCTGATACTACGTCACAGTCGTATCACGCTTAGAAAATGCTTAGCGAGCATCTTTACCTGAAGTGCAATTTGACTCATGTCGAACGAGTCGAAATGCGACGTGAATATTGCGTTGCCAGATGACTCCAGGCCCTTATTGTGCTCGTATATTATATTAAGTACCGGTTGCTCTCGCGAACTGTCGAGAGGATTCCCGTTCGTCTCGTCCATCGGCCTCGAAAGGTTGCTCGTCAGCCCGAGGTTCACGCCGATATTGAACAGTTGCTGATTCAGAGTCTCTTCGATCTCTCGAATACTTTCCTGCGAAAACATCACGAACATTGCACGTCGCCTCTTATTACCATTATCCACACGTATGCGTTTATATAAATAAACGAAATGCATCTCGACAGAATATTGATACTATGTACCGGTGTAAGCGTTTGATCCCCTGAGTAATGAGGTAACGCGATAGCGCCAGTTTCATCAGAGTGCAGAGTTTGCGACGTTTCTAAATTAGTCGCATCGACAGACAGATTCTCTGCAACACACGATCGCATACGGTATAAATTATATACATATAACGTTTGTACAAATTACATCACTTCTATACATATCCATCTTATCATTTATGTTTTCTGTCTTTGATCCGACACTTATCGTATTTTTAGAGAAACGTACGATTTACGATGGACGGCGTCGCGCTGTCCGTCAGCAAGAACGACTTCTCCTTCTCCTCGCTGATGCTCTGAAATTGATCAGAGAAGGCTTGCGTGAAATCCGGTGCCATTTGCGGCTGAAACGATACTTCCATGTCCTCGGTGAGAGTGATGCTTTCCGACAACGACGGAATGGTGCTTTTATCCTGGCTCAAGGGCTGCTGTGCGTTCTGCTCTTGCGTCTTTTGTTCCTCCAATTGCTGTACGTGCATGCAAATTTTAGTACTCCCTCCCCACTCTTAAACAGCGGTAAATTATAAAGATTAGATGTACCGACCCGTTGCGCCAGCTCGTGCTTATGTATTTTCATGTGCTTCCGACAATTGACGTACGTCTTAAACGTTTTGTGGCAGTACGGGCACATGAATGGCCTTTTATTACTATGCGTGACCAAGTGCCTCTTCATGCTGCTTTGCGTGGAGAATTTCGTGTTACACACCGAGCAAATGTACGGCTTCAAATCATCGTGCGTATGCAAGTGAGATTTGAGGACGCTGTTGGACGTGAACCTCCTGAAAATGCGAAAAGGTGGTAACTTTTATCGACGCAAATTACATAAAAAGATAAATAATGAAAAAGTGACAAATAGATAAATTGAAAAATTCGTTCACTTTTTTCTTTTATATATCTCTCTTATGTATATATAAGTAAATAAGAAACACGAGCGTTTAGGTTTACAATGCATCGCCATAGTTATACAGTGTCAAAGTTTTTTATCTATTCCAATACTTGTTAATCGCCGTTTCTATGCACTTTAGCCTGGTCTATTAGCCAAGTACTAATGAAAAAACAAAATAGAAGCGGAAGAAAATAATATAATGCAATAAATTGCGACTAACGCGATTTATGGGTTAATCCGGCTTTACTAGAGGGATGTCGAACGAGATATCCCATACCTGTCGCATTTGACGCATTTATACGGCCGTTCACCCGTGTGCCTGCGATAATGCTGCTTCAAATGGCTGATCTTCCTGAACGCCGCATGGCACACCCAGCACTTGTGTGGCCGCGCCACGCTGTTGCCGTCGTACACCTGTTTTTGCTTCGACTGCACTTGCGCCACGCTGATTTGATTGCCAGCGTCGCTGATGACGAGCGGCTCCTGCAGGACCACTTGCGGCACAAGGCTCTCCGCCTCGGGCGATATCTTGGATTTCTCTCGCATATGACTCTTCATGTGAGTCTTCAGAATGGTACTGGCGCTGAACGACTTGTCGCATATGTTGCACTTGTGCGGCTTCGTGTGTAATCTGAGGGGGACACGATGTTTTATTTCGACGTTTCGCCACACCACGTGCGTGTACGTCTGTGCGAAAAACATTTAGAACTCACTTCGTATGAGCGGTGAGACTGCTGTGGCACGCGAACGTTTTGTCGCAGGAGCTGCAGGCATACTTCTTCACCCCGGTGTGAGTGCGCTCGTGCGCTATCATCGTGGACTTGAGCGCAAAGGAACGGACACAGTACATGCACTGAAAAGCACAGAAAAATATCTTCAACTGATGAACGACCGACCATCGCCGCGGCTGCGAACGTTCTTAGGTCCGCTTTTACCTTGAAGGGCTTTTCCTGCGTGTGAACGCGCAAATGACGTATCAAGTCCGACGGCTTCTTGAATTCCTTCAGACAGAACGAGCACGCGTACCATCGTACGTTTCCTACGCAGTGTTGCTTTATGGTGAGATACTTTCTGCGAATGTAAGAAAACCTGTTACGTCAGATCGATCTTGGGCATCGCCCATTGTTTCGACTCGTGCGACCCCTCAAGTTTCACCATGTGTCTCCAAATCGTCGCGCTTTTCATTGCAGCTTTATTTGTCTTGCGCGCGACGAAGAATCTTACCTCATGGTGCCACCACCGGCTTTGTCCAGAAGTGTGACGTACGTCGTACGGGCGTTCGTTTTCTTCGGCTCTGCGCATTCTGCAAAGCGAAAGCGCATTGAAATTATCTTATCACTCTGAGTGATAATATTTAAATATTATACGATTATGTACATTAAAATGGATGACATGTATCTTCTGTGCAACGCACGAACAACGCAATCTAAGAATCACCTTTCGAAGCGGTTTCATTCTTGTTCGGCAGACCGCTGTTCTTCAACGCCTGTTGCAGGATATCGTTCTGTCTCGCGCTCAACGTTTCGCTTGTCGTGGAAACGGCGGTCGTATTGCTCACGGTGGATTCCAGAGACGCCAATTGCGATATTACGCTGTCCACCGTCGCACGCATGTCGGCTTCGGACGAGACGCTGGAATTAGCTTCCGAGAACTTGGCAGTGGCTTCCTGAACAAGCGCAGCGGTTTATCGGATTGTATGTGCGTCTCAAAGTTCGCGTTGCTTTGCATAATGATCAAATAATCACCGTACCTCTGAAGAATTAGAATGCATTCGCTTTATGTGCCCGTTCAGGCTGCCGAGCTTTTTGAAGACGCATGAACAGTAGGAGCACGCGTACGTGGGCTCACCTTCTGGTGCATTATGCACCCGGAGTATGTGCGCCTTTAGATTCCCTGAAGAATCGTAAAATGGAAGAGTAAGTTGAACGAGATCGAGTGACAAGATAAAAATAAGGAAAGAAAGAGAGAATACGATAAGACGAAGAAGAAAAAGAGGAGAGAAACTCTGGACAAATGCAGCACGGCAGTACTTTCCATAGGCTTGCATTTTGGCGAGAGCTGAATTCCCGAACCTTTCTGACTAAACTTGGCACTGCAGAGACTGCAAGTGTGCGGACGAATGCCGTTGTGTTGCCACGCGTGGATCTGCAGCGAACTCTTTTGCGTGAACGCTCTGCTGCAAACGGTACACTGCACAAGTAAAAGCGTAGATGAAGCGGACGTCACACAATGCTACCCGCTATTATCTCAGATTGTCGAAAATTGCCGCACCTTGAAGGGCTTCTCTCCGGTGTGCACTCTGATATGACGCATCAGCTGACTCGGCTTTTGGAAGGACTTCAAGCATATGGTACATTTGTACATCGTCTTATGCTTCGTCCCTCTTTTGGTTTGCTTCACTATCTTCGTCTGTTGCTGCGGGGCAAGAAACGCGATAAGAACACCAACGAGCGGAACATTATTGTTTATTAGACAGCACAGTGGGACCCTCGGGAAAAAAAAAAGAAGAAAGTATACGAAGAGAGAAATTTTTTCTTCTAGTTTCAGATAGAGCGAGGGAAATGAGATAAAGCGAATGAAGAAAGAAAACGCCAGAGTGTTATTGATCCGCTTATGCACGCTGCTTAATGAGATCTTCGGACTCACCCTGTAATGTCCACGGATGTGCACTCGATAGAGCGCCGGCTGCACGAACTGTTTGTTGCATAATTTACACTTTCGCACGTCCTCGCTCGCCCACTTCTCTCCGTGAAGCTTCAGATGCGCGTCCAACTGGGCCTGAAGATACAAACAATTCGAGTCGATTATAAATTCATCGAAAACGTCATGTGCGATGACAGTCATCGTTATTCTCACAGAACCGCAAGTATACTCGAAATACAGCAGTTGAACGGAAGAGACCAACTTTGCTTCAGCTGATTGAAACAGAGTTGGCCGATTCTGCCGACGACTAGTGCCGCGCTTTCGGGCTGTAGGATCGAACGAAGGATCAACGTCGAAGGATCGAAGGTCGACATGTACCTTGTAATACTGAGCGCTGATTCCAAGAGCTAGATGGAATACACGCGTGCAGATGAGCAGGAGCGCGTAATTCAAGCAGTCTACGGTGAACGACATATCGGAGAACGGCGCTGCGACTCGGATTATGTCGTGCGACATAAAGTAATACGCGCCGACGGGCAGTGAGTATACTTATATGGCAGTGCTTGGAGCAAAAAGTAGGACGAACGCAGGCATCGAGCGCGGAGTACGCGCTGCCGAATAATCGTGACTATTTCTCATCCGGCTGCGCCTAAAACTAAACGCGTTCGTCGGAACTTACGGGCGGCAACGAATACGAATTTGAACACACAAAACTGAACGGTTTCTATCGCGTCCCGATATGGCGAATCAGTGCTACGCGAGTGGACCCTGACGGCCGACAGACAATTCGAAGCATCTCGAAGACAAGGGAGGTCCAGGGAACCAAGTCGAGATCAAACGGGCACGACGGATGGATTTCCGCGAAAAAACTTCCACTCGTCTTCGCCGGTCTACTCGATCAATTAACGTGCGCGACGCTAACGAGTTAAACGTGGCGCTTTATTAAACGCGCTCGCGCACTCCACGTGCCTGCAACGCGCGTGCGAAACCGGACAACTGCAAAAACTCGAGAGTTTCACTCTCCCTTTCTCCCACCCCCTCTTTGCTTTTTTTATTCCTTTTATCATTATCTCTTCTCTTTTTATTTTTTCTCTCTCTCTCGAAGAAGAAGAAGAATTTCTTAAAGCATACAGGGGGGATTATTTAATCATCTCTTCTTTTTCTTTTGCCACATTCTTCACCTCCGTATCTATCTTCCTGTATGGAATCTTACGTTCCAGCGCATATGTATAATAAAATATTCTCATATTCTCCCCCTCTCTCTCTCTCTCTTTCTTCCTCACTCCTCCGCTCCCGCTCTGCTCGCAGCATCCAGAGCAGGTACCGGCCGACTTCGAGACGAATCCCGTGATCGTCGAGATCGCCGTTCCCTCTTAATTCCCGCGCGACACCGCCGCCGCGACTGGTATCGCGCGTCCGAAAGAGGACATTGCACTTTTTCCGGCACGCACGCCGCTCGTGGTCCAACAGCAGCAGCAGCAACAGCGGCAGCTTCCTCCCCGCACGCCGATTGATCTTCCCAGAGTTGCCTCTCGCTCTCCCTCGCAACTCCTGCCGCTGCTCTCTCTCTCTCTCTCTTCCGCCTATGAATCGCCGTCGTGTTCTTCTTCCTCTTCCGCCAGACCTCCCTGCGCGACCTCCCGTTTCCTCTCGTCTCTTCCTGCCCCTCCTTCTCTTTCTTCCTGCTCCTCCTCGTGTGTTTCTCTCCTTCGAGATCCGTTTTCCTTCTCTCGTCGTTCCCTCGCGATAATGAGACTTCGATTCACCCACGAGGGACCCACCACTCGCATCTCGGTTGCCTCGGATGTCGGTGACGACGAATCTCGTGAACAACGCTTCCTCTGACGATCTGCATAAGTCAACTCGAGATGACGCGGTTCATATGAGATTTTACGACGTAGGGAATAATTCCGGAACGGCTGAGAAAAGTTCCGTCGATCAACGAGGCGCTCGATATCTCGCCGCAGCGACCATAGCTTATATTCTTAGAATGCGGCACGAATGCGACGGGGAAACAAAAGAGAAAAATGAGAAAAAGTCAGAGTCTCGTAAGCCTGTCGATATTGCGCTCGAGATTAAGGACAGCGTCTCTCTCTCTCTCTCTCTCTTTTTCTCTCTCTCTCTCTCTCTCTCTCCCTCCCCCTCTCTCTCTCTCCCTCTCCCTCATGCGGTCACAGATTGTATTCTCATACGCTGGCAACACCGAAAAAAAAGGTCTGTGCGAGCCGTGGATCGGACCAGCGTATATTTTGCTTCTTTACAGCGAGGCGCATCGAGCCTACGGAGAACGCAGCATCTAATCACGTCGGACGCAGCGATTCAGGAAACGACCTCCGGCCTCGATACACCGCCCACCTTCGAGGACAGCACGAGCGCATCCTTGCCGCGTATAGTGCCGGCCACTCGAAGCGACGCGTTCTCTCGCTTCCCACTTGATTCGCCACCTTTCTCGCGTCTCCCTCAGGTGAGGGAAAGATCGCCACTCGTCAATCGACCGACCCAGAGCGGGATTAATCTCGTGGAGCGCTTTCGGTGAAGTTCTCGGCGAGAACACATCGCGGCGTCGGTAGGGCTTCACCGAGCGGGAGAGCCGCGCGATGGTCGAAATTCGCCGGACACTCTTGGAAACGAGGTCGATCAGGAACACGAGTCATTGTTGCAGCGGCACGCGAACAATTGACGGCGTGTCAAATGTCAAGCGGGCTCGCGCCGGGCTCATGCAAACGCGAGCGATGCCGCGGGCGGCGCGGCCAACTCGCGAGAAGGAGAGCCGGGCGAGAGGAACGGCGAGTGTTCTCTCTTCTCACGGGGGAACGTGCTGCCCAAAATACAACCTCATGGAGAGACGTCATCGATTTCCCCGTATCAAATCGCTCTCCCGAGTTGGAGCTCGCGTCTCGCACGCGGCGACGTGATCTCGCCGGGCTTTCTGCTCTTCGTCAGACCGGACCGCGCTGCGATTATTATTGCATCTACACGCCTAAATACGCGCCCCTCGAGAGATCTCACTTTCGAGATCGTCTCTTCCACGAAGAAGAGAGAAAACGGCGGAACGATTACGATGCTTCCTGCGCACCCGATTCGAGTCGGCTCGAATCGCCTGGGTGTATCTCGCGAACGAATGAGCGAACGAAGAAGCGTCGACCAAGCGTCCCGTAGAATCAGACGATTTTCAGGGTTAACGTTATTAATAACAGCCGCCGAGTTATCGGGACCGTATCCTCGCTCTTCCCGGTAAAGTTCAATGGTTCGGCCTTATCAGCGGCGTAACGGCACATTATCGGCGCATTTTTTTCGCCCGACGTTCCTTTCTTCCTGCCTTGCCTTCTGTCTCCTCTCGAGCGCCTGGCGTTTCTCCAACGGCTGCCGAGCGTACCTGAAGAACAAGAAGCACTACCGCGGTCACTTGTATGCTGAATTCCGAGTCTGAGGTACATACAATTCTCGGGAGATTCGCCCACATTCCCAAGTCTGTCGCGTCGCGCATGAGAGAGGAAATGGAAACACCATCTGCGCGATCTTCAGCGCGGACGTTCGACATTCGGAGAAAGGAGGAACGGAGACCTCCTCGAAGACCTTCCGAGTTCGGCGCCAGAAAAAATATACAAATCCGTGGCCGAGGGTGTAAAAACCATGCCGAATGGCCGCGCCTCGCGTTCTGAGGCAGGGGATTCTCTGCCGGGCCTTTGATGGCTTTGGGCGCCAACGACGACACGTCGTTGGCGGACAAAGTGTTGCAGAAATCGGAGAGACGCTTTGCCCACCACGATCGAGGAATATCACTTTCACCGTTGCAACAGAATCCTCTTATTTCCTCGACGGCGGACTCTTCTTCTCCATCGCCGCGCCGCTGCCAAGCTACTGTAAATATCGGCGAATATCTTCGGCAGGAAGGAGTGTGTTTTAATTAACGCACGTCGCGAGAGCCCTTTCCTCGTCGCGCTCGACGCTCAACGCGGAAGAAGTCGAGCACAAAGTAAGCGCGGAAATTGACGAGTAAACAAACGTAAGTGGTCGCGACGTAGCGGCGGCAGCGGGTGCGATGCCCTTCGATCCCGATTACATCGCGCATCTCGTCGAAGGGATACGAGATGACAAACTCGCGCGAGCACGTGCACGCTTGACGAATACTCGCTGCTCACTGACGAAGCGACTGTAAATGTCGCTTACGTCGTCGTCGGGATCGTCATATTCGTCGTCATTGTTATCGGCTCTCCTTCTGTCTCTCCTCCCGCAAGAGTTAGTACTCTCAGATGCTCTCAGACCCAACCGCAAACTGTCCGGATAGATCGGCCAGCGGTTTTTAAACCACAACCGGCTACAACCGGCTTTAAACGATCCTCGGCTACGTCTGTCAGAGAATCCGATATTTTTTCAATTTCTCATATTTGCTCTTACTTCTCCTTAACGAATTATTTGTTGCTCACGTACGCGATAACTGGCTTGATATTTCTCGTCGCGTCTTTGAAGTTTTATACAGACGCTTCTTTAACTTTTTCCTTCCTTCGGGCAATTGTTCCGAGTATGAATGCAATAATCGTTCTGATACTTTTGCGGCTACAAATAAAGCGCATCGATCCCTTTCATCGTCTTCTATTGCACTTGAGTTGATTATACATAATTTCGTCTCAAATGTCTTAATGTTTGAATCTTGAGATCGACCCCTCGGTCTCTTTTTCTTCTACTCAGTTTATTCTCGTATGTTCGAATAACGACAGAAACGAATAACAGACAATGCGATGCGTTTCTTAGCTCCGCTCTACATTTCGTCGCTACACGCGCGTGTATGCGTGCGTGCGTGCGTGTCTCGACGTGCGTGCACGCGGGCGTACAGTCGGCAACCACTAAACTTGCGCGAGCAATCGACGAGAGATCTGTGTGAGATCATGCGATTCGGTTGCGTAATTCATGCGCGCCGTATTATACAGACCGCCGCCTACTCGCGCCGTTTTACGGCCCACGTTGCCTTATCACGGTCACTCGACGAGCGATCATCAGCGAGCGGTCCCAATTAATCCGTCATTGTCCCCGTAAATTCGGAAAATCATCCCGAGTGCGCTTGAATGTGCTCTCAGTATTCTCAGCGCTGCTTTCCTCGAGGAATGCGTCTTCGATGATCGATAGCATACGCGTCGCTATCGCGAGCGTGACTCATTCATCCTATTCCTATCGAAATATTGCTAATAGCGTTAATCATACAGATATGTTTATATAGCGCGAATATGTAGCAAAGGCGAGACAGTTAAATGTCAACGGTGAGTGCGAAGTTAGCAAGGCCAACATACTTGCTCGACGTTATGAGATAATGCCCTTTCAGTGTTTCAGAGGATTCACGAGAATGATTAAATCATCTCCTCTATTTATCCGACAGTGGTTCATTACGAGGTTGGCCTCGTAACAGGGAGAGAATCCGCTGTTTCTTATCTTTCTCTATGATCACTCAATTTTGGCCAACAGCCGGACGGATATAGATAAGTCGTTGCGGGTCACCGACGCTGACCTTCGGAGTATGATCGTCGCTATTCTCCTCTGTGTCGACGACACATGAAAGTGTTGCTTGTCCGATAACGTCAGAGCTGAATGTTGTTATCCGTTGTTTTATGTCGAGTCGTTATCCATCGTAGCGGTATTATTACACTTGTTAAATCTTATTTTCAGGTAACAAACAGATCCTAACCGGTAGCTTAACACGAGTCACATAGCTGCAAAGCGATGACATATACTTCTTTCCGAAAGAGAAGCTTTGCACGGATTTGCGAATGTTAAACAGACGATAGGGTTTCATACGTTACGATCAATCGATGCCGTCGGGCACGATTCCTGTAAGGTCGAGCACGTGAAACGATAGCACAATGAACATACGAACGAATGCAACGTGAAATAGCCGACACCTTAATCGCTGCAAGGTAGTAATTACACATACTATATCTGCAAAGAGGTGAATGTTATCGGTAAGCAGGTCTGCGCGATCAGCAAAAATGCGTCCAGCAGGACAGAACATCGATAAGGCAATGGTTATATGGTGCGGTGGCTTTTACGCGTATACAGGGTGTCACGAGACGACTGTATGACACTTGAACGATAAGAAATGGTTTTTTGAAACAATTTATACATTCCACAAGATATTTCAAGGAAATATTGCGAAGAAGCATTGAATCTCCGATTACAGTCTCAATTCGAAACTAAATGTCGCTCGCAAGTTGAGACAAAGACGATTAAATGAAAACTCACCTTCGTCGAAAAGGCATCCTCGCATTCTGTACAGAAGAGATTCTCCTCCTTCTCGTGCAGCAACATATGAGACTTCAGACTCGCCATCCGGGCGTATTTCCTACCGCATTCGGGACATTTCGGGTCGCCGGTATTATGCGTTGCCATATGAAGCGTGAAATTCGTCTGCAATGATACCATTGTGCGGAGTTACTAGACTGAATCCGATCCACCGCGTCTAAGATCGAGAGGCGGCATAACTGCTACAACTAATTCGATTCTATACAGGAGACTAAAGAGTGATCGTACAAATTGTTCCTGCATATTTTGTCGATTGATATGTGTTGATTAAAATTAAAATACGCGATGCTATCGAGCGGTCGTCCTTGGCGTATTTCCGTCTTCTATGAGTGGCAAGTTCATCGTCAGTGTTCTTTCAGTAATAAATATAAACATTTTCCTATCCTTCAATCGGTATTTGAAATTAGCTCTCTCAAAATGTTCAATTGTGTTACAACTGGAAACACATCAAAAAGACTCACTGGGATGTTAAACGATGCCGGGCATTTTGGACATCTATGTGGCTTTTCTTCGGCGTGATTTTCCACATGTCTGCGATACAATGTCTGCTTAGTAAACTCTTGTCTGCATATATCACACTTCAGAGGCTGTGTATTCTATAACAAAAGTAACAACATATGACTATTAAACAAAAATTCCTCAGACAGAAATATTTCTGATGTTAACATACTTGCGACGTTACCCCTGTTTTTTTTGGTCTTCCGAGTGATTTTTTTAAAGTATTCTGTGCCATAAACACAGGTACAGATTCGTCTTTACTGTAAATATCGATTGTCATTTGTTCATGTTCATCTGATAAGATATTGCTTTCATCCCCAATTGGTAACAAAGGTTCCATGACAGCACAATCATTTGCATCCGGAAGTACTTTCATTTGTTCAACAACTACAGGTGTGTTGTCAAATTGCTGCATTGGCAGTAAATTAGTTTGTTGCACTCCAGTACCTGGCATACTTTCTAAGTTCAACTGGAAAATAGACTATAACATAAATGTTTATTACATTTAATTAATAAAAAATTTATATTTCGTACTATTTTATAACCCAGAAATATTTTACTAGATACACACAGGGTATAAAATAAAATTGCCATCCATAGTCTTCACTACTGTTGAGGACATCATGTTATTTTGTGGCATCAGCGCAATAGGAGCTGTCATGATTTCCAAGGTGCCATCTTCACGTTCTAAAAACAGATTACATTTTTCTTAGTAGATCTGGATAAATGATATACATTATGTGATATTTTATAGAAATTTTGTATATTTAATTAAAATTCCGCTATATCTATTATGTGTGTATGTATTCTCAATACAATAGTGTAAAATTTCCAATATGGACATAAAACTTTAATTTTTAAACATATAGAAAAATTTAATACATATTTATTGCAATTATCTACAATATCTTGTATCTATTTATTATCCATATCGCTTCTTATAATAGAATGCTATAACTTTCTCACCAGCTACTGCCAAAAGAGTATGGCCATCGTCTGTAGTAATAAAACCAATCAATGGTACTGTATCAGCAGCATCAGTGGACTCCATGATTACATTCGGTTCTGCCAACATGTTGACAGACATACTCTTGACTTAATGACAAGGATTCGCTATATACGATATTCTCACAATAAATATTCCATCTACTACAAATTTATACTCCATATATGATATTTATCCACTGTTGTTTGTCGCACATTGGACATCTGTATCTTCCAGGAACAATTGGCTGTAGTGTTACGGAATTAATTATATATTAATATCTCATATAATTCTAACCTATTCACCATGTACGTCGACTTGATTGAACATAGCACAGGCAAAGTGCTGAAATCGAATTAAATATATCTTATGCTTACAATTATGAGTAAAGCGTTGTATAAATAAGACTGGATGTCACGAAATTCCTCGTCCTCCTTCGAACTACAGTCAAGTATTCGATCTCAAAATTATCCGCCTTGTAAAATAGTCACAATCGCTCCATATGTCGTTTTACCTCAATGCTCTCCTTCTTTCTCTTACCGGTCTGTTATTTCGGTGTGAATGCATATCATCTGAGATCGATGTTTTGATCTCGTCGCAGATGCGACACATCTCTCTTTTTCTCTCAATAAATTTTCGTTTGTATGATTGTGCCGGTCCGATTATTCTCTTTCCTGTCAACCATTCTTGTCAACACGGGTCAACGTCATCACTCACCGCCGCTGCCGTCGCCATCGCGCATCTACAAAGTAACGGACATGGAGTTTGTTCTTTATAAGCTGCACTGTTGAACTAATGCAATAAGTTAGAGTGAGAAAAAATGTACTTATCTCATTTCAACTTATTGCATTAGTTCAGCAATGCAGCTATAAAGAACAGATTCATAATTAGTTACATGGATTGAAATTGTAATTTTATATAAAGATACATAATGTATGTATCTTTGTGTGTGTGTGTGTGTGTGTGTGTGTAGGTATAATTTTTTGGTTACAGGAAAATATGGCTAAAGGCTCGTCTACAATAGCTGTAAGAGTAAGGCTGTAAGGTTGTAACGTAAGCTGTCAGCGAATGAAAATATTTCATTTCGTGCCTTGCAACCTTACAGCCTTAAGCTAAGACTCCATGCATGCGGTGAGCTCCGGCAAACGGCTGCGGTGACCAATCAGGAGACAGACGCATGCTGGAGCTTGCCGCAACCGGACTTGCGCCTCCCTCCTGATTGGTCATCGCAGCATTTGCCGCAGCTCACCGCATGCATGGAGTCTTAGCTTTACTCTTACAGCTAATGTAGACGAGCCTTTATACTCACTTATTTGGTCTGTTCTTTTTAGCTGCACTACTGAACTGGTGCAATAAGTTAAAGTGAGAAAAAATATAGTTGTCTCATTCTAACTTATTGCACTAGTTCCGCAGTGCAGCTAAAAAGAACAGACCAATTGTTACTTTGCATATTTGGAAACAGAAGTAGTTTTCGATTTCAATTTATAATCAATGTGAAGATTAATTGTCCGATTATCTATTGATTTAATTAGTCGAAAGTAGCGATATCTATTCTCTATTTAACTCGTGTTTATGTTCATGTCCATTTCACATTGATATGAAAATAATTAAATACAAGTTAATGTACTGAATAGAATCCCGCAATGTTTCGAATTTTGCTAGTCGCAGCAAATATTCCTTTTTAAATTTGAATCGTACTTCTTGAAAATAAAAATGCCTTTTGATTTGCTATTGGATCGTAAAATTTCAAAAAAAGGATCGTTTAACGTATTATTAAGTATTATTATTTGGAAAGAAAGCATGTCGAACTAGTCGTTGATTTATATCACGATCTCGATTCTTTAAAGACAGTGGCGGCTCGTAGCGAAGACTCTTTAATTGATAAAAAGAATGGGTCTAACAAGACGATTATAGGAGTGTCATAACGGGTCTATTGCCTTTTATAAAAAAAAACAGGTTGTAGTACAACAACTCAATAGATAGCCCATCAGACCTTTATTTTAAGTGATATAACGGCAAGTCAGTCGATTGATATTTTCAAATAGTGCAACTGACAACAAATCTGAAAAACTTCAATTCAACTGATTATTTAAATCAATCAGATTATTAATAAAATATGTCAAGCTCAGGGAGACATAATTCAGCTACATGGCTAATAAAAATTATTCGCGATATCGGTCGAGGCGTAAGTACAATATTTTATTTAATTACATAACCTTTTATGCATCTTGATTTTTTGCTTATTGCAAACCGTATGTTTAATTTATTTCATGAAATATATTTCGTTGGTAATAACATTCCTCATTATACACATATTCAATATTAAAATTTTAGTACGATTTTAAAAAACCCAATATCACAACAATTATCTGATATACTCTTCCAAGTTCAACTAGAAAATAAACTATAACATAAATATTTGTTATTTAGTTAATAAAAATTTTGTATCACAACATGAACTGTATATAACAGAATTTAATTTGGCTGTGTGATTAACATATTGGACTGAAATTAACTACATTTTGATGAATTGAGGAAATTGGTTTAGACAACAATTCAATGACGTTGCTTAAATATTTATTTCCTTATTCTAGAGACCCATTCTGCCAGCTCACAGATACGCTGATAAACAATCTGAACGTACTCAACCGCCTCCAAATATACCAGGAGGTCCTTATCATAAAACTTCTGAAATTTATTATTATATTCATGATGCGCGACGAGAAGTAAAACCACCATTAATAATTAGTGAGGCGAAACAGATTAGCAAAAAGTAAGTATAATTATTTATAAACTTGTTTAAAGGAATTAAAATTGATACATATGCATTCTTATTCTTAAGTGGTACACATGTTCTTTTTTAATCATAAATATTTCTAAAAATAATTTTGAAACAGATTTTACTAGGAGAACAAATACTTAAAAATTTTATAACTATTATTATCTACATTTCCTTTATCTGTTAGGGGTGATCCTCCTGTAGAAAACAAATGTATAACCCCAGGAAAAGTTTATAAATGGGATTAATACAAGAGTTGAATAGTGACTTCTATTGCAAGAGTTAAACAATGATTCATTAGTGCAATGTTGTTCAATAAAAGAATTGCTGTCTTAACCTGTGTATGTAGGAAATAAATTAAGTTATTTAATATGAATTGTCTATTTGTTCCTTCTCTAAATCACATAATATTACAGGAAAAATACCATGGAGTCATCTTATGTTTCATAAAAGAATATGGTGAAAGGTTTTCAGATAAGCTCTGTACAGGTTTAAAGTAATTTAATTTAATCTTTAACCATTAACAGCACATAAATTAAACAGGAATGTGTTCATATACAGATATGCTGCGTAAGACAGACACTATTGTATGTATATGTGTGTGTGTGTGTGTATATATATATATATTATATATATGTGGTTTTGTAGATAAATATACATTATTACATACATACAGAGCGAAACGCTTTCATAAAATACATATGGGGCTAAAAATAGTATTGACATCGACGCATTTGTACAGAGATTCACAGAGTGAAGCAGCATGTTCGCTGCGATATCTAACAGTGCAGTACCCATTCATATACCCAACCTACAACAACAATCGCAGCGAACGTAGCGTCATTCGCATCACCAACTAACGACTATGAGGAAGAGAAGAGAAGGCGGATGGACTGGTCATCGGAAAGGGAAAGACTTTCTCCGGTAACCGTTTAGTATGGGATTTGATTCTGGTAATACTGTATCATGTCATAAGTTTTCGTACGGAAGTTGAGGTAGCTGTTACGTATTACATTGATCATGAAGATCGCAGCGTCCCGATCGGTAGCGGTCGGCACAAATCGACCGCGTAAGAGTTTTATGGTCTGCCCGCGGAAACACGGTAATCCCGTGTCGAGCATAAGAGAGACGAGTGAGATGATAGCTTCCTGATACGGCCTGTAAGACAAAACGAAATTATTATCTTCTTACAATACATAGAGCACAGCTACATGCTGCGTGCCTTCCTGTGCTAGTTTTACGAATTCCTGAGAAAAAACTATCCACTCACCTGACTGCGAGGAAAGCTTGCACGCATAATTCCATAAACCAACGAAACGGAGCGGCTTCCATCTTGCCGCCCATTACAAGCACCATTTCATCAGTCAGCTTGATGTCTGGCTCAAACCCGAGGTTTCCGCCGGGTGAGCTTTCGAACATGAAACCAAAGTCGATATGTATGATATGACCCTGCGTATCAATCATGATATTGCCATTGTGGCGATCCTTAATTTGTAGCAGGTAAGTAATGACGCTGTACGCCGCCATGGACTTCACGAAGTTGCGGCGTACATTCTGGAATTCTTTTGTCGTCTCGTCGCCGTGCTGCGTGATGAAATACTGGTACATATCACTGTCGGTCGTACGGCCGAGCTGGTCTCTCGACGTCGCATACGGTACGCATTCTATCACGCCGCACTGGGTGACACATGGATGCAATTGAGTGGCAATTTATCAACAGTATTCGTTAGAAAATGCCTATTAAAGACGAGTGTCTTACCCCAGGAGCCGTGGCCACGACTCTGTACGGAAAGAGGAACAGGTTCAATCCGACCTTCTGGAAAACATTCTTGAAGATGCTGATTACTTGCAAAGCCAGCATATCTTGCCTGACGTCGTCGCCGACTTTAAAAATAGCAGCCTGCCAAGTCTGTTCATCCGCTTCCCTCTTGCTTCCCTCGATCTTCCCGTTGGTGGACACCGCTAACGCAATGTTCTCCAGCTCGTTAATGCCGTATCTTTGCACCTTGAAGCGTGCTAAAAACGGTGCCTTAGCAGCGCTGTGAAAATACAAAACAGTCATGTGACATTTCGTCATATAATCACCCAGCGATATGTAAATTACATTGCAAAGTCATCCCCTTCAAAACATACCTCTGCATGGGCGTACCGCTCTTGTAATCAATGTCGATGACCATCGCTTCAGGGTTCGACGGTAAGTAACAACCGGGTTGTACCTGCACTCTCGCCAAAGCTTCCAAGCACGCAGCCTTGCGCTCTGGTCCTTTGGGATACGGTCGAATTTCACCCGAGATGTTGGTGATCTTGTCAAAGAAGTCGAACTCCCTCTCATAGAACTGTTTCGCCGGGCCGGACAGTGCACTCAGAATATTCTTCGACAATAAATCCAGGATGTCGTATAATACGGAGTCTCTAACTTGTTTTTCATCGTCCATATACATATTCGTATGCATATTCCAGATCAGTTGATGCGCCACCACCTGGAAGAATTAAGATTGCTCTCGTTCAATGCGTTTCATTCCACTTCGCTTCAATCCTTATCGCACGTACTTGCGACCGCTTGGCGATCTTCTTGATGAATTCGATGACGTAACCCATCGTATCATGACGGACGGCTTGAACTAGCTGAGGTATGTAGAAGAGTACAGCGTCGGCAGGATAACTATCCAACACTTGTACCGCATACTGCGCCGAGATAGGGTGATGTGGGAATTGTCGTGAGAAGTACGCCAATGCTTGAATCGGAGACACTCTTGCCCAGGTTAACATATAAACTAACTGAAATTCCAATCAGCAAAATTAGGAATTTTATAAATGGCCATGCAGCGTCCTAACGTGTAAACTTAACCACTGATCTGCCTAATTGATGTACAAGTAATACTATCCGAATGATAACAACGTCTTACTTCAGGTACATCGTTGAGCAGATTATCCGTAGTGACGAGATACTGCAACGCTTCCGACACATGCATAACAGGCACGGGTTTCAGGCGCACCAAGCCGCAGATCTCCTTGATAATAACTTCGGAGTTCTTTAACCGCACTGGCAAGAATATCGCCAGCACAGGACTGATTTCCCACGCGAGTCGCGTGTACTCGCGCCAACGATCGTTCATCGCCTTGGCGCGCCAGTCCGCGATACTTCCTTCCCCTTGTAGGGCGAGCTCCGGTCTGCCGCCAGGATTACGCCAGACCTAAACGTGATTGCGGCGATTGAGGATGGCTTCCCGCCTAACAAGGATAGATGATTGTTCTAAGCATTTGTAATTTCTCCAATACTCACCAGCAACATCTCGATCTCAACCGCTAATAACTCGAGAATCAAATTTCTCTTCTTGATATAATCCTTCACAAAAACACTGGCGTTCACGACCCGTTTGCTGCGATTGCTGCGTTTGTCCAACGTATTGCTACTAGTCGACATCGGCATGGTGCTCATCCACACGTTGCTGGACGACTTGGAGAACTCGTTCGGCGTAGGGGCTAAAGTCGCAGCTAACGAGCCGATCGTTTCGCTTGGAACGATCATCGCGGTTGTGCAACTCTGGGAGGTCACTATCTCAAATTCGTTATCCGCTCCTGTCATCATTAAGTACTTCTTGTCGCTATGCATCACCTGTCAAAAACACAGAAGATAGTTAGATAGATACAACGGACAGATTACGTGACGTCCCCGTCACAAAGATACGAAGGAATGTCCAGAAGTGAGAAGTACGAATTAATTTTATGTGCTAACAGTTTAAAAACTAGGAAGCGATCCACTTTACCTGCCAAAAGCGTATCAGCGTAACTATATCTTCGGTCAGTTGGTCGATTTCTTGAGTCGGCAACTGACGTTCCCGGCAGAAGTAATCCAGGCAATTGGAATATACGCGTTCTCGCAAGACATTCTTGCTCAATGTCCTATAAGAGCGTGCTCAGTTAATTTCGACTGTACTCAGATCAGTTTACGTTAATTAGGATAGAGAAACAGGCAGAATTGGTTACCTCGGCAGAACGTCACCTTGCAGTAGCACCAAGCCACACGAAAGCAGCTTGAAGCGCACGCCGACCGCGGCGACGTGTCGATTGATCCCAGGTTCCTCGCCGGACGCACCGACGGTCATGGGTAACGAACGATGCAGTAGCATGGCGATCATATCGACCGTCTCCTGACAACAATACTTGGCCGTCTCGATGAGCTCCACGATGAACGTTACCCAGATGTCGTGCGGCTTTATGTGAGGCGGATTCGGGCCCAGTTTGCAGCCCTCGTAGACCGCGAGAGGACTGACCTCCTCTTCGTTCGGGGCGAAGAGGCCCATCCGCTTGTCGACGGTATATTGCCACGCAAGCAGCATCTCTTGCAGGAAACGCAACTTCAAGTCTGGTCGTACGGTGAGAATCCACTGCCAGCACTCAACCGCAGTGGTCATGACCGCGGTCGTGAACAATTCTATTTGCGAGCACGCGACCGTGTGTAGTAATCGCCTGTGTATCCCTGGAAGTACAAATAGCAACATCAATGGCTGTTCACGTTTCGGTGAACAATTATATGTGTAATTTCATTCAATCTCAATCGATCTTAGCCATTCTTTGTTCTCTAATAATATTCTCTAAGTTTCTATATATATTGGACTCTTGTATATTTGTTATAATTACTCTTGTTATAATTACATTTAATCACACGGCAATATACACATCTAATTAATCTGTCTAATTACAATGTAGGTCAAGCAAACAAATTTATTATATCATCGTCGATATAAGAGGCAAGACTTAAGATTACAGGCTTGATCAGAATTCAAGCACTTACCAGGCATAGATATTAACAGAGCAGTGGCGCGCCAAAGAGCTCCACGATGGGCGGCATCGTTGCGATCTTGACAGGCACGATGGACGGCTTCGATCAATCTATCGACGACTTTGTCTCTGCTCTCTTCCAGCGACATCTCCGCCGTCGGTGACTCGGTACGCGCGAGGGCAAGCATGCCCGCTACTTCGCCAGCATGCCACGATCTCGTAGACATCATCGACAGAAGCCACGAGCTCGCGCCTTTAGGACCGCGTGGTCTTTTATCCAAGGAGTTCGTCTATAACATATATCGCTATCATGAATTCAATGAACGAGTATAGTTCCCACTTAATAACGTGCCAAAGAAGACCAAAGATAAATCTTACAGCATGAGAGTGTCACGTGCATAAAATTCATTACATACGTTTGTTGGAACCGCTGTGGGAATTGCGGTGTCCACAAATTCGAGGACCGAGTCGATGGCCAACGATAAACCTGAATGATGCCACATTCCGGAAGATGGTATCTGGTTGATGTACTCCTGTAAATGCGATCTGGTAGCTTGCGGCGCCCACTTCATGGCCTCCTGCACTATACCTTTGCACCTCGCGGTGAAATCTTTCACGATGATCTGCAATTCAAATAATATGCTGTAGTACAATAAATTTCTACTTTAATGAGTTTAAATTATGATCGGACATTCGTACTTCTCTTGCTTCGATGGTATTCATCAGTTCAATGCTGTACGGCGTGCCAGGTATCCTCAAACTCGGGCTCTCTTCGTTCGGGTCGAGTTGCAACGAGTACGATAAAATCTGCAACATGCGAATACGCCTCAAAATTAGTCTGGTAAACTATCGAAGAACTGACATGTGTGTCGAGACACTGCGCGCATGCACAAAGTGCATAACAAAACAATAAGTACCTGTAATATATCCAACATACTCCAAAGAACCTTACAGTTCCACAACAGATGTGGGAAAGCATCTACCAAAGCGCTGAGATATTTGTCCGCCACTCGCCTGATCTGCTTGTGCACATGGTTGAAACGCACCAGCATGAACTGCGCATGATTCTCGAGTTCCCGCTCGCGTTGCTCGTCCTTCGGTTTGCGCTGCATCACGTCCTTGAACTTCGCGAAGACCGAGTCTGCGACGCAGCATATGCATTGCCACATACCGCTCTTATCCTTCTGCAGATCCGTGTCGCACAGGTACTCCATTATCGGTTGCAGGCTAGGCTCAGGGCTGTTAGCTACTCGTAATGTCTCCGACCAATAGACGGACAACAGGTAGGTGCACTGCGCGAATTGCAACTTAGTCACGTAAGCCGATATGTCGTTTGTACTGAAAGGAGAATGCGGGAAATGTTTGAGATAAGACGGAAATATGACGGTGACACACATCTTGACGCTACAACAATGAAGAGATGATTTTTCTTGCAAATAGGAAACAAAATATCGTAACATAAACGAATATAAATTATTTCCTAGGCAATATTTTATACGAGGTATAATTAGTACAGAAACTAATAAAAGCTGAATATTAAAGTTATGATGATCATACCGAGTGCTGATTTTCAACACTTGACTGCGTAGCTCCTGCAGTTCATTCAAAGAGACGCTGTCGTTGCGCACCGCTGATGTATACTGCAGCTCCCGCATCTCGAGACGGGCGCTGGTCTGAGAGATGAGGTAGGGTGACTTGACGGCAACCTCTTTGACGCCTTCGTACCATTCAGAAGGCCACAATCTCGAAGGATGATCGGCGGCGAAACCCATTATAACGCAATACAACCAGAAGTCCTTGAACAACTTCAAGAGCCGCTTCTGCGGATGTCTGATCGGTGGTAGACGTCGCACCAATATCGCGATGACAGGAATAAGTACCCCCAAATTCCCGGCGCTGCTCGCTGCCTTCTGCTTCACAGATAAGCGCACCACGTAAAATAATGTTTCTGTCGCAGTTATTTCCGATTTTAGATCAGGCAGCAAGAACTACATCGCAACGGTCGTCTTACCGTTGCGGCGATACTGTTTGGCATCTTATCGCTCGCGCGTTTACCCTCGAGTCCTAATTGCACGAACAATTCCAAAAGATGAAGCAGCAAGTCGTCCAGCTCAGACTCGCCCTGCAGGTTCGCCGCTATGTTCGCCAACGCATTCGTGACAGCCTTGGAGACGTGACAATATTGCTTGCGATCGTCGTTCGCGGCGTATGTAGCCGTACTCGAGCCCAACGACATGGAGAACATCTGCATTATCCCTTCATAAATCTGTGCAACAAATACTCGTTAGTGATCGTGTGGGGAGGCTGTGTAAACGTTACAAGCAACTCAGATATTACGAACCTTTGGCTCGCATTTGGCGATGATCATGCAGCCCAATTGATCCACTATGAGGAAGTCCAGGTCGCTGGGACTGCGGCAAAAGAGCTGTTGGAAAAACGGAAAGATCGTGCGCATAGTCTTCGGCGTGTTCTTCAGCGCCACAGCCACATGGCCTAACATGATCACGATGTTCTTCGAAATCACCTCACTGTTTGACTTCTCATCGCTCTCGCTGAAGCCGAAGGGAAATTTCAATTCACGTAATATTTTTTGTTAAAAATATTATAAGCCAACAGGCTTCTTCAGTAGAACGTACCCATCGCAAATGTCCGCAGTGAATAATCTGTTCGAGACACTGGCTACGAGCGCTGGCACACAATCCGGATTCACCGAGTGCGCAGCTTCCAAGGCAATACAGAGATTGCCGATGGCTGCATCGCGAAGTTTCTCAAACGCAGTCTGCACCGATGACGTCGTCTGCTTCGTGTCGCTGATTTCTTTCCCTTGAACTGTTTAAATACAGTCAATATATTTATGTCAATATGTTATTAAATTGTGCAATAATTTCCGACTTCAGGTAAAACGAAACTTGATTGTACTTTTATGTCGTCATAATTTTATGAAACAATATTTTGGCCTTTTGGATCTATAATCTTCTGCCATCCTTCACCATCCTTACATTGTTTCATGAAATTAGACTGACATAAAAACGTAATTGTTTTATTAGACCTGCAAAGTTCGAAATTATTTATTACACAACCCGGTAAATCAGTTTATGAATAATATTATGATGAAGATGATACTACGAAGTGCCAGAGCTTACCAAGAACTTTGAACTGGTGCTCTTTCATGGTACGTTCGCTGTGCTGTTGATGTAATTTCAGAAGAATGGGCGACGGCACAACGAGAAAATCCCGCAGATAATATATCGATGTACTCGCTATGTTGGGGAACTTCTGCGCCAGTTTTCCCAATCCTTCGAGGCAAACCATGAGTAACGGCATGTGCGCCAATACCAGCTTCGGCCCATGATTGGAATTGATTTTTTCTACGAGTCGTCCGCACAAACTGTCTGCACCTAAAGTATACACCAACAATGTATAAACAGTTAATAAATATAACAAATGCGTAAATATTCAAATATATAAATCGCAGTGTGGTAAAGCTATCGATATTGATTACTTAGATACTTAGACACTATTGACAACAATTTTATAAGAGCTGTATGAATTTGTATATGAATTTAAACCATAAGCTACTTTAATAAAACAGATTTAAAGACGTATGTGTATATCTTTTCATCGATGAATATATCATGCCCGATATATATTTCAAATGATACAACATATTGATACAGATTTGGATATGAAAAATATTAAAAGGTTTGATATAACAATTATAAATAGATCTTAGATCTCTTATAAATAGATCTTAGAATAACAAGATTTATATAAGATATAAGATTAATAATCACTACTGAGTTATAAGATCAAGTTCTGGATTAATAGTTTACTTGTTCTACGTCAAATCTGAAAATCAATCAAACACACTGCGAGAATGAACGGTCAGCGCTAAGCAAGGCTACAGTTCTGTTAGCAGTTACTAAGGATAAATATGTTAACAAGAGAGCGACACACGGGTAAATCGATATACCCTTGCCAATCAGCATTGAACTGATATCTGCGAACAGCGCGGGCAAATCATATTCTCCGGATACTGGAAAAATAACGTAATAGCTTTACAATCTGTGCGTAGACGCGGTTGAAGAAATGTTGATATTGGCGTTAACCATGCACTTACGAGTTGCGAATACATTCGCCAAACTTCTCCGCGGTATATTATTATTCTAACAAAAATGCGATACCCCTCTAATTTTAGTAAAAGATGCCTCCGGCCCGCGATTCTTTTCTTTTTCTTATTTTTTGCTCGTCGTTCAGATGTGCTCACCTGTTTCATCACCGATCGCCCAAACTAGCAGGTCAACGCACGCAGAGTTGGCCATCACGTTCACTTTGAAGCGATTCACGGTCCGGAAATTCGTATCGATGTCTTCGCGCTCACTCGCATCATGCTGTCGCGACTGCAGCTCTGTTTGACCCGACAAAAATAAACCTTTGACAAATTCCTGCACATCCCTCGTGAACGGGGCCGGTAAGTCACGTTGATTCTGCAGCAACTCGCGCAACAATGCTACCATCACCAAATTCATCGTTTCGCTAAACGTACGATATGGAAAAATATGCACTTGACCGGAGCTGTAAACCTGCAATAATTATTGTGTGTATGAGTAGGATTATATGAATTCTTTAATATACAGAAAATAGCAAGGAATAAATAACGAAATTAACTGATACAATAAGACTCACTTGTTGCGCTTCTTCATCTAAAAACGTCAGTATTTCTTTCGTGAGTAACTTTTTGGCCAAAGCTAACACACTCTGCAAATGTACTACGGTAAATTGCATGCCGGCTCTTCTCTCAGGACTCTCATTGCAGCGCATCTGCGGAAACTGATTGAAACTTGATCCATAACGGCTGAAGAAGTACGTTGTCGGGTCATACGGTACAGACAGGGAAGATTGCAACGACGGTCTCTTGCCGAAGTGATAGTCGTGATTATCGTAAGCAGACAACAACTGAGGTGTATTGTCGATACAAGAATTGAAATTGCCACTCAACGATCGCGGAATGATCGGTCTGAAATTTGTAAAACTGTGCTGCTTCTTATCAGGCATTGAGCGACTGTGATCCATGTTGGTTGCTGGCGACGGGGTCTCCCGTCGTGGAAAGATACGACAAAGCAACGGCGGATCCGTGCACGCGAAGCGACCCATCGAGCGTGCTAATCCAATCAGCACTGGGACCAAACATTTGCATAATGATACTGAAACGAGATATAATGTTAGGAACAGATTGTAACGATCAAATACAAGCTGTAACAAACTTCTGAGAAAATTATTCCTCAAGTATCATTTTACTTAAAAGACAAAAAACTGCTATAATTTTCTATAAGGATAATTGTAAAATCTTGGACATTATTCATTAGTACTTACTCTTTGCCTGCAAACCCCTATTACTATTTTGTTCCTTATATCCGCGTATCAAATTTGTTAAGACCGCGAGTATTTCAACTTGTGTTGAAATAATCTCTTCTCGTGCCAATTCACTTCTAGCTGCCACGTCGCTTAACAATGTATTGAGACAGAAGCTAAAGCGCTCTGCAACTGGAACTCTCTCGGCGAGTGAACATCTCACCTCATCCCGCCATACTGCTTTCGGAAGACCACGTAACAATCTCAGTAAATAGGGTAAGATCCGATCTTTGTGTTGCAAGCCAGATTCCAGAAAATAAATCCCCAATGCAATGGTTGCGTCCTGACCCCTTTGATCCAAACGGTATACACCCTGAGCTGAATCTTGTGGACATAACTTGTACAATTTGGCTACCTATAATCAAACGTCAAACATTATTAGGTTTATCTTGATAAAAATTATATCAGTCACATAATCAATTCCTTTTATAATCACACGGTTATCACAAAGAAGGACTAAGTTCTGAGGAATTTTATATAATGTATTGTAATATTTCCCAAATTATTTTTTATTTATTACATAAATTCAGTATTTTACATAATATAATTTCTCAAGTATATCTCTATTATGACATCTATTATCAAATACAAATGGGTTATGAAATATATAAATAGATGCAATCACTTTGTATTCCCAAAATTTTCCTTCAAACAGTTATTACATAATATGAGTTAACAATTTTTTACGTCAGAATGATATTAATTAATATGTGTCAAGAATAATTGTACAATCATAGAACAACAATCCTGGAAGTGACGTAAGTGACCTTTAAATCATAACATGACATGTCAAGATAACAGCTGACATTCCTTGTAGTTACCTGATACGCAAAATCGGTAGATACAAGATGACAACTATTTGTAGAATTATTGGAAAATTAATGCTCAATTAAAACATCATTCTGAAGGATAATAACTTACTTTCTCCCATGGTGTAGGCTTGATAGCGGCTAGACATCTGGCCAATTGTTGGACGGCATTCGAGAAGAATAACTTCTCGTCCGCCATCATTTTTCCCCACTGACCACCACCGGCTGATTGCTGCTACTGGTTACTACGTCATGCCACTCACGATTGTTATCGATCGTATCGTACTCTCTTAGGGTGTGTCCGTAAATTGTAAGAAAAAATACCTAGCCTTGTGCAGATCACGGATTGGTGTGCACATAAAAAAAACAATGGAAATTAACCAACCCCGTGTGTTCTAACATGCAATTTACTAGTAAAGCTTATTTCTATTTAGGTTCATTCATATTAGTTGCATGCAAAATTGGACTAGATCAATAAAATCTGCATTTTTCTTCTAAAGGAAGAATACCTAATAGTAGCTAATAAAAAATATAGGCAAAAATCACACAAATGACATTTCTCTGTATCTAGACATTTTTTTTCTTTTTATTTCCATAGTTTTAATCACAAACAATACTTTGCAGTTCCACTTCGTGGCTTTTCACCCATGCTAAATAGTATTCCAATTTTTTTAAGCACAGCAGAATAGTTTTTTCTGACAGAGTTATAGTAGGACTGTGTTTCTGTAAAAATTTTCTTGAGAATTCTCGATTATTAGCTATATTCTTATGTGTCAAAATTTCTTTCTTGGCTGCTGTTAATAATCTATGCAGTTCCGAAAGAGCTGCAGATGTATAAATGGTTTTAACTTCAGGAACTGGTCCTTGCAAAATAGAAGCTCCAGCATCTTTAAATGCTAATAATGTTTGCTTATCTCCTGGCAATGAGTTAACCTACAAGTTCATTAATAATTATATAGATATATATGCATTTATGTATTTTATTACAATGTACAATATGATATTAATGTAGGTGGTATGATATCTATACAAACTTACGTTTTTAACATTTTCTGTAACTGATTGAATCGCTGATTCTGCATTATTAAACACCTTATTGTTCTTCATGTTCATACATATAGTTAAAAAATCATTGGCAGCATCCTCAACACAATCAAGATAATCTCCATTATAGTAAAGAGCTATATATGCATAAGCATATATTACATTTATTATATTAAAATATACACAAGGAGATGCTTTCTAAAAATAAATAATGGCCTACTTAATAAAATTTAATAATTTTAAATATATTCTCTGATTTATATCTTTAAATTTTACCTTAAGTTCATTAAATAATGGTACATCTATTAAAGCAGGATATTTCAAGTCATTAAAAGCATCTGTGGCATCTTCTTCAATAGGTTGAACAAGTTTCTTTTTCACACGATGAGTCCACCATGGGATCCATTCAGGTAAAAGTTTATCTGCCTCTCCATTCTTTATAAGCGCTTCAAACTCCTGCCTCTCAGTATTAGATAAAGCTGACCATAATTGATCAGAATCATCGAGATCGATATTTTGTAATCTGCTTTTTAAATCAGCAACCTAGAAAATACACCAAAGGATATATATACTTATATTTGATACACAATAAATAATACATAACTTTTTAAAGTTTTATTTTTATTTACCTCCTCCTCATCATCAGAATCCAATGGAGAACCTTCTTCATCACTATTATCTTCACCATTATCTTTTATAAAATTATCATCACAATGATCATAATATTGTCTTTTAAGGATCTCCAACATTTTCTTTTTAATAGCAGGATCATTTTCCTGAGATCTTAACTCTTCTTCAACACATTCTTTATAGAAGCTCTCGGTACATTCAATATGTGCATTTGATTTATAGCATTTACTCCCACAGTAACCTTTGCCACATCGTGGACAAGTGTATAAACGTACAAATTCGTTACATCTAAAATTTTAAATATATACCGTTAAAGAAAAGATAAGTCCCAAAATTTGAAATATTCAAATATGTTAGATATAAAATCATTCATATTTGTGTATTCGAATAGAATTATAGAAATATGTTTTACAGGTTATATTTTGGTTAAAACAGACACACATATAAAACACTATTTACATTTCACAAATCTTAATGGCTGAACTGGTGCTTGGAAATTCCATTATTTTAAATCTTTCAACAGTACCCTATTATCCTGGCAAAGAATAATAAGAGAACTTTAATGCTTTAATATCTCTTCAATACTTTTATACTCGTCGTTAATCACAAAATTTAAGAACTAGACTGACTATAAACATCGTAAAAGTATCGCCCGAAATGCATTCTCAGCTTTTAATGTACTGAAACATTTTATAAAGAGCACTTGAGTTTTCTGTTAAATGCCAGTTTTTTTACTGAAATTTAGGAGAAAAGAAAAGTAAAAGTACAGCTAGCGCAAGATAGTACGATCGCGAACATAATAGTATATGCCCGCTTTTTTGTAACTTTCGGAACGCATCCCGACTCGAGAAGAATGAGAGTCACTGCTCCGCCTGCGGAGCACGCCTGCGCAGTGACTCACAATGAAAGGCGAGAAATGAAATATACGCGGTGGGACATATTATAATAATACAGACTCGGATGAAATGAATACTCCAGCATTAAATGGAAATGAGGGAACACAGAACAGACAAGAATCATCCGATGTAAGTGTTATACTCCGGGGGACAGGTAGTAAAAGGTAGAGATAAATAAACATGTTTATGTTTTTAAAACAATACGAACTTAATTAAAAGAATTAAGTTCGTATTGTTTGTAGTGTATTACGATAATTACGATTCTATTATACATTTATATATGATTTATTGTTTCAGCAACAGCCATCTTCTATAGCAGAAGCAATGATATTAGATATTAGAAGCAGCTGTTATATAACAGCTACTTATTATTATAATATGTCCCACCGCGTATATTTCATTTCTCGCCTTCCATTGTGAGTCACTGCGCAGGCGTGTCCGCAGGCGGAGCAGTGACTCTCATTCTTCTCGAGTCGGGATGCGTTTCGAAAGTTGCAAAAAAAACGGACACATACTATTATGTCCGCGACCGTACAAATTATGTACTTTACTGCGCAGGCGCGAAAAGAGACAGAAAACGCTACATAATAGTTGCTCCAAGTTGCTCTTTCCTATTCGATTTTAACACTACCATCTATTGAATACGATTGATTTATTCTTATTAAACAAATTTCTGTAGCAGATATAGAAAAAGAACATATGGAAAAAATGAAAACTGAGATTCCATTATATTTTAACTTTGATTTACTTTATTCTGAAAGAAATATATGGTCATCAAAATTTAATACAAAGTTTTTATATTATTACCTAATATATATAATTACATTATTACCTTATATATATACACATATACATAAAAATATACATTTAACTTATATAAATTAATAAATACTACGATTGTTCTATTAAAGTACCATTTTTTAATCTTTTATATTTAAATTCTGGCTCTGGCCTCTTATTAGTCCAAGCTTTTGTATCTAATTTATTTAATATATGTCCTGGATCAACAGCAGCCTCTCGGAATTTCGATATTGCATCGTCGTCTTCTACAAGCTCATAGCAGTTCTTGCGCTTTTTAGATTTCTTTTCATGAACTGGATATGTTTCTGTGGTACTTAAAAATTTTTTTGATGAACTTAGAAGTTTTATTCCTGATTTTTCACTTCTTTTTCTTTGTGATTTCATGCAATAATCAGTAGTTTTATATTGTTTTGTATCAATAATTCTAAAAAAAAAGAAGATATAAAATAGTAAATCAATGATGAGTGATAATTTAAGATATTTATTTTAATATATACCTTTCTAACATTTCATCCAGCTTCTTGGCAACAAAATTCTGAAATGTAGTAGTCACACCAAAATTTATAAATTGATTCTTCTCTTTCAAATTTGTTCTCAAAGATTTTTTGTTTGATTTGTTGATTTTTAATTCTCCTAAAATCACAAAAGCGATTAATATATAGAAAGTCACAAAAGCGATTAATATATAGAAAACAACAAATATATATCAATATTTCAAATTTGTAATTTACCCATATAAATTTATAACATATTTTATTGCATTTTCAAATAGACTAGTCTTTTAATTAATTTCTTTTTATATCGATATTTGAAATAAAGTAATATTTTGAAAGTTATAATATTTGACTTTTGAAAACATCATTCGATATTTTCGAATTATTTTTCGAAATTATTTTCCAATCTTCTCCATTTTATCTTTGTGAACATTTAAAATTATGAGAAATTAAAAATAATACAAATATACAACAGTGAGGTTACTTACTAGATTGAGTATTATAAAGATTTTCATTTAAGAATTGTTGATCAACTGCTTCTTTAAGTATATGTGTAGATATTTCATCTTCTGAACTTGATATATCCATTTCTTCATTGCTTTTTGTCATTATTCTTGATAGTATGTCTGAAATAAAATAAATATTAAATATACAAATACATAGTAATTAATTTTAACATACATATTAGTAAATATATTAATAATATGTAAATACATAGTAATAAATTTTAACATCAAGATATTATAATTGAACTTTATGTTATATTTAATTCAGGAACTTTTGTGTAAAACATTTATAACAATTTCTTCTTATTAATACTATTTAAAATCGTTATTACAGTTTGGTAAAATATCATAACATAACCTACATACCCTTATTTAATCATACACTATACTAGTTACGCTTATTGCGCATGCGTAAAGATTCAACCTATATAATTGACGGACTTTTATTGCACGCGATAATATGAATAGAATAATTTTGTGTACCAATGTTTCTTACTGGAAAACGATCGAAAGGTCGTAATCCACTACAAACTGCGAGTTTGATTGCGGTCGCGATTACGATTAACAATAATGAATTGGCGGATTATACTACACGTTTAAGAATCAACTGTCTACATATGATTTTTTTCGCAACTTTTTGGATAATTTTATAACAAATAAGTCAAAAATAGACTGGGAGACTCTAAATTATTATTCGCAACCTGGCCGGTAAATTGTTTCGCTCTGATTGGTAGATTTCCAACATCCAATCGTAACCAAACCTGCAACCAGTAGTGGGATACGCACTTAACGTTAGAAAGGGATTTAGTTAGCGGAAACTTTAAAAATCATTTTTGCACTTGTGTATATGTATATATACACACATACGTGCGCGTGCGATTTAATAAAATTGGAATATTTATTATTAATCATCCATATATTCTACCCATATTCAAAAATAAAAATATAATTATCTTCACAATTATCCACACCTAAAATATTGACATTACCATATTAACTTTTATAAATTCATTTACGCATGCGGATTCCACACAATTCCAAATTCCTCATTTAATTTTTGTAAATTTCTGAAAAAAATATATTAGTCTTAGTTTTCATATACTTCAGTTTAAATTAATATGAAAGATAACATGAAATGTTACCTGTTCTCCACAGATTCTATCAAGTGAACTTTGTCCATTAATGCTACTACTAATCTTAAAGTAGACCATATTGTTCTCGACATATTTGCTTCAAAAGATACAGTTTTACCCTCTGTGTCTTTTCCTGAAGCTTGCTGATTTAAGGCTATCAAAAGATGTTCAGCTGCTTGCCTGTAATGTCACATAATTTTATTAATATAATTATCACTATTTTTTACTCCAACATGAAAAATAAGGAAGTCCATACTTACGCATGTGCTCCAAGATTAATGCAAGATATGCCGAGATTGTAACGTGCTCTAATAAACCCAGGCGATAATTCTAAGGCACGTCGATACGCATCTATAGCCTCTGCAGACCGTTGTCCATTAGCTAGAGTAGCACCCCATCTATTCCATAATCCAGGATCCTTTCGAAAATATATATTCAAACATTAATCAGTCATAAGATTTGATTCGTCAAAATGAAACTTTATTGAAAGAAAAGTTTATATTTACCTCAGGACGTACTCCTAAAGCTGCTTGAAAACAATCTGCAGCTTTCTCATACTCGCTCATCAACGTCAATAATACCCCTAATCCACACTGTACATCTGGGTCAATTTCAACATGAGGATTCATTCTTGCAGCTTGGATATACAATTGTTGAACTTCTCTCCGTAGAGCGTTGCTACAAGATACATAATACATTAAAAAAGATCTCTTGCTAAAAATTATTTTTTTTAACTTACTCTAATAATATGCTAGGTGAGCCTGGATGTTGTTCGAGTTTCTCCGAAGATTCTGCAACTAGATGTTTATACTTCTCATTTTTCAATAGCCATTCTTTCAACATAATGCATGCTTGCCTTTGCTGACATTCATTTGTATAACAAATAGCTAATGCCATGAGAGCAGCACCATTCATTGGATCTAAATCTAAACAACGTCTTAAGGCAGGAATGGCAAAAGGATCTTGTTCATTTTCTGCCTGTGCTCTTCCAAGAAGATACCAAGCTTCAGGATTATTTTCTTCCTGTTGCACAGCTGCTTCAAAACAAAGTACAGCACTTGGCAAATCTCCCATTTTTAATCGCTTTTTACCTTCTTCCAAAGCATTTGGCAAATCTTTCATAGGATTTGTCTGTTGAAATTCATATACCTCAGAAGCAGAATCATTTGACATGCTAAATGGAAAAAAATCAGTGTTATCCAATTTTTCCCATTGTTTTTCTAATTCTTCCCAGTGATTGAAATCTGCATTTTCTGAAATGTCCATTAATTTTATACAATATATTGCAATTAAATATAATTGAGAATTATAAGATATCAGATATTTGTTATATACAAAATATTTATGAGATGTCATATAAACACATATTTAAAAAAATATATATCTATACGTAAATTATATACCTGATGAAGCATCCTCTTTTATAAATTCATTTGTCCATGTACCTGCAGCTTCTAATTCCTCTTCTACCTTGTTCAAGATTGTATTGTCATCACGAAGGGAATCAAGATGTCTTCTTTGTTGGTTTATATCATATTCTTTCATAAATTCCAAAATATCTGGTTGCAATTCAAGATATTCTCTTTTAAAATCTTCTGAAATCTGAAATTGCTCTGAATTGCTACTTATTACAGCATTCTGTGTGCGATCTATATTCTGTTCTATATATTCTTCTGTCCATTCTGGTCCAAAGCAGATATCAGGATAAGTTTTGGTCAACTGCATGTCTGTATTCTAAATAATTCAGCAAACATGAAAACATATTAATAATATCAAATAGCCTATTAAAAACTTATTAGTAATATCAGAAATATCAATATATCATGTTTGTATTGGAAAATATTGCTTCATACGTTTACTTTAGTAAGTATATATTATGTTAATATAATTTCTAATTATGCTAATCACAAATTTTTAATAATTAAATATCTTTGTATTAAAGATTTCTTTTTATAATAACAATACTTTATTAAATTACCACCATATCCTCTTTAGATTTGGTATATTCAGTTATCCAATTTACATCAGAATTATTTGATACCATAATGTTTCTAGGTACCACCATAGGATGAGAGATATTTTGCTCAATTATTTTCATTTCTTGTAGCAAATTATTCATTCGGAATGTTTGTGGACAAGATGATTCTCCTAAGAATTCTTTAACTAATTCATCTCCAGTCACTGGTTGATGCAGGTTCGATGGCCCACATAATTGCTGAATACCTTCTTCTTTAAACCCGTGGTTGTTTACATAATGTGATGCCAAACCTAACAACGAACTGGAATTTCCACAATCACCCTCCACTAGCTCACGAAATGCCATTTCTATATCTTATTTATTATTGACTTCCTGCGCAAATAATTAAGAAATATCTTACTTTAATTTTTTTTAATATTATGTAGATACATGTATCTTGCTTTATCATTGAACACTCACTATCAGCACAGATGTAGCATCAAACTCTAGAAAATTAAAAAAGGAAAAAACGCCTTATTGTTAATACGTTAATCAATTAACTTTCTCAAAGCTAGTTCTTGCAATTGATGCAAGGACAAAATAATTATAAATACTGTATTATTGTAACACGTAGATTGTTCAAGATTCAGAACGAAGATAAAGTTGATGTTTGGATTTTCATGGACAAAGTACACCACAATTACGTTCACAGTCTGAAGGACAGAATGTAGGGTGCGTTCACGACACTCACAGTTGCGCAACTGTTGAGTAATTCGTCAACGTTATTGGTCTGAATGTTAAGTGTCGTCTACAATGGCAGTAAGCAGTAAGAAGTAAGCGTGAACAGTAAGAAATGGACCAACCACAGTTGATTATTTTTGTCATAATTGACTGTGATTGGTTTATTTCTTACCGCTTACGCTTACTTTTTACTGCTTATTGCCATTGTAGACGACGCTTTAGGATCTAAAGGCTCGTCTACATTAGCTGTAAGAGTAAGGCTGTAAGATTGCAAGACACGAAATGAAATATTTTCATTCGCTGACAGCTTACGTTACAACCTTACAGCCTTACTCTTACAGCTATTGTAGACGAGCCTTTACAGTAAGAACCAATAATCGCTCACTGAGCGGTTTTCTCTGCTGAACGCACCTATAGATTTGTACTTTTGAAACATCTCAAGTTGCGTTCCCATTTTCGTAAAGCCCGTATTATACTATGAATTGGGATTGAGATTGCATTGAAATTTTCCCAATTGGAAAAAAGAAAATAATCTCAAATATAGTAAACTTACTCCTGGTTGGTTAAATTTCAATCCAACGCTCAATCCCAATCCGTAGTCTGATACGGGCTTAGGGAGTTTTTACAATAATGGCTGCGTTCAGAAAACACAACGATTACACAACGGTTGAGTAATTCGTCAACGTTATTGGTCTGAATGTAAGGATCTAACAGAAAGGACCAATAGTTACTAAGCGCTCAGTGAGCGCTTTGTTTTCTGTAATGTAACCACTGGGTGCATTCAGTACTACAACCGCTCACTGAGCGCTAAGTGGATGGATGTACATCGGACGTCCTACAGGTCCGATGTCCAATAAGGACATTCTTGTTATGTCCAATTTCGGTTTACTTCTACGTTCATATTTGTAAAATAGCAATTCCAATTTTTTAGATGAGATGAATCGAATTTTAGACAACTACAGTCATCTTGACCTTTCGTTTAATGCAATGTTACACCGAATTTATTAAAAAATTTGTCGTAAACGATATTATGATATCAATAGAATACTTTATGTTTATATTATATGTATGGATGTATATGTACCTTTATAGAATTTCATAGCTGCGGTTGGGCATGGTGCTTTGTCCATGAAACATTCATAATATTGTTTTCGCAATCATAATATTGTTTCGCTCTGTCATTCTGGAGGATACTTTTGACATCAATTTATCATCGTATTTGTCGGAATAGAATTCTTCGGCTGTGAGGACAGACACAAGTACAATCACAACAATCACCATGATGCTGATTAATCGAGCCATTATTTTATATTCTCAGTCTAGAGCGTAACGAAGACAAAATGAAAGTGCGGAGTAGAACTCAAGACTGATCGCCAAGAATTCCGCTTATAGCTGTTGTTCAAAATAAAAACTGTTACGTAAGATGACTTTATGTTATGTTACGTAAGTGACATATTGAAAAATGATTAGAACAAAACATGTAGAAAGAATTATGTCTTTTTATGTTATATCATCGTTATGTTATATCATCATGTTATATATAATATCATCGTTTCAAATAATTTTCAAACAATATACAAAAGAGTATTTTATGTGAAAATTATGCGTAACAATTCAAGAATAGGGAGAGAATAAATTACAAAATTTACAACGGCGGCAAAATTTTCAATGCAGTTATTCTTTTTTGACTTTAGTTTCTTCTGTTTTTTAGTTTCAGAAAATCACCTTGTACTTTACAATAAAATCATATATTATATAATAGTTTTTCTGACATAAATCGATTTTTCTCGTTTATTTTGTTAAAACAGAATGTGTATAATCTTGAATTTTAAAGACATTTAATAGCTCATATAAGAAATCGAGAAAAATCCTTTTATAAAATAGTTAACGAAATTTAATTCTTTTTATAATTGCAGATAAATTTCCATGTAGTTTTTCATTTTAATTTTCCGTGAAAAGAATGTAAGTCCAATATTGAGAATAGATATCCGTTACACTTATGAATAGCGTAAATTTCTTGATAAGCAATTTAAATATGACACAATATAGAACAAGTTATGTCTTAGCGATTTTACGATGATATAGAATAAATATAATTGATCTTTAAACGAGTTTAATTACCTATATAGCCAAACCTGCAATAGCAGATTTTGTCTGCTGTACATTTTGTCAGTATGTTGATAGCAGAAATATAACAAGATTTACTAGTACAGTGTAATGACAGAAAGAAGTGATGACTGAGCAGATCTGTAACTATTTAAATGTTTTAAACATACTTGCGGTTTTTGTAGCCAATCTACTGTCAGATTTTGTTGACAGACCTTGTCAATGGAATATGAATCAAACGTGGATGTAAATATTTATAATTTTGCCGTCAGTCACAATTGGACATAAAGTAAATGATTGGTTCAATTTAGTAACACCAAATACTAGTAAAGCTTCGCATCCTGGTCGTGCCTAATTGTACTGTGTCGAATCGGGACCTTTCCATTTGAATCCTGATAAGAATGATGCCTTTTGCTGTAGTTATCTCTAGCATCTGATATACTGATTGTTACTACAGATCAGTATTGCTGATGATTAATAGATGATGTAAGCGGAAAGACATGAATAATAAATAACGAATCAATGCATAGTTGAGACGTAAGCGGTATCGTTTAGCTTAATAACAGCTTAATAACAGTAAGCTAACGTTTCGTCTATAAGTACATGACTTGAACATTTAAGCGGATGACACAAAAAATCATTATAGGTAAAACATTATAGGTAAAAAACTTAAGACGTAACATTTTATCGATCGCATTAAAAACTTACATAAAATGCACATTAAAGGTCTATTTGCAAATATTCTTTTCGTTCTGATAGAGGCAGAACAGAAGATCATGACATCAAAATGACGTCAAAATAATGAGGAAAATTCATTTTTCATCATGATTCGGTCATTTTCTCGTCATTTTGATATCATCCTAATTTTGCGTTCTACTTGGGAATAGAATAGGTAAAATATTACTTAAGTTTTTTATGTGTTTTGCATATAATGTCTAGGTAGCGGATGTGCCATCCGCTTAAGTAATATGCAAATCATGTAAGTAGTAACAAGGTGAGACCTTATTAATTAGCGCTGACGTCAACTATGATATTAGTTGACTTATTTGCTATTCATGTCTTACCGTTTATATTATTCTAGGAATCATTAACAATTCTGTGATTTGTAACAATGAGCAATATCGGACGACAGCAAAAGACATCATTTTTATTAAAGCCCAGATAAGAGGATTCCATTCAACACAGTACGATTGGACACGATCAACCAGGATGCGAAGCTTTATCCGGAGTTACTAGATTCAATCAATCATTTACTTTGTGTCCAATTGTAATATGTCGAATTGACTTGGAAGGATATGTCCTGGTTCTATACTCGTTGTAATTTATTTCCGTATTTTTAAATTGTGTACAATTTTTATATAAAATATTTTTTTATACAATATCGTTTAGAAATTATTTGAAATGGTAATGTCTTTATAATCTAAAACGTAAAAGCAACGTAGAAAAAGTGCAATTTTTTCCACGTTCTTGCTCAGCCAGAACAGGAAATCATGATAACATCAAAATGATCGAATCATAATTAAGCAATGAACTTTTTTTCATTATTTTTATGTCATGGCTTTTTGTTCCACCTGGATTTTCCAGTTAATTATCAATGCTGAATATTTCACTTAGTCATTATCTTACACAATATACATCGTAACGATTTTTTATTCTGAACGACAGCTATAAATGTAGCTACTGGCGGTCGAGTCTTGAGTTCTATTCCGCACTTTGATTTTGTCTTCGTTACGATCTAGACTGAGAATATAAAACAATGGCTTGGTTAGTCAGCATCGTAGCGATTATTGGGATTGCACTTGTGTCTGTCCTCACAGCCGAAGAAGAATTCTATTCTGACAAATATGACGACATTGATGTCAAAAGTATTCTCGAGAATGACAGATTGCGAGAACAATATCGCGATTGTTTTATGGACAAGGGATCATGCACAACAGCGGATATGAAATTCTATAAAGGTTTGCATCTATACACAAAGTATTCTACTTTTATATATTATCGTTTACGACAAATTCTGTTGCAAATTCGATATAACTTTTGCATTAAAAATAATATCGAGATAATAGCTATAGAAATGTATCTTTAAAATTCAAACTGCCGTTTGAAAAATCTGAATGTAGAAGTAGCCTGTTATAAATTTAAATCAAAACTTATCGTGGTGCTGAACATTTTATTTTGTTTATAGAGATTGTGGGTGATGCCGTAACGACAAAATGCAAAAGATGCACTGAGATACAAAAGCAAAATGTGGACATAATAACTGATTGGTATACAAAAAATGAACCCGATAAATGGCGTGAATTTGTTGTGAAGTCTTTAGAGGACTCAAAGAAAAAGAACGGTGGCCAATAACTACTGGCAAAACTGACAACGAACATCGCAAAATATAATCATTTGTAATCAATTAAATCTTATATACTTGGAAACTTCTTGAAAACTTACCGGTGCTGGAGAAAAGTTTAAAAGATTCTATATTACTAATATAGTATCTTGTATTTATATGTGTAACTTTATGTTCTTACATTAAAGAGAGAAATTATGCAACAACGTCGAATTTATTTTATCCATTAAATTCATAACGTTTTAATTTTATATTACCTTCGTACACAGGGTATCGATATTGTTGTAAATACTTCCATTCGATTGATTTTTCTAATAAAGAATTTCAAGAAATTTTTGTGTTCTCCTTATATTGGAAAATATCTATGGAGTTATATATTATATATAAATTAAATTTACTATAATAAAGAAGTTAAAAAATAAATTAAATTTTTATTTCATTTATCTTCACGTATTCGCATTGTTATGATATTATAAGAATATTGGACAGAAAGTATTGGCTCGAAAGAGTTTTGAGTAGATGATGTTTTGTTTTTATTATATGTAGAGACGTATCATTCTTTTATTTGATAATTGCGCAATGCAGATGGTGCACGTGTTTCCATTTGTTATGATATTAATCATCCTGTGTTACGCACTGATGACACATGTTATATACGAGGTAAGTTACTGGTTAGTTACGTTTGAAAAACTGATATTACGTAAATAATACACACATAATGATACGGCATATTACGCACGCTAAATTTTTTTGGGTATTTCGTAACTCTTGAGATTGATTTATATTTTAACATTTTTAAATTTATTTTATCAACGAAATATTTTTTTGTAATACATACAATATAACATGTAGTATAATTGAGATATATAATCTGTTAAATACTTGATATATTCTAGTTACGTAACAGAAAGTATGTATTAGATGTGTTTTTGCTGAGCGATAATAAGGAATTGAAGAATTCCTTGATTTTACGATATTCGTTGTCAATTTTGCCAGTAGTTATTGGCCACTGTTCTTTTTCTTCATGTCTTCTAAAGACTTTTCAACTATAATTTGCCATTGATCGGGTTTATTCTGTGTATACCACTCGATTATGTCGTTCAGATGTTCCTTTTGTTTCTCGTTGCATTTCTTGCATTTTGTCACCATAGCTTCGCTTGCAATTTCTGAAAACAAGATAAGTGTTCAATACCTAGATATGGTTTGCTTTAAATTTATATCGGTACTTCTACGTTCATATTTGTAAAATATGCAGTTCCATTTTTTAGATAGGAATTAATCGAATTTTAGAGAACTACAGTCACTTCGACCTTTCGTTTAATGCAATGTTATGTCGAATTTATTAAAGAATTTTTCGTAAACAATATTGTAATATCAATATGATACTTTGTATATATGTGTGTGTATGTACCTTTATAGAATTTCATATCCGCTGTTGTGCATGGTCCCTTGTCTATAAAACATTCGTAATATTGGTCTCGCAATCTGTCATTCTGGAGGATACCTTTGACATCTATGTCATCGTATTTGTCGGAATAGAATTCTTCGGCTGTGAGGATAGACACCAATGCAATCCCAATAATCGCCACTATACCGATTAACCGAGCCATTGTTTTTCTTTATAGAAATTTAATAGCGGTGAGTTAGCGATTAACTATTTTATTTTGTGTGTTAAAAGTACTATTAGCATAATTCCTAGTAATTCAATTGCTGAATGCGTAGTGATTATATATGTATGTCAGTGTTTAAGACAGTGATTAAACATTATTATAGAAAAGTGGTTGTTCGGTAATTAATTCATGTTATTCAGTAGCTTTATCACTAGTCATAGATAGGATAAAGCAACGCTATTCACGGTTAGAAAGGAAAAATAACCATTGAATCATGTGAGAGGACATTCTTTTTCTTATTATTTAACATAAGTACTGATCTACGTTACTCGTTTCCGTTTAATTTATTACAGCCCGATCTGCTGCAAACAGCAATTGCAGCATTGTAATTTTGCAAGAATAATGTAATATATTCATAATAAATTCATAATTAAGCTCTGACCAAACAATTATTGAAATATTTGCAGCATTTAAACACTAAATTTCTTAATAATTCCCGGTAAACTTGCTATGTCAAATGCTACCCAGTCAAAACGGAAAATCATTAAAATGACATCAAAATGATGAAAAAATGACCGAATCATGATGAAAAATGATTTTGATGTCGTTTTGATATCATCATAATTTTCTGCCTGGAAAGGATTTATATACTCACGGTTAGTCTAAATCGTAACGAAAACGGAGTCGAAGTGCTGAACAGAACACGTATGGCTAATCGACAGCAATGGAACTCAATTTATAGTCGTTAGGTAGAGTAAAAAACTAGTGGCACTAGTGCAACTAGTGTCATTGATGTGTGAAATAATGAATAAGCAAAATATCCTCGTATTTCTGTTTTCGATTAATATATATCAAGAACCGTCGATATATATCATGAATCCTACGTGTAAGGTGCTTTTTCCTTACATACCTATAATAATAATATAATAAAGTTTAATTGCTAAATTATGTACACAATGAGACATCACCAATATTAAATAATAATAATATAAAACCGTAGAAATAAAATCTGCGGTTATGGGACTGTCCTTAAAATTTAAAATTAATTAGGACAAGAAGCACATGGAAAGAATCGCATCTTTTTCTTATATTGCAAGATATAAAAGACGTGACATTTCTATCTTAAATAATTTCTAAACGGTGCAAAAGAATACTAGACAAAAGAATATTTTATGCAAAAATAGCGTACAATTCGATAATACAAAAATTGTAACAAACCAAATTTCCAAAACGATTATTTTTTTGTTAAAATTTTAAAATCACCTTATATTTTGTTATTTTAGGCTTTTGCAATGCAGAGAAATATTCAATTTCATTTTCATGTTTGTATGTGTGTATTACTGTATTATAAAAAAATTTCATTTATAAAATAAATTAAAAAATGTTAAATTATGAAATAAATTAATTTTAAAAGTCATAAGATTCAAAAAGGTTTGATGTGCGTAACATATACATATGCGTAACAATATTACATATATTTATGTCCAGTCATCTAAATATAGGCAATCAGTAATTTATTTCATATACGAAGTCGATCGTTAAAGCCGAACACATCACATAATAATTACTACATGACAAGTGGAAATTACGCAATATGCAATAGTCCTTGCACTAAATAATTTCCAAGGAATCATACGTATATATATAATAAAAACGAAATATCACTCAAGAAATCACTACTCCAAAATCTTTTGAGCCAACTTTCTTTCCAGCATCTTTATAATGTCATATAATAAATTACGAACATATGAGGAGAGGAAGATACATATAAAATAAAACTGTAATTTATTATTTAACCTCTTTATTATAATAAATTTAATTTATATCATATTTAATTAATTTTGTAATAAGTCTATATTCTCCCATGTAGCGAGTGCACAAACCCAGGCAGAACAGAAAATCATGTGACATCAAAATGACAAGAAAATGACCAAATCATGGTGAAAAAAATGAATTTCCTTCATCATTTTGATGTCATTATGATATTCTACTATGTTATATTCTACTATCCCAGACAGCACATATGTCCAAAACTGGGACATAAGACGTCTTTAAGGCATTTTTAAATCGTCTTTAAAATGTCTGAAAATAAGACATCTTTAAGTCGTGTTAAAGACGTCTTATGTCCCAGTTTTGAATATTGTGCTGTCTGGGATATTCTACTTGAGCAATTTCTATATTTCACATATATTGCTGCAATTTTTCATTTTTAATAGCTTTTATTACTGAAAGCAGCATAAATTGCTGTAGCTCAGTGTAAGTGCGTCAGAAAAAGATCAATTAGAGAGAGATAGTGAATGTATCCTCTCATAGAATTTTGATAAAATCGCTCTCACAACTCTTATTAGAGGATATCTATGTATGTGTAACTCGCCATGCCATCTAGTAGCACAAAAGCGCGGAAAGTTATAATGAACAGACCTTATACCGCACCAGTGTTGTGATCTGACAAATCTGTATAGATTTGTTAGATGCATTAAATAATTAAGCATTTAAATAATAAAATGGGTATGGAAAATAAATTAAATGATGTTAAAGAACGACCGTATCGTATAAATAAACATAACGTTTTAACATATGATCAAGAAAAAAACAATCCTTGTTATAAGGTATTGGAATCATTTGTAAGGTTTGGTTGTCACTGTTAAACTGACTGCACTACTATATGCATTAGTTCTCTTTTCTTCTTTTTTTCAAATTTCAATTGTATATACTTTTTTGAGTTACGAAAATATATACTAGTTCAACAATAAAAAAATAAATCTATATTAAATAAATATAATTATTTACTGGATAATTTTGTTACATGATAAACATGATACTTCTATCTATACCCTTTATGATTGCGCAAGGTGGAACAAATGTGTGTGCATATATGCTGATACTTAGAGTAAAAATAAAGAATAGAAATATATAAAAAGTATAGATAGACAAAATGGAGCTTTTATAATTTTATAGTAATTATGTTCTTTTTTCAGGAACAAATCTTATCTTTGAAATGTTTAGACTCCCATCAGAATGATCGCAATGTATGTGATTTGTACTTTACCAATTATAAAAACTGTAGGAGATTTTGGGTGATTTCAATATAAGATATATTTATGTACACACATAGTTTGTTACCTCAATTTAAAAGATATTTTTGTTTTTAGGCCACTGTGCAGCGTGAACGCAAGTTAAAAAAGATCGAACCATATTTACCACCAATAGAGGAACGTGCAAAGATAAAGGCTGATTACCTAAATTCTAGATGATATTAAGTACATATACAAACCTTACTTTGTAAAAATATCTTTTATTTTATGTCACTTTAGATATATTTTAGATCTTTGGATATATCGCTATCTCAATAATACACTATAATATATTGTGTACATAGTATAACTAAGCACTGGTGAAAAATTTATTAAACTCCCATTTGAAAAAGAAAAAAATTGAAATATTAAATGAAGCATTAAATGAATCATGCTTTTTGAGCTTCTTGTACAATCAGTCTGAATATATTTTATTTTACATACTGGAAGAATATCTTTTGAATTATTTTATATTTATAACAGTAACCAAAACCTGTTTTCAAAGAAAGAGAAAAAATGCTGTCCCAATGTTTCAATCTACCTCATTAGAAACTTGTACTGCAGTTCCTCATGCATGTCATTTGATTAAATTGTTCAATTGATAGTACGTAAACATCTTACTCTTAACACAACATACACTGATATACTCGATTTTCTGTCATATACATGTCATATACATTAATTTCAGCTAAATAAGACTTAGAGTTCTATAAAAACAATTTTATGATTAAAACGAGTATAAATGTGCATAACTATTTATACAGGTTCCAATCATTTACAAAGAAAAGAGAAAAAAACGACAAAAATAAAACAGTTATTATACTATTAGTATATTAATAACGTCCGAGGGACGATACATGTTAAAAACGAAGAGGTGCATTGATAGCCTATCGCTCAACGGATTCTCGGCAGCGTTCAAAGAAAAAGTATTTATACACACATAGTCCAATTTTAAATGAAATAGACATAATAAAAATGGTTTAAAGATCAAATATAAATGCTCTGAATACATTCATTTAACTATCTGTTCGTTTCAGTCGTACATTCCATTTCACTTTATTAATACCTGTGATTCAAATTCTTATTGGCCATTTTTGTCTTTCGTTGATTCTCTACAGTTTCTTTCTTTCTTTCTCTCTCATTGAAATATGCATATATTCTATTGTAAAAATGCACAATAATATAATAAATTATGATATACCAGTATTACACTGCTCAATAATTAATTAGGGAAATAATAAAACTAAGTGTAGCTAATATAAATCACAATTGTGTATGTATACTAAATTCTATAAATATGAAATTAATAGATTAAAATATTGTTAATTTATACAATTAAAAAAAGTTGTACATAGAATTGCACCAAGAGGGAAAATTATATAAAGTTAATTATATATTTGTTTCATATTATCACTTCTTAGAATCAATTACTTTATGTATATATGCCTCTATGTGTGTATATATGTATGTACATATGCATACACACACACACACACACACACACACACACACACATAAAATACATACAAAATGTATTCAATATATATACAAATATATATTGATTTATATCAATATATATTTAATATTTCAAAATTTTCAACATGTTTATATAGTCGTAAGATTTTCAAGTTTTCTTATCTCTAGTATTCCATTTAAACAAATTTAATCAGTAATGCACTTCCCTAATTGTTTCGAGCAGTATATTCATAATAACTGAAATATTTAATCATTAGACTATTTTTGTACAAAGTGTTGGTATGGAGACATTTAGTTAAAAGAATAATAAATTCTTTATCACTATAAATCCTTTCAAGATAACTGCAGCACCCAAATACAAGAAAATAATGAAACTAAAACGAACAGAGCAAGAAGGAAAGAGAAAGAGAGAAAAAGAGAGAAAAGAATAAAAACGGTGATATATAATTATATGTATTGCAACAAGACAACGATCAAGGAGATTCAGGTAATTTTGTTCATCATGACAACATAGGAATTAATAAATCAGTTCGTGATACAATCAAAGGCTTACAAGGCGAAGAAAATTTAAGATGTGATATAATATATAATTACTATTAGAAATACGCGAGATACATAAACTGGTTCTTGATTCTATGATACATATCCAAAGTTTAAAAGCAAAAATTTATGTGCTAACTTATAATGTTCATAGATCGTTAATGATTTTATACGCTAACGACTCGATAAATATTTAAACGTTATATCAAAATTTTTTATGTTAGAACTTTTTTATGTTAGAAAAAAATCTTGTTTTTCTTTTACTTACATAGTTAATCAAATGACTCAATTACTTCATAATTATAAAAGATAAAAAAATTGTCATAAATTCTCTATATCAGATATACAATAGTATATAATAATAAATAAAGTAACACTGTTTCAAATTTCTCTTCCCCCTCTTTTCTCTTCCTATTTACGAACAGCATATTTATATAGTATTTTATATAAACTGTATTTGTTCTAGAAATCGTTTAATCCATAAATATGTTTTGTCATGATAATTAATACCCCTGATAGTTAACTATAATAACAAGTTTATGTATTTTTATGTGTGTCAGATCTTTTCTTCCCGTTTGCCTCTCCCCTCCCTCTCCCTCTCTCTCTCTCTCGACCTTGATCTTTAGATATCTTTTTATATCTTGCGGTCTCTTCGTTTTTCTAACACGTATCGTCGGCAAGTAGTCATTCGGAATGATCCTTTATAGAGAACGTTTGAATGCGGAAATGGCGGCACATTTGACGTACCTGAAATTAAGAGATTATTAATGTACCTGGGATTATTAATATATTCGTCGTGATGTTATTACAGGCATATTTTTCTCAGCTGTACTTTTTATCCTCTCGATTTTTATTAAATTGTCAAATTGTATATTTCCTTTTTATTTTCGTATAATATAGTGATTAGTTGTTAAAACAAACAAAAAGTATACTGTATTGAACTTACCACACAAGCACCATAATGAACATGTGACAGCAGGGCTACTATAGAGACTATATACATAGATTCTAAATCTACAGTAGGCAAAATAAACGAAAAGATGGCAGCTACTGCGACAGGTAATAGTATCCATGGTAACATCTCGCATCTAGTGTTGCTCATTTGCGACACGATTAGTCGGCACTGTAACACAGAACAAAATCATCAAAATGCAATAAAATCAATATAAATGTGTTTGAATAACTTACACATATATTGGAAAAAATAGTGCCAATGCAGAAGTATATTATTCTTGGATCCTGCTCTAAAATATTGTTTGGAGAGTGCATTATCCAGATCGTTGAAATCGCAAAGAACAAAATCAAAGGCACTAAAGGTCTTATTGCCTCCGGGAATGTACGCATCTTGCCAGTTTTATCCCTGTATGATCTGTAAGATATTTCATATTAATGTTTCAAACTGTACAATTATTAGATCTATGTAAAATGGTATAATTTGACAAAATGCACTTACTTGTATATGTTCCAAAGAACAACTGGTAAGTTTGAAACAAGTGCACTAACATAAAACAACATTTCAAACATTATCCCTGCCGACACACCACCTGGCAATTCAAATTTCCAGGCTTCATGTCCACCTATGCTGGTAAGAGTAAATACTATGACAGTTGCCTATAAAACCAACAAAAAGGCTGATATAAATCTTTATAGTTGGTAAAATTGATGAAATTTTATCTTAATTGATGAGAATATTGTTGATTCAATGATAAGATTATTTTTTCTCTCTTCAGTCTTTTACGTAAAATTCTTTTATCTTAAATATTATATCACATATTATATAACAAAATTATTCGATAAATATATTCTTTTTACAATAAAACTTCATCCAATTTGCTTGATGCAAAAAGAAACATTTAATATGAGAAACATATTTCTAGTGTTATAATTAATTAAAAAATTTAAACTTTTTGAAGCAAACTTACTAGCATGGAAGCATCATATCCCCAAGGAAGAAACAACACACCTGTGTTATATTTCTCCCAATGACTCAGATAGAAATTAATGAAAACATTCCACAATACAAAGTACATTCGTAAAGGTGAGACACTATGGTCTGTTCTGCCAAATACAGAGTACATACACACAGTGATCAACATAGCTGTCCAGCTATCTAAACCATGGTCAAACAACTCTCCCAAAGGACCAGATGTTTGCGTACGTCTTGCTTGCTTTCCATCTATCCCATCTGAAATTTAAAGAATATTAATAGAAATTTTAATTTATCAAGTTTTATTATCTAATAAGCAATTATTGTTAATTTATTATCTTTACTGTTAATAAAACAATAATTTATGACATTAACATAGATAAATATTATGAAATTTAATATATTTTTGTTTCAGAATTAAGAAGATAACATATATTAAGATTATAGAGACTTAATGTCTCAAAAATATCATCAAAAGTAACCAACCTGTTTTGTTTTTTATCTCTAGAATATAGTGTTAATGTTTGGTCAAATATTTTTGAGACATCCTGTATATCTATATTAAATACACGTACCAAGCGTATATGCCATAAAAATGTTAAAAGCAGCTAGAGCAAAGACCCATCGTGGTATTGGAGGATACTGCGGTTTGTCATCACTGGACGCATAAAAATAGTAATCATAACTTGCAAACAATATGAAGTTTAACACAGTAAAAAGAAATCCAGAAAAAGTTAGTACATTTGGAGCAACCCATTTTGGACAAAACTGAAACAAGACAATTAGTATTTACAATAAATATTATGATACTACCATCATACAGTACTATAGAATATTAGTCCAAAATAAAAATATCGTTTTTATCAATCTATTAATAATTATTCTGTCACTCAATAAGTCAAGATTTGTACCTGTACTACTTTGTTCCAGAAAGGGTGCATAACATACACGCTCAGAGGACTTGTATCCAGAGAGCTATACTAAAATCAAATAATCTATTATGAGTCACATAATAACTGAATGTACTTCGGAATAAAGTATTTACTTATAAATTATCTATCCACAATTGAAACATATATATTTATAAACTTTTACAATTAATATTCATTGATACCGGACGCACTTACTTTATAACTCTCGAATCCCGTCAGATGTTCCTCCGTCAAATATTCCACTTCGAGTTTAAGCTTGCGATGCATCTTGAAACACGAAAATCTAACCACTATACAATCTGTACTTCTCCAGGATTATTATTAACCATGTATTTACACGGCTTGCGTGATAGGAAAAGTGCCGGTTAACAAGAAACGTATAATATTATATTAACGTATAATATTAATGAAAAGCTTTAATTTCCTCGTATATATATATCTCCTTTTTCTATTTATATAGTCCGCAAAACACTACTTATTACATCAATTCATAATGTATACATCGTGAAAAATTCTACGCACGACTAGTATCATAAACACAAGAGTCTCGGGTGATTTTCACTTGACCTAACGTTGTACACGAATGAGTCGACAGTACGGCAAACGGCAAGTCGAATTACACTTTGATACAATATGATGAATTACTCATATATTATATATGTATGCATATCATATAATTTTGATTTTTGCACGACGCACGTACATATGCAGACGTACACACAAATGCAGACGTATATGCATGCGTAATGTGTAATATTTTTTTATACACAAGAAACCCGCGCGATATACCGATCCGATTTAACTATCCACGCGCTCGCTGTTTAAACGATCGAGGCAAAAAAGAACTGCGTCATTAAACTCGGTTCTTCACAGATGGCAGTATGAATTGATGTGGTGGATTTACACAAGTGATCCTCTATGACATTAGGGCAAATTTTTATGAGATTAACTTTTTAACTTTAAAAAAATTATTAACAGCGCTGAAAATCTACGTAGTATACGTAATATGAACTATAGCTTTTCAGCGCTGGCGGTAAACATTGGAACGCAGCCTTTATAATAAAATTGAATTTGAACTTTTGATAAAAATGTAAGTATTCTTATTCTGTGGCACACTTTGATCGCATATGTATGCAAGATTCAAGTGTAAAAATTGAAATGCATATTAATTTCAATATTTATAAAAAAAAGACAATATATATATTACCAGCAAATTCGTCATCTCGGTGATATAATTTCAAATGATCCATCCAATTGACGTTTCTCTTGCTTCTTTGCTCGTTAGATGTCGCAACTACCGCGCGCCGCAGCTGTGCGCATCAACTTCGGACCGTTTCGAACACGGTCAGCAGCGCTGTATAATGATTTTGTTAGATTAGACGCTAAAATGATGATTATTTAGGTTAGATTGCACAATAAATCGTCTAGTTCGTATGTAATAATTGACTGAGATATTGTTATGGCTTCCTTGGTCGCGGATTACGGCACTTCCGGCTCGGATAGCGAGACGAACGACGACAACGTTTCGGACAATATCAATGATGACTTGTAAGTGTCATTTTAAACCATTTAGGCTAATGAGCGCTGTCTGCTTCAATTCTCTTTTTGACGCTCTTCATTTCGACGCGAATTATAACCTAACCTAACCTTTTGGGACTCGTTAAATGTCGGCTTTTTTTGCAACACTCGCGCCTCCCACATTTTTCGCACTTCTGGCTTCTGGTTCTGATTTTTTCTCTTTCTGTGAAGTATCAACACATGCATCTACTATATCTGATTCCATTCTTATCTTCTACAGCACGTTTCCTGCAATTCAAGCGCATGTTATTTTATATTTATCATGATTCTATGTGTATATGTATTTACATCCTAACATTGTCATGTTGACACTGGACTGCTTATACATATACTATTGTTGAACATTGATTTGAGTTTAAGCAACTGATATCTACGTGCAGAATTCAGCTTGTTCTTTGTAATCTGATATTGCCTCACCATTAGCTTTAAGGAGGACGAGAAGGAAATAGAACAGATAAAAGAAAATGAAGAAAAGGAAGAAGCAGAAGAATCGAAGGGAAACAATAGTGAGGACAAGGAGGATGACAATAGCTACTTAGTAAGAACAACCGAACCAGCTTCCAGCGAAAAACTTCCATTGCCAACACCAGATTTCGACAGTGCAACTACGTTGCTGCGCACATCAGTGTTTTCGAATCCATTTGTGGAAGCGGAACGAGCAAAGAGCGCGATATTGGAGAAACATGTTAAGATGACACCTACATTGGATGACACTAAGACTATCAATGGCCGCAAGATCTGCTGGAATTACCGGAAAGGCCGTTGCCGTTTCGGCCACAATTGCGCTTTCGCTCACGACTCAGATTTGCATCGTAGCGCAGCTGAGTTAGAAGTGTTGCGTGCACCCCAAGAGACACTCGTCTGCCAAACGCGATATAATGGTCAGCAACAATGGCAGCAGCAGCAACAGCAGCAGCAATCGCCAAACGACGCTGGTGACGATGAAAACGATGAAGTAGATCAGGAGAATAATCAAACAGGCAACAACAGAAAACGTAAGAAGAGGCCTGGTCTCAGTCAATGGTTGCTTCCCAGCAAAAGGGTCTTCAAACTGTACAAAGCACAACAAACCAAAACTGTAGATGAATACTGTTAGTAATCTGATGAGAAGGGAAATAGAAAGGCAAATAGAAGGAAAATTCAGATGGTTAACATCAAGAAACGTATAAAAATATTCAGTCACATTGAATTATTGCTTCCCAATAAGAGGGTCTTCAAGCTGTACAAAGCGCAACAAACCAAAAGTGTCGCTAGATAGGTAGCATTAAGTAGTCTCGACACGCGAGAAAGAGGAGAGTGCAGGAAGAATGGTTTAAGAAGGTTAAATGGAGGAAAAGGCGAATATAAGTATTATTTGTTTAACATAGCAACGAAAAAGCATTAAGCGGAGCTCGTAAAAGCTTTTAATGCGGGCTTTAAAACTCCAAAAAATAAGTATAACAATTTGAAGATTGTAAAGAAGAAAAATAACTCCGATTTATGCTTCCATTGCGAACGAACTTGCGATGTATAGAATAGAGAGACACACAGGGACTTCTATAAATTAGGTCACTAACAGAGATGTCCAAGGGTGAAGAAGTCCGGGCGAGTTTTATGATCATCACGGTACCACAAGTTATGTAAAATATTCTGTAAAAGTAAATAGGAATTATTTTCGAGAAGTTGGTCTCGAAGACATTTAAACGAGAAATGTTATTTGATGTACAAAGCGTTGGAATTTTCGCTTTTGCAATGCAAGAGCGGACATGGTGTCTTCTCGTTATTACACGTTTTCCCAATAATTAATTCTCCGTTAATATAAAAATGTCAGAAAATTTGATTATATTGACAGAGAATATCGCGGCAAGACTAATGACCGTAATTATGTAATTTATAGTCTTTTATGATTATATTTTCATTGGTTGTATATATTGATATATATTAATTATATATCATATTTATATCATCGACTGTATACCTAGTAACACACGGCACTTCCATGCGTCCCCGCAAAACTTAGAATTAAGCCAAACGTGATTATATTTCTCTGTTTTCATGAGATAGATTTTTATTTTACCTTTTCATATGTTGCGGTCGACGCAAATCCGATATTCTGTTAGATTTAATTAGACAAAATAATTTGTAAATGAAACTATTAATAATTTAAAATCGATAATTCACTAATAAAGAAAATGTTACATTTTCTTTATTTTCGTAATAGAGGTGAAAATAAGAGAGGATCATTGATAAATTGTAAACTTAGTCAAGTGGCTAGTTTTCGAAGAATCACCTATCGATACGTTAGTTGATCTATTAACGGAGAAAACAGCAAATGATTATACTAACAAGTTGAAAGAGTTACGATTGTGTGATAAAACAAATTCGATATCTTATAAAGATCCAATTGCAATAATCTGTAAATACTGTCGAAGGTGCCGAAGAGCCATTTCTATTAACACACTAATCTATTACTATAATTACTTATTCGTAAATAAGTAATTAAAGAAATATGTTAATAAATTTAGAATGTTCATTGATAGATCGAAAGTTTACGCAACTCCATCTAGTAGTTGAAAAATATTTCACTGATGAGCCGATCGTCTGTTGATGAAAGAAATGATGATTAATTACAGTAACCGGTCGAAATAGAAAAGTTATTATTAAAAGTTTATCGAAATGTCGCGATTCTAGAAAAAAATTTCTCGGGCTTCCGAGGATATCAAAAAGGTTGCCAATAAACGATTTAACAATACTGTAAGGCTGTAAGGTTTTAATTTGCATCTCCTTTGATATCCCTTTAATAACATATTCGTAATAAATTTATATGTTATTTTCTTCAGATTTTTTTGATGCTGTTCTATATCTTTTTAACTTTTTTTTTATGGTTTTCCTGACGGATTTTGGAAATGAGCATTTTGCTTGTCAGAGAGATCAATTTTTCTACTTAATAGTCTCATGCAGGTTTAAGAGCACAATCGCTGTCAAAACACAAGAGACACAATATGTACATTTCTTTCTTTTTTTTTTTTATTTTAGACGTTCATGTCTGTGGGTGTACAAGATTTGTTTGCTTTTCAGATTCATCATACGTGTGAACCGCGAGTGCGCGCGTCGACTCACTATTGCATTCTCTCGATTGAAAATATAGATTTTCGCGTTTATACGTACATATATATATATATTTTTTATATGTATATACATATATATTTCTTTGTTATTTTTTTCTCTATTTCCGCGAATGAACGTTTCACAGGCACTTCGTCTCTAAACTGTGGCGAAATTTGCTTGATCAGTTGTGTTCGGCGCGTAGAAAATGCGTGGAGCGACACGTAGTGCGTCGAAGTATCATCACAAAAATCCATGTATATTCATGGACAAAAAATATGCAAGAAGATATCGCGATCATCGTTTCTTTCGGTTTTCATCATTTCTCTTTTCTGTCTCTCTCGTTCTTTCTCCTAATCACTTGCAGCAACGTTCGTCTTGAAAATCTTCAATTACAAAACTGAACTCGAGCGAACAAGAGGCCGGCACAAGACAAATGCAGAATAACGATACGAAAAACTAGAAGAATTTTGTCGTCATAAAATTTATAGATAGAAATGTTTCGTTCTACTTTGTAAGCATCTGAACTATAATATATAGAAATTAATATATATAAGAAAAAAAAGAACATTTTTCCTTATTCTAGCGTTTCAAGAGCGACTCCCGCAATACAGTGACAAAGATTGAATATTTCAAAAGAGTTCTCCAAGAATAGACTCTTGAAATGGATATTAACGGGAGAGGCTGTCGTCTTTTTGAAAAGTTTCCGTTAATTTCTTATAACAACGTTGGCACGACGTTTGCTCGAGTTTGATTCTGTAAGATCTTCACTTGTGACTATATATATCGATAACGCGTATTACAATCACAGAAGGTAAATTCGACGAAAAACAATCGCGCCGCGTTATATACATTTAACTTAATTACACCTACTAACACAGGACAAGCACCTATTATTAAGTACTGATACGTTCGATCATTAAATGTTCGCCCTAATTATAATAATCGTCAGATCGTTCTACGCTGTTGCACACATGTCTTTTTTTCTCGAATTGAGTTATCAGTTCTTAACTATTCGAAAGTAGGAACTTGTTTGCATACTGCAAAAATGAAATTTGCACGAATTCCGGAGAATCATGCTTCATGGTACGATACGGAGTACTCGATCCCCTCTTAAGAACATAAAAAATCGCTAAAATCAGTTGCACCTTGAACATGTTCTCAAAAGCAACAAAAAATCATGATGTAAATCAATATATAGTTTGTAACATAAAATACAAAAAAAAATACTCAAAAGAGGAAAATACATCAAAACAAAAAAGTTTTCAACGATGACACGATGAAAATATTGTTCTAAAATAGATTATTAGACAATACTCTTACAAAAACATTTCTAGTAAAAAAAAGAAGTAATTTTCCTTTGTCCAAAAATATTTTGCTGTTTCTTGTGAATATTTTTTTTACAAGAATATCATGTACGTTTTCTTTTTTGAATTATATCACTTTCAATCTTTCATTCCAATTGAATAAAAAATTTTCTTAAAATTTACGATTTGAATAATTCAACAGTAAAAATTGAAAATGAGGGGAAATAACTACTACCATCAGTAGAACATACACATCATCATATATCCGATAACAATGCTTAAAAAATAGAGAATCGAATTCAAGAATTTAAAATCATTTTCCGAGGCTTAATACTAATTGTAATTAATACTTATACTTTATATAAAATAAGATAATATATTGATAAGAGTTAAAATCTGATAACTCATTTGAAACCTCAGTTTCGACACCGATTTATCGTACGCATTTTATGTATAACGCGAAATACTCTATGATCGTCGAAATATAATATCCTTAAATCTCCCGACGTCCCTTTTTTCGCGTAACATTAAGTACATTGAAGAGATGTCTAAATTCTAATGCAGGCTGTGTGTGTGTGTGTGTGTGTGTGAAGGCTCTTATATATAATATATAATCGAAAAACACAGAAATGATTGTGTGAGAGCCTAACATGTAGTTCTTAACGTTTGTGAAATTATAAAGTCAAATATCATAATCGTAATATCAAAGCATATTTCTCGATCGTACGTCTAAATATTTTTGTTTTCGATAGATTTAGATCCGAGAAAACTTCGACAATGTTGAAAAGATTAATTCGCCCAATATTTTACATACTGACCCAAAGAATTACATTAAATTGGATTACATATTAAATTTGCGTATTAAAATAAAATATAAATAGCGAAAAAAAGATTGCCGAGAAATATTGCTAAGCAATTTCTTTTTCAAACGACTTACTTAATGATATGATAACGAATAATGTGTCGTGATTGCGGTGCGAGTGAGGTACAAGATGTTAAAATATTATGCGCAGAAACACTAAGGATTAACAGAGGTTCGAAACCAACAGAAATTTATCTTGAGTGTTCGATACGAAATTACGAATGCTCTTTCTGATATTCAATCTAGTTTCATACTTATCTTGATTTCTTCTAAAGAACAATAAAATTATCCTTGTGTTATCAGTGATTTTGCATTGTCAATGACTTAGACTATAGTTAAACTATACTCGGCTCTTGACTACCGCGCTTCGCAGGCCTGCATTGAACATTGCACCGAAGTTCACATTGAACCTCAACGAATTAAGTTACATGCTACTCGCTACATACTTCTTCTCTTACTTAATTTAAGATTTATCGCAAGATTTTTTGGTATCTTAACAGAATATATCAAATCTCTTAACAGAAGGTCTAATAGTACATATAAAAATGTTGCGATGAAAAATTTCTTATCCAAGGACTGTTTGAGAAATCGATCATTGAAATACATTGCAAGAATTTCATCGCACTTGACGAAAACTCGCGAAGTGCACTCTGAATGTTTCGATCGTTTCAGGTTTCGGGTATCAGGTTCAACGGAGGTCTCGAAGAGATCGGTTATGGTACTTGCCAAAGAGATCTCTTAAATACGGCATGCAAGCCCGCTTAAAAAATAGACGTTATCTATGTGAGATTTCAGGTTTATCGGTTACTAATAGTTGCTACTTTAATCCTGGTTAAATACTCGTGAAATACTCCAGTTACTCTACGACACGCAATAAATGTTTGCGCCGTTTTAAGTACGAATATTATTTTTGCCGAGTATTATTATACTCGCGATACGTTGAGTTGTAACTGCAATCGTCACTTTCTTCCGAAACCATCAAGGTAAAGTTTGTACTAAATGTAATAATTCAAGTCTCATCTCGATTCGTATGATTCATTAGCCTCAGAGTTCCTCTTAACGAAAAATAGACGTTCGAGAAAAAGAAAAAATATCCACTCGAAGCAACGTCGAAGTTTACTTTAGGATATCTACCCTTCTAGCAGTAACAGCAGTCCTCACGAATACTACTCCTAACCAGGATTAAAATTCAGATAATCCGTCAGTGCTAATAGAAGGTAGGTCCGTCTACGCGTTTGCGATTACTCGAGCGGTTCGCTAGATCTCTTTCTCTCTCCCTTTTTTTTCTTTATTGCCATCTAAAATTTCCTGCGCATCTATCGCGTTGGTTAATGCATTATGTCCTCGAATCTGTTCTTCTGCGGCTCGTCGATCTTCAATTTCCGCAGACTGTCATCCAGTATCGCAGTCGAGTCGCCGTTCACATTGTACCGCTCAGCGTGCGTCGCTTTACCGTTCGGCAGCCCATTCTGCATGCCGTTGATGCCACTGACACCATTGACATTGTTAACAATGCCGTTACTGATCGCGTCGGAGGCGTTAGTTTCAGCTTTGCCATGCCCGTCGAACCCGTTACTCTGTGCTTCTGCCGTCAGGATCATTTTTGATGGCGAGAGACTAAAGATCTCCGACGTTAGTGAATCATATTGCATGGTGCCTGCAATGTTTATTATTACTCTAATAAGAATATCGATATTAAATATATGTATATATACAGGGTGTCCCATTTTAATCCGGCCGGCTGAATAAAATTTGAGGATGATATTTTCCAGAAAAAAATGTCAGACAAATGTTGCTCAGTTCTAGGGGACATTCGATGCCATCAATAATTTTGACCTCGGGTGAAGGGTTCAAGGTCATTCAAGGTCAACTTTTTTTTTTCTTAAATGGGAACCCCTATTTTTCACATCGGCAATCGATTCTACGTAAAAAAAAAAAAAAAAATGAAACTTTTGTCTGAAGCATTTTTTTTTTATAACGCAAACTAATTTCACTTATTCAGCCTCCAAAATTGAAATTTTCAAACTTTCTGAATTTTTTACTCGAGAATGGTGGGGTTTGGGGGGAAATTGTAGAAGACAAAAAGTTCTTGGAATGCTGCAAGGAATTCACTCGAATTTTCGCATGCCGAGGGTACTGGACATGATGAGATAAAAGATTTTTTCCAAACATTGGTGGAAAAAAGTGCACGATCAACTATGCGAAAATTCGAGTGAATTCTTGCAGCATTCAAGAACATTGTCTTCTGCAATTTCCCAATCTTACATTTTTTACGTAGAAATCGATTGCCGATTTGCCGATGTGAAAAAATAGGGGTTCCCATTTAAGAAAAAAAAAAGTGGACCTTGAATGACCTTGAACCCTTCATCCGAGGTCAAAATTATTGATGGCATCGAATGTCCCCCTTAGAACTGAGCAACATTTGTCTGACATTTTTTTCTGGAAAATATCATCCTCGAATTTTATTCAGCCGGCCGGATTAAAATGGGACACCCTGTATATATATATATATATATATATATATATATATATGTATATATATATATATATAATCTAACGTCCTATACAGCAAATATCTATCAAAACATCTCCACTCATGCATTATGAATGGAGATGTTAAATGTATAATAAAAAAGTATTCATAAAGTCATTAATCGTCAATCAAGATACGGTACCGTTTAAGTTGTGGCAGTATTTATTGGTGTTATTCCACTCTTCACGCAAACTGAGATTGAACATGCTGTAATCCGGATTGCCGGTGACTTCCTTCACGATTGTCAGGAATTGTGGCAGGATATTTTTCAGTTCGTTACCTGTCAGCGCCGTGTAAGTCTCTAGCAACATCAAACCTCGACACCTGGCAACAAATGTGAATTTACTTTTACTTTCTTTTCGTTCAATTTTATTCGCTCTCTTCCAATCACAGAGGCTATCTTACCTGGGATGCGCCGGTTCCCTGTAAATGTCCAACTGGAAATACTGATTATTGATGAGGAAGCAGCGGCGACGTTTGAAAATGGTGAAATGTGAGTCGTCGCGCTGGGATAGCATGTTCAGGTAGTCCCGATGTGTCAGTTGAGTCTTTACCTCGATTACTTGGCCGCATATCTTCGGTCGACGAATTGTATGGATGTACGACCAGTGACCTGGGGAGAACAAAAACAAAAATTACATTACTCCGTTGGAATCTTTGCCCGACGCGATGTTCAGTCAGCCAATCACGCGCAGTTTAATTTCACCAATTTTGCGATATTTTATAGTATCTTTGACCATCGAAAAATATTATTTGTAATAACTACTGTATCAAATTGATCAAGTTGATGCGGCACAACGCACGGAATTGTTAAAAACCGGAGAGAGCGTGCTTACCTTTCTGGCCGCGCTTACGCAGACGCGCTTGCATCTTAGGATTGTTGCTCTGGAGGTAGTTGTGCACGACGTCGAAGTCCTGGAAGGGCGGGAACTTGTCGTCCGCCGGCAACGGCGCCTTGACGAGGAACTTGACCTTGCGACTGCTAGCACGCAGTCGATCACCCGTATCGATACCCAATTTCTGGCACACACACTCAATCATCCGACAGATCTTGGACTCGAAATCTTGTGAATTGTCGATCACATCAAAGTACGGATGACCGACCCAGGAGGCCGCAGCCTTGTAGTCGAGTTCGCGAGCGAGCTCTACGCCTTCTGAACGACATGCGTGCTCCTCGGTGGAGTAGAACTCCTCGGCGCCGTTCGCTGCAGATACCATGTGGATAATTTGGTTGTACCTGTTGAGTAGACAGTGTTATTACAATTGGAGAGGAGAAAAAGCATCGGTAGTAATTTATCACACGAAGAGGCATTTAGTATTTCAAAGAAGAATTTTGAATATATTCTTTACATCGCGATTTTTTTAAAAGACTATCGTGATTTATCTTTGTTTCTGATTTTTTCCAACTCGATGACGTTGATCTAAAAAAAGTAGAAAATCTCGTTACGCAAGCTTCATTTTGCGTTACTCGATCAATGCAATCCAGATCGCGGCAAGAAATACAATACATATTTATATTTATGTGAATACGACGCACGTGATTACCAAGTAAAATGTTCACGCTCCCTCGGCGTGTATCATAAGAACGCAGCTTGTTTATTCAATGTTAACGAAAGAATATGATTTTTGCTCCGCGAATATTGACAGTTTCTTCCAGTACTCGATTTCTGCTAATACCTGTTGTCCCTAAGCTCAACGTTGTTCCATCCGTTGGAGGCCATCATCAGTTCCCACTTGTCCTTCGAGATAACTAAAAATTTTGTCTTTAAGTCTTTCCGTGTAAAAGCGAAAGATTCAACAAGACAGATCTTTGAATGCAAAACACAGAGTAAGGTCAAATACGATTTCAATTTAAACTCGTATAGCGAGAATGCATTTAAACAAATTACAAGGTATCGAGCATAAGTTATTTTCTGCATAGCTATTCTCAGATTTATTTTCAAATATTTATACTCACAAGCGGAAGCATCCATCGCGCCGCGATCGCAGATGATCAAGCAATTCCTCGAGCAGCTCTCACCGAGTTGGAAGAAGGTGTTTTCTATCTGCAGCATCGTGCGCAGGAGATTCTCCTGAAATTTGAACGCTGCAACACACAGGTGAGAAAGCACGATGTTATAAAATTAACAAATTTTGATCTGACTCAAAATGTTACTTCGAGGAGAGGATTCGGGTTTTAACTCGCTAAGCGCGCTAGCGTAAATAATCGCATTGCTGATCTTCGTAGAGGGAAAATGAAGCAGCCTCGATCTCTTAGGAAATAAAGCTCTAGGAAGATTTAGCTCGGAAAATCTCCTTGAAACGACAATCGCGGAATTAATTATGGAGGTAAGTTATTGAGAGGTAAAAAGAGAGACGACGTGGGAGTCTGGGAAATTTGATAATCTTTCGGAATTACGAATAAAAATACTGATTACACGTCGCGAAGCTGATTTGTGGGACGAGTCGGGGATTTAATTGCGAATTATATATCGGTGAGATTCCCCCCATTTGACGCGTTTTTCGTTATTCATACTCGTCGTCGACTTTCGGCAAACTCGTGCAGCGAGTCTCCGTGCGACGCGTGTTTCCCATTTTCTTCGCACGAAACATTTCACCGATCAGTTCCCATAGATCTGATCAACAAGTGGGTCAGTTTCTAGCAGCAGCGGGTCCTAGCACGAATGCAAACGTCTAAACTCAGCATTTCTTGATCCAAAGCAGCGGCCAGTTTGAAGGGTGGATCGGCGTGATATGAGAATCGCCGCGTACACAGGCGATTGCGCGCAAAGCGAGAAACGCTGTACGTATTACTGCCGTATCACTCGTTGTGCCACGAATTCCAGCCTAGCGCGATAACGAACAACTCACCCACACCAGAATCGACCTCCAGGATATCCGGCCATCTCGCCTCGCCCTCGCAGGAGTCGTTCTTACGAATTAGGCGCGGGAAGGACTTTGAGCGCGAAAGACAAGGACTCTCTGCTAGAACCAACCGATCTTGTTGACGCGATCTTGTCGTTGAATCTCTCTTCGTCGCCACGACTCGAAAGAAGAATACTCGCGTTTCCCCCCAGTGGCAGGGGGAGTCAAACGAGTGGAGGCAAGCGGAAACTATTTTGACGCGAGACTTCGAGTTTGAGAATATTGAAGAATTTCTCGTATCAAAAGGAACCCATTTCCCAACTTTGCCGATCACAAGGACTCGTTTGCATTCCCGCCGCAGTTTTTTAATTCTGCCAATATTTTGTGGGATTCAGAATTCGCAAGTAGCCGTATTGCAGACGGACTAATCTCTAATATCGTTGACATTGATGGGGTATATAATAACCACACGTGTCCGCGTCTTTTGCAAACGTCAACGTTTTTCTTTCTCGCACGATCGTATTTCAAGCCGTATGAGATACAGGAGATGAGAGTCTCCGCGGAGAGACGAAAGGAGAGAGGAAACAAGCCGCGGTAAGAGCGATAACGAATCGACAAATTTAGCCCGACTTCTTTCGGCTTGCCGCAAGCGCCGATTCGAGAAAATTTAGCGAGTCGAGGAGAGCGATCCTCGAGAGTTCCACATCGAAGACATATGATCCCGAAGGCTGGAACTTAAATTACGTAATGTACATTTTAAATATGCGAAACGTCGCGTCGTTCGGAATTTAACAAGCTAAATATCCTCTTTTCGTTTGCCGACTGTCGTGACTTTCAGCTAAAAATATGAAAATCTATTTCTATGTGTCGCGTATCCTCTCACACAAAAGCAGGAATCTTTTATTTTTCGCTTCAGCTGACACGTTTGGTGTGTATATGTATGTATGTGTGTGTGTGTGTGTGTGTGTGTGTGTGTGTGTATGCGTGCGTGCGTGCGCGCGCGTATGTGTGGGACGAGCGAACGAAATTTAAAAATTTCACCGGACACCGGACAGATAATTCGCGCGATAAAAAGAGCTGGCCATACAAAATTTGACGGAAAGCCGCCTAATTATTCTCGTGGTAATTACGCGGAACGATAAACGTGCGCACAAGCATAAACGTAAACGAGGAAGCCTGATATTCGTTTCCGTTCAAGGGCGACCTGATTAAAGCCGCGTGCGCGATCGTCTTACGTAAGGACGAGCGAACGTGTCGAACAACGACGTGTGATGACGATCGCCCACGCGACAAGATATTATTTCAACTTGTTAATATATCATATATCGTATTTAATGGGCAAATAACAGCAAAGCGCGTGCGGCGTGCACGATAATGCGCGTCTCGATGCGCACATGACTTGTGTAATCTTTCTTCAAACATACTCCTCGATATCTAATCTTCGATCACATCGAGATTTTCTCGAGCGCGAGTAACGCGCGCGATGCGTCGTCGGAAAATTATTAATCCGAGAGACTCTTGAAAAGCGACGACGTGTCCGAAATAAAAAAAACTTCATCGAAGAAGCACGTGACAAATCGCTCGAGAATGACGGCGCACGCAGAACGGAGGCGTGCACGTGGGGAGGAAAAGAATAAATCCCGAGAGCATGTATATCGCGATGGAAGACTATCCGAAACGAATGTTCCTCGTGTTGGAGCGTAAGCTGAAACCGCAAGCTTTCTCAAACTACCCTTGGACGATGGCTAAAATCTGTCTTTCGAAGATCGGGCGCGATCGACGCTCTCTCTTTCTCCCTTTTCCTGGGAACTAATCGCTTTCTAATCATAAAAATTTCCTCCCGACGCGAACGTTATTATTCAGGCAAGTCCAACATTTATCTGTTCTCCTGAGTAATTTTCGTCTCAGCGTGCTTGACGCACCGAGTGGACACGTTCTAATGGTTCGGAGAGCCGCGACGAAGTCCTTCGCCACACTTCGCGCAGCGGAAGGCCAAGCCGCTAACGCGTGCATAAGCCAAGAATTTTCGGCGTTACGCAATCGCGCTATTGCACCGAGCGCGGCAAGCTTGCGTGATCCTTTGCTTCTTCTTCCAAACGAAACATGACATCGCTGTCGTTCAAGTTGTGATAAATAAAAGCCATCGCGCGCGTAAATTCTCACGCGGGAATAAATACATGGCGCGTAACGAATCTCGCAGCGGACTGACAGCCGCGTTTTCGGATGGACCGTTTTTGTGCACCGCCGAGATCTTTCATCATTCGCGCGTACGCGCGCCAATTTACATCTGTTATCGAGGCTCTACGTCGTATTTCGCATTATTGTTGCGTTATTTCGTTCGTCTCGCGTGTTCGATTCTGGCGCGACGATCTTCGTGAGATCAGTTTGATTCTTTCTTTTTTTTTTTCTTTTTTTTACCTGACTGTCTCGCAAACAGAGAGGAAGAGACAGGAGGAGAGGGGTATCTCTCGATGAATCTTTTAATTGCGCAAGTGTCTTCTTAATTAATTACATCGATCACAGTGGCGTTAACTCGCTCTTCGATGGAAGGAATCGAAACCGGTACGATCCGGCTGCGGTTTGTCGTGCGCGCCAATTTTCGACAGAATGAATGTAGAGAGATGGTTTACGGGTGGTGATCGCAACGTCAAAATATAATTTCACTGCACGCGCGATTACGTCAATTTCCATAATTGTAAATATCACGTAATTAGAACAGGTTATTACACGGTGCAGACGTGTGTGTGTGTGTGTGTGCGAAATCGAGTTAATACAGACACGAAATGGGATGTCGTTAGAAAGTAAGAATTTCACGTGGGTGGTTGGCGGGAGGATGAGATTGGAAAAGAACGTAAAAGTGCGAGAGAGAAGTAATCTGAGGGCTTACCTTCCTCCGCGTTCAGGTCCGAGAATTTGATACCGCCGCTGAAATGGAAAAAAAGCAGACGGTAGATGAGACATTTGGCATAACAAACGAATACGCTATACAGTGTGTGTACACACGCGACGGAATGTTTATTAATCAACGTTTTTAATCGGTGATAACGACGAGACCAATCGGATAGCATAGCTATTAATATCGATGTATATCGATACCCCTAACGCGTCGCGTGAATTATGAAGTCGAGGGCGTTGACATTTTTTCGAGCGATCTTTACGAAATAACTCACAAAGCTGAATAAAAACTCGAAGGCCCTCGTCCATTTTTGTACAATCTTTACATCGAAAGGTGTATTGCTACACGGAGTTATTTAAATGAAAATGACGCGTTTCGATATTGCGTAAACAGTCTTTCCGTTTTCGCGTAAGTTTATTCAACAAAAGAATACTTATTCTTTTATATTTTTCCTTTGTGCGAATATATATAGGTATACATACAAAATATATATTATTTTACACTCATGCTGTTATCTATAAAAGACAACAAACCCGACTAAGTGGCAAAACGGCGGGGGAAATTCTTTTTTGTAATACCTACCTCAGTAACACAGTGGCGGTCTCGGGGACGCGGAACACCTGAAAAAGAAGGGGAAATACCACCGTTCTATCAAATTCACAACGATAAGAGCCCACCGAAACTAGTTCGTGTGTCGTATCTCTTTCTCCTTTTTTAGAAACCGGAGAGAACCGAGGAGAAATGAGCGCCAGATTTTGGTTTTCTTCTTTTTTTTCATGCAAGATACATGCAAGGCATAACCGCCTTAACTAAGCGCTTGATTGACATAAATTATATAAAAAATAAATTAACATCGAAATATCGAGAGATAATAATTTTCCGTAGTGCGGTAGTTGGATCGCACCGTAAGATTTGCGAACTCGCTTCGACAAGCGATTATGCGCAGGGAGAACATAAAGATTAAAAATCTTTCCATCTCCAGAAATCAAGCCTGAAGCTTGTCGTTTCGGGGGGCTATTATATGACGTAATAGTTACATATACGATAGAGCACAATACGTCGATCACATAACCGCTGAATAGAGCGATGTAAGACGGAACGCGCGAGAGTCGTACGCTCGGAGCGGCAAACGAATGCTCGATGAGAAAACTCGCGACGACTCGACACGCTCTTTCTCTCTCGCGAAAATTTACGGCAAAAAGTCGAAAGATATCTCTTACCTTCCAGCCCATGTTCTCGAAGAAGGTGCACAATCTGGCCTGTCCGGTCGTCTTGCCACCGCATGGTCCTGCAAGCATGAATAAGAGTGTCAAATATACGTGAGAAGTGAGTGGAATGTATAGATAAAAGCAAGAACGTAAACAGAGAGAGTCTCTCAAACACATCGTTGAACGAATGAAGATGCGTCAACGAGAGTCTGCGTGACTATTTATGTATCGAAATAATTTCTTTCTTTTCTTTGACAAGAAGACATTAAAGGAAATGTATTACGCTGCTTGTATCAAAAACGTTCCACCGCCAGAATGACATCATACCAGAATCCTGTCCGCCTGAATAAAAATTCCAACTGTCTGGATAAAACGGTCCACAACGGTACATTACATAGTAATTTACAAAAGAAGCGAATTCTACTTGGCAGGAAGAAAGTGGACAAAAAACAGACGGGAAACGGATACGTAGAACGGATACTGGGCGACCACAGACCCACAAAAATATACTACGAATACAGATATATTGTTTTATGAGTACGGTTTTACGGTAATAGCATGTCGTATCAAGTCGCGTACGTCTTATTTTGTAATATACTACGACTTAAAAAGGAAGAGAAAATAGACGGGACAAAGGTATATACGAAAAGGCAGACAGCAATAAAAGTCAAATTGAATATAATTGATGTGCGTCGACACAGCTGTTAACTCGATGCGATGCATCACGCTTGAGAATGCAGTGACGCATTATTCTCGCTAAGCTCTTTGAACCTAACCCGAAGAGGCCTCAATGATACCCGAAATTACCTTTCTCGACAAAGAAAAAAACGTCAGAGTAGAAAGTTTATACATCCCTAAAGGGACAGACAGATTGACTGAAAGATTCCTTTGTCGCATGTGAAAAAAATGGCAGAGTAGAAAGTTAGTAAGACATCCTAAAGGGACAGACAGACCGACTGAAAGATTCCTTTGTCAAATGTGAAAAAATGGCAGAGTAGAAAGTTAGTACCACGTGCTGAAGGGACAGACAGATTGACCGAAAGATTCCTTTGTCGACCGTGCAAAAATGGTAAAGTAGAAAGTTAATAAGACATCTTAAAGGGACAGACAGATTGACCGAAAGATTCCTTTGTGAAGGAATGTGAAGGTACAACATTTGGAGTAGGTAGAAAAAAATCGAGGCAAGAAAAGTGAAGAAAAGTAAGAAACGTCTCGCAGCGTCTGGCTACGTCACTGCGAGAACGATATTAGTGTTATTAAGCATTATTACTAGAACGAGCATTGTCTTTTCTCCGACTCGGTCGATCGAAAACGTCAGCGCGATCAATCGCGAATAGATTGGTCTCTCTTAATAGCTCACATTCCGCCGGATTTATCACAGCGATAGCGAAGTTACGGCACGTGAGACCAATTACCGAATATATAGCAACTTTAAGCTCGACTAACTTTTTGCAAGATACGTGAATCTTGCAAAACGAACCGGAAGATTCAATCTCATAGGACAAATTCAAGAGAGCTATGTTATATATATAATACCGAATGTCGTCGCTTCGTGAATACGCGATGCACTAGAATATTTTTGAGAGAATCGACTGAAAAACACTTCGATTTTGATAAATGTTTTTTAAAGTACCAGATTTCTCTATCTTTGTTCTGTTGTCGCTTTATACCCGCATTGTACACAAATGATACAGATATGACACAATAGGTTTCTTTCCAAAACGCAGTCGAGAAAAGGTGAAAAGAAGGGTCAGTCAGGTAGCTTGGAAAAAAATTGTTTTTGTGTTATCTTCGAATTCCTTACAAATTCCTGTTGCGCGTTACATGGCGTCATTTATCACTGATAAACTGCTACGTCGTGTGCTACGTCACGCAGGACAATGAATAGAACGTAAGACAGTTCGATAAGTATACATTGATAGTATCAACTAGCGCGTTATCTGCGTGCAGCGCGATACGCTCCTCGACTTCCGATCTCTCTTCGCACTTCTTTGACCGATAGATATTTCGAGAGGGCTTATCAGAACGTGATTGAGAGAAAAAGAAAAGAAAGAATGCCTCACGAGATTCGCGAACCAAACACAACACGACACGAGAAGCGTCTGCAAAACATATGAGCAGAAAATGTTGTCGTGCGTGGCTTCGCGATCTTTAAACGCGCCACGTGTTTAATAGCGGCTTCGCGACGATACCGTATCTTGTTCAATACGACGTTCCGTATCGCATTGACGTTGATTAGACCGTCGCTGATGATTCATGTTATCACGTGCTATCATTGCTATTGTTAAATAGAGTGTGTCGCAGTACTCAATGAGAGAGAATAGTCGGTGATGATTTTAGAGTCGAGGGGTATCGAACGGCCCGAAGGGAAAGTACCAGAGCGTGGGCCGTCACCGCCGGTGATACCCACGTGGCACGTGGAACGTGCTAGAAAGAGAGAAAGACCGCGCGCGCAGCATAGAATAGATAGATCTCTCGAACGAAATATCAGACGACCGCGTTTGGCGCTAAATTTGGGAGCCCGATTCTCGGGCTGTTTCTTCTCTCAGTGTGCTTCGAACGTTATGTCGAAACTTGGCCTGCGTCGGATTTCTCCGCCTGCGAATACTCGGACGAACTCGTGTCTCTCCCCCGCCCGTTCGCGCATTTTAACTTAATCGCACGAGCCGGTATTTCCGTCGTATATTCGTAAGAGGCAAACGAAATTAGCAGCGAGTGACTCGACGATTTTTTTATCTCTTTTATTCTCTGACGTCTTCTTTCCTGACGTAACACGGGCCGCTTTCCTCCCGGATAGCACACCCGGTATAGCCGCGGTCGTGAAAAGGCTCGTGCGTGTCCCCCGCATGGGATCGATCGATATCCGCGTGGCTGCGATAGCGCGCGATGGACAGACATCGCGAAATTGGAAGGATGACGAGCGCGCGGACAAACGTCCGAGGATCTCGGTCGATCAGCTTTAACCCGGATTGCCAGATACGTTTGCAAGATGCACCTTCGACTTTACCAGCCCGGCTGGCACCTGGTGCACCTGTAGGGAAATACGGCACTGCAGGCACGACACACGGACTTTCCGTGTACGTTCGCGAACCCTTTTCAATCGAAGCTAATCGCAACTCTGAAAAATTGTATGTCGCGAGCAGCTCCGCGTGGCCGACCTTGCGCGGTGTTGCGTCTCCGGGAGAGACGCCTTCATGTCGTTTACGTTATTCTCGCGAATTACGCACTCAGGTGCGAAATCCGCCATCCCCCGCGCGGGAGCGGTAAACGCATATAAGAGAGATGACAACAAACATTCCACGTACCTCCAGTCAGCACGAGTTTGTACACGCGTTTCTGATCCATCGTTGCGTGCTTCGTCGTCCACTTCCGGTTCGGTCGAATCGCTCTCCTGCTTGTCGTCCTGTCCCCGCTGCTTCCGCGTTACTCTCCGCGACGTCGCCCGTGCCCTCGAATTTATCCTCGACGATGCTCTTCCGGCGGCGAAGATGGTGTGCGAATGTGCGTAAGGCGGCAGTCGATACTACATGAATACCTGATGACACATGTCGAGACGCTGCGCGTACGACCGCGTACTTGAACGATACATGAGACACGAGTACGTCGACGACGAGAGAGATCTCTCTCAACGAGAAACCGCGGCAAACGATACCACTCGAATCGCCGCACGATGCTACGATGGTACCACGTCTGACACGCTGCACCGTTCAGAAGCTTCTGAAGTGAGTCGCGCAGCTGGTTGCGGCACGGCAGCCATGGTATGGAGGGGAGAGTCACACGCGCGCATGCGCAGTGGCTCGGGCTTAGTGGACAAATCCGATATAACGCGTATTCGAATCTAAACGAATATAAACGCGTCGCTTGTTCGTGGCTGAAGGTCAACGCGTCGTTAGACCGTTGTCGCGGTATAACGAGAAATTAGAAAATAAATCGAACGCCTGATTTTTAGTCCAATTTTTCAATTTGGATTTCTTACTTTGATTATTCAAGACCACCGGGGCCTTCAACCACGACCAATCGCAGTCCTAATGCATGTCACTTTTCGATTATGATTGGCCGATTTATTAGGCCTGTTCGTTTTGTCTGCATTGCTGAACTGGTGCATTAAGTTAAAGTGAGACAAACGTAGGTTTTCTCACTTCGACTTGTTGCACCGGTTCAGCCGTGCAGACAAAACGAACAGGCCTATTGTTACAATTCGATATCGAAAATATCCGCGCCACATTCAAACTTTTCTTCACGGCACAATGATCTTATATACTATCACACACACACACACACACACACACACACACACACACACACACACACACACACACACACACACATACACACACACACACGTATATATACGATAAAAATGGAAATGTAGATGCGGTTTTACATAAGTATGCAACATTGCGTATGTGTCTGAAACTCACAAATCTCTAGAGAGAATTTATAATTACGTACATGTTACTTATTTCATAATTATATTTACAAAATGTAATGCAAGATACGATTGTAAATGCAAATAGCACTCGGATACTAGAACAACAAAACAACAGTCTGATATCCAGATTTTATAAATCTCTCTTCTCTTGTTCGAAAATTTCATTTTCCTCAACGTGTTCGGATTCTTCCAAAAGATGTAATCTTTATTACAGTCGGTTTCGTCATGATTTCGTTAACGATGAAATTGTTGAGATTATACTTATCAATAAAAGCTTACTTGCGATATGTTGATTTAAAAGGTAAGTTAACAAAAAAACGTATCATTATATCTATAACCATTTGGAATATCAACGCGTGTGAAAACGTATCTGTAAGTGTGCGCGTATCGTTTTTATATTTATATCTATTTATTGCAAGTCTCGTGCACGATTCTGTTCATGCATGTGCTTACGTCGCATGCACGGTTTGATTTTAGCGTTTTTAGAAAATAACTTGATGAAGAAAATAGGTATTTTTATTGTTCCCTCGTGTTCGCGCAACTGCGATAAAAATATCGTCCTTGGTACAGATATCACGCTCCGCTGAGTTTCTTGCACCTTATCCGTCTACGTACGACACAAAAGTCCCAAATAGATTTTTTAGATTTCTAAAAGATATCTTGCAATGTCTTGAGATATCTTACATTTTTTCCGAAAGGATATCTTTTAGGGATCTAAATGTTAAAGATATCTTTCAAGACATCTTTTAGATGTCTGTAGATATCTTTTAGAAATTCTATAAAGATATCTTCAACTAACTCTATTTAGATATCTTTTAGACAACTTCTAGACATCTTTTAGAAATCTAATGAAATGTCTTGAAGATATATTTCATAAGATATCTTTTAGATGTCTACAAGATATCGACGTTTACTGGGATGTGAGATATATCTGAAAGATATGTGAAACATTTTTGTTACGCATTTTTCCGATATCTCTTTACAATTTCTTCGAAGGTTTGAAAGATACGCAAATTCTTGAAGACGAAAATAACACGTAATACACATAAAGTTACACGTAAAGTTTTGTTTGAACATGAAGCGATAAATATATAAATGGAGTAAGTCCGATCTCGAGTCGATAATATTTACGTTCTTAATCGATTACAAAGAAGATAGTAAGTTTACGACGTGAATTGCTCAGATAGCACACGACGTCCCAGAATTATTTTAGATATGCCCAGGATGTCTTGAACAGTGCTCTAGCAGTGTCCTGAGTATATTCAAAATGATTTTAGGATGTATTATGCTTTGAATTAAATTTAACGGAACATGTCTGCTATTTTTATTTGTTCGAAAGTATAACGCAGGTTCGCTAAATAAAATTACCTGAATCGGGAGATTTGATCTTTCTGTATTTTTCTTTTCCATTTTTGTATTTACAGCCTTTACTCTCTCTCTCTCTCTCTCTCTCTCTCTCTCTCTCTCTCTCTCTCTCTCTCTCTCTCTCTCTCTCTCTTTCGTTCTCTATTTTTATATCAGTCGAGCGGCTAAATATACAATTAATGTAGTCTTAAGTAAACAGCACCGGGAGACCCTACCGCGTAATTAAGACGTATAATATCACGCAATATGATTTACAACTAACGTACGGAACATTTTAGTATCTCACATTCAAGAATAATTGGATCGATCGTTTTTATTGTCTGTAAACTGGAAGATATTCTAGAAGAAAATTCGATAAGTTCATTAATTCGTTAAGTAAACTCGTTAAGAGCAATTTTTCTGTTAAGCAAACAAAAGTAAAAAGAATAAAAATGTTATCGTATTCAATTTCAAGAGAAATTTTCATTTAACTAAAATAACGTGACCACAATCAACGTTTCGTACGCCAGTCACAAAACACGCCGTAGACATAATTTAAGTTGAAATATTTAACACGCCAGTTCGAGATACGTATGTTGACCTTCAAAAGCCTTCGATTGAATTTTCAAGATAATCCAAACTCGCATTCGTTGCTTTACGTAACGTAAAATTTTGTTACACGATTGTTACGCGATTCAGCGATTACTCTTGACTTACCCTTGACATAACACTAGAATAGGGTACCTATTATGCAACTCGTCGGAATCGATTCCGATCGTAATAATTCCGTTTCCCCTAGAAAAGACAATAGAAATTTAGGAAATAACGGAATAAATTAGATCGGAATCGATTCCGACGAGTTCCATAATAGGTACCCATGAATCGATTTTCAACATCTTTTTTCTAGAACGCTAGAATTCTCTAGCTAGATCCTCCGTTAGCGATATGTACGTAAAAACAACGCGTGTTGATTTCTTCAGCGAATTCAACGATCCTGCGGAATTTGGAAAATTTCATCATGAATTAAAACGATTTGTAACAATATCTGATTTATTTTCTTACAAAAGAATAAATCACACAGCGAAAGATAATATAAAAACACGTCGATTTTACGTACGACGATAACGTTTCCAAGTTCGAGGCGTTCTAAAAGTTAGCAAAAAAATTACTTCTCGATATTGATTCCGTATAATACAATCGCTCTTTCGCAAGTTACGTTCCAGAAGATATTTTAGAAAAGACAAGAGAAACAGTCGAGACCAAGGATCAAAAATGGAATATCTAAGTTGAAATTTGCGTATCACAGACAGGCGATAATAATTCTAAAGTTTGTTCGCAAATAAACGAAATCCAAGTTATAGTTGGGGTAATTATAATTTTCCACAATCTTGTGTCACATCTAAGATCGAACTCGAATTGCAGAATTATACCGATTTCAATCCTCGGCCGTGACTCTTGAGGCTCGATTTACCGAACGAGCGATTCTGTCGATTTATCAGTCGCTCTATATAGGCATTGCGGATAAACATCCGTAAAATTCGAATCCGGCAGTCTCTACTTCGACGTTCAACGTCAATCTCATGCGTTTTGTGCTGCATAGAGTGTTTCACCTTACCACAGTATAATAATCTCGATAATTCTAAGATTTTTGGAGAGAAATGAATATAAGTGAAGATATATAATGGTATCAATGTACAGAACTTCAGCGAGAAGGCATAATGAGTACACTGTACAATGTTAAATAACGCTAATAACGAACTATATACCTTTATAAATATAACTCTTTACTCATTATTATCACAATAATCATAATTATATTATCTGTACACATTTTGCACATAGATAATGCCGCGTGGACCAGTGCGACATTTCTAATATCGAGAAAATATAATCCTCACAATAATTTAAGCCGTGAGTTAGAATTAACCCTTTCGCTATAGCGCATTGCAACCAAAAAGTGCTTGCTGTGTACAAGATATCCGATTGTGTGACGTCGAAATGCATGCACGAATTGACATAGTGATGAGAAACTTTAATCGACAGATTAAAAACGAAGCAAGTCCCTTACATTATGTATACGAGAAAAGGGCAATAGTATTGGATAGAATGCCATTGTTCCGGCATTGGATTTCTATATATATACGTATATATATTTTCCATTATATATATATATATATATATATATATACACACACACACACACACACACACACACACACACACACGATGTATGTAATGCAGAAGATATTTTTCGATTACGTATATATACACCGTACGTATGTATGGTATATATAGTAGCAAAAGGGTTAATGCTGAATTGCAGATTCGAGAGTCTATTTTGCGAATGGTCCATTATTGCAATTCGCACATGACAAATTGAACCAATGAAACGCAATAGCGATGAAATTGATTTTTCCTTTGCCGATTTCATACAAATAACATAGTAAAAAGAAGTACACAAGCCAATAAATACCGTAATGATCTAAACGTGATTAGATGCTTTATTGCAGGGATTCTAAATCTTGATTTGTACCATAGACTTCTTTAGTAATTTGATAAAATCTCAGGATATTTTTTATGTATAAAATAAAATATACATATGTATAAAATTACGAAAAAGAATATATTATAAAAAGAATCAATAATTATATTGAAATTATACATAAGGAGATTCTAAAATAGATAACGAATTCCAAAAATGTTAATAACAGGAACAAATAGCCAACCATGTTACCTTTTCTGTATTTCTCATATATGATCATATAGATCTTATATAAATGTGTGTTGATTTATTTTAGCATACTTAGTAAAACATAGTAGCATACATTTATATAAGATTTATATGTATAAGAAATACGAAAAAGATAGTCTGATCGTGTGTCTATGTTTATTTGACGTTTTGTTAATCATTTCAACATTATCAACACATTTTGGCATCTCCTTAAAAGTTACCAAAATAAAATAAAAAAAAAGTACTTGCTAGATTCTATTAGAGGCTAGCGAAGATAAAATCATAATCTTTTTCTTATTTATAATTTCACGGATTTCCTAAAATATATTCATGAATGCCGTAGAAATCTGATTTTCTGAAATCCAAAATTTCAGGTTAAGAATCCCTGCTTTAAAGTATATAGCAAGCTTTAGAGAAGCTGAAGAGTCAAGGAAGGACTGAGAAAACTGTTGGTCACGTTGTTCACAAGTCGTAGAAATCAAGTCTTTGCACGAATTTCAAAGGTATTCCGATGCGCAGTAATTCGTCCGGCGATCTATTTCGTAAGTCCAAACAATAATGATTTAATGCTTGCCAACATATTTCTGATAGCTTCGGGATCGTTAGCCAGACGGATAAAACCGCATTTGTCCTTTGTATCTGTAACAATATGAGTTTCAAACAGTGAAAATTGATTACGAATGAATTGTACTTAAATCCAAAAAAAGAAAATAACTTTTATAAGATTCAAATCTTTATATTAAAAAGAAAAAATTAAATAGATATTATGTATATTATCATGAAAGCATAAAATATTTGTGATAATTTAAAAGGATATAATTATATAAAACCAACCGTATTGTTCTCCTTGATAATACCACCAAATATGTACATACGACCTTCTGGGGTGAGTGCTGCTGAATGGAAATACAATGGACATGGCAGGATGCATGTCCTTAAACATGTCCACTGTAACGTACTAAGGTCCAGTCGCCAAACATCAGAGAAGACGCGATCGCCGTCATAACCACCTGATATAACAACTATGGTAGCACCAGTCTTCTCATCTGTATACTGAACAGAACCATGACAGCGTCTTGGCGCTGGTACTGTGTTGTCATCATTATCACCATGTGTGCTCAATATTTCCCACTTATTGGACCGCAGATTGAACGCTGGGATTTCCTGAGAAATCTCTCATTACACATCGAGTATCATATGATAAATTTATTACATTTCTACATATTTATATTGCAATACTGTTATATTAACCCTTTTAGTTGTATATTCAGAAAGCTATCTGTTTCAAGAAAACTATATTTATCTACTCACTGAAAACCCAAAGGCATCCATGGAAGTACCACCACCCAAGATGTAGATCATCTCACCATCACATGCTAGTTCATGGCGATATCTACCAGGTGGTTCTAATGAGTCTCTGCCCAAACAAATGTATACTGCTTGCCAGATGCCGATTCTGAGGTCAAAGCGATGGATGTCACAGGTATATTCATAACCAGTGGTACCACCAACAGTATATAGATAACAACCGTAACATATCAGTGCCTGTTTGTACACAAATAAGTAATAAGCAGAGATGAAACAAACCTGCTATTTTGTCTCTATATTTGAAGCAGTACTCATAAACATAAAATTAGTCTTGTTCATGGATGTTTTTATACTATAATTATATTGCAAGTGCATAAATTATAGAGATATTGAAAGAAAGAGAAAAATTCTTCCATCACAGTACCTGTCCATACTGAGGCTCAGGTAGATCACCACAAGCTAGTACCGGTTTCATCACACCATCCTCCACATTGCAAATGTACAATTGATTGCTACAACTCTCACCAAATGGCACACCTGTACCACCGTACACCATAAGTGTCTTACCACGTAAGATCATAGCGGTCGAGGCTAGTTCGTTCGGCATAGTTTCTTGGGCAGGTAATCGCCGCCAACGTTCACTTGCCAGGTTGAATCGCCATAGTTCTTTGAACAACGGCTTGCTGATGATCCACGTTGGGTCGTCGCGCATATCTGGATCGGTGTCAGATACACATGGATTGAAACCTCCATACGAATAAAGATTCCGATGGTCGCAGGCGATACGATGGCCACTTCGTGCCTTCGGACGCTCCGGTCCGTCCGCTTCATGCTCGAAAACTACGTACGGAGCGAACACATACATATTTTCAACTTTCTCATCCATTTCGCGAGCAGTGATGCGCTGCCGTGGTAACTTCTCCCACGCGGGAGACTCCGTGCGCAGACGTAAGTGACGTCACAATTAAACGTCAGCTGCTTTCGCAGATATATCTGGAGTACGTTTGAGTACGTTCCATACATAGTACTCGCAACGCTTAAATCGTTCACCGTGCCGTTCTACTTAACGCCTGTGAGCGTCCAATTAAACGATCTTGCCGATAACTTCAGGTTATTCAAGTTTGTTTATGTTGTTAATTTTTTTTTGTTTTTTGCCAATAGTTCGAAATAGTAATGATAGTTTGATAGTTTAATATATTACAGTACAGAAGATTACCCTATATATAATATATGTAGAGTTATAATATATAGAATTTCTTATAATTTTCTATACTGGCGCGTACAAAATTTGATTTTTTGTAATCGACTTCATAAAAATCGATTTTATATCGATAGCCATGCGCATGCGCATGCGCAGACATTAAACGCTACCGTGTAGATGCTAAGTATGCGTTGGGATCACTTGCTAGTCTGATTAGTTGAAAGTATTTTAACTAACTTTGAACAATTTACAGCGTCTAAGAACTGACTTTGTAAGTACTTTCTTAATATCTTTTATTTAGGAATTTCTGATTAATTGAATCCATCTGCATGGTTATGTCGACTAAAATCATAACCTCTAAGACAACTGTTTACTGAAAGTAAACCAAAAGAAAAATAAAATGACTTTGTTAATAGTTGATTTGGATCATATATTAACAAAATATCATCACGCTCGTTATAGTAAAAATAATATAATATAGTACAATAGCGAGTGTTACAAAAGCATTGTATATCAAACTAACAAAGTGACATCTGTGCAGCAAAAAATCATGGAGAAATCACAGAAAATGCCTAAGGTGGCCAAGGTGAAAAACAAGGCGCCTGCAGAGATACAGATCACTGCAGAGCAGCTGCTACGCGAGGCAAAGGAGCGTGATCTAGAGATACTGCCACCACCACCAAAGCAGAAGATCTCAGACCCACATGAGCTTGCGGATTACCAGCATCGCAAGCGCAAAGCTTTTGAGGATATTATCCGTAAGAACCGTATGATCATCACTAACTGGATGAAGTATGCGCAATGGGAGGAAAGTCAGAAACAGATTCAACGTGCAAGATCCATATATGAGCGTGCACTTGAAGTGGATCATCGTAACATAGCGCTCTGGCTGAAGTATACAGAGATGGAAATGCGTAATCGCCAAGTAAACCATGCGCGTAATCTATGGGATCGAGCGGTCACGCTATTGCCACGTGCCAATCAATTTTGGTACAAATACACATATATGGAGGAGACGTTGGAAAACATAGCTGGTGCGCGCCAAGTGTTCGAACGGTGGATGGAGTGGGAGCCAGATGAGCAGGCTTGGCAAACATATATCAAGTTCGAACTGCGTTACAAGGAGATCGAACGCGCTCGGCAGATCTACGAACGTTTTGTGATGGTGCATCCAGACGTTCGCCATTGGATCAAGTACGCGCGTTTCGAGGAATCATACGGCTTCATCAAGGGTGCGCGCACAGTCTACGAGCGTGCAGTAAATTTCTACGGGGACGAAGGCCTGGATGAACGTCTGTTCTTGGCGTTCGCCAAGTTCGAGGAGGGTCAACGGGAACATGATCGCGCACGCATCATCTACAAGTACGCGCTGGAACACATACCGCGCAGCAACACCCAGGAGATTTACAAGGCATACACGATCCACGAGAAAAAGTACGGCGACCGCTCGGGTATCGAAGATGTGATAGTCAGCAAGCGGAAGCATCAGTACGAGCAAGAAGTCAAAGAGAATCCGGCTAATTATGACGCGTGGTTCGATTATCTGCGTTTAGTAGAATCCGAGGGTAACGTCGACGTCATCCGCGAAACTTACGAGCGTGCAATTGCCAATGTGCCGCTTACCAAGGAAAAACAATTCTGGCGCAGATATATTTACTTGTGGATTAAGTACGCGTTCTTCGAGGAATTGGAAGCGAAAGATGTCGAGCGGTGTCGGCAAGTGTACAAGGTATGTCTGGAGCTAATACCACACAAGCGTTTTACTTTCTCGAAGATTTGGCTGCTCTATGCGTACTTCGAGATACGACAAAGGAATCTGACTAAGGCGAGGAAGACCCTCGGATTTGCGTTGGGTATTTGTCCTACTGACAAACTGTATCGTGGCTACATCGATTTGGAAATACAGCTGGTGGAGTTTGATCGGTGTCGCAAGTTATACGAGAAGTTCCTCGAGTTTGGCCCGGAAAACTGTACAACGTGGATGAGGTTCGCCGAACTGGAAACTCGGCTGGGCGAGATCGAGCGTGCACGTGCCATATATGAGTTCGCGATCGCACGGCCGCGACTGGATATGCCGGAGCTTCTATGGAAATCGTATATCGACTTTGAGATCGCACAGGGTGAGACGGAGAATGCCAGGCAGTTGTTTGAGCGGCTGTTGGAACGAACGTTGCATGTTAAGGTGTGGATAGCCTATGCCAAGTTCGAGCTTCTTAATCCGGGGAATGACGATGCGCCGGATAATGTCGTGCTGGCGAGACGGATCTTCGAGCGCGGTAACGATGCATTGAGATCCAGCAACGACACAGAAAGTCGTGTATTGCTATTGGAGGCGTGGAAAGATTTTGAGAACGAAAAGGGCACTGCCGATACCTTCGCGAAGATCATGGAGAAGATGCCGCGACGTGTGAAGAAGAGAAGACGTGTTGTTGACGAGGACGGCAATGATGACGGTTGGGAAGAGGTGTTCGACTTCGTGTTCCCGGAGGACGAGTCGCAAAGACCAAATCTTAAATTCCTTGCGTCCGCGAAGGCTTGGAAAAAACAAAATGAGACCTCTTGAGACATTAAAATTTGATATGTAGCTTTATAAAATTTAACTTGTATATAGATAAGAGTATATATGTGTATATGTATATATATATTTTATATACTTATATATATATATATATGCATATATGTATAATAAAAAAAATGAAATATAGTTGTAAAGAATGTACGATGATGAATCCATACACTGGGTTATGCTCGTACTATTCATCATCTATAAATGTAACATATAAACTGTGATATTTTGCATTATTGTAAGAAACATCGATTTTGACATATACTTTTCCTATTTTACTTCGCGAATTATTCTTATTTTAGTATTTGTAATATAAAAATGAATTTCCTTAGATTAACATATCTGCGTTATTGTGTGTTTTATTAAGACATATTCAATTTATTTGTAAGAAGAAAGGAATAAACCTCTTCGTAATAGTAACATATTTTGCGGAAAGTTATATATTAGTATTTTATTATGTGTGTAAATTAAAATTAAAAATTATGATATAAAATTATAAGTACAATAAACATCTATTAAAAGAGAAATAGATTTTGTTTCTAAATAAAATAAAAAGTAATGGTTTTATAATATTGAACTGACTTCAATATTATTTGGTTACTACTTTTTCTTTGCAATTTAAAATATAAATGATGGTCCAATGAGACAAAGAGAAAACTAGTTTCTTTCACGAAAGATTGAAATTTTTATATGTTAAATATCACCAGAGAGGAAGCTGAGAGCGGCCAACACGGCGTTTTCGGCGACACCGATTTTTCGCACTGGGAATGGGCGCTATCTGCATCCATTTTGAGAGGGGAACTACGATGCTACATCCACTTTCAGGTCTCGACGGTAAAACCTGCATCTGGTGGCTGTCCGTGCTACATCCACTTTCAGGCGGTTTATGTCCGTGCTATAACCATAATAGCCTACTTGACAAGCACGGTCTCGCGCATTGTTATGCATTTGTAACATGAATTAACATGTTAACATGCACAAAAAAAATAAGAATTGAGATTGTATATGATTAATATCATGAAGATTATATACGATTTATATCGATATATAAATATATGATAATAAGATAATATTTTGTGTGTACCCAAAATTATTTTTCCAAAATATTTCAGCGTTACGTTAGTATTTATTTATACTCCGGCAGGCGTTTTTTAGCGCAGTTGTGTCCGTGTGCATGTGTTGCATTGAAAGTGTGCGTGACGTACGTGTGCATATACGCACTCACACACACACACACACACACGTGTCAACGCAACAAATAGAATCTCAGGGTATATGCTTAAACATTTTCAATTGCCATACGTTTCTATGTAAGAATGTAGTCGGCATACACACACAGAGAAACTGCTCCCGTCTATCCGTCTGAAGTCCTGCCCTCCGCTCGGCTTGTTTTGACGAGCCAAGCGAAAGAGAGAGAGAGAGGAATGTGTTCTCTCCATCTCGCTCTGATTCGCAACGTTGCCGAGATTGTGCCTCCCGACACACGGCCGAGACTGACGTTTCACTCTCGGCGTGAATCCAACGAGATGATCAATAGCAATCGATTTCGACTAAACTCGTTGTGTCGATAGATTTGCATGACAAATTAACATTGCACTTAAAGATACGGCGTAGCATTGAAGCGTTTGTAAGAAAGTCGCGATTGAAAATCGCGAGTGCTTCATGAACCAAATGAAGGAGCGAGCTTCTCAAAGAGCGTGTGGCTTGGCGGAAGTACGCTGGACACGCGGGATTGAGGTCGGTGGTTTGCATTTTCTTGGCGGTCGGCGTTGTCCTTTTTCGCCAATCATTTTTTTTCGTTTTTTAGGAAAATGCACGTGTTGCATTTACGGCAAAATGTAGGGTTTTGAGAGTACTTTAATTTGGTGCCAGAAACAGGGTAGTATCTCTAACCGTTTAGGAGATATCGAAGGTTAAAGTTTTCCAACCTTTCTCCGTTGATATCTCCGCTTCTACTGGGAATTGAGAGTAGAAATTTATGGTAAGATTAGTTGGTATAGGACTACATTGTTGCAAGTGCGCGTTCCTGTATCTTGAACCGTTTAGGAGATATAGTAGGTTAAAATGTTTAACTTGTGATGTTAATGTCTCCGTTTTTACTGTGAATTGAAAGTCGAGCTTTATGGTCAAAGTAGGGTTGATATAGAACTGTATTGCAAAAGAGCGTTCCTGTATCTTTAGACCTTCAGGAGATATCAAAGTTTAAATATGCTATCGATGAGGTTCGCTTATAACTTCCATTTATCTCAAGAGCGCTTCTCGGGAACATTCCGTTCGAAAGGTTAGTCCGTGATAAAAAGTTTCTTGCGACCTGAGGCCGCTGTTTTTTAAAGTTAAATTGCAGCAACTGTATTGTTATCGGTCAACCCTGAGACCGGCTGCTAACCTCTGCAGCCCTCTGCTGCTACCCTCTGCGATCGTAATTTTCTTTGTTAGCAACGCGAGTAAAAACGCGTATATTGACAACCGCGGTCGCGATATTCAAAGGCACGCGAGCGAGGATACCTCAAGCTCGGCGTGCGCTGGCGCAATTTCTACGCGCATTATACGCTACTCGAGACAATAGGGATTGTAATGAATGGACAATATTGCCAAATAATTCTACAGCCTGTTTTGCAAATAAAAGAAAAATAGCTAACGATATCGGCATTTAGGTATGAATATATTTTATACGGACAATTGAATATTGTCAAATAATTAAATCGTTAAGTAATTCTGCGGCCCGCTTGAAAAATAAAAATAAAGCAGCTGATGTCGGTATCGCGTTTGTACATATGAATATTCTCTTATTCAGATGACTGAACATCAAAAGAGAATCATTCAGTATTTTAAATCTTGTATGTAATGCAGGCTATCGATCAAGTAATCCCCTGATTGTTTCGAGGAATGTATTTTATTCAACGTCACAAATACACACATGCAAGTATCTATTTGCAATTCGCATTGACTCGAACGATATTTTTTAGTCCCACATCCGTCATGCAGAATTTTGTTTCTCTTTTCATTTTGACTCACCGAAACGACTTGCAGTCAGAGCCGGCCACGTTCCGCTTCAACTCTGTAACAAAAAATTCACATTTGCTCATCAGATTTGACCAACGAGTGCGGGCGAGTAAAAGAGTAGTTTACCCTCTGCGATCGTAATTCAAGTCGAGCCGGAAATTATATCCCAGCTCTAGATCGCCAAGGGTCAAACAGAGGACTATAGTAAACTTTGTAAACTTACCTTCAAGCCGACTCTGCTTCGCCCAAACCGGATCCTCCGGTGCGGCATCCGCGTCCACCGGATTGCTGTTGCTTTCCGCAACAACTGAAACAGAAAAATAATTTTCCCGGTTGATAACCTGCGGTAGAGAGAGAATATCTTTGATCGGGACCAATCGAAAATACGGATATATTTTGATATGGAATTTTTATCTTTATATTTTTGTTCCAACATTGAAAATTTAAATGGGGCTTGAAGCTTTCAAGAGAGCTGATGAGGAACAAGTTTTTACCACCGAGACCTGAAAGTGGATGTACTATCGTAGTACCCCTCTCAAAATGGATGCAGATGGCGTCCTTTCCCAGTGCAGAAAGTCGGTGTCGCAGAAAATGTCGTATTGGCCGCTCTCAGGGTCTCAATTCTGTACACGTTTACCGACAACTATCGATATCGTTAACGGAGTTGCGCAGGTTTTCTACGATATACAAAAGCTGCGCAATACAGTTAACGACATCAATAGTTGTCGGTAAGCGTGTACAGAATTGAGGCCCAGGTTACTCTCTGATATCACTAGACCAATAGACTATTGGTCTGTTCTTTTTAGCTGCACTGCGGAACTAGTGCAATAAATTAGAATGAGACAACTATATTTTTTTTCACTTTATCTTATTGCACCAGTTCAGTAGTGCAGCTAGAAAGAACAGACCAATGGTTGTACGTCTCTTTCCTGATCCTAGCTTGATTTGATAAATCATATTAAAGCTGATATAGGTTATTATTTTGAATACTCTGAAAAGATTACAAGTTATCGCATAAACTGCGAAAATTTTAACGTAAATATTTAACATATAATTTAACAAAAATATTTGGAAAATGAGGGAAACTTTACTTACAAATTGTGAACGTAATTTTGTAAATAAATGTATACAAGAAGAAACGGTATGTATTCATTTAAATTATAAATTTTTAGATAATTTAATAATATTTTTACATAAATATATTTTTCGTAAAACTGATATAACGAGTTCATTATATTCTAGAGGTTAGACGGACGAAGATTGTTGGAGGCACGTTCTGTCAAAATTCACTTTGGTTCCAATTGGGGGTGCTGTATGGTATCTCTCGGTCATACAAAGTAAATATATAAATTAAATAAATACAAATTTATATGTGATTTTGCAAACCAATTATTAGTACTGTTTATCTATTTAGTATTTAATATTTTATTTGAATGATTCATTTTATATGAAAATTATAAATTCACTATTTGTACATTTTCAATTAAGTCTATGCAAAGTAATATTTTACTTTGCATAGAGATGTTATATTAGCATATAATATTGCATAATAAAATTGGATCTTTTTACAGGGCAATAGCACAAGTGTCATGTGATATACAACAACCAAAAATATCTCGTCCTAATGAAGGTATGATACATATAAATGTTGAACTCTCTCAATTAGCAGCCCAAAATTTTGAGAGTGGTAGACAGTCTGAGGCAGCTGTAATGATAAGTAGACAGTTGGAAAAGTGCTTTAAAGATTCAAAATGTGTAGACTTGGAATCTTTATGTATTGTAGCAGATAAGAAGGTTACTAAAATATTTCTGATATTGTTGGATCTTAAAAATTTAAGATTTGCTTATAAGATTTATTTATAGGATATCACTATTAGTATAGTAGAACCTTACTGTAGTAATAATGGATTGAATATTTATGTATAATGCACAATATTACTAAATTATGTATAGATATTGCAATCTTTGTTTTTATTCAGGTGTGGAATATAAGAGTTGATATTAATATTATAAATCACGATGGAAACTTAATTGATTGTGCTTCCATAGCAACACTTGCTGCTCTCTCGCATTTCCATAGACCAGATGTTACCTCCACTGGTGAAGAAATCATCATACACCCGGCTTCTGAGAAAGATTTCCTTTCATTAACATTGTTTCATTATCCAGTCTGTATATCTTTTATAACTTTTGAAAGGTTTGTGAAACATTTGTTTATATAGATATTTCACATCTTTTTAATAAGATTGATTTTTATAAATTCAAATGTATATTTAAAATTTTCAGTGGTAACACTATAATGGATCCTACATATATAGAGGAGAGAATTGGTGTTGCTCGACTCACTCTTGGTGTAAATTCTTACAAAGAACTCTGTAGTTTGAATTTTGATTATTTGACGAAAACCATGTCAGTGAAAGATGTGATATCTGCTGTTTCAAATCATGCAGCAACTTATGCAGCAAAATTGGTGCAGCAAATAAAGGAGACAGTAACTAACAACATACAATCACGGTAAAATTTTGCAAACGTAGCATTTAAAGTAATTAGAGTATTGCTTATTTATTTATATTTAGTAAATATGTATATGTATGTCTAAAGTTTTATACGGAATATATAAATTTTAAACATAATTATAATTTTTCAAAATATGCTACTTTTATAATATAACATATATTTCAACATATTTTTACATATCTCATATGCCAGGTACAAAAAGGATAAGAGCGATATATGCGGTTTCAAAGAAAGCATTAATGCAGATAAACTCACATCAATTATTGGTAATCACATTAGTATCAAACTATCCAAATGGGACTTAGTAGCTAGAACTGATGGTATATGTATATTTCTTATTTCAATATAACTAACGAAGAAAATTAATATTTTACTTATACATTATGAGGCACCAAGATGTAACAATTGAGTCAGAATGATAATATCAGTTTTGATTAGTATCTATTTTAAAATTTATTTTAATCATCAATATATGTACATTCATCTATTTGTATATTTAATACTTTAACGCAGTGGTAACAATTTATAGATGAAAATATGAAAATCGAAAATGAAAATACTCGTATTATAAAGTATGACGAAGGTTCTGCTGAACTGATACCAATCTTTGAAGTAAGTATAATATATGAGTCCACTGTGTGATTAATCTTGTCTTGATAATTTTTTAATTTTTACCTGTTTCTTTATATTTCAATTTCTTTTACTGTCATACTTTTTATTGGCATATTTATTGAAATAAATTCAATATAATCTTTTTACGTTTGCAATGTTTGGTATTTTGTATGTTATACTATTCATTGGAAAACAATGTAAATTTTTGCTTTTGTAATTGCTATATTATCATGTACTATTATCTTCAACAGGACTCGCTTAAGAAAGAAGACGATGTTAGCAGTATGGATGATTCCGATTATTCAGATACAGAATGTATCAAGCTGCGAGCTCAGACAAAAAGAACACCTATAGGTACAGGATGATATCCTTGATATTTTACTTAAATTTTATTTATTTTATATATTTCATATTATAATTTTTAATTTCATAGAATTCTAATTGTTCTTTCGTGTGGAACGTTATGTATCTTAAAGTTTAAAAAATATTCTTTTATATTGTAGACGAAATTGTCCTGGACAGTAGTGACTAAGTAGTAACTTTATATCAACATCTTGGCAATGAAGAAAATCGATTAACATTGGTAGCACTAAAAAAACTGAAGATTTTTTGTAGAGGATGAATCCGTTATACCTTTTTACGAGTAAGATTTAAAACTTGATATAAAATTAAAAAGGTTAATCAGTATTATCGTCCTTCAATATTATCCTACTATCAGTATTAATATCCTTAATTTTTAAATTTAATTTTTATAACAAAGATTAAGAATATATTTTAATTATCATGTCTTTTGCGCCTTTTAATTTATACAGAAATCTCGGAATAGACGCAATAATCATCAAGATATAATGTATTTGATCGATCGTGGATGTAATTTTTATTTTATCATCTTTGTATATATCTGTAAATTTACCTATTTATATTTTTTCCAAAATAACGCACCAATTTCCTTGATCGTAATATACACTTTTGAGCATGGTTGCGGATATTTCCGCGCACAACTCCGCAAGTTCTCCCTCTTGAAACACATGATAATATCTGAGGAAACGTTCGCCGCCTTTCTTCTTCCAAGGAACTAGCATGTCGCTATGAACGAAATTCGTTCTATTCTCGTGAATCGGTAAAGTTAATTGATATTCGGAAATCCTGCGGTTAATTTCGCGGTATTTATCCTTATTCTTAGACTCATATTTGAGATAAAACGATTCCGCGGAATCTCGGCGTTGCTCCTTCGCCCACACATAGATCAGACATTTGCCGTTCGGTCTGAGTACTCTCATCATCTCGGCGATGGCACGTTTCCGTCGGTCTCGCGTAGATAAGTGGTGAATTACTGCTATGCTGATTACTGCGTCGACGGATTTGTCTCGGTACGGTAAATATAGGCAATCGCATAGCAGCACTTCGAAGCCCCGGTTGCGACAGATTTCGGCTAGTCCCGAACTATGGTCGCACCCCAACTGAAATAATTCTCTAGGTTAATGACGGATTAATAATAATCGTCACGCAAATCTCACGATTGTATCGATATTTTTGATATTATAAATAATATTGATTGTGATTGATTAAACGATTAAGAGATTAAAATAAATAGATGTGATAGAAAATACCTTGTATATATTTTCATTTCCACAAAGATATTTGCCGTTTCCGCAACCTACGTCCAATAATAACGTGCCTTCTTCCAAATTTCCGAGGAACTTTGTTACATTAGGCCACTGCTTATGTCGTGTCTCGCTAAAGTGATTAGAAATTTCCTCGTAAACCTGTAGTAATTTTAGTAATAAGTAATATAAGTTAAATACTCACAAATTTACAATGCTGTTATCAATATGTTTTATATTGTCAAAATAATCTTAATAGAGTACGAGCTTGTGAAAAAAAATGATAAATGAGAACGATAAATGTAAGAGATAAATGATAAATAAGAAATGAAAAATGATAAATGAAGATCGTTATATAATCTACAATTTGTAAGTTTAATTTACGCACTTTATGTACATATGAATTTTCTAGACCCGATGCTGCTTTAGCGTCGATGAACATAGAAGCGTCCCATCGTTTACTGTCGCAGTGCTCTTCGAAGTCGCAGTTGCAATCTCCGGCACGTCGCACCTTTCTGAAAGTGAAAGACACCCTGGTGCCGCGTTTCTGCGTTGTGCTACCGTTCTCTGTATCGATCACGTCGTTGTGACGAGGAGAAATCCCATGTGTCCAAGCGTATCTCGCTTCTCCCGTCATGATTAACAATGATCTGGCTGGTAGGAGCACATCGATTTTCCGATCCGTTCGCCTAAAGTTCATAACGCATAACGAGCCCAGCGATAATGATAATATCGTATCTTCGAAAACACTGTGCGTATCGACATGCGGCGGTATACCTTGAATTGTTGCACGATCAGAGATCTTAGCGACGGAGTTTATTATTTGTGTCAGCCCACAAGTTTATGCATGTTTACATAAGCGTAATTTTCATTATTGATTTCTGCAGAAGCTAAAAATATAAGTAAACTTTTCAATTGCATTTACTTATACAGGGTGCACGATTTATCTGAAGACATTGAAATATCTCGAGAACTATGCATTGGATAAAAAAAAGTGGTTAATGAAAGTTGTTAGTCTCAAAGGGGGACATCCAATGATACCAAACTCGACTTTCCACCCCATCCCCTGGGGGTGGGGGTTAGGGGCAACTTTGAAATCTTAAATGGAAACCCCCATTTTTTATTGCAGATACGGATTCTACGCCACAAAATACGTAAATTTTGTCCGAAACTTTTTTTTTTATTCGTGATACATGGCGCTGTAATTGCAAAAAATTATATTTTCCTCAATTCTCTAGAAATGATCATTGGATTGAGAAATAAAAAATACCTGTTCAATATTTTTAAAGAACATAATAAAAGTTATTCCCCCCCATCCTCTCGGGGTAGGGTGGGTGATAACGTTCAAATCTCAAATGGAGACCCACATTTTTCATTGCAGAATTAGATTGTACGTGAAATTTTTATTGAAACAATTTTTTTCATTCGTGGTAGATAGCGTTGAATTTTTCCGAGAAACTACTTTTAGCGTTACACAGGAACAACGACAAGGACGTAGTAGTTTTATGTTCCCTTCGGGTGCTTTTTTAATGTGAGTCCCCTTGCCTCTCACAGATCGGCTTTTTAATGTGAGTCCCCTTGCCTCTCACTGTTCAATTAATTAGAGTAAGTGTTCGAAATTTTTACCTTCAATTTCAATACACTTATTGATCCTTTAATAAATAATATAATAAAATTCAACGCTATCACGAATGAAAAAAATTGTTTCAATAAAAATTTCACGTACAATCTAATTCTGCAATGAAAAATGTGGGTCCCCATTTGAGATTTGAACGTTATCACCCACCCTACCCCGAGAGGATGGGGAGGGGAATAACTTTTATGTTTTTTAAAAATATTGAACAGGTATTTTTTATTTCTCAATCCAATGATCATTTCTGGAGAATTGAGGAAAATATAATTTTTTGCGATTACAGCGCTATCTATCACGAATCAAAAAAAAAGTTTCGGAGAAAATTTACGTATTTTGTGGCATAGAATCCGTATCTGCAATAAAAAATGGGGGTTTCCACTTAAGATTTCAAAGTTGCCCCCAACCCCCACCCCCAGGGGGTGGGGTGGAAAATCGAGTTTGGTATCATTGGATGTCCCCCTTCGAGACTAACAACTTTCATTAACCACTTTTTTTTATCCAATGCATAGTTCTCGAGATATTTCAATGTCTTCAGATAAATCGTGCATCCTGTATATTTGAAGAAAGTTGTAATTATAATATAAAAAATTTTGTTCTTTATATTAAAATTTTTGGGTAAACTTATGGACTGATAAGATATAAAAATTGAAGTGTTACCTTGCCCAGGTAAGTACTTGTTAATAGTCAATTGGTCATACATATATTTATGACCATGTTTGTCAAATAGAGTCTGCAGAAACTTGTAATCTTGCGGTATAGGGGCAATGGGCTTTTCAAGATTGACAATATTTGTACCATATTGGAATTCATATCCAAAGTGTTTCACTTGTCTATGCTTCAATTGAAGTGAGGAAGATTCTGGAATATATTTAATGGTTTTCCTTAACTGCATTGTCATATTATTATGTCATGTTATGTTACTTTGACATATATAAAACATTTTACCACAATTGTCCCAATTAAGTGTTTTCAGCAAACTCTCTTCTTGATCTTTTGTTATGAAATTTTCTATTAATGTAAGACCAGGTGGAAATACAAAATTCTTCGTTTCATAGTTTATATCAGGAACTGCAAAAAGATATTGTTATTTTATTTAGTATAATTTGATCTTTATATATATATATATATATGTCTTATCTATATAATTAAAATTATATAAATAGAATATATTTTATTTTGCTTTACAATTCTTTACAATTTTACCTGTTTCTGTATAACAGACATATAATGGGCCATTTTGACCTGGAAGTTTAATCCGTCCATGAATATAATTGTACACACATGTCGCATCTTCTTTCATATTACATGTTATAAAGCAATATGATTTGCCTGATGGCATTATCAAGATGTACTTAGAAATCAATGCATCTAGTACAGACTGCAATGTTTCTCTTTTAATACCAGTAACTAAGCCACCATTGCATATCATTAGATTCTACAAAAAGTGAATATGTATTTATCTTAATATTATTTATAATTAAAATAATTTAAGTTAATCTCTGAGAAAATATTAGAAATAATTTCCATATTACACTTGAAGTATGTTAAGCTCTAAATTAGAGTTCAAACTAAAATTTATATAAAATTTGAGTAAAAAGTGATAACATAAACAAATATTCACATGTAATTTTTGCTTAGACAGAATATGTTACAACCAATACTCACTTGCGTAGGTTCGTCAGAGCATTTAATATTCATATCTCTAATTAGTTTGTGATTAGCACGTTTTTGTTTACGTATACTTTTTCTATCGTTCTTTTCTTTATGATCTTGAATTATTACATTTTTATTATCACTTAAATACATAATTTTTAATTTTTAAATATCTAAGAGAAACGAATTTTTTGATTAGACATAACCATAATCTTTTATAAATGCAAACATAGGGCAAGAGCACAGACTTTTGCATAACGCATAAGAGAATAAACCAATTAGTTTTCTTCATTTCCCCCCTCAGGATAGAAATGACGAACTCTGATTGGTTGATTCTCTTATGCGTTATGTATTATGCGTTATACAAAAGCCTGTGCTCTTGCCCATAACCTGCAAAATATCGTAGAAACCGTAGAATATCGCTGGCAAAATATATTAGCTGGCTCTCTGGGGGAAGTGAATATCCCATACGCCATTCTTTTTAATCACAAACATATCGTTCGTTTGTTCGTTCGGTATATGGCTGTAGGTAGTAAGGTGTATCCATACGCCATTCACCAGCTAATCACAAACAAATGATATGACACTCATCTGCCAGTCTGTTCTTTTTAGCTACACTGTTGAACTGGAATCAGTTAAGCCAGCGGCACACGGTGCTTGTTTCGTGCTTGCTGGATGAAAATACTGCGTTCTGATTGGTGCATTTCCGAAGATGAATAGAAATGTACCAATCAGAACGCAGTATTTTCATCCAGCAAGCAATCCAGCACGAAAACAAGCACCGTGTGCCGCTGGCTTTAGACTCAGTTCTTAGAGTGAGAAAAATTATAGTTGTTTCACTATTTCTATTCACTATTTCACTTATTTCATCAGTTATTGCACCAGTGCAGCCAGAAAGAATAGACCAACTTTTAAATATATATATTAAATATATATATATATATAAACTACGTTCTGATATTACTGCTGGTATTGAAAATTCGTATTGAATATATTGATAATTGAAAAAGTATTGAAAAGTATTGAAAATTCGTGCCACGTATATTGTAGAGTTTCAGTACTGATAGTGATTATCGAAACGCAACTATAAAGTCCCATTTACAATGGCTGCAAGAATAAGGTTCTAAGGCCCAGTTCCACAATTTGCTTTAAACGGAGTTTAAAGCAAGTTGTGGAACTGAGCCTAAGCATAAGCAGTAAGAAATAGACCAACCACAATCGATTATTATAAAGTGTAGTCTACAATGGCAGTAAACAGTAAGAAGTAAGCGTAAGCGGTAAGAAATAAACCAATCACAGTCGATTATGACAAAAATAATCAACTGTGATTGGTCCATTTTTTACTGTTCACGCTTTCTTCTTAGGCCCAGTTCCACAACTTGCTTTAAACTCCATTTAAAGCAAGTTGTGGTACTGCTTACGGCTATTATAGACCACGCTTAAAGGCTTGTTTACAATAGCTGTAAGAGTAAAGGCCATTGCACGTATAAAGGCTCGTCTACATTAGCTGTAAGAGTAAGGTTGTAAGGTTGCAAGGCACGAAATGAAATATTTTCATTCGCTGACAGCTTACGTTACAGCCTTACAGCTTTACTCTTACAGCTATTGTAGACGAGCCTAAAAAATTTTAGTCGTAACCGTAAGTCCTTAAGCAAATTGACCAATCACAATTCGTATATTTCGAGATGCTGGATTGTGATTGGTCAATTTGCTTACGGTCTTACGGTTACGACTAAAATTTTTTTACGTGCAATGGCCTTTAGGCTGTAAGGTTGTAACGTCAGCGAATGAAAATATTTCATTTCGTGTCTTGCAACCTTATTCTTGCAGCCATTGTAGATGGGCCTTTAGGCCAATATCTCATGTATCGTACGATAAGTTTATCGGATGTGTCGATTGGTTATTGAATAGAGAATTTTTAGAGAGCTCTAAAAATGTCAGAGACCTTAGAAATTATCTATTACAACAGCCAACGACATATCCAACAAGCTAATCATACGACACATGGAATAGTGGCCTTATGGAGAATTCAATTTTCCATTGGAAAGCTGTTCTCTTATTGGATGTTGGACGTCGTACGTCGGACATTGGACGCAGTGTGAATCTCCCATAAGTTTGTCGATTTCTATTTCACTTATCTCAAACAAATGATTTTACGAACGCGATGACCGTTGAAATTTTTCTTGCCGGTGGGTCGGAGCTGTATGTGGTAGGCTGTGAAACTGACAAAATCAGGGCGCCATATTGCGAGCTTGTGTTTGGTTACTGTTTCTGGCGCGTGGTGAAGAATTTATTATATTTAATTGATAACGATGTCGGACAATCAGGTAAGAATCTTTCAACATTTCTCGTGTTCTTTGTAGTTTGCTGTTATTAATTGCGTTGAGTGGCTAACAGTTAATTAAAATCTATTACCGATTATTACTCGAATTTGCTGACTTTAAACCTTACTGTATAACCTTGTACTAGGAACAAAAACCCGAAGCCGGCCCAGGCGATGCGAATTCTGAGTACATCAAGCTCAAAGTTGTCGGAAATGTAAGCAATGCATGCACATGCTATTTTTGTTTTCACGATTGCTCATACGGATAACTTCGGTGTACACATACCAGGTTTTGTCTTTTTTCTAGGACAGCAATGAAATTCACTTTAGGGTAAAGATGACTACTCAAATGGGTAAATTGAAGAAGTCCTACAGCGATCGTGTGGTACGTTTTCCTTTGAATTATATAGAATTTTGTAAAAAAAATTAATTGTTAAATATTGATTATAATAATTTTTTTATTCATAGTAGTATATTGGGAAATATATAATATACAAAATATTTTTCCCATTGATCTTTGTTCATAATGGTAATGTTCATATAATAGTAAATTTAATTCTATTTAGGGTGTACCCATGACATCGCTTAGGTTTCTTTTTGATGGTAAAAGAATTAATGATGATGAAACACCAAAGCAGGCAAGCAAATTTTCATATATAACTTTCTATTCAATTTTATACTAAATATTTTAATAAATTTATCTTTATATTTATATATATTTGTCTAGATATTGTCTTTTGAAATTTTTGTATTACAATCTTTGTATTACAAGTTATTTTAATTTTACGATTAATTTCAGCTTGAAATGGAAAATGACGATGTTATCGAAGTATATCAAGAACAGACTGGTGGTCACTATTGAGTAGTCAGGTGGGAATCTTCATTTCTGTTCTGATATTTTTTAAAGTGAAAGTGACAATTGTAACAAAAAGATGGACAAGTTTACAAGTACACATATATAGATATATATACACAAACACAATTTAACAAACAATATTGTAAACTTTTTGATTTCATAAGATGTAAAATGTGCTATCATACATTCCTCTACCAAAAAGGTGAACCTCATGTGAAACAGAACATTAATTCGTTTATAAAACATATTGATACAATTGTATTCAGACATGATGATGATTTTCTATTTTTGTTTCTTACTATCGCTATAGTTTGAATGAGAGTAAATCATTCTTCATTAAAATGTGTTCAGGAAATTCAAAGCAAGTTTATTCATTTTCAAATATCTCTAGTATCTTATGTTTTTCTTTCTTTTTTGTCTTATTCTAGATACAGAATGATGCGAATGCTATAACAAAAATGTTAGGTCTAAGATGTACTTGTAATAAAAGTAATGATAATTTTAAGTTTTTGGTGTCGCTCCTTTTGAATGATTGCAATAATAAGTAATTGGCATGCAAGTTGCAAATATTTAGTATTAGTATTTTGCTCTTGTAGTAAATCATCATTTTTTATTTTTTATAAATCAAAATTTGATGTGGTATTGATATAATCTTTTCGCATTTCTGGAATAAGAGTACCAAATCTATAAATATGTTATATGTACATGTTTATAGATAGAATCTTATATCGAATTTATGTAATAATTTATGTTACTGTAAAAATTACCTGAACACTAAAAATATCACACCTATCAGTGTGAAAATTTAAATATTTGAAATATGCTCAAAGGGTGTTTAAAAAATGTTTTAAACCATTTAAAATATTTTAACAACATCCTTTCTGTATTTTGTTATTTCTGTATTTAGATAAAAATTTATAACAATAATAATTAACTAAAGTAAAAAAAATTATGTGCAAGAAAAAAAAAGTAGTATTTTTAAGTGTCATTTTAGAGGTAAAAGATCATTAGACATACATTTAACAAACTCGTGTTTTTTTTACAAACATGTTTTACATCCGTCGCTGATATGAAATCTCTGTATTAGTGACCTAAGAAATATAAATAATTCTTTGACTTACACATAATCGTCGCACCTTAAAATATATATTTAATATAATCTACATTTTCCTAAATTATATATATTTTATACACATATATATATATATATATATATATATATATATATATATATATGTATATATATGTATATAAAATATATATAATCGAGAATATATTATACTATTGAATAATTCGTTACAAATACCTTAAGTAATAATTTAACTATTAATTTTATACATACATAAGTAATGTAACCAATCATAACAATAATTTATCTTCATGATTTTATATAAATTGCAAGTTTAGAAAAATAAACTTGAAACAAATTATCTTTAATTTTTGGATAATTAATAAGATTATTAAGAATTTCACTATAAACTAAAAGTAGGGTCAAGTTATAATATTATTTCTCAACAATTGTTGAGAAATAATTTTGTCTTAATGAAGTAGAAAAAATGACGACATAGCTCTTCGAATGAATCGTTTTTATTTATACATTGAACATAATTGATAATTATAGAATAATTCATTAATCATCAGCTTTCTTTAATTGTATATATACTCCATCGTATAGACTTTTATATTATATATAAGCAAAGATACTCCTAAAAATAATTATTAACTATATACAAATTATTTTTTCTTTCTATGTCTCTCTCTCTCTCTCTCTCTCTATCTCTCTCTCTCTCTCTCTCTTTCTCGAGCATTGACTAATATAATGCAATATGTGGCGAGCTACATCATTATTACATATTTACAATACGAAAATGTACCCTAGAAGAAGCAATTTCATTTCAAACATATCTACTACAGTACAAGGAGTTCATGAAAATTCACATTAAGAAGTTCGTATGTATATGCGAGCTCAATTTCAATAACGGACTCTGAACGATTAGCGATCATATTTTCAACTTTCGACATATCTCAATAACTAAGCCTAAAATCGAAACACCATGAGATCTTTCCAGAATTAATATAATTTTGTTAACGTAACTAATCGACATTTCTTACTTTTTATAAATTATTCGGAATAGTACTGAATCTATAAATATATCAGGTAAACATATTGTGATAGGATCTTATATAGAATTTATGTAATAATATACATTACTGTAAAAGTACCTGAACACTGAAAGTTTCACATTTATCAACGTGAAAGTTTAAATAACATTTGAAATACGCTCAAAGGATATTTAAAAAATGTTTTTAAACTACTTAAAATAATTTGACGTCTTTTATGTTTCTCTATTGCTTAGGTGAAAATTTATAATTTAGTTATAATGATTAATTAAAGTAAAAAAGTTCTTAAGTGCAAGAAGAAAAAAGTAGTATCTTTAAATGTCATTAATAACTAGTAATAATTGTAATAATAATGTAGTTTTTATTTGAGTTTTGTCCATCAAGAAAGAAGATTTCCTGGACCTGGTTATAGTAGAATTTTAAGGCTAGGTTTAATTACAGAAAGACGTTAGCTGAAAATTCGTTCGACATGTTATCACGGTGTCAACATCTCGAAATCCTCATTGAAGACGAAACGCGATACTATTTCTTAGAGTGGACCCAGACGTTATCATTATTTTATCATCACAGCTTGCCGTGAATAAACAAGTATAAGACGAAAAAAGAACAACTATTTCATTCTTCTTTTCCTATTTATGAAATATTAGAGACAACTGCAGCGATCGGTCAGAAAGTCCGTCACTAGAATTAAGTTCACGAGTCGTCGTGGGACACTCCATGTAGCATATACTAACGCTCTTCTTCGAGAATACAATCGACGTCGTATAAATTACTTCCTCAGAAGTATTTAACGAGCAAGCAACGTAAGGATGATTTCTCTTTTTATGCATACTTTTTATCATCAAGTCGGACCGCGGTGTTTTTTATTCGCGTTGTGTCTTGAAAGAAACGAGAAGCTGTCGATTCGAGTTTTATTGTCTCGTAATCATAACAAAACCTGTCAACTCGGACGAGATTATACATCCATAAAATTAAGAATCGCTGTTGTACAGCATCATTATGCCCGAGATGGTGCAGGACTTATTTCTCACAATTAATGACAATATAATGTTAACGCTTATCAAGAGAAACATTACGATCTTTCAATGAAACAGACTCAGACAGGAAAGAGCTAAACACTATCAATCGCGCTGTTAATGTTTGGGAAACGTCAAGGAAGGTCAGTGAATGTTAAGGCAGAGAAATATACGAGATTGAGATGCGGGGAACGATCGCTCGAAGAACGGCCCCGAGCTCAGCTGCTTCAACAAAAACTTCGTATACCTCAAGAAAAGCACACGAAGATCAGCGTTTATAGACAAGTGTAACGACATCAAGTAACTCGACACCAATCATCAGCTGGTCTTAAAGCAAAATTACGATATTATCAGCATAAGAAATTCGAGGCCATTTGCAATTCGATCGTTGTGAAAGGTAGATGCAACAAACGATACGTGAATCGATCGATAAATTATAAATCGACACAGATTGGTAAACAAGAACAGACAGATTCTCGTCCTGAATTCTTTTGCCGCTTTTTTCTGTAGGAGTGGCAAAAATTCTCAACTGAGATCACATCGCGATTTTAACTCCTAATACCCTCCCTCGCATTTATCTCGTATATACGTACGGCTCTATCTCGTTTCGCGAAGATTAAATAACATATCGGGTACTAAAAATAATAAAAATAGTCTCTGATAATGTAGATTCTATAATATCTTTGTTATTCGACAGATAAATATAGAATATATTCTTATAGAAAGCATTTTAAGACATCAGTCTTCGTCATATTTACTTTTCTTTATCTTTTATCGTTCTTGCGTTTCCAATCTAATGCGTATCTTATTCATAATACTAACATTTGAATAAGAAATCAATATCAATATGCATCTGTAAACCTTGGAAGAGAGAGGGTCACGCCCACTTACATAGTTTTTAATTATGAAAATCTTAGAATTTATAAACATTTCATGATTTGTAAATTCTCCTCCGGCCTTCATTATTTTATCTTTCATACACTAAAACATTGTCTAATGATTAATACAAATTAATCATTAAAATTAAATTGATGTATCGCAGTCATAACAAAAACGAAGCTACGCGAATTTCCTTTTTTCATTTTCCATTAACTATTCTGATCGTTTTATCACTCAAGTATCATTTTTTTTTTCTAGAAAGTACAAACGCTACGTACTAAATAAGTACTCTTTTCTTTTCCTTCTTTATCATTAACGCGTAATCTATGCATATATTTGCGTATTGTGTGTGTGTGTGTGTGTGTGTGTGTGTGTGTGTGTGTATTTAAATAAAATGTACAGATCTTTAACTCGAGACTGTAATAATACGATCTTTTATAGAACGTGATTATCATCAGAGTTGTTTACGCATGACTACATATATGCACAATTCTCCATTACCATTATCATCATTATCGTCATAGTTTTTATTATCGTCCTACTTTTCCTCCTCCTCCACCTTCTTCTCCTCTTTTCAGGAGGACGCCGCACAAGTGTTCTTAATACTTTCATTCATTATTGATAATGTTTACTTGTGAAATTGCGCATTGTATAATAAATATATAATATCTGAAAGGCATTAGAAGGGGGGAGGCGGGAGATGAGGATGTGCGGTCGTCTCTCCGTTTGATCTAAAAGCGCTGTGTTACTGCGGGCGAGGCATTTTTCTTTTGCTTGCGTGAGAGATAAAACTGGAGTTGGGAACCTTTACAGACGCGAGCGAGCGAGCGAGCGAGCGAGCGGGTGAGCGAGCGAGAGTCGAGTTTTGATGTAGAAAATTATTACGAGCGATCTGCGTGCAATGATGTTATGAGGGGTCACAGAGCATCACGATGCCACACCCATGTCTTCTTTGTATGATCAAATCGGTGCGCTAACCACTGTTGCTCTAACAATTGATACCTGTCTTGACTAAGGTACAGCGGCTTTCCACGTCTGTAACACGCGCGAGGAATTATTTATAATGATAAATATATCGAACAATTTATTTCCACTTAGGAAGAAAAACTATAAAAAGACGTATTTGATATTTAATGTTCATATCCTATATCTGAGAGTATATAAGAGCCATAAAGTCAGTGAAACCGAAATAAAAATTCAACTTTTGGCTCCTTAGATTTTTATACTTTTAAATTGCAATTATTTTAGAGTGCCAGTCACCATATTTTCTATTTTATAATTAGTATTTTATTTTATAATTATAGGGATTATTTGTATATTTTACTTATTCTTAGTATATACTTAGTATTTTAGATATGTATACTACCCTAAAAGTGCACATATATTATAAATATTCTAAAATAACTTATACTTACTTCAGATCTCTGTCCTCCTCTTCGAAGTCATCGAGGTATAAAGATCCCCACAAACACGCCCGTCTACCTCGTATCACAATGATATAAGTTGAGGTCACCACGAGATATATGCCGGTTCCTCCTCCGCAATCAATCGAATGCTGAAAGAGAATAAAGAAAAATAAGTCCATTATTCTCCGTTGCCTTCCCGCGTGATGATGAATGTGCTCACCTGGATAGCCTCATATACGTTCACCTGTTTGCAGCAATTCTGCTTGAGACAGACAATAGTGCCGCACAACAAACAGATACTAATCTCCTGGGGTATCGACTTACAATTACCACAATGTCGTTCGTGATAGTACTAAAAGAATAAGTAAAGTAAATTATGCATACAGGATGAAAGTGACAGCGTCTCGAAGGTAAATTTCTCAATCGGAAATATATATGTATATAATATTCGGCGCATATTTAGAATGTATTGGAACTACAGCTGTTTAAATTATACTGACAATCTCTTTGTTTCTTCCTCCTCTCAAGAATTAATGGATTCTTACAGTGAAGATTTTCTCGTATTCCCTCGGCAAACTGAGCAGTTTCGGCATCTGCCACGATATATGTTGCTCCACAATCAAACTCCTGGCTGGCTCAGCTAGCTTCACGAATCGATTGACGAACGCCAGCAGCTGGTCACACCACAACTGCGGCACCGAGACGCTCGCTTCATTGTCCTGCCAGTTGAGCGCTACCGTGGAGTTGAAACTGTCCCAGTCCATGCCTTCCGTTACCAACTCCAAATAATATACCAATCGTACGAATTCGCTTTGCGGCGTCCTGATGAGCGGCAACGGTTGTTCGTACAAGTGATAACGTAATAGCGAAGCCAGCCGTAGGAACGGCAGGCAAAGAGATTGGATCTGAAATCAGGCAATCGAGAGATTGTAAGTTTTAGAGATTGTAGTCAAGTATTTTTTTTTTAACATATGTATTTACAGATAAATTATATCTATTCAAAAAATAAAATATAATCAAATGTACGTTATACTAGTGTGTTACTTCAATATGCAATTCTGCGCGTTGTTTACAAAGTACCTGCTGCTCAACACAATGTGTCTTCACTCTCGCGTACGAGGCAGATGACGTGGATGGTTTGCAAGCATTGTCGTCGGAGGAGACTTCGCTGTCGTCGTCGGAATAAAGCTCGCTGTCGTCGTCGGAATAAAGCTCACTTTCATCAAAATATTCAATAATCTTGGCTAGTATCGCCTCTGAGGACGTGGCTGAGCCGCAACGGCTCCTCTTTAGGATCGTGTTTCGCTCGGCTTGCGAGAAGTTACAGCTTATCTGCAGTATCACTTGATAATACAGCAAGTTATAGATAACTTTTACCACGCTGGAGAAGTATGCTGCAAACGAGAAGTACATTAATGTAGATATACACAAGTATAAATATAGATACACAAGTATAAATATATGGAAAATAATACTTGTAGAAATAAAATACACACTTTGATCTAGATGCAACGGCAGCAGTAGTATAAACTGTATAAGAAGAGCAGTCGGATCCTTAAGAAGGAGCGGGACCTCTTTCTCGTGTGGTGTCAAAGCAAGCGAGGGCACTGGTTCTGGCGGCATGCCAGACAACTGTTGCCACGTGTGATGTACCGGCCATGTCGTCAACACTCGGGCGTGCATCGCGAGGACATGAAGAAGCGCGACTGCAAGAGAATATGGAACAAGAAAATGAAAACGGCTCTTTCCGAAAGAAAGAAAGGACAAAGAAATATGATCGTTGTCTGGATTCCGTTGTTTAGATTCTAATGTTTTAAAATCTGTACAGAGAAAACAGTAAAACGAGCGTTGAATGGAATCTTGCTTGATGAATCGATGTAAAGAGACACTATAATAACGTACCTATGCAATCGCGTTTAGGCGTCAGAGGTATCGTGGTGGGCGGCGGAGCGCATAACGAACCGCCACGTTGTACGAGTTCGATCTCGAAGTTAGTTCGCGCTACGGAAATTACGAAGAGGAACAAGCTTTGGTGACTAGGAGGAGAGTTCTTTTGCTTATACTTTAAATATGTGCAAGTCGTCATATCTTCCATAGCCTTCCCCATTGCAACAGCCAAATTTGAAGAGATCTGAAAAGAGGACATGATTAAAAAGTACATTATTAAGAACGATAATTATTTTATACTAAACTATTCTATATATATCTTTCATCTGCTTTCAGTTTATAAGCTTTGGTTAAAAAATATCTTAACGAGCCGCGAAAGGAGATTACATCTAGCTGCGCATACGTACCGGATTTCGTTGCGCCTCCTTCAGGAAATTATTTAGCTCCGACAATATAGTGACTGTGGAGGCATGACGAGACCGCACTACTGCTGCACATTCGCCTAATTGCGGCGAGAGCGGCAGTACAGAGTTAGCCAGTTGCCGGCATAATGGACAGAAGTATTCACCTCGATCCACCGCCAAACTTTGCTGCCTCTGTTGACTACGTAGCGACTGCAGATAAGACTTCAAGCAGTCCAAGTGCAGGTGGTGACCGCACGTTTGCACGTGAACACCACCCTCCCAACCCAGGTTTACCGATAGCAGGCACGAAAACTGCAAGGTAATAGTATACGATGTCACGAGGAACGCAGAATAAATTTTATACAAGATAGTTTGCTTAACACAAAGTGTTATGCATGTGTTAGTATTTCCACTTACTGTGTCAAAATTTCCACTTACTGCGTCAAAGTTTCCACTTACTGCGTCAAAATGACGACTCATTTCCTCCATTCGACGGTCGAAGTAGGCACCGCGGGTGTCTCCTTTTGGTATAGGCGGATCCTCGTCGGACGTGGGAAGAACTAGCCTGTCCGACTGTTGTCGCTCGTGGCCAATAATGCTAGTTGCCTGTTTCAAAGAAATATATAAATGTCCATGGCATGAAAGTATATGTGTGATTTTGTGAGAATATTAAAACTTAACGGAAAACTGTTAAGACTATTAAGGTTTAAAGTGTCGAAGGAGCATCTAATCGTGAATATTAAAGTAACAAACGTGAAATTCATTCTGTGTGTGACGAAAGGCAGCCACATATTTCAAGAATTGATCGAAAATTCAATTACTTGAACTAATACAACAAGTCCCATTGGCTTATCCTCGCTGCTGGGAGTAGTTTGATTGCATATCACACAATCGTATTCCTTTTTACTCGTTAATTTAGTCGCGTTCTCCTCCTGCTCCCAATCCATCGCTGATGCACCCGCTTCGTCTGTTAAGGCAAGAGGACAGTTGTCATTCTCGATCAATATCATATTTCGATTAATGAATATGCATTAATTGAAATAATCATGTATTATCAGTATGAATTAATATAATAATAATAATAATCATTCACCGGACTTCATCGCTTTTTCCATGAATTGCTTTTGCTTGTTGGCGAATTCCGCCATGAGCTTTTGTTGCCTCTCCTTTGCCCTTCGCCGTCGTTCTTCCCGTTCACGATGTTCCCTTTCACGCTGCTCATCCCCCTCGCATTCCTGCATGCGGGGCCATAGTTTGTTTCTGGTTTCGATGATCGATTGTTTGCACATGGGATCCAAACTCGATATTTTCCTAAGTAATTGCGCTATGAAGAACGGTCCATCGCCGATTCTCGGTTCGCTGCTCGTCGATGATGATGAAGACGGCGACGATGCAGTCGAACTGCTGCTGCCCGCTTCATTGTCCGACGTGACGTTCAATTCGGGATTGTAGCTATCAGCTACGCCCGATAGCTGAGAGTGTAACTTCAACAGTAGAGAAATTATGCTTTCTCCTACTTTCACAGACTGCGGTTGCATAACCGATCCAATCTGGAAGATACGTATGTTATGTAGAGAAAAGATTCCTACAGGATATAAGTTACAAAATATTTTTAAAATTGTATAATTATATAAATACTAAATTGCTGAATGTAAAGGTAAATGTGAATTGTGTGATACAAGTGTAAAAATAAAAAGGGCAAAGGTGTAAAAATAAAAAGTAAAATATGTATGATGAGATACAAGGTAAAAAAACTACAATTAGATGTGGATATATGTTATATTACTGGCGGTTCTCTCCTCTTGAAATGTTTATGAGAACTCGACGTGGATGGAATAATTTCTATAGTTCTGTACGAGGATGTTCTGGGACGAAACAATGCCGACCGTGTTGCTGCCATTATCTCATTTCCGGCCATCACCGCTGGACGCTGAGGTACGGGTGGTAACGCAGGCTGACCGCCGACTGTACCTAATCGTTATAAAAAGATCATAAGTTGTAATATAATCGAAATAATATGTTATATTGAACAAAAGACAGGCAAAAATTGCAACAAAGATATTAAGAACGTACGGTTTGGTGAACGAGGCGACTCGATGGCAAGAATTATGGAATCCTCTACGGACGGCGGCAAAGCTCTCTGCAGAGGTAGCAGTTCGTCTTCGCCAGGCGGTATAGCGACGATTGCGTCTTCAGGTACAATAGCTACGCCATATTCCGCTGTGATATAATGAAAAACATTATAACATTATATCATCGCAAAGTTGATGATATATAATAATAGTAATGACTAATAACATATCCAGTATGAGTTACTAGATGTTCTAAGGAAACTCTGAATGCAAATCTCAAACAAATTATGAATAACTAAAATAATCCAAGATAACAATAATAACAAAATAAAAAATATGATTATATGTATCATAAAAATATGATTATATGGATTATATGAAGTAACTGTTTATACTCGTTACTTGCTTATCCAGATGTATAATAAATATTGGTATACATAACATCTGTACATACACGTCTGTGCTTATATGTGTGAGAGATCTATGTATTATATAAATCTTTTTAACTGTTAGCTGGTGGTAGAGCCGGTAGAGACGTAGCTATCGCAGTCGACGGTAGAGCTGGTAGGGAGACGGCGCTTGCAACTGATGGCAAAGCCGGCAAAGATGTAGTGGACGTCGCGGCCGACGACGGTAAGGCTGGTAGAGACGCAGCGTTCGCGTTGGACGAACCGTTGTCGTGCCTCACCGAGTCCACGGATGGTAGTCCCAACAGTTCCAATGAACCTTCCTCCGCGCCATCCTCTACAATGCTGTCGTTCAGCATCAGAGACGTTGCTACTTCGCTCATCTCCCCCTGAATCTCCCACTCGAATTCACCTGATAGCGATTAATATGAATTATCAAATTATGCGACAATATGTAGATTTTAATGAGAAGAATTATGTAGCTCTGGTGGTGTTAATTTATCAAAGTTACTTTCCGCTCAATAAATTCGTCATTAGTTCTTCACTGATATGGAATGATACATGATAGAGATTTGATAAGTACTCACTGTCTGAACTACTACAATCGGGCTTAGATTCTTGGACTAGATTTATTCGCGGTATTACTGTTCTCAGATTCTCGGACAAGCTATCGTTCTCGTACCAACCAGCTAGATCCATGTCTTTTATTATGCGAAAGCTGCCACCGGTGTACTGACATAAAGGATTTATCTAAGGGATATAATTGATGAATGATTACGTGTGTTTGCACGATATTTATTTGCATAGGGCATAAAAACAACAATCAACTTCAAATTGTTTTCTTTTTACTCACAGATTTATCCGGTGTTTCTGCGGTGATCACCGCCATCTCCAACAGATAAATGGCTAACGCCATAACATGTTCTGACATATTCTGTCCGTGCACAGCCTTGTAGAGTATTATCAGGATCATAGTGTGAAAGACTCGAGTACGCAAGACTATCCGAGGATCGTCATAGTCCGACGATACTGGAGCAGGATGTCTGAATGGGGGCCAAGGCGTTGCACCGCTCTTTAGTTTACCCGATTGCTTTACGCTGAAATAAATAAAATTCGATATTCATGAGATGTGAAATTTTTAAATTCAACTAAATCAAAATTTAATACATAAAGTTGACATCTTTACCAACTTTACATAATTTTTACCAACTTTTACATAATATTAAATTTCATAGACAAATTAGAGATAAATGTATCAAGGTACAGAAGTAAATATAATCCACAATTTTTTTCTCTTTGCAGAGATCTGCGAGATGTACGAAATTCGACGATAAAATCGACACATACTATTCTGTGAAACGATCCATCGATATCTGGAAGTCTCTTCTATGCACCGCTCGTAACAATACATGTAAAGGATCGAATAACTCATCCCACACATGAGGTTTCGGTCCGTACATTCCCTGCTGCATATTTCCACTCGCTTCAAGATTTGGAGCCCTGTATTGCGCCACCTACAAAATATACTTCATTAGGCACGTAAAAATAACAATCTCTGCTTAAATTAAACATACCAAACAACTTAATATATAGTTTCTATAAAAAAAAATTTATTATGCCATTATCAATAGCATATTCGATAAAATATTCGATATGCAAGACAGATTAAGAATTTAGTACATAATCTTTAAATTCAAATGTTTGAGATGGAATAAAGATCATATTCAAATGAGATTTGCAAAAGTCGAATTTATCGATGAACATACATCAGCAAGGACAGATTCGAAGTCTCTGTTCTGAGTGGTTCCACACCGTTCTGGCATCAACTCCATTAATTGGCTGTGCGTCTTATCGCCCATACACAACAGAGTTACCATCTCCAGGCAAGACATTTCGGCATCCGATAAACCTAGAGCAAAAAAAAGAATAAAGATCCTCTCTCTCTCTCTCTCTCTCTCTCTCTCTCTCTCTCTCTCTCTCTCTCTCCCTCTCCCTCTCTCTCTCTCTCTCTCTCTCTCAGATTTGTACCGATCTATGACGTTCTCAACGACATTTATAATTCCAAGTAAAGGTAATTATTCTCAATTATCTTAATTCTTCATTCTATCTGAGCTGAGCACTTATCTTAAAATTTCAGAAACAAATGAAAAATAAAAATCAAAGGAGTACGATAGCAAAAACTCACCAAGATTTGTTCTCACGTTGATTAGCGTAGCTAAAAATGTTAGACAGCTCTCTAACATGGGTGTACTAGGCTCACCATCCAGATATTCGTTCTGTGGTACTTGATAGGGGCAAAGAGTCATCCATTCTCTCACATGGAATCTGTAAAATTTGTTTTAACGTATTAAATCGTTGTATGCGAAATGTTCCAGATTCCGGATTGACAATTTTTCAAGAATGAACATTGAAAAATCAACGGAATAATAATCCACCGAAAGCAAAAAATTTTGCAGGACTAACTTTTCGATGACGGTCTTGAGAAAGACATCAGCCGGTAATTTCGTAGCGCAAATTTGCAACAGATACAGATCCGCGTCAACCATGGAGTTGCAAAAGTTGCACTGGATGTAAGTCATGGCCTGGCCTTTGATTTGTAAGCCATTACGAACCCATAGCCCGTTTAAAATCTCGTAGAAAGCGACCTGAGGACAGAAATGAAAAAAAAAAAAAAAAAAAAAAATCATTACTTCACTACGCCGTTATCAAATGTGGTTGATATAGCGCTTACTGGCGGAAGAGGAGGAAGAGATGAGAGCAATGGTAAGCAGATTAGAGAGGTATCTGGATGAAAAAGGGTTGGAATTAAGACAGGCGGGAGGATAAAGTAGGAAGGAAAAGAGAAATAGGAAATGTGTGTGTGTGTGTGCGTAGATAGAGTAGGAGCGAGAGAATAGAGTGTAAGAAATTATAATTCCATAGGAGAATCAATAAATGATTACGTACATACTTCACGTATCGTAATTTAAAAGAAGCAAAAAAAATCGGGAATGCATAAAGACTTGCAAAAGTAAATCGGAATACTTATCTATAATAAAATTTCTCTAACTGTAGAAAGTGATACTGTATATTATCACAGTTCTCTGTTTAATAATTATTATTAACCCTTAGAACTGTAGGCGGCTTGGAAACAAGACAATCGCTGTATGCAATGTGGAATTAACTACTAGTCTACTAGCGCTACTAGTCGTCAGAGATGCCTGACTTCCGCGTGTTACGATCTGAACACTTTGATCACTCCATATTTGTTTCGAAAAAATATCTGAGGTAGATGTATAATGAAACAGATTCGAACTTATGAATCTATAGAAAGACTCATTTGTTACAAATTATTCGGAATAATTAAAAAGAAATTTGAAATAACAAAATTCTTTTGTTATTGTTTCAGTCTTCATTGGGACTTTGTCACATGGACATATGGAGCGCTACTTATGAAACGCATATTTTCTCACTTATTCACATAATTGCGCGATTTAACTGTCAGCTATTCTCATAGAGAATGGAACGAATCGGTGAGTCGCGTCATAAATTCTCTCCTCTTGTAAAGCCGGTTCTGAATGATCTAGTAAACGTAGATCAATGTTGATCGACAATGGTCATCGTATGAATCTCTTAATTATTCTTCTCTCTCTTTCTACACGAATTTTTGTATTACCGCAATATTGACTCAACATGTATGACCAAAGATTGGTTCATGTCTGTCATATCATCTGGAGCCAGCTTCAACTACAGTATGTATAATCTCCTCTGTACTTTCTCCCACTACCAGAGCGTTCCTCGCATCACCAAAGCTTCCATACCATTCACATTCATGATACGACGGTTCCCCTTCTCGCTCGTTGATCCCTCAGTTATTCGCAGCTTGTAACTGGTCGTCCCATTCGAAGCGACAGCCGACCCGAAGAAAGAGAGTAGGAGAGTAGCCGTTAGTCTCGGCTCGGCGCGTTCGCGTCGCGTTGCTCGTCAGTTGCGGTCTTCAACACTTTGGGCCTTACAACGGCGTCTTTTCGTATCCCCCGGCCGTTTTGCTGCTCCAGATGGCCAAGTTACGTGTCTACGTGATTCTGCTGGTCGTCCTGGCATCTTGGACGCAATCCGGACGCTCCTTCGACTTTAGCCTGAACGATGCCATCGATTTGATCAGGCTGGGTCGCGAGACTGTGATGGAATTAATGGAGTCCTGGGATATGATCCGTTCGCGCAACCCATCCGCTGCAGCCGAGGGCGGCGAGCAGGATTATATGTTTGTCAGGAGGATGGAGAAAGAGCTGCGTCAGCGCATAGATCGTGTGGCCAAGAAGATCGGAGACTATCAAGAGCGCATGGAGACCAAGATCAACACGGTGCTCTCACAGCTGCTGATCCAGTTACCAATGCAGCGTAGACTCGACGACGGTATGAGATTGTTGGAGCACTACATTGGCCAAGTGCACGGCCTGTACGATACATTCGAATTGTACGCCAGCGACTCGACTAGCTTCGAGACCTACACGATAATACGGTTCGCCAAGTCGTGCGTGTCGCCCAGGCTGGGCGAACTCCCGGATGTCCTGAAATCTATTCACAGGCTCCTGGTACCATCCGAATATCAGGTGTACAACAGGAGTATCCTCATACTCTTGGCGAATCAGATGCAGGTACGTCATGTGGTATGTGTATGTCTGTGTGAAGGTAACGATGCGGTTTCGTAGCCGGAAGTTCACTTGAAAGGTGACTAGATCACCACCGGCCAAGCTGATGTCAGACAGTTTCGCAGAAAATGAAGAAAAAAAAAAAATTCCTCTTCTCAGTTATTCTCCTGAGTTATTTGGAAAAGAATAAGTGTGGCGTTAAGCATGTTTCTTCCCTCAGAGGAATTAAAGAAAGTCCTGTAGAGGCCTATTTGTTTATATCAATATCAATTTATTAAAAAGCGATCGCTGTAATATCTTGCTGGTATTAATAGGATTAATTGAATTTTGCTTTCTCTGAGACAGTGTTATATATTATGTCTATTTAACACACAGCGGAAGTTAAGTTAAAACTTAGAGTTTTGGTGACACACATGTGAGTCATATTTTCGTGCCAAATCGACGGACGTATTTTAATGTGCCACATTCGAAACCTCTACGCGCTTCTGCATATTTTACAGAGAGAGAGAGAGATATTGTTTCAGCCGTAAGGAATGTGCTTCGTAATGTTTAAATAAATTCTGCACGTTGCTTTCTTACCGTCAGTTGAAATATTGCGGATGCGAGTAAGCCGTTGTTGCAGCGTGCAAAACATTCAGTCCTTCGTATCGTGTGTATCTGCACATTGTTGTATATTTACTGCTATATTTTTTAAATTACGTCTCTATTCGCATTATTTATTTCTTTTCTCATTTTGTCTCCATTGTGTACTGATTTTTGTCTTTACTTATTATCGATTACCTGTTTCCAATTTCGTTCGTCTATTATCAATTACCACCTCGCCATTTGCGTCCAGCCTCTATTTTATGATTTATCGTTTGCATGATTCAAACTTAAACGTGAGATAATTACGCATGAGTCTATGAGAATGAGATAAAGGCTCGCCCGCAGAGGGTGTTCCAAGAATGAGATAAACAAAGAGCTTGTGGTGAGCTCGTTGTCTTCATGCTCTCTGTGTACATCCGTAAGCCATATTATAATACAAAAATCAGTCAATGTCGTCCATTCTCCTCCATTCATCGTCGTCAATAATTATACATTTTGCCCAAATTTTTGGAGAGTGACTGTGGTCGAAGAATTTGAACAATACGTTAACAATACGGAACAATAAATTGTTCCTGAAAGCAATCTAGAAGAAAATGTTAGGATCGAAATTTAAAGATACCCAAATATCTTTTTCTCCACGATAAGGATTCACGACAGTTTCTCTAATTGCTTGTTATTAAATTCATTACTAATTATTAATTTCCCGATAACAATAAAATAATAATAAAATAGGGTACCAGCAAAATAATAAATGTTCGGAATCGCTACGTTGTTAAACTCAAATTTCTAAGCGATGAAACAAGCACGGGAATGCATCGCATTCGTTGAATTGAAGAACAAGCTGGGCTGGGGATCCAGTGTTACGAGTATAGTCTGATAACATCGTAACAGGAACCCCATTGTGTCTATTAAGCGCAAACTGGCATTAGGTGCTGGAGAAATAGTATGACACTTGGAATCAAATAACACCGGCCGGTCGCGATCTCATCCGTGATCACGAAAAAAAGGAAAAAAAAAAAAAGGAGAAAAATAGGAGAACACGTGCAGTGCGACGGAAATTCATAATTTTCCGATGCTCCGGATGTCACTTCAGTGGTCACGATGAATAACACGAATTTGCGAATTCACGGAAGTCGCTAGATTAATTGAAACTGCCGTAAATTGACGTAAGAATACGCGACGCGAAGTAGCCGAAAATCGCCGGACATTCTCGCGGGACGTGTTTTTTTATCAATGCTCTTTCTGAGCAAGAGCAACGAAGCGATGACAATAATTAGCGACTCTTAGCGCGATGAAGCATGAAGGGAAGGTAAATAAGCGGCGAGGTTGTGCACGCAGCTCTTCGCGTCTTCAAAATTTCAACTCGAGACTCGGTTACGAAGGCAGGCTTTGCTGAAACCCGCAGTAATTTCAGTAAACGTTCTGTTCCTTCGAAGAAGGACGCTAAGAACACAAACATGAACTTGAGCCCAAGTCCAAGGCCCAAGAATTCGTCGTTAGAGAGGATCCTGTTTGCCACTTCTACGAAATTTTTTACCCGGTGTTTTTATGGAGCAACTCCACGACCGGAATGCGCACAAAGGAATTTATCTTTACTTCAGCATATTTCTCGAAAGTTTAACATAATATTGTTATGATTCTTGAACACTCGCGATAAAAATTGTTTTGCTCTCTCTCTCTCTCTCTCTCTCTCTCTCTCTCTTGCTTATATATTTTTTTCTACGCTACGACTCGAGATATCAGTTTTGCGTAATTCATATCGTTCCAATCTCGCAGACTATACGATTGTTCAAACTCTGCGTTTGAACACGAGCCTCTCGTCTCAAGATCAACCGCTATATCTGTGTGCTCCCACACCCGTTGCATCTCTCAGCGAATGCACCGGGTGGGACACCAAGAGGTGGGCGCGAGACATGCGCGCAAAGATACGTAGTGCGTAACGACCTGGGGAGAGCCTTGCGGATCGGAGGGGAATTGTACACGTCGAGATGTCGTCAACGTTAGCGGAACGTGAGAGTGTGAAACATTTCAGTCGACCGCGATTCGTTGAACGAGCACAGTGCTCGGTTCGTATCGGTCACCCGGTGTTGTTGTCACGTAGCGGTCGCCCCGAAACAGCCAGAGGGACTTGTTATCCCGTGCTCCATTCAAGCGCTCGCAGCGTGTGGGTAGGGCCGATTGCGCCTGTCGAACTCGAAAACGTGTTGTTTGTTGAGCAGCAAGTGATTTCAAGTTGAGGAAAAGTGCGCTGAAGCACATATCGTTCCATCGGTAAGCGCCGTGAGTGAGTTTTCGGCGAAAGCTGTCTGCTGCGAGAGCTCCTTTCTCGTGACTCGAGGTGTCAATTTTTTGGACTGTGTATACGCGAGATATTTAACGCGATTAAATGTAAATAAGCGCATCATAAATATTTACAACCGATACAACAGTCGATGTCGGTCAAAATCGATGCTGCGTGGTTCAGGCATCTGCAAGACTCACGATCAGAACGCTCTCTTTGAGCGTTTCTTCAATCTCGTTCGCAGTTCCGAACGTTCTTCCAAGTTTCCTTCTGCTCCGACACTTATGTAAGCGTTAGAAAATGCTCGAAGGAATCGTGATGCTTCTACGTGTCTCATGAACTGCCTTTTAAGGGTTTCTGTTGAACTTTGAACATCCTTTTAATATTTTTCTTTTGCGTCTGCGCCGCGTCCGCCCGGTACTTTCATCTACGCGTCATTTCGCTACATTCATCGACACAACAGGCGAGTTCAGTTTCTTTGTGTCTGTTGACATTGCGAAACACAGCGATCGCTGTTTACGCTGCAACGACATGTGAATCGAAAAATGCACCGATCATCGAAAAATTAAGCGATGCTAGGGATAGGGGTAATCGACCGTCCTAAATTTCGAAGAATGCGGTCTCGGATCTTCGTAACTTGTCCTGCCAGCTGAACCTTTGTGTTCTTTTCGAATTTATCAGTGGTTTTCTATTTTGTTTTGATTCCCATTCAATTGTAGGTCATATTAAAAACAGGTACAAAGGTGTCTTTCGTTCTTTTCATCTGCGTACTTAAAACACAAATATATAAAAATCGGTCACATCTTAGAATAACTTTTCAACCTTCTGAAGAGAAGACGTTACAGTAATTGTAAAATCACAACACACGACGAATGAACTTACGCTGATAAGTTATCGCTCGATTGATATATCTGGTAATTCGTAGATTCGAATACGAAGCTGACTTGATGCTCTGAACATGTTCACCAATTAAGATCCGTCTGACACTTTATTCATCGCTATTGTCTCATTGTAACGTAACGTTCGCGATAGAAACGAGAGAACACTTGGAGCAACAAGAGTGACGTAATATCCATCTCCTTCAAAACTTGAGAAACTTATAAAAGAACTTATGAATGAAATTTGAAAATTAATATGATTCTTTCTGCTAATCTTTCCACACTCAATTTTCTTGATTTATCGGGACCAATATTAATTTCATTTTTTCGAAATTCTACGAAATTGATTTGAAATTTTTCATGCTTCAAATCACATCGACCTTTTTTCTATCAATTTTTTATTATCAAAATTAAATTCAAACGCAACGCACTTATTAACAAAAATTGTCATTCATCGTGACGAATTTTCTGATTTATAGAAGCTAATTTTAACTTAATTATCTCAATATGAAATTTTGATTTAAATAGTTTCGTATTTCAAAAATAATCAACTTTCGAGTATTAAAATTAAATATCAATGTAATTACTAGAAATTGTCATTTATTATGACAAGTTTGTGATCTCAGAACGAATCTCAGAATGGAGCGGGAGGTATGCTAGGTAAAAAATTTCCCATTCGCAATATATTCCACGACGTTGCGATTGAAAAGAAGAAACGACGACTTGACTGCGTCATTCGTGTATCTAGGAAAAAGTATCACCCAGTAGTTTCCTAGCTGTTCTAGATTATGTAGTAACAAGTCATTACGGAGGAGGAAGAGGAGGAGGTGAGAGAGGGGTCACGATCACAAACAGATCTTCCCCGCTCTGCCGGTGACGAGCGGGCTCACTCATGCAGAAAGATCGTTTGGCGGATTTATCACGCGAATTATTAACCTCGGGCGGTCCAGAAGCTGCAATACGACTTGAAATACACACGCGGAATTACAAATCGCCGGGAGTTAAGCCGAGACTGACGGGCACGCCTTTCGTTCAGAATTGCTTTCAGCAATTAACTTAACTGGCGTCTGGGATCCTAGACAACCTCAGGAGGAATTGTTCTCAGGACTCATCGGCAATTATAGTGTCCGCGTTTTCCTGCTCGGGAGCTCCCTATATGTAGGACATAACACGACACGATCACTCCGTTTTCTATCCACAACTCTTGCGCGTCTGTTTAGAACACGTCTGTTTAGAACCACACGCGAAGTGGTGTCACGTCGAGGGAATAAACAAGGGAGAGAAAGGAACTCGTTTGAACACGGACGTGAGTGAGTGAGTGAGTCACCGTCGGTGTTAAGGTCCGAGGATGAAATTCTTGGCCATTTGGACGCTGATGCTAACGGCGCTGGCTGCTGTGGCCTTCGTCGCGAGCAAGAGCGGCATGTCGACGATCGACAGGTTGCGGCAGGATCTGCTGCACCAGGAGCGAGAACTGACGAGAGACCTGGCCGAGCCGAAGTGGACGAACGTCGACGAGCAGCAGAAGATCCTGTACCTCATCCGAGCGTATAAGAAGTTCGGCGATCGCGTGGACGAGCTGTATCCCTTGGATCGGCCCAATTATCTGCAGGTTTTGGACTCCTTGTGGCTTTGGGCGCGCACCCAAGCCGAGTCCAAGGGCGTGAACGGTCTCTACATGGTGTTCCGACAGATGCAGCGCGAGATTGTCGAGCTAAACGCGCCGGTCAATGCGAAGCAGCAGAAGAACTTCGCGGAGACGATCCTACGGGATCCGAACGCGTCGATACCACGAGCGCTCGATCGTATCGCGAGTCTCATCATGCACGAGAATCTATTCATCGCGGCTTTTCAGGTAGATAAAAAAAAAACGAGAAACCGTGGCTGCGATCGAAAGAGATGCGCCGTATTTCGGTGGAAAGATTTTCTTGGAGACGCATGGGAGAGAAGACTGGTGTTCTTTTCTCAGAAGACTCTGAGATACAGAAACATTTGTTCCTTGAATTGTCCCAGAAGATAGGCTGGAGGAGATTTTCTCGAGGTAGCCTCGACAGTTGCCTAACACTTGGGATTCTTGAAGAGAATGATAATCGTTTGATACCAATACCGCGACGCATTTTAAATGTTTCGCTCGTTGTTTAAACGAGTGAAAAGTGCCTGAACGATATCCATTACAACACCATACCAACAGAGACAGACATTCGTCTCTGAAATTGACTTTTTGCATGTTTACAGCAACTCTCGAGCCAGATGTGCAGCGATACGCAATCGCCACAGCAGATGCTGTACAATTTGTACAATACCGTAGCGTTAACGGAGATCAAGGGCTACACGATGATCCAGTTCTCTTACATGATTCTACGTCTGTACAACGAAGGTATTTAGGCGACGATATGATTCTTAGACATCGTTCGGAGATACTCCACTTCTTTCACCGTCGTCTGCATATTTTTACCTAACTTGGAGTTTAACGCAGGCAAAAATTTTAACGAGGAGATGGAGACGCTGAAGCAGCAGTACGCTATCAGAACATCCGAGACGCTGAGAGCCGTCAAAACGGCGATGGCATTCGCCCCTAGAAACATATGGAAATGCGATCCGAACGTACACAAACCGGGTAAGACGTCTCAAAGACAAAGAAAACGTTATTCAGCGCGAAGCATCGGGCACACCACGGGATTTGAACGTTCCGTTTATTTCGAAAATATAAGGTTTCACGAGTTGAACTGACCGAAGCCGACACGTTATCGATTTGTTTAGACGAAACCTACACCGAGCTGAAGCAGTTGTTCCAAGGGTACATCGTAAACGAGGTGGACTTGAACAGCGACGGCACGTGTAAGGAGAACTGCGCTTATTACGGATACAGCAGAGTGTACGGTTGCTATCAGAATCAATTTTGCTCGAGCCAACGTCGGTGCAACGGCAAGATATTGAATTGCGAGTACATCGATTCTGATATGTGGATCTGCCCCTCGGTAAGTATCCTCTGACTCCGGGAGTCATCCAATGCCTCGCGAACGATAATTCGCGATCAGGACGACATATAAAAAAAATGATTTCTACAAAGAGAAAAAGTTAGGTCGTGTGCGTGCGGTACTAATCCTGTGACTCTCTATCTCCTCAGAACAAAAGCAGCAGCAGAAGATACGAATACATCCAGTACGAGAACGGTATGGTGTACGGTAACAAAAACACGTGTTCTAGAGGCACGACGAAGGTCGATAGCTGGTGGCGCTGGTTATTCTGGCATTGCAGTTACTGCTTCTGCTATTGTGACGATCACAACTCGAGTTCTGACCGATACTTCAGCCTCAAAGCCGTGAAGTCCGATGCCGCGAATAATAAGTGAGTATATCGCAGTCGCACGTGTATCCACAGAATATTATAATTCAAGTAACGACTCGAGCAACAGAATTCTAGAATCGATAGAAAGTTTAGCAGAATTGATCACACTATTAAAATAGAGCTTCGAAGAATTTCAGGGGAATAAGCATCGATTGGATTCGTTTTATATGAAAGATAGCTAACGATACGACATCCCATTTGCTCACAGAATTATAACTGGAGCGAGACTGAAGAAAGTAAACCAAATTATTCACATACAAATTCAAGAAGGCCAGCTACTTCCACGTGGAGGGATTAATGCGTCCAGCATCCACTGGAAACCGATCGATGAATTCTCGATCATGAGCAGCGATGTGAGGAACGGCGTGGAATACCATAAACTCGTGTGGGAGAAGCGAGCTATGGATCTCGATGATCTATTGCCACCGGAAGACCACCTTTTGACAGGTATAACTTCAACTCAAAAAAGTGCATACAGATACGAATTTAACAAAACACCTTTAATAATTTAAAAAATTGGATACGTGATTGTATTATTCAGGTATTCGATTCCGCATGGTCGGTAGTCGCTTGAATTTGGAAATCAGGGCGACTCCATTCAACTTTACGTCCGGATTGTTAAATGAACCCGAGAAAAATAGTTTCTGGCACAGCAACGATATCACCGATAGGTGAGAGAATTATATTATTATAAATAGGACCTCTCTCTCTCTCTCTCTCTCTCTCTTTTTTGCATAACTCTATCAATTAACGCGTTACTTTCATTTCTCAGAACTGAGCTGACACTGAGCGAGCCCGATATACCGATTCGCGACTCTAACAATCTGCCAGATTCGAAAGTGAACCAATACCTGAACTTCGCACCCAGTGATCGACGCAAGGACGCCGCACAAAGCACTGTGCCATTCCTAGACGTGCAACCGGTCACGCCGAATCCGCCGGTGCTGATTGCGGGCGCTGGTATCTTTCACAAGGGACACAAGGGCTCGGGCGGTTTCGTCGCCTTGCGTCTCATCACTTACGACTTCACGCCGCACCTGCAGGTCGACCTACCGCCGGCACCGCCGATTCTCGATACCCCGAACGAAGTCAGAGCGTAAAGTAGCAATAACGCAACCTACATTATCCATCACCCCCCACCCCCGTCGCGAGATGTGATTTCCCAAATAGCGATTAAAAAAGAACCTGTGATCTACCGAGGACCTCAATGTCGAGGTGGATACGTACATTTAAGCTGTCAAAATATTGTTTGTAATTGCGTGTAGGTAAATATGTAGAACACATAACCGTAAGTTCCGTTCTAAACGCGTAGCTTAGACTTGTTATCGATGAATTCGTCGTTCGTAGTGTGCCAAATCGTTAATTTAACGATATTGTCGTTGATTTTAAAAGTGAAATTTCTCTCCTTTTGGGAATAATGGAATTTTGTAGAATTTTATAGAATAGGAATTGATCCGGAACGACGGATTTAGAGCGAAGCGTCTAAAGTGTGAATCTTAGATATTTGTAAGTTCAACAATACCAAATGTCAAGTCTTTCTTATAAAAGATGTATAGGAAAGATCCTTCTTTTTTTTATAAATTTCTTTAAGCTTGCAAACTTATAAATTGATATACAAACGTAAAATATAGTTAATAAAATTACTCGACAAAATTATTAACTAAACCATATTGGATTTAGAAATAATTAGGAGTAATTAAGCACATATGACAAAAATTTGTTTCTGCCATTTGGATAACTGAATACCGTTATCGTTGAAATATTTTACTTTACGAAAAAGATTCAAAATTAATGTTAATAATAATGTTAATGCTGTGCGATTTTTTTCGTATTGCGGGCATGAAAATATTTCATAAATTGTATCCCATAATTGTAGTGTGTTGCAATTAATATTGTAATTTTTTTATACTGTACGTAATATAGATTTTTTCTTTACGTTTCGCCATACATAACTATTCAAATATATATGATTTTCACAAATATATCGTCAAGAAAATATGTAAAAATAAATTGTCATATATATGATAGAATTCATATATATTTGTGTACACGATGACTACTTCCCAATAATAACTTATCGCGAACGCATGTAAAAGCATAGTTAATCGAAAAGAGAACGCCCCTTATTCGGAAAATTATTAACCCTTTACGAGCTACATTATAGCTTTTCGTCTAAAACGCGAGCTGACTTACTATTAACTTACTCACATAAATATCGAATCTGTCTATTAACAGTCTATCGAATTTTAAAAAGTCGCTGTGAGATGCCCTAAGTCGTTTTTACCCAATTCAATAAAATCAAATTCTCAATCATTTTTGTACAATTTAATCAAATATAATTAAATAACTTGTTATCAGTACAAAAAACTTGAGACGATCTTTTAGACGATGTTTATCGCGAACCGCAAAGGGTTAATTATTATTGGGACGGAAAGAAAAGAGCACTCACCTGCACCCGCAACGGATGCATCATGAGAAGATGCAGCATATCCTTGGGTGGTAGCAGGTCATGGAGAGATGCTCCCTGTTGTCTGATCGCTTGACACATGAATACTGCGAAGTATCGGTGAAGCGGCAGATGAAACGATATTTGTAGACTGTCACTCTGGAGGATTGAAAGAAAATATGTAACTTTAATAATATTCCAATCAAACAAATCGACGAGATTTCTGCCCGATATAAAGTCGTTAAATAATAGTCTAAAACTAGTCCGTTTTTAATACTTTCTTATTTAATATAGAATACTTTATTGTCTACTATCATGTTTTATTTTTTAAATTTATTGTACGCGCATATTTCTAGTAATTATACTGATATATGAAAGTTTACACAATAACACCAATACCAAAATTAATAAATTATTAATAATTCGTATTATTTTATTAATAAAGGCTTATGTCCCATTTTTTCCAACATTTCCTATACATTTCCTATAAGGAAATAAACGCAAAATAGGGCTAAATTTGACCACACTGTTCTTAGATTTAGAGTAAAAATTACACTCACCACATTCGGCTGTGTGTAATTGACGGCATCTAACCAATCTTGCAAAGCTGTTAAACAAAATGTAAGTACTCTACGACTAAGAGTAGAACTCTCAGGACCACGAAGATGCGAAACTAATGCCCACATTGGATATGCACTAGCTTCTAATTCAGCACTGAACGCTGCATAGTATGTGTTAGGTTCAAATTCGACGTGCTGACTCAACTCCCGTTGATTCACATTCATACCTGTGACACAAGAATTGGAATATAACAATTAAAATAACGGTCTATCATGAGACTTTTGTAAAATATATGAAATATACATAAGATAAGAAATATATAAATTTCTATAAAATAGAAATAAATGATATAAAACGTGTTTTTCTCTGATTTGTTACATAGTTTTCAAGAAAAATATTGTTTAATATAAAAATAACGCGTCTATTTGTCTACTTGATTGTGTAATGACATTGATGTTTTTTTCTTTAATTTCAGATTCCACCAACAATTGAGCCATCATCTATAGCTTAATTGTTAAATTTATCAATGGACATTATAAATACCTTGAAACATAGACAGGAAATCAAACCACATTTCTAGAAGAGTATTATCACTCATAAATCTGACAGCGACTGGTTTATGCGACAGTACATTGTTCAAATCAGAAACTAATGGCCAATAACAATGCTCTTTCATCACTTGACGTCCGCAATCCACGACGTAATGAAAGTTTTTGTCTGGATCTGAAATATAGAAATGAGAATCTTGTAATTTGGCACATAAAAGCTGTCATCTTGTTATTCAGGCATGTTCCGATTAATTATGATTTATTATTAGCAGGATATACGTACCGTGCAAAGTATTTTGAATGAGTATTTTGCTCATCATGTATTTCAAACTGATAACCATTACATGTAACAGCTTTAACTGATCAACCATCCTTAATGCTAGGCTTTCATTACTAAACAGCTGAAAATTTTCAGATTAAAAATTAATACGTTATAAAAGAATAGAAACAATCTAATGTTCCATTTTTGGAACAAACATTTGATTATGAGATAATTTCCGTACTAAAATGGTTTCATTAAACAATATTCTTTTAATATTTGCTACTTTTCAATATTTAATTTTAAAATATTAAATTATTCGAGAAAGCTATTGCACACAATTTACACAATGTTCGCATGGCTTAAGGGAAATTGCACATAATTATCCCTTTAAATAGACGCCACAATTATTGTACAAAGAATTTTACATAAAATGTAATAGTTAAGGAGCCTAATTAAATTATTTAATATTAAATGGGTTAATAAAATAATTACCTGTACGCTAACATGTACTACTCTATTGCTCAGCGTATCAGGATCTGTTGAACGTTCAAGCATCATTGAGATTCTACTGTAGTGTAAGACAAACGCGCGTGTTAAAGCCTCCTTGTAATCGGGATCCGGCAGCATGTTCAGTAATAGACAGACCAATTTCTGCGGAAACTCGTAGGCGACAGTCCAGAACATCAGTTCCTCCAGGAATGTGGTATGCTCCAAGTGTTCTTGAAGTGACACGCATTCTGCAACGAAGCAATCATGTTGTAGATGCCATTGTGATATTATATTGTAAACTCGACATTTGCTTTAGCAAATCTCAAGAGCTCCCTGCATATAAATCGTTTGTACTATGCGGAATCAAGAGAGAGAGAGAATGGCTCTTACCTTTGTATTCATCAGGAGGTTCTGGATTTGGTAGAGACTTTACGGCATGTTGGTATATTTTATTGCTATCTTGGCAATAACTATCGTATTCCGATTGTCCCGTTAAGATAGATGGATCCATGAGACCACGATACTTCTGTGGATTTGTAAGGGCTGACGTCATAACGTGCCTCATAAGGGCACCCATGTTGTTCAAGTCGAGTAGCATGCTCAAGTATCCGTCAGCCTCATGTATAGCACCTCTATAGTCTGGCACACCCATTTTACTGAAATACAAAGCAATAGTATACTTACTGATGTTGTTATCGTTATTAATAATTAATAATAATTATTATGAATTATTACATTACTACTGTGATTACAGCAATTTTATTGTAACATTACTATACCTTTTAAATACAATAATATAAAATAAATCCCATGATAAAAAAGCTTCAGCATAGCTTAATACCCGTACAATTACGAGTAACACATAGTACAGAAAAAAGAATCCAACTTCATTTCGTTTTAATCAACTTCTTGTACTCCTTAACATACCAATTTTCGCGTAAATGCTGTATGAGCCGAAGAATAATTCTGGGCATCATCGCTTCAGCCACGCACATGAGATCCGACGGTGCAGCTGATTTATTTACAGCAGCCTTTGGCCCGTGCTTATCACAAAATCTGTAAGATAAGGTAGATTAATTAGAGATCAGTCGGAAAGTAGGAGCAAAATATGTTTGATGTAATATATTATTGTCTGTTTTACCCAGTCTCCTTCATCACAGATGTATCGCCACAGTCGCATGCACCTCCTGCTTGGCTAAGAAACATGTTGAAGTCATGGCGATGGTGATTGCCTTTTTTGAAGCATTCAGTGCACAGGGACATGCATGGTGATATGCCGCATGTACGACAGCGATAGGCAACAAAATTTGGCGTCCAAACTAATCCACATGTAGTAGCATTGTCATAAATACGTACTGAAATACATAGCAAGTTTGATAAATAATCTAATAAAGAAGTCGTGACTTTTTTACATCTTAAAACTATTCTTATGTAACAGGAAAATATAAGTTTCAGATGTAAGTCTTGTAACATGGATATTAGGCTAACTTCATCAGCTATAGATATGATTCTATACTTGTTCTTGTGACTATATGTTTATAGTGCAAAATTGGTTGTTGCCAAAACTGCAAATTACATCATATCTATATCCAGATACCGTTTATAAACTTTGTGATACTTCAAGTTAGAAAAGAGATCAAACTATCTAGTGCTCATTGCCAGAAGAAATATAAACTATCAAGTTAGAAGTCAACAAAAATCTTAATCAGATGTTGAGAATTCATTATATGCCATACAGATCATTCTTCATTATAAAAATAAGGTTTATCATAAACTCATTTATCATTTAAACAATTCATAAATTCAATAAAAGCAGTAACTTATTTACCATTTGAACAATTTGGCTTCATTATATCTGCACAAGCAATCCAATTCAAAGGAGAAACTAATTATTTATTGTATCATTATTTCACAAGAGTAATTTGATTTTATCAACAATGACAATCCTTATCATTTGATAATTCAACGGAAACTGTTGAAACACAAAACGCTATTAATCTTTTTCAAAGACACACGCTGTCTCACATTGGTGAATCATCAAAATCACTTCAATAACATAAACTATATCAACAACCGGTACCGTTTAATAACATCTCGATTAAGATTCCCTGGGCAAAGCTCTAATTTCATCTCTCTAACCACACATTCCACCACAGCATCAGACCATAAAATATCCTGTATTAGCCACCTGTGCTGGCGAACTCATCAGGCGTGCGGCCACCAGCCATCAACCACTTGCACCAGTCGATGGTTTCCCAGTCGTCGATAGCCTTACTGGGATTCAGCAGGATATCCAGCAGCTCGTTGAGGTGCTGAGTACCGCCGCCGCCGTCCAGGCCTGGCTTGCTGCACTCGGCGTGGATGTAAGAGGCTGCGCCGCGTTTGCCCTTGTACATGAGGATCTCGGCCGAAGGGCTGGAGCTCGAGGCCATGCTGATAAGCGTGCCCTGCCTCTCTCTTGGAAGAGGACGACGTTGTCGCCCGTCGTCGTCGTGGTCGTCGTCGTTGATGTACTCGCACCAGGAGGAACAATCTCACAGGCTTAGCCGTGGAGCACTGTCTGTTCTGCCATCTACCACAACACGATGAACTATAGGAGTGCTGCATGTATACTATGTACATGTGTGGCTTGTGTGTGTATGTGTATGTCCATGTGTATGTTTATATGTGTGTATTGTCCATGTGTTTATTACTTTATGATGTATTTAAACTTACTTCTTTTTTATTTCTTTTCAGTTGATTGTCATCAACATATCTCATTTTTCAAATTATAAATATAATTGTGCGAATAACTTGAAGAAGAAATTTAATAAAGTTAAAAAATAATACACTATTGTATAAACATTTGTAATATAAAATATATGTATAATAATAATGACATTGTGAACACAGTATATATTAAATTGTGAATATAGTATTTATTAAAGCAAAAAAAATTATATGTATATATTTAGCATAAATACTTGATAAATATATATTTTCTTTAAATATTATACTAGAATATTATTATTTGCAATGTTTTAACTTTATGACATTGGCACATAAGAATTGCTAATTTTCTTGAAATAACCAGTAAATCCTTTCAACAACTGAAAATTTTATTAATATTTGAGATATATCTTATCAAATAAGTAACGTAATCATTAGTGATATAACTATGAAAATTTTAATAATTTTATTTAGACACATGTAGTTTCCAAATTTTACATGTTCTTTGATACTATGTATGTTATATATATTAGAAACTAAATTTATATATTATTACTATACATATATATATATATATATAATGATATTGTGTTTAACATTAGATCATTATTTTTTAGTTAATATCTCTAGATATATCATAATGTATTCTTTGATATTAGAGTTTCATAGATAAGAAATAATATGTTATTTATAAAAATTTTCTAAAATAAAAGCTCATATTTTGTTGAATTAATATGTTACATATTGCTAAAATATAATATATATTCATGGAATATTGCAAGTAATTATTTTGCAACCATAAATATTTCTTGTAATTTTTTTGCATCTTACCTGTATGTATAAATTTAAAAACAGCTTTTAATAATTACAAAATATTAAATATAAAAGTCACAGAATGTTAAATATAAAAGTTTGGCATTTCTAATTTTTTAACTTTTAACTAGCTATTTAACTTGTAGGAAAGAATCTTTTCATCATTGAATATCACCATATCTATTTCATGATGCATAATTATTTTCAAAATAGAGTTCTGTGCTGTTGTAGTTCATTGTTTGTCACTTGTATTTGCACATACATATTTTGGAACCATACACAATTATTGATTTAAAATAGAAAGTATATGCTTATAAAATTCTTGGATATGATTTGCACAAGTACTGCAAATTTACTTATTAATACGCTTTTGATTTGCTCCAAAATTATATCACATGTCTTTAGTAGAAATACACATAGTTTTACACCACTTTTACATTCTATCACATTGCACTTTTTGCATAACATTATGGAAATATGTGCAAAAACATATTATTTTATAACCTGGTACTATCTGTTCGTTTTGACACAAAACATGCACCAACCTGCCTAACTATCCTTGTTTAAGAACTTGTTCTGAACTGCAGATAGCTCCAAACATTTGAACACTACAGAATCACAAAGTCTAAAATTCTAAACTTCAAAATTCCGGACGATTTTCTACGGATTTCAGGCTTTTAACGAAACTTCAGAACAAGAAGACCGGCTCGTGAGCCAGGTGAATGCTTTCGGCCAGCGACCCCATATCAGTAGCCGACAAGTTTCGTCTCGCCCCGTCGACCCGGACAACGTCTGAGTTGTCATTGAGTTCTGTCACTTGAAAATAAATAAAAAATATTCTAAATAAATACAAAATATTACGATCTGTCATAAAGTTGTTATATATAATGCGAGGTTGACATAAATTTTTACAATTATATTGCCGATAGAAGATTAACAACAATTAGACTTGACAGTTTTCATGTTGACCAGTTGTATAACAAATGAAAATTATGTGATTGTTAACATCATTTTTCAACTATTTCAAAAGTACATAAAAGAGAAATGTATGCAACTATATAATCTATTAATCACCTAAGTTCAAAAATAAAAGGGTCACTCTTTTTCCGATCCTAAAAAATAAGCAAATTTCAAAAAAGGCTATAAATTCTATAAAAAAAAAGTAATATTATAGATGCTTGCAAAAATTCATAAAATCACAAATAGATGCCGTCGACACAGAACATTATATTTATGTTAAAATTTCGCACTCAACAATATAAATGTAATATAACACACATGGTGTTGAGTGCGAAATTTTAATATAAATGTAATGTAACTAATGCTCTGTGTCGACTGGGAATTACCGCCTGCTCTTGTTACGAATTACGAATGTAACAAGAGTAATCAATAATAATTCGGATAATAATTAGAAGATGCAATTTTTTACAAAAATATGTATAGAAATGCATATGTACAAAAAAAGAATCATGTGCTGTTGAACGAGGTGTAAGTTTGTGCGCGATGCCGTGTTTCTCAAACCCGCAATTATAGGCGTACCACAGATACGAACCGCCAATAAATGGGTGTAGAACGGATACGCACCAAATAGAGACTTTACCGGCAGCGTCTGCAAATAGGCATAGTCAACGTAGTTCCCGGCTACAAATGGGCGCAGATGGCGTTAAAATCAGTCATCAAAATGCATGTCGCCACTAACGCCGGCGTGGCCGCTCTCAGGCTTCTCTCTGATATAAGCGTGTCTAACCTATTGTTAAGTTTCATTGCTAAATTCATTTGAAAATACGTCAAACTTATTATTGAATCACGCGTATGGCTCCTATTTTTCGTTTAGAACGGTGAAAATTCACGGAGGTTTTAGAATTAATTATGTTATGTAACAAGTGTTTTGAGTTTATTAAATCCGTTATTCAATAGCCTACCTATCGCCATCTATTGATGTTAGGTAATAATTCGTTCGCTAAAAAGATTTGAATTTCGACTAAATATGGTTTGAATCTTGATTAAGATGTTAGTTTTAAAGTCATCGTTATGAGTCGCCACTGTACTGCTAATTAGGTCGTGATATAACTAAACTCAAGTTAAGCCAGCGGCACACGATGCTTGTTTTCGTGCTGGATTGCTTGCTGGATGAAAATACTGCGTTCTGATTGGTACATTTCTGAAGATGAATGGAAATGCACCAATCAGAACGCAGTATTTTCATCCAGCAAGCAATCCAGCACGAAAACAAGCACCGTGTGCCGCTGGCTTTAGACTTCTAATTTTCAAGTAGTATAACTCAACGAATTGTTAGCCGCACATTCCATTTTGTAAAATATGGGTAAAATTGAACAGGCTGTAATTTCGACACAAATGACGGCAATGGAATGATTCGAAAAGCATTATAAAGCTTGAAGTCTCTATTTTGCAGAAATTATTTAATGAATATTGTGCGCCAATTTGCTAGCCTTCTGAGTAAGTAACCGAAACCAAAAGGGCATTTCTACTTTGCGATATTAAATAATTCTGTGAAGAAAACGTATCATAATTTATATGTACGCGATCTCAAAAACAAGATTCACATCTTCAAACAGTGTAAATTCCATTTGTATGTGACTTTTCCCTCAGACGGTACAATTCGATAAACTTTATCAAATATTTTGACATTGACGGACTTTGATTTATACTGAATAATATTATAAATAATAGGTTAAGTTTATGTTTGAAAACATGCTTGGAATCTAGAAGCTTCACATTCTAAAATATTTCTCGAACTCTATTCAATTACTCCCATTTTTATAATAATGACATTGAAGTTTGCTTACTCTTCATGTTTGAGAAAAGTGATCCTTTAATTTTTACACATGGATGCATAACAAACTACGTAATTATCAATACATTTCTCTTCTATGTGTGTTTTGAAATAACTGAAAGTAAGAGGAATAACCACACGATTTACGTCTGTTACAAAACTCGCCAGAAGCGACAATTCAATCGATATTAATCTTTCACCTATATATCGGAAAATTTGCGCTACCCTCGCGTGCTTTGTACAGTAGCTTTGCAAATATTTTCCGACGGCGTGACATCTTTTAATCGCGTCGCATCGTTTCTCTTTTTATCAGGCACTATTCCGTGCAATGTCCAAAGGTCACCGGTGAGTGCCGAGAGAGGTGTATTAAAAGAAATGAGAAAAAGGACAATCTCGGCACGTATAATTAGCATAGAATTTTCCTCCTTTCCGAGTACGTAGAGCGAAAGTTACGTTGAAGGTAGCATAGCGGGACGATAGCGTCAGCGCGCTAGGGGAGGGTCACGGCGGTGGAGGTGTCGGCCAGTGGCGGTGGCGCGGGCGACGGGGCGATTGGAACGTGACCTACGCAGGAGATGTCGACCACAAGATGACAGCGGCCGTATGACAACGCTGGGCTGGTTAGCTGGTGAACGCCGTTGCCTCGACACCGGCTTGACGCGACAGTAAACACCGGGAAGACGTCAGAGGAGTTTTATGCACGAGGTGTGCACCTGCCGCGAGCGCAGCCGTAGCCGAGCGAGTAGGGCGGATCGAGATAAATAGATAGATAAACGAGCAGGTTCACTCGACATCGTCGTCCTCATCGTCGTCGTCGTGCGATGCACACAGCATCCTGAGGTTACTCGCACGCTGCTGGAGTCCCGAAGTGTCGCCGCCGACGAGGAGCGCTGGCCAGCGGCATGAGCGTCTTCGGGGACTTCCAGCGTGTCTGGGTGCAGCGCTTCCCGGACAGCGCCTTGCCGGCTGCCTGGGAGGAAGACGTTCGAGCAAATTTGGTCAAGCACAAACAGAAGGTGAGTGTGTGTGTGTATGTGTGTGTCTGAGTGCGAGGATCTTCGTCTGGGTGGTTCCACGAAACAGGAAGAAGGACGAGGACTGACTGGTCCTACGATTCGGCCAGCTGAAATGTTTTCCTACTTGAAAATTCTTGAATCAGGTTTCTGTGAGAATTTTGGATGAAGTTCGGTGGCTAATTATAAAATACAAGCATGAGGAGGTCATATTGGAGGATGCTACTTGCGTAACATATAGGTTGTGGTTTGCCAGGAAGTGTCATAGTGCTCATTAAGCTTTTATTAGGTAGATATTAATATTGGGTAATTTATATGTGCTGTGTGCATATGCGCACGCGCGCGCGTATGTGTGTGTGTGTGTGCATGGAATAGGTTTTATTTAATTCAATTAACATCATAGAGTGGTTTGATGAGTCATCATATAGTCCAGAAAACTCCATATCTGTTGAATCTTTTGACATGGAGTTTTTATTAAGAAATTCAAGCAAACTCTTAAATATAATGTGATCACTGTGGATTGTACAGTCAAGAATGTATGAGATAAGGATGCGTCTTGCATAACTAAGAAGTTGCGTGTATGTGTGTGCAAAGTGTCGTAATGTTTACCAGGTATTTATTAGTCACATTTGAGTATTGTGAGTTTCTATGTGTATGTTGAAGATGATAGGGTTTTACAAGGAAACATGCATGAGCAAAATGGTAACGTAGAGAACAAGACTGGAGCGAAGAAAATTAAATTTCACTGCTTGTAACGAAAACTTACTCATGTGTAATTCAATTAACACCACTCGGAATGGCTCGATGACTCATCATCAAATTAATAGTCTGAAACTTGTTACTGACAGAGTTATCCTGATGTTTGAAGCATAAGTTAACTGCTGTTATTTTTAATCCCTGATAATTTCGACTAATAAATAAATAATGAATGAAAAAAAAGATATAAACATTGGCTTCCTGTTTTGAATGTGCTGTTCGTGAATCACTTGAGAGTTATCTCCATTCTATTATCACAGTATATGAAGGAAGCTGATTAGGTCATGTAAAAGGTTTAAGCGGTTTTGCGTTAATTGATTGTTATAGGAATAATTTTATGCAAGACATGGTGTGTATATATATATATGTATATATATATATACATATATATTTGCAACAAAATAAAAAATAAATAGATACTGCATTAGTATGATTTATTTTTCTATTAAATTATTAATACTAAGTAATTTTATATGGTAAATCATATAAATGTATCTTTTTTTAAATTGTAAAAGTATGTTATAACATAGTTTTACAATTTTTGGTGAGGCAAAGAATTTTTTGAATGTTCTGATATCTTCTAAGGGCAATTTAATTCATTTTCATTCATTAAACAATCACGCTCATTAAATTCACCCAAACTATTATTAATATTAAATAATAAAATTTTCCCTGCAGGTCACAGCGTTGAGAGAAGAACTTGAGAAGGAGGAATTTTATGTGGAATATCTGGAAAGATTGCTGGCTGATGTCGAGCGACATAAACAGCTGTCCAACAGCACTAATGCGACAAGCATATCCGAGAACAAACAAACGGCGGACTCGTCGCAGTCCCAACAAGACGGTCAAGCGTCGGAGAAGAATATCGCGGCAGATCCGCCGAATTCGCCGAGTTCGCAGAACGTCGAATCGTCCGTCCCTCCCATTCTTACAGAACGGGAGGACATCAGCAAGTTCCAGGACAAGTGCGTTTCCGAATTGAGCTCCACTCTCGGCACGGCCAGCAGAAGGCCGAAGAGCGAGATACCAAGGAGTCCCGAGAAAGTGCCTGAACTTAGAAGAAACAGCGATCCGGATGTGCCGAGCAATTACGTCACTGTGATCGAGGTTACTGGCAGCTCGAAGAAAGAAAAGAACGAGGAATCTCTGAAGGAGGAAGATGAGAAAGGTGGGTTTATCGAGTCGGGTTGTTTGCTTGTGTACGAAAGCACGTGAGAAATCTCGGCTTGTTAATCTTTTACCTAAAAGAGTCCATCTGCCGGGTGTCAATAAGTTTGTTTGTTCCTCGAGTATAATATACTTTGTATTGACATACCATCCGCAACTTTGTGTAGATTTAGAAAAGGCGATCAACGAAGACGGTGAAGATGGCGACGCGGAAGCGTCGGAGGAGGAACCTTACTACGATTCAGTAGCCCTGGATCAGACCGGCGAATATGTGTATATCGACGCGCGCGTGCCGGCTGTCAACAGCAACAACGACGGCGGCAAAGCGGCGGCTCCTCGAAGACCGCCGTCGCTGCCGGACTCGCCGGGCAATCAGAGTAATTATGTCAACATCGATTATTTCATACAGTAAGTCGTCGTCGTCGTCTTTCAAACTCTACCTCTACCTCAATCGTAGCATGCGAACCGAGCGTGATCAATACTATACGCAACGTGTGTTCTGTCAGACACCGAGCAGCGATGGACAGCGAGGACGAGGAGGGTGCCAGCCCGGCGCCTCCGATCTTGCTGCGAGCTCTCAGCACCGATAACGAGACCGGTAGCAGTGACGCCGAGCCTCTGAGCTTAAGCGAAGGCAGTTTGGAATCGCCGACTCCTACGACACCGCGTAGGCAGGAGAAGAGCAAGGATCGCGAGGACGATAGGACGTCGATGGTCAAGTGTATCGTGAACTCGGTGGTGGAGAGTGAAGCTGTATACGTGGAATGTTTGACTGTGATGTTACAAGTACGTTGTTGCTTTCTGTGAGAGTTGAAGATAAATGATAAATTATTTATATAAAGAGCGATCATAGAGTTATAATTAGAAATATACTATATCGTATCAATGTTAATTCATCGCTTTCTCTCTTTTTTTTTTTTTTTTTTTTTACAGTATATGAAAGCTATTAGGGCAACTCTGACGACATCTCAACCGGTCATCTCGGAGGATGAATTTGGGACGATGTTCTACAAAATTCCGGAACTGCATGGTCTGCATCAGACGTTTTTGGACGGTCTTCGGAAAAAGACGGAGAAATGGGACAGCAAGACTACTATAGGAGAACAATTTAAGGTTGATTCGCGTTACTCGTAGAAGTTGCTGTGTAATACGATCAGAGAGTGAATATTCCGCGATAATTGCATTTCTTGCGGAACAAAAGTGTATTAAAAATATGTCTTGGTTTGCACGATCTTCTTTTCGTCTAATTAGAATCACGCATGTAATAAAGTGCATCTTATATAACGTATCATGTTGGGGTTTCAGATTATGGCCAGTAATATAGGATTATACGGTGCATTTTTGCATAATTATGCTCGCGCGACCGATACCGTGCGACGGTGTTCCGCCCATTCTACTCAGTTCGGAGAGATCACTAGAGATATAAGACTCAGAGGTTTCCCGAAGGGCCCGGGTTTGTCGCTAGAGGACTTGCTGCACAAGCCAGTTGCACGAGTGCAGAAGAACGCATTAGTTTTACACGTAAGTATATTGTTATAATTTTACGAAATTGTGTAACATTTCTGTTGTGACGGATAACATTCTGGGAGATCTTGTGTGTGAATTTTTCATTCATGCGATATATAGACGCGAGAGCGTCTCAGAGACTTTCTATACTAATACAATTGATAAAACCATGATGATAACTTACTACGAGCCTCATGATGTTAGCATGATGTTAGTTTCGTCGCTATCTTCCACTTATCTTATCTGCTATTCCATATCGCTGATTCGTTTCTTTCTGCGACTTCCACAGGATCTTCTCAAGCATACACCAGTCAACCATGCGGATCACGCGCCTCTGTCAGAAGCTCTGGCTATGACCAGGAACTTCCTCGATGAGTTCAATATCATTCAGACGAAGTCCATGTTTCCGGTAAGACGTGCAACGTGATTCACACTCGCGCGATATTATAACGCGATTATACGACGACGATAATCTTTATGCTCCAATTTGTACATATATTTGTACGTATATTAACGAACGATGAACGTATATAATATATGCGTGTAATAAATTCAATGTGTATGTATAATCTGTGCAGTGAGTTTGTGACGTTCATACTCGACGACGTTTCTTTAATGCAGAGTCACGACAGAGCTCAACGAAGATTGGTGAAGAACTCGTTCGTAGTAGAACTGTCCGACGGTCACAGAAAGCTGCGACATCTCTTCCTCTTCAACGACGTGATCGCGTGCGCCAAGTACAAAGCATCCGGTAGGGACAAGTTCACGTTCGAACTGAAGTGGTACGTGCCGGTGGCGGAGGCCGCCGTTACGGAGGACGGTATAGAGCCGCGCGAGGCCAGTCCCGCTAATGTGGTAGCTTTAAGGTGAGCTTTCAAAATTGCTTGCGATTCGTCGCTACGTGTGCTTTAGATGTCGTATACACTGCAAAACTATTTTAGAGACACGATCACGGTCGAGATATAAGTTCCTTATCAATTTGGAATAACAATGGAATAAATACTTAAAGAAAATACCGCGTCTTCAGGTCGCAAGCTTGTACAGTGCGTGACCAGATATTGTGGGAAGAGCGGAATGACGAAAAGCGTATCAGGCTGGGCGGCAGAGGCTCGGAGAAAAATCGCAAGAAACTCGCCGAACTTGAAGCTCAACTAGTGTTGGCCTCTCCAAACCTAGTTCTGCGTGTCGCACACAAAAGCCAGCAGAATCGAGTGCAAAATTCGTACACTTTCTTCCTGTCCAGTGAGTTTGAGCGTTCTCAATGGGTGGAAGCGGTAGAAGCATTGCAACAGGTCAGCTCAAAGTGTTTGTAGCAATTAAAATATTTACAGATGTATTATTTTACTTAGTGTCGTAGAGAACGTGACGAATAGTAATTACTTGTCTACCTTTACAGGGCGGTCAGCCTCCAGGACAATTGCCGCTATCGATGTACGAGTTGCAAGCTTGGGTCACGGCTTGTCGGACGTACCTGCAGACGGACATGGGCAGCTACTTGTTGAGGTCGGGACGCGACGAGAGCTTGCTGTTGGGTGATCTTCATCTCACGCTGCTTGGTCTAACTCCACCAGGCTTGGACAGAGTGGGTGATCTTTATATTATCGTGGAGGTCGACAGCTACGGACATTATTTTAAGAGGGCACGGAGTCGCATTGCGAGAGGTCAAGCTCCAATTTGGGGTAACTATATTTTTTTAATTGTAATCGTAGATTTTTTAACCTGCAAAGACTATAATTTAATAATAAGCAAATGTTCCATGCAACTTGTAATTATCGGTCTGATATTTTTAGAAATAAAAAACGTTTTAGAGAGAGATTGTAGTCTGATTATAATTGCGTCATAAAGTGTGCATAATTTAATAAAGTAATTCTTAATCACAGGCGAGACCTTCGTGGTGGAGTTGGAAGGAAGTCAAAATGTCAGAATTTTGTTGTACGAAGAATGCGGGACGCGTTCAGTGCTACGAGGGAAATGCATTCAGCGACTGAGTAGATCCTGGCTGCAATCTGATCAGGTGGAAAGGTCACTGAATCTGGGACCTGCAACGTTAGACGTAGCACTGCGTTTCGTTCCTAGTGAAGTCACCCTGAGGCGAGTGCCGTCAGCCAAACCGCAGGGTTTATTTGGCGCCAAGATTCAGCAAGTTTGCAAGTACGCAACATCTCAGGAACTGTTCTAAGCCATTTCTTTCTTTCATGTTTCAATTATTAGGATCGACGGTTATATATATCATACCTTTTTATAGGCGAGAAAAACGCGACGTGCCTTTCATAATAACGGCATGCGTGCGAGAAGTGGAGAGACGGGGTGTTGGTGAAGTGGGCTTATATCGCGTCTCTGGTTCGGCTTCTGACCTGGCGAGGCTACGCAAGTCGTTCGAGAGCAACTCATACGAAGCGGAACAACTGCTCAAAGAGGTGTGCTTATTTTGCTTACACATTAATTTTTCATTTTTTAATTTCTCATTAGACAAATAATTTTCACGGGACGAGAAACGTGCACGATGAGAATGACTTAACTTCGTGTTACTCACACCTTTCTCACACCTTCTATAATAGGTGGACGTGCATTCAGTGACAGGCGTACTGAAGCTATACCTGCGCGAGATGCCAGAGGCATTGTTCACCGACGCGCTTTACCCGGCGTTCTTGGAGGCCTTCCAGACGGGCGATATATCGCGGGGACCCGCGCTACGTCGCGTTTACGAGGGTCTGCCGACCGTCAACAAGGCAGTAATAGACTTCTTGCTGGCTCATCTAGCGCGTGTTAACAAACATGAGGCGCAGAACAAGATGTCATTGCACAATCTGGCGACGGTGTTCGGGCCGACGTTGCTGCGACCCGGTACCAACTCGCGCAACGACGCCAAGAGCCGCGATCCCCTCGCTGCCGGTACCGTCGACGTGATGGCGCAAGCCGGCATTCTTTACTGCTTCCTTCAACTGCACATGCAACAGAACAATCAATCGCTCTAGTCGACAGAGTCCCTTCCTCCCTGATCTCGCGTCGTACGATTCGATTCGAGGTCGTTGGCGAGAAACGCGGCAATCTTCTCTCCGACGACGCGAACGAGATCATGTGGGGTTGTCTGAAAGACGGTCTTTAAGGTTTCATCGAGGTCGATTAGGTTTAGTTGGTTGAACGTTTTGTACATGTGTAACGAATTTCGGAACATAATATCTTTTTGTTACAATCGAATGCGAGAGATTATAATTGGAAATTTTACGTGAAGATTTTAGTTATAAATTCTATGTTGCCTTTGAATGAGAATTAATGTGAATGTTTAATTTTGTCTGATTGATGAAACCAGCTTGCTAGCGACGTAGCAACGTAATCGACTGTGATCGATGAGACCAATATTGCCAATCTTCGTTCTTTGGACAGCCTTTCTTTTACTGACGATCGTATCACCAGCCTCCTTCGTAGTTTCACGCGGCGTATCCCTCTTCAAGCGACTTCCAGATAGAGGTCCACGGAGAGCCAATAATGTGAAATGTATTAAAGCGGTAGACTGCTGCTGGCTTCGATGGAACTCCCTCCACATACGAGGATGGAACTCCCTCTGTATTCGTGCGCGTGCAAAGTAACGTAGCAGAGCTGCTCTTAGAGAACGTACAAGCGTCATAATAATATATAATATACATATACATATATATCTTTTTACTTTCGAGGTCCATAATATATTTTCTACTCCGCGTATTATCAGCGAGCGCGAGAGGGACGTGCGGGTCTCTGCTGTTCGCGCGCGATCAAATTTTTCGATGACCTGCCCCAAGAGATGAAATTTGCGAAGAAGCGAGGAAGAAGCAGTCTAAGTGGTGCGAAAGTTTCAGGCGGAATATTGGCCAAAGAAAATCGGTACGAGGAAGCAAATCAATATAAATATTATGTTAATTCTTAACTATTGCAGTAATATTCTGTTAAGTACTTGTATACTAAGAGACTATTCTGAAAATCGAAGTGGAAATGGAAAATCCTATTAAAGTTTAAGTCTTTGACAACTAAAAAGAGAACGAACAATTTTTGTAAGAAATCTAACATTGACATTTTGCAAGCCTGAAATTTATGCACTGTGAAAGTGTGCAACCCGAATGATACGAGGATCTGAGAGAAGACATAAGAACCTTCCACGAAGTTCATAAAGTTCTTGGAACACTTCGAATATCTTCCAGATGTCTTAAATCTTCGAGAAGCTTTTTAGATCTCTCTGTTGAATGTGCTCAATTTTTAGGATATATTTTGGATACATAAATTTCTTGAAGCATTTCCAGAACTGTCAATTTCTAGAAACGTCGATTATAAACTAACGTCCACATTACGCATTATAAATATTTGAGACATCTTCTGAACTCGATTTTTATACGTCTCTTGGATTTTCGTGTCGCTCGAGAACAAAGTCCGGTTGCGATTTGTGCTCTAGAAAATAAGTACTTTTTCACATGGCGTGTTCCTATAACAAAGAATCTAAATCTTTTTATACGACCCTTTTTGTATATCCGCGTTGCAGGAAGCAATGCGGGTTAATCTTATCGCCGCCCTGAGTAATCATATGGATCTTGTACTCTCGTATACTCACAAACAGCGTTAATCTCGCAAGCGCCAAAGTATCCAGCGAAAAGAAGGATAGAATGAGAGAGTGAGAGAGTGCGAGTGTCAGTGAGAGCGGTTCGTCGTTCCCGAGGATTCGCGTTATTTGCGGGAACTGCGCCCCGCCGTCATAGTGTGCAAAATGGAGAACCTACGTTATACGTGGTAACGTAATTATATCGTCCATTCCAATTTACGAACTCGCGAAATTCTCCACGAAGAATCGAAATTCTGAGAGAGAAAGAGAGAGAGAGAGAGAGTGAGAATTCGAATTTTTGTGAATAAAGGAGAGAAAGAATAACCGTCTCGGTACTGAGAGGTGATCTCTCAGAATTTTGGCACAAAAAGACATACGATTGCGAGAAAGAGAGATAGAGAGAGATAAAGATTGCCAAGCAGACTGCTTGATAATTAAGCTGTGATTAGACTGATCGCATTCAGAGAACGCGGAACTTCCTTCCAGTCAGTATGAATATCAAAAGGATGTCTAATAGTTGTCTAATAGTTGTCAGTTGTTCGGGCATTTATTAGCCGGCTATTACAAATTTACATTTTTCAGACACAATATGTGTCCGGAGGCGTATAATGAACATTTTTAATTTGTCAGACATCCTCTGTTAGGTATTCTGAATTTTTGAAACCATCTCTAGCCACCTAAGAGAAACGTCCTTTAATTATATTTTAACATGTTTTTCTAATTTTGTTTTTCATTCCGTTATGAACATTGATATTTTTCGACCGAAATCTCAATAAATGTGCGAGCTTGTCGTACAATTAACTTCATTGTTGTCTAAATGCAGCTTAATGAGACAAGAGCCAAAGAGAAAGGTCCTTTCTCGCGCGTGCAAGGTGTTCCAAAGAAGCAAATCGAATTGACTAAAATGCGATTCTTTGCGAAAACCTAAAATAAATTTATTTTCATACGAAACCTCGATTGTGAGAGATCTCGATTCTCTTGAATGGACGAATTGAAAAGGCTTTTCTTCTCTTCTTTTCCATTTTAATTTTAAAAACTGGAAATTGATTGTATTATGTTTTTTGGAACACCCCATACGTTAGAGAAGTATAATGTAATTGATAAAGAGAGTGAGAGAGAAAGAGAGAGAGAGAGAGAGAGAGAGAGAGAGAGAGAGAGAGAGAGAGAGAGAGAGAGAGGGAAAGAGAAGACGCAAACGCGCGAGTTTGGCAGTACAAATCTAACAATCGACATATAAAGCCCCGCGCATTATGCCAGTCGTTTACGAGATTGCAACAATTGCATGCAAAAAAATATAAAAGGAAAACATATCAGTGACTTAACTACAAGTTTCCGACTTTTAAACACATCGATAAAAATGTTTTCATTTCTAGAACTAAAGGAAATTAAGACTTATATTTTTTAGCTTCTATAGACTAATATTAATTCAATTAAGAAAGAAATAGTTTCTATGTCTACATTGTTATATTAAGTTTTTATTTGGTTGGCTCCCTTTGCAGGCTTCCTTGGCAGGAAAAAAGGATAGAAAGAGAGGCGAAAAATCTCTTACTCAACTATAGTTACGTCACTGAAAGCAAGAAGAACAAAAAGAAAATAAATCAAGTCTGACGAGAGTGTTCGAGAGATAGAAACAAAACCGAATAAGTATTAAATTGTTCTATACTCGAGCGAAGGCAACTATATGTATATCTCGTGCGTGTGGAGGCAACCGTGCGTGCGTGCGTGCGTGTGCTTGTTTCTGTGTGTGCGTGCATAACTCTCCCTCCCCCTCGCCCCGTGTATTATACCGTAAAAAAAAATATCACATATATATACGTTTAATTTTGATATCGTCTTTAGCATTTTAAGGAGCGTCGTCCCCTTTTTGTACATTCATACAATACGTGTAAAGACTCAAGTTTTTCCTTCTATTATTATTTGTGTTATTATTAATATTATTATTACTACCATTATGCTATTCTATACACGAGATACACAGTTATCGTCACCTAGTAAACTATTTGTTACGAAGTTCGACCGAGCTAGCTTGTCCGCAGCGAGACGATGTACTGCCAAAAGAAAAAAAACCACAAAAACACTTAAAGTGCATAAATATACACCGAAAGTTTATAAACTTTTACATCGATCGCTTTTATTGGATCTTCCTTTATTAATAGATATTTCACCTTGACTAGTGCTTTCCGACCTAAGCTTCGCAGCTAAGTTGCGGGATGTGAGTTAGTGAGTTTTGTAAGGGATTCGAAATACGGCTAAGAGGTAACTCCCTTTCTACAATTTTTACAATATATCTCGCCGACAATATGGTATGTGTATCTCTGTAATCTCAATTACAGACAATATATAATTTTATCTTTCCAGAGATATTCTGAAAATGTGTGTATACATACATGGTGGAGTGCATTGCTATGTTTAGAGTTAACGTTAAGCACAAATTTCAGAGAAATTTAAGTGTGTTAAATGTCAAACTCGATATGCTCCAGACTAGAACTACTGCCACTCGTTCAGGAAAAATATTTGCACAATTGAGTTGTTCGATAAATAGTATAACTTTGGAATCGAATAATTGGCGTTCATATCTATTCCAGAATATTGAGCTCACTCGGACGTTCCAAGCAGTCTCTAACTGGCGGTGGTAGAGGCAATCTTACAGGCGTCGCCGCGATATTGTCCCATAAACCTGGCAACCGAGAGCCATCCGAACTGTTACACTGCATCCCTGATAAACCGATAATACGAAGATTTTAATAAAGATGTATTTCATAGCAACCAAGAGTGTTACGAATAAAAAAGGGTAAGAGTTCATTCTGTGTAAAGTTATGAATCTGTGTTTTTCAGGAATCGGTTTTATTGGTGGAATTGGTGGAAAAAAGAAAGAATCGAGAGGACAAAATTCAACTGTGAGAGGAAACGTGCAACCAAGTGTCGAAAAATAGCGCAAACCTAAAGGCGCAGCCTCGTAGAGATCGTGAAGAGTCTCCACACGAACTTTGGTCCATTCGATGCTTTTGTAGTTCGACGAGATGCCCTTCTTCTCGCTGGTCTTCTGACCTTCCCATTCTCGCATATAGCGGAAGTATGTCCTCAATGCGTCGTCACTTATGGCGCTTTTGCAAACCTAAGTAACTCAAGTCAAATCTATCAGTTGCATGGGTCTTTTTTCATTGAACAACAAACTCGTCAATGTTCGAACGAATGAATTTACTCTCTCATCACTGTCATCACTGTTCCTCATTTGATAATGAAGTTACCTTACCTCGAGTCGCGTGTTGGGGTAATAGTGGATGTAATTGACACACATCTCGTCGGATATCGCGAAACCACCGAGAGTCACGTTATCTCTGTCCATGGTGTTGTAGGTGCACGTGGTTATCAAGGAATCTCCCTACGAGATATCTCGATTAAGATATTCGCTCGTACGATATGACACGAATCGTAAAATGCTGTGAATTTTCTCACGGGCAAAATGGTGACCGGTTTCGGCAACAGTCTGATCTCTTGGAAATGAGTGGAATAATGATTATCATAGTTCAATAACGGTAACTCCTTGCCATCTCGTACATGCCGAGTGACGACTCTGATGCCTGTTAGGTGCGTGTGCAGCTGTGAACCGAAGATATGGATCCCTTCCTGCGGCAACCCGATTCCCGTGCATTCCGTGATGCAGTGGCCGGACAGTGTAAAGGCTTCCTGAAGAAGAAAAGCAAACAATGAAGATTCACGACTCGTCGAGCCTCTGTATCTAATCGCGAGCAATAGCACCAGTAGTTCAAGAAAATGCATTTTTTCTGAAAAGAGCCGCGAAAGTTCGTATAACTTAATTAATTTCACCAAAATTATTAAAACTTGTCTCTCTCTCTCTCTCACTTGTTGTGGCGGTATGGCCATCTTGTCGGTATATTCAAGACCCAGCTCGATTACGCCCGCGTCGTATTTCCGCAGGGTCTCAGTGATGATGAACCGGATGCCGGAGGAGTCGATGGTGCCTTGGTGCAGCTCGGGATTGTTGTAGTGCACTTCCAGCATAACATACTGATTGAAGTCGGCGCCGCCGATCGCCAGGCCGGCTTCTTCAGGGTACACGAACGCGTCGGCGCCCATCGCCCATGCAGCTAGCACCTTCTTGCAGATCTGCGTAGACCAAGAATAGTGTCGTCAAGTGTGTGAAGAACGCGAGTTTTATTTTCTAAACGATGCCTATCTATCCCGTTTCAAAATTTCAAGAATTCGATGATTCAGGTATATAAACGCAATGTTAGATTTCGAGAAGAAGAGTGATTTATAAATTCCAATCAGCTCGTTAATCTCAGGGAAGGGTAAGAACCTGCGTTTTTGCCGGCCTATCAGCTCCATCGCAAGGTCCATCGTACATGGGTACGTCCACATCCACTGGTCCGGCGCAATGAAAGATCTCCATGTGATGCACGAGGTGCTCGTTACCAATTTGGATGACTGGGCCGAATTGCAGAATGTGATTCCTGTTAGCAAAGACCGTTTCCTCGTATGTTCTATATTGACTCACCGATAATATCCATTTTTATATGTTTATGTTTTCTCAGCTGTTGTTTCTTTGTCTACTTTTCTAGATAAGATCGACTCAAAAGAGAAATGAAACAATTGTCGAGGCGTGATTCGAAGAGATTCCGAGCCTGAAGTTTTCAAGTTTCATTATTCGAAATAGACAGCTCGTGTTGAAAATTAAACACGCGCATTCGATTAGCGCGTATACGCACTTTCGCTTCAACACTTCCGGCAGTTTCTGCACTCGACACCAGTAAGTAGTCTCCACGTTCGGCACTTGAACCTGGTGATTGAGCAACTCGAGTTTCCAGGCGTCTGCCGGGTACATAGGCTTCCTATGAGGCATTCTGTACAATTCTGCGCGGGACATTCCTGAGGTTTCTGCATTCGAGACTTTGAGACCCGCCAAGGAGACAAGGGGTCCATCACCTTTCAGCCATATAAGATGCGTAGTACCCCGCTAAAATTGGAAAATTTATCAGTGTGATGCGATTCGACAGGTTTGAAATTTCATCAGATCAATAGGTTTGAAATTTCATCAGATCAGGAGAAATGAAATCTAACCCACCTCGATGATGTAATCGTGCTCGTCGCAGGTATCCAATTTACGTGAGAATGTGAAGTACGTGACATTGTTGTATCTTTTCCATGTAAAATTTTCGCAATCCTGCTGTGAGTCTACGTATACCTTCCCGTCGTCGTCCACCCACGTATCCTATCCAAGGGTCAAGAATGCTTTATAAGTTTGTACGAACGGATTATTTCATATCGACGGACGCTTCACCTGAAAATGCGCCTCTCGATGCCAGTCGTGCCACATAATGCAGTAATCGCCCGGCTGCAGTTTTCCATAGTCGGAAAAGCCGATTGCGAACCAGCTGCTGTTGTCGCCGAGGAACTGAACTCCCGCTATTATCCGCATATTTATTCTATCCACTCTGAAAGCACCGAGATTGAGACCTCGATTTTGTAAAACGCGTAAGTATGCAAAAAGGACTTTTTGCCAAACTTGAAGTGTGTATCAAAAAGTTTCAGCATATTTTTTTAGACGCCTTCAAGATGATGTTAGATTCTTTTATCGCATAGTTTCGAAAGTATTTGTCGAAATCGTTACATCCATCAATTTCATAAAATTTCAACGAGGTGAACTTATGAAACGTGTGTATGGGTGTAATGTAATTGTAACAACGAATAATTTCTCTTGAAATCGAACCTCCATTTGAAATTCACTGTTGAGCTGAGAGGCAGCGTATGCGTCGCGTCTGCAGGTGTGTTTCTCGCGAAGTAGGAGCGGGAATAACCCGAGTGGATGCTCGTGACAACAATCAACAATAACGGAAGTAACATAATGATAATAAACGTTAGTCTTCGTTAAAAACTGCTCTCGTCTAAAAATACCCTCACGCGGCAACCGTGAACGAACGGGTGAGCTTGTCTCGCTTCTCGTTTCTCTTCTCTTTTCGTTCATACGGTTTTTAAGTCCACCACGGAACCGTTTTGATTTTAACGTTAATTTCAGCTTCGATTTGATTTCCAGTTGAAGTTCCAGTCGAAGTCGGAGTTTAACCGTCTCAAACCGTCCGAAGCTACGCTCGGGATTCGCAAGAGGATGACCTATCGCGGCGGCCGGCGCAGGGTGCGAAGGATGAATCTGCACTGATCCTTCTCCCGAGGGGTGGGAGGAACTTCCCCGTAAGATTCTGCATTTGTGAATCGACGTGCGAGGTGCGCAAGCTCGAGGAAAGTGGATCATCATATCTTCTTTTATTCCACCATTCGAAGGACAATGGTAGTTTAAAGTCGGCTTTTTAATTCCGTTTAATCGGCAATGCAATAATAATACGTTCGTATTATACTCGCGAATACTGAAGGTAATGCGTATATAGATCCTTTGATGTCTACGAGACCGGTAAAGTTTTACATTTCAATACGGAACGACACGTATAGCGGGCAAAATTCTAAAAAAAATTGAAGATACAATCCGAATGTATAATCAAACATGGCATCGTTATTAGACCGGTGAACTCAATACAATATGCTTTTCTGAATGTTGATACACAACTATTTACCCATTCGTTTAATTTACAGAAACGTCTCAATGAATAATAATCCCGGCCGCTGTTTAATTAATTATTCATTATACCAGATAAACAGCTGCAGCTTGTAACATTGCACATTTCAAGGTAGTAAATGGAAATTATTTAAAATAACATCTACATTTCGGAGCGATCGAATTGAGTCGACGTAATCTCATTTCAGATCGATTAAGAGGAGGAAGGCGATAAGTGGCTATAAACGAAGCCGATAAAGAAGGGAATTAAAAATCGCTTGTTATGGATCGATAAATTCACGATTAGAATTAACATCAAGGATCTCTCCCTCTCTTTCTCCCTCGGTACATCTTGGATGAAGAAAAACGGGGCACGTCTTTCTTAATAATCCAGCGCCGAAGAACGGGCAGAGGCGCATATTGCATTCCATCCGTGGCGCGTGACTGGACCGCAATCAAGAAATTCCGCGGGACTTATTGCGAGCTTCATCGTGCGTTATTAATGCGGGAGACAATTCGAGCGCTAACAAATTTCTCGCATGCCGATCGCGGACGTTTTGCTATTGATTTTTTCATGGGCATAATTTGCGCGCACCTACTTTATACTCGACTCTCTCTCTTTCTCTCTCTCTCTCTCTCTCTCTCTCTCTCTCTCTCTCTCTCTCTCTCTCTCTCTCTCTCTCTCTCTCTCTCTCGAATCTTTCATATAGCGAAAATATGATCGCGAGTGTCACGCGAGTGAAGATATATCGTGGAAAATAGAATAGAGCAGAGTAAAGAACGGATAGAGCGGAATATAATTTGGCTGAGCAAGAGAGAAGACAAAACTCTACTCTGAAGACAAGAGACATACTTTTACGGCTAAAATTGTGACTGATTCGATTTCTTCGTCTGAGACTATTAAGCAGGCGACCAACAAGACGAAAGGCACTCTTTTCCGTAATCTAGACGTTGGAAACAAATTCTTCTGCACTCGACTCAGCACCACATCTGTCTTTTCATGACTTCACTTAGCCGCGAGCGAGAATTTTATAAGCCGCGATTGACTTTAATTAAGAGATCCCCAATCGCCGCGGGAGAGCAGCTTGTTCATCTGCCGGCGTTTCGGCGACGCAGTAATTATCAACGGTAACGCAGCAACCTGTGGCTTTAATACTTTATTAATATAGCTCCTATCTATCGAAGTCATGATCAATTAATTGATGCCCGGAACCACCGGGGCTGGGTTCGCAGAGACTGATCTTGAAAACAAGACCGGAGAGCCTGAAAGATTGACGACGAGCTCGCATGTCGAGCACACCGGATGCGACACGACGTCGAAGCACGATACAACCCGTACAACACCGCCGATGACGATTGCACGGCAAGGTGGAGGAGAGAGAGGAAGGGAAGCAGAGAAATGCTGACGGCCAGCTGGCGGCGGTTCCGTTCCGCCGGCAGTCGGGAGAGACGAGCGTCCGCGCTTGGATTGCGTATCGGAGCGATCGGTCCGCGCGCACATACGTAAGCGAGGAATGTAATCCGCGACCCGATGACCCATCCGTTACCCGTGTACGACGCGCTGCAATTTAGACTATCCATCTTTATCCAGGGTGAGTGTGAGCGAACGAGCGCGTGCCGTGGAGCACGTGTTCGCGAGAACGGCCGATCCCCGTAAGGCTCAGATTCCCGGGTGGGAGGCGCGCGAGAATGAGAATCGATTTCAGAAAGTACAATGAGGAGAGCCGGGCTCTCTCCGCGAGCTGCGGCTCCGACTCCGACTCGGCCGGTGAATATGCTTGGAAATGTGTAACGCATTAATCAGTTCTCGGATTCCGGGGAGTCGATCGGTCGGATTTTGCTCAGCATTTTTCCCCCGAAAACGGCGACACACCGTTCCTCGCTTCTATGATTCATACTTTGACAGGCCAGCAGCTAACGCTCGCTTTCTTCTCGACGACACGCGCGTGTTACGTGTCTTTAAATTTTTCTACGTTAGTTCGCTAGAACGCGTGAATCGGTGCACACAATGCATAGCTGTTTCTCATGTGATTCTTCTCCACACGTGACATACGAGTTATCTTTAATGTAAGAGACTAATTAAACGTTTCCCACACGACACACGGCCGTGAGCGAATTCGCGGTAACACGGGCAAGTAGTTCGCGATATCAGTAGGATAAAAAAGGCGATAACGACTGCTTGCGGTGACAGATACTCCGTGCGAAGCTTCTTCCTCAATTTTAACGCCATTTCTGTATTCGCGGCCGACGCTTATCGTTCGTCAGACAAAATCGCGAGCAGTTGAGAATTTCGTTCGGTGAAATCGTTCCCCTCTTATTTTTACACGTTTCATTAACATGAGAGAACCTTGCGTGTTTCTCGACCTGAGACTTCTCGACCGCTTTCTTCTCTTCTTTATTTATCTTTCGTTTGGAAAAGATCTCTTTCTTTGTTAGTTTGAAGTCGGCGGCGGCGGTAACTTACCCGTAAGAACGGGAAATAAAGAAAGGTGTTTGTTCGCAAAATTTTCCTCGTAGCGATAAGTCGAGTCGAACGGCAAATATTTGCCGATGGAAAATATTTGCTCGCCTGTTTATGCAATATTTCGCGATAAGTCAATTGACTCGGCATTGTTCGCTGCCGACGATTTCAACGTGTCTTCGACTTCTCAGCGTCGCGACTGTTAACTATGTCGTGACAAGTTATAATTGTTTCAGATAATTATCAAGAGATATGTAATGAATGAATGATGTAATTCCGCAAGAGGGAATGACGTATCCTCTTTTGACGAAACAATAGAAAGATAGGAGAGACAAAACGCGGGCGCGAAAATGCCATAGTGATCTACGGCTGCGTTTGTCTGCGTGTCGGTCATAAACGCATTAATCGACGTCGTCGTTGTCGATTTTCACGCGTGGTCTCATGAATATTCCTCCCACCTTACGTCAAAGTGCCGCTAGCGCGTTGTGATGAAACGTAGCGGGTATTAACGAAACGCGACTCGCTCGCTCACCCGCGCTTCACTATTTGCGGAATGTTTCGCAAGTTTCGCGAATCGCGACACTTCGAGAGATCTCCCGTCGCGTTTACAACAGAATATGAGCGGGCAATTATTATTTTTAGATCCTCGAACGCTCGGCGTACCCCGTCGCACGTTTAGCGTATTATTTCGTTGTTACGTTTAGCGTTATCTCTCGCCAAGTGTTCCATGCGAACACGCACGAAACGAACGACCCCGAGAGGAACCTTTGCTAATTGATGGTTTTGTCATCTTTAATTAACGATCGCTCCATATGATCGCGCGAGACGCTCGCCGAATATCTCTTTATTATTAGTTCTATCGGTAGATTCCTCTGCGGGAGATAAGTTATTACGTAATATTTCGTCATACATGAGGCGATTAGTCGATACGACTAACGATGATGTTCTATCTCTGAAGTGAAGTGTCCGTCTAATTGAGCGATAGCGCACGAGATAGTCAATTTTAGCCTTCATCCCTGATTAGCGAGCAGCTAATTCGATGACACTCGTTTGTCCTTCACGATGAATTACTTATTATACTTATATGCGGTATTCGATAGTCGATAGATAACACGACATAAAGTGTGAACGTTGAGATATTAGCGTATCATTGCGTATAAGATATGCGAAGGACGTTCCGTATGGTTAATTTCCTGGACAGTTCGAGGAGATATCGAATAAGATCACGTTTTTCTACGTCTCTCGGCACGAGCAAGATGTTTGGAAAAGATGTTATCTGCTTGTTGAATAATGGAAAATGGAAATACTTCTTTCGAAACCTACCGCTCCTTGTTAGATCTTGCCGCGGAAGCTGCAGAGTCATTCAGAGAGCAAGATCTTGCTCCTATCTGCAGCAACCGTAACATGCCACTTGCGATGTTCTAATGTAGAACTTCCTTCTCTCACTTATACGGGTAGGTAAGTATAGTTTGCGAGACCTCGTGTAAGTAAAAAATGGCATTTCTTCCGGATCGTTGCAGTGAACGAAGAAACCGTGCGACGAGCAACCGTCAAGACGCCATAAGAAGCCTGCGGCGGATCAGACGTCGGTAATCGATGGGTTGAGAACGCGAGATTTGTGGCTTCACCATCCATCTGCCATCCACTGCCACCGCCACCATCTCCACCGTCTCCTCTTTCTGATTTACCAAGGTGCGCAGCTTACCGATGAGCCATGCTGAAGGTGGTCGGAGCCTCCTGGCTGCAGACGCGCATCTCCACCTACATTCTCGTAGCCGTCGCCCTCCTTGGTATCGGCGCCATCATTCTCGGCGAATTTGGACAGTGAGTCGACGTCTTGTATTCCGTTCGCTATTGTATTACACCGCGGAACTGTCCGCTATTCCAGCTGGAATTACGAGTTTGTCATTAGTCGACCACGTTCTTCATTACATTGCATAGTCCTGAGTGAAAAAGTATTTGAAAGTAAAAGAAAATTCATATCACTTTTCACGAAGTCTTACTGTAATGTTTCCGTCGATGTCCGCAGCGTTGAAAATGATGGGACTTACTCGGCTACCGTGTCGTGGAATCATAAGGGTGGATACCGCATCGACTTTTGGGGCCAGAGCAACGATCTTGCTAGCGTGAAGCTGAACGTCGCACGCGCCTACTACAAGACCAGCATCTTCGAGTCCGGGTAGGACTGAACGATATTAAACGTAACTTCGTTTCTCCTCTCTGAGAGATCCCGTATTTACAATTCCGTAAATAGCCTTGTAAATATCTTTTGATATTCGGAGCGAGTCGGGATCTCGCAGCAAAGATCATGTCCCGTCAAATCAAGATATTCTACAGATATCCACTCAACTAAAATAGAATTTCTTCACACTCTCCAGATGGTCTGTCATTGAGATAGAAACGTCGTCCAAGTATCCGGACACGGTGCAGGCTTACGCGGCCGGTCTGCTGGAAGGCAGCCTGACGTGGCAATTGATCTATCACCACTGGTACAATACTGTCAACGTCTTCTGCGAGAAACAGCCCGACGAGTGTCGGAAATTGATGCGATTCCTCCGCGAAAACACCGCCGTCGTGCGAGAACGCGCCGAGCTTCTAGGAGCCACGGATGCATTTTGGCATATGGTGAGAGTAAACGTAGTCAATTTTTAGAATATCATCTGTATGATCAACAAAAACTCATGCAGGTGCGGCTATTCTACGTCCAACTGGACGGTTTAGAGGCTGGCTGGAGATTCGCTGTTCGCCGCAGTCGGCAGACGGTAGAGATGGATTCAGAGCATTTCCTCTGGCTGGCGATGGCCGCCGAACTGCCGGATCTCGAGCTGCCGTCGAACGTTACCTACGATCATACCAAAGGCATGATCTGCCTGAAGAACCTTCTCCGCAAAGAGTCGGAACCGTTGATAGCTATCGGACACACCACCGCCGCATCGTAAGTCGCTCCTGTGAATATATTTATTAGCTACCGATAAAAGCGAAATTTCACGAATTACATTTATTAATAAATTAGAAAACAAAGTACAACCTGAGAATAATGTATAATTATGCTCTTCGCTGCAAGGATAAACGATACCAAATGTGGGTATATTTATACTATCGTATTAATTTGTAAAATAATAATCCGAGAGAGGAGAATCGCTTGAAGCACATCCCACTGTTGTGTCATATTCTTGCTTGAAGATATGCCAAGATGCTGAGGCTCCTGAAGAGGTATACGTTCGGCTACCACGTGTTGCCGATCTTGAAGAACGCTGCGCTGGTGCCGGGCAGATCCATCATAATGTCATCTTATCCCGGCGCTTTGTCGTCTCACGATGAGTTTTACCTAGTCCAAGGGCAGAATCGCGAACTAGTCGTCGCCGGAATACCATTGTCGGTCCCTAATCATCATGGAGTGTGGAATCTCACGAGGATAAAAGATCAGGTAAGCGACGCAAAACTTACGAATCTTGACCACGTCAAACGATAGAAATTAAGACTGACCAAATAAATTTCAGTACTTCTTAAGGCTCCTGATCCCTCGTCGCAGAATTGCTTTCTTCTGTCTACCTTTCCTCGCGTAATTTTGTCGCGTTGATTTTTCTATTTGTTTGCCGATTACTTCTATTTACTTACTTATCTTTTATTTATTGATTGCTTTGAGGAATGTTTTCAGAGCATTTTAGAAATGTGCTCGATCGATTACAAGTGTTATTTTATGGATATATCCCTTCCGATTTGATCCGTAAGAATTTTTCGCATAGATTTTCTCACTTCTGACGCCGTCATTCAAGATGGCTGCGCTGAAGAAACAGGAGCCTTCAACAAGAATGATAAAGAATAACATCGGTTATAGAGAGCAAGTTAGATAATACTCTTCAAATATCGCACGCATTGTGCACGAGAAACGTCACGTTAACTTTTTTCTTCTCGCAAGCAGGTGATGTCATCTGCGGAGACGATGGCGGCGAATCGTCTGGCGACGGACGGTCGCGCCTGGTCTCGCATCCTATTACTGCAGAATGGCAATACAAGCGCTCGACAATGGATTACCCTGGATCCGCATAGCCGAACCATCGGACTGATCGAGCAATTATCGGGAATTACTCGCGTCGCGGACATCAGTGAGCAGTTCGCCGCGACCGGTGCTCTTTGTCGCACTGGGAAAAATCGTTTGCGCGAAATCAAGGTAGCAATCGATGGAAAAGACGACGACAACGGCGATGAGGGCGATGATGACGTTGCGAAGCCTGAATTAGTCGCTAGACTGCTGAAGAACATCACGACGATAGAGAATTTTAGGAGACTGATGCGAGGATACAGCCATAAGGACAAGACCACTATCGCAGCAACCACCGTAACTACTACCACTACTACCACCATCACCGAAGACCAACCGAAGACCCAGACAGCACAGATTCTTACTTACAAAGAAGATTTGAAAGAAAGCAACAATGTTACGCCGTTCGGCGTGATCGACGCGAAGATTGTGTTAGTAGATGCCGACGGTGTGGGAAGCTTTGAGGCAACTTCTGGTCCCAACACCCAGAGCTTCAAAGAACCTTTCCGTTGGTCCCAAGCTTTCCCCAACGTTTCACACATCGGCCATCCAGACGTTTTCGAGTTCGACAATGTCGTTCCTTTGTGGGTCTGGGTTTGACAGAATGTTCGTCTTTTGGAAATAAAATTTTCAGTTTTGGCATATCTCAGGAAGACTTACCGATAAAACGCAGATTGATCAGATATTTTAAAAGATACCGAGATACGACTAAAAATCGCAAAACTTGGAAACAATAATAAGAAAAGTATGAAACGATAATATGAAAGAAAATTGAAGGAAACCTAACTGACAATAAGTTTTTTAAGGAAAGTTATTTTTCGTCATTCGAAATATATTCGATAAATGAAATTTTGTAATCTTGAAGAAACAGCTGGCTCATATGTTAGCCTTCACCTGCGGTGAAAATTTCTGGAAAATAAAAAAGAAACAAATTAAAAAGTAAATACTTATTTTCACCCTTTCTTCTCCTTAAATCGTTAATTCTCTTTTTTCAATTCCTTACACTTTCTTTTCATAATGTTAATAAAAATGTTAATGTATTTACAACATAAATAATTAAAAACAATAGTTTATGTATTTAAGAAAATCTAAAGTTTCTGGAAAATATCAAAAAATGAAAAAATAATAAGCAATATGAAACTTTTAATAAAAATTATAGCTTTAATAACAGTTAAATTCTTTAGATCTCTTCTATCTTGTGAAATTTGATATAACCAAATATCATGCACAGCGCGCGCACATTGTTGCGATATTGCGGTTTTGCAATTTCATTTCTTCAACGTTTAAATAATTATCTTTGCAAGATAATTTCTTTCATCCATTAAGTCTTTATATAATACAAACTTACCTTGTTTTGTTTCTATCTTTTTAATTGGAGTATGCAGTTGCATAGTAAACAAATACCTTCAAACTACATTAATATTCTAATCATATCAACATATAAGATTTAAGGAGGAAAAGAACATATTTGTATGTTAATTTGGTTTAAATATATATCACAGAATTTAGAATAAAATAGAAATAAGCTAATGTATACAATACGGATATGAATTTATATTCGACACACATATTTCATCATCGCGATGTTTTACGGCGACTAAAATACGATGTTACTGTCCTAACTAAATAGCAATTGTATTTCAACACATTTATGAGCCTGGATGGCTACCGCTTGTAAGAAGAATAGGGAATTCGTCATCGCCCTACTTGAAACCCGCAATCTCGCGGTGGGTGTAATAGCAGATTTAATAAGATGTAACTAGTATTCACAAGTCAGTAAAATGCTATTAGACTAATGGTTTCAGGTAGGGCGAAGAAAAAGTGAACCCGACAATGCAAACATTTGTATAAAAGCGACTGTCATGTAGCGCAGCTAGCATACGCACAATGCTTATGCGGCTATCAAAATGGGTAAGTATCTCCAATACTGTTGTTTTTGTTTAAATATAAAAAGTTTTGTAACAATTTTTAGGTAATATACATCTTTCTGATGATCAATTGCGCCAACGGGCGTTGGCCACGCATCAGTCGTCAAGCAGGATACTCCTATCAACGGCCCAACGTTCCATTTACTTTACCAACAGAAACAGGTGCTCAACAAGGATATCCAGCACCTAGTTACCCAAGTTATCCTGCTCCGCCTCAACCGTCACCACCTGTGTATAATCCACCTCCGCCGCCTCCCCCACCGCCGCCGCCCCCCCCACCGCCGCCGCCGCCGCCTCCTCCACCGCCGCCGCCTCCTCCCCCACCACCTGTATATATTCCACCTCCGTCGCCGCCGCCGCCTCCTCCTCCGCCTCCTCCTCCGCCGCCGCCACCCCCTCCGCCGCCGCCGCCTCCTCCGCCGCCGCCGCCTCCTCCTCCTCCGCCACCTGTGTATATTCCACCTCCGTCGCCGCCTCCCCCACCACCTCCCCCACCGCCGCCGCCGCCACCGCCGCCGCCACCACCGCCGCCACCACCGCCGCCACCACCGCCGCCGCCGCCGCCGCCACCGCCGCCACCTCCCCCACCGCCGCCGCCACCTCCTCCACCACCACGTCCACGACCTATGTATTTACCCCCATCAAGACCATCACCAGCACCACGACCTACACGGCCGCCTGCGACATATTTACCTCCTCAACGGCCGTCGACACCAGCACCTACATATTTACCACCATTCGGACAACGTGCTCCAGTGGGAATATCAAACGTTGGCGAAGTGTCCTCATTTCCTGCTGCGACTCCTGCAACAGCGAGTTTCCCAACGACAGGTGTGGTGAAATTAAGTGCACCAGCTGGCGATTCAAGTGCCACTACATTCGCTGGGTCCTCGAGTTCGGCCTCAAGTTCAGCCAGTGTCTCGAGTTCAGCCAGTGCCAGCGAAACATACAGTCCATCTATTTCGATTACACCGGGTTATCCATCTACGCAAGGCTACCCCTCATCTGTACCGAGTTACCCTTCACCTGCACCAGGATATCCGTCATCTACGCCATTGCCTCCTTCGCCCACAGCAGGATATCGTTAATTTTGTTGTCATTTATTGTATTTTTCCGAGAGGTATTCGATGATCCAGATCTCGTCCAACCATTTTTTTCCTTTTTTCCTTAATAGGTCCTTAAATCTTCCTTTTATACTTTTATGTTGTTTTAGACTTGTCTCTAAAATAAACATTGAATAAGTTCAATCAAACACAACTGGATAGTAACAAAGTAGAATATTTTATCATTACCTGGAAGACCATCGCGAAATATATCCAGCATTATTATTAGCTTATAATATTAAAATATCGGATTATAATTTGTTTACCAAGCGGAGTGAGCCTAATTTAATATTATGAAATAACGTAATTAAGGGTAATTACTTCCTTTTAATGTAATATGTTTTATATTCTACTTAGTTCGTGAAACCATGAAACACGACAATTATTTCTACTCAACCCATGGGTGAAATGTTTTTCATTAAAAGAATATTCTATAGAAAAATATTCCTAAATGTTCCTAAGGTATATCCCACAGAAAAATTATCTAACAAAAACACTACAACACGAGATGAAACAATAATAATAAAAGTCTTGTTTTTCGTTCTCTTCCTATTTCTCACTTTGTGCAACAGTAAGTTAACGATCTACCGGAAACGCGGTCACTACGCGACGTTTCGTACTCGGTAAAAAACTACGAATACAAATTGGCGCGGAGGGTAACAATTAGACTATAAGATGCGACACATCTGCGGTGTAGGCAGCAGGCGACAGCCGGATGTCCTCGGAGCGCGAAATTGGACGTTGTCTCAGGTCGCTATCGCCGGGCCAAGCGCGTCCTGGACTTCGCGGACCCACGTTCGATCTAGCAACTATGTCCACCGCCAAGCTTACTGTCGCGGGGTCGTTCAGGCCGTTACTTTGTATCTGTTGTCGGTGCGAGCTTATCGTCGCTCGTAGAGTCTTCCGCCTCTGCGTGACAAAACATAACGATTAAATCTAATAAAAAATGTATATGTTTTACAATCAGCGACACCCTTCACAGCAAGCGTATTTATCGGCCTTTTATCGATATTTTCTGTGTTTAGATATTCTCTTTTTAACTGGAGCAGTAATTAAATAAAAAAGGATTAACTATTCTTGTTGACCTACCTGGATCATCCCTCGCCACTTGTCGATCACGTTTCTCATTGTATCCAATTTCTTCTGCCTACGCATGTGGTGTTTTTTATATGCTATCTCAATGATAATTAGGGCGATCCCGCCAACGATACCGGCAGCAACTACTATGAACACCCCTGCCATGTTCTCCAGACCGAGGGTGTTTGGCATCTTTTCGAATTGCTCGCACTGTTGCACGTTGCCTTGCAAGATCCAGTGATTGTCAAGACGCTCCATGAAACCACCTGCCAAAGTGCATCTTGGGAATATAAAGCTGGCGATTGTAAATCGGAAGAATTTAATAAACGGAGAGATTAACGAAGAAGTAGACGATTGATACTGGGAAGCTCTCGGAAATACATATTTGAGAGTATCCTCCGTATCACATTTTGCTGCATATGGTAAGATACAAGCGGAGAAAAGTGGCTAAGCATAAATGTGGGTTTCTCGCATACTCACTCTCATGAAAATCCAAGATCGCCAATGTCACAGAGTCCGCCCAGGGAGAGCCTTTCTGCAAACCGATCCCGTAACCCGAACGGCCGAACAATTCGCCAGCTGTCACCAATTCGCAATCTTGAGCCGCTTCGAATTCCAATCGCGAGCTGTCCCAGATGAACGCCATCAGTTTGCTATAATGATTGGTTTGTGTTTCTTTTGTTAGAAATTGATAATTTCGCTAAATTGTCGTCAAATAATCTATAAGTTCACGCTCACCCGATCTTAATGTCGCGTATAGCCTCTTCGGCGGTATCGTAATTGTTTGCTTCCATGGTACGATACATGTTGGACAACTCCACTTGGCGTCGGAAGTACATGTCCACAGCGGAACCTTTCACCGTCGCGCACGTCAAGTTCTCCATCGTGTTTCTCAGCTTTACGAATTGACGTATATGACGCAGGGGTATTTATATGTTAACAACTTTCTTGTACGTTAAAACTTAAAGTTAATTAAATTACCACGCGGAGAGCACTCGTAATCGACACAAATGCTTCGTCCGTAAAATGAGATCAGTCACGATAATCCTTACCCGAGCGTCATTGATGCCGGTGAGTTTGGTCTTAGGTCGCTCCAAAACGAGGAACGCGGCTAGATTGGCAGTGTAAGACGCGACGATGATCATAGCAAATCCTGCCCACACCATTCCCAGTACACGTGCAGAGAAACTTCGCGGGGTGCCTACAAATTGAATTGATACGCTATACAATAAAACGAATTATAAAGTTGATAAAGCGTAAAATTGTTGAAATAAAATCAACTCAACTATAGCTGATAAAAATTAAAAGACTCAAATCAACGAATGACATTCTTCTGTTACCTTCTCCTATCCCGCTGTTTAACAAGACACCCCAGGCAAACCAAATAGCGCTGGACAAGTTGAGCGCATCGTCTTCAGCGTTTTCGGCACCGGCTGCCTTGAATCTGCCGAAAGGCGAAAACCTATCGAGCAAGTATAGAGCAAGCGCTACTACGTGCACCGATCCCATCACGAGAATCCAGAGGGTATTGCTAAACGGTTGTAAGAACGAGACCAACGTGGACGATCTCGAAGGCTACACACACAGAAATCAGCTTAAGATACACATTCACTTTCGTATAAGTAAGTTTTCGAAGCGGTATCTACCTTCTTCTCGAGAATAGTGATGCCTTGGTACTTAAACGGTTTACTAAATTCGATAAATTCGGCGCGCTCAGGGTTGATCGTCAGCGGTGCGACGATCATGTCGGCCTGCTCGCTCACTATCTCGCCGATAAGACCGGTCCATTCCTTCTTTCCTCCGACTTTAATCCGTCATTGTGACACGAAGCAACAAAAGCAACATGGAATAGCACAAGGATAGAATTCAAATTATTGGTCCATTCAATATTCGTTCTATAAACAAAATAGATCAATAAACAAAATAACAACTTTACTCTCTCACTCACCCGAACTATTTTTTATCATGTAGCTCCCGAACTGACCGTCGGGTGACAGAGCTAAGCTATACGTGAAATTGATCGTCTTCGACAATTCCTTTAGGAGATCCATGCAATATCCTCTGCAGCAGAACATTCGTGTGTCTGTGAATAAAGAGGTGCATTTACCGATCGCAAGAGTATCACACAAAACAACGAAATATCGAATATCAGAAACCTTCAGTACCTTCGTGGTTTGTCGTGTTAAAGTGAGGACATACGATCTCTTCAGGTGAGCATTTGGTCTCGCCTTCGGCTAGCTCGCGAACATAAACGAACGGCTTCTCCTCGATCGTCAGCACTTTCAGGTGAGTCGGTATCATAAAGCCCTCGGGTTTGGTATTCAGACGACCTGGCCATATGATGCTGGACTCGTTCACTCGTAGCTTCATCTTCGTGCCGTTCTACAATGTTTAGAAGTATGTCAAGAAAATTATCTAGTGAGGTTATTAGGGAGAATAACGTTCCAATTCGGAAATCTATTACTACTGAATACCGGAACTGAAAAATAGAATATTTAGAATTTCCGGCTGATAACTGAGAAGACGGCGGAGGTGAATTCTGCCGGTGATCTACTTACGGCAGGATAGAAGTATTGGCCGACAGACACTTGTGTCTTGTTGTGGGGACTCGCATATTGGATGTTGACTATGTCGTATTCGGCGTATATGCGATCGCCATTATCGTCGAACGCCACTCGGCCCGTAGCGCCATGCGGTAGCACTTGCTGAAGGATATACCTAATTGGGGATTCCAAGAAATAATTGCCAGCTATACATGAATAATGCATATAAAAAATATACAATAAGCGGTTGTAACAGTAACTCCGTTACTGTTCGTTGAAGAGCTTAAAAGCTCTAAAGAAAATCTCTTCAGAAAATTAGACACGTAAGATCAAGAAAGATTTCATACGTGAACAGTTTCTTGCCGGTTTCCCATATAGAACCTGAGTCGCTACAGTCTTTCGGTGCCTCCGTGATTTTCTCAGAGTTGTTCATCGCACGTAACGCGGATACGAGTACAAACCTGTGAAACATAGCATAACAGATATGATCGTCATTGATTGATCTTTAGAATCGCAAGCTCTTATCCGTTAAAATTTTCAATTCTTAATTTTTGGGAAGTCAGACTACATAGATAAACAGATAACAGATCTTGGATATACTCACAGACTGTCGGTGATGTGAGACTTCTCTTGGGTGGCGTTGATCAATTTCAAGCCCAATAGGCCCTCTGGAGCGTTTGGCGCCTCCAGTGCTTGCTCGGTAACGATCCACACGTAACCGGCGCCGGTCATGTTCAGAGCGGCCGCGTCCCTGAAGATCACCCTCGCATCCGTCTTCCTATTTTGCATTCAGAAGCGTCAAATATTTATTTCAACAACTTTGCGAATTATAAAATTCAAGACCTGACGAAATTATTTATTTAAAAATTCACAAGGTATACAAATATCTCTTGAATCATCCTTAAACGATCGACTTGGTTGTCGGGAGTTACGGTGGATACTTACGAAGCGTACATGAGACAAACTCTCGCCTGCGCGTTCTTCATCTCCATCAGTTGCTCCACGAAACTATCTAACCCCGGCTCGAACTCGATCACTGATTCGACCTGGAAACGAAAGGAAAATGTAGAGTGGAAATATAAAGAGGCCACTTTATTGGACGATTCGCGGGTAAGATTGTTGGATGCGTGTTGGGTAACGTACGTGCACTTTGATCTCTACGTCTTGCTCCAAGTTCTGCGACGTTGTCTGGAAACGCCCGAGAAGCGCGCGGCCGTCCGTGTCGGAGCTGTGGATGAAGATGATCTTCATGTAGTTGAAGTGCTTCAACAGTTCCACCCAGACGTCCGCTTGATGCGAGTACGGAGGTACAGTACGCAAGAATGAGACGTGTATGTTCTGCAAATATAATTTAAACGTATATACTGTGTATAAATATACACAGTTAAATATATACAGCTACTGTACAAATAAATACAGTAGACTTAACGACGTTGTCGGTCGGGTGCGGATGTTATCGAATCATCCGGGTATAATTATCGCGTGTACCTTGTCGGAAAAAGCGGAGTCTCTGGATGAGATGCCGATCACCGGTATGTGATAAAAGCCGCTAGTGTAAGAAACCGCGGCCGGTGACAGGTCGCCGGTAAGCGGGTGCGACACCACCACCGCGTACACCTGCTCGGCGATCAGGAATTTGCAGACGCTCAAGGCGGTCCTGATCGGATTGGAGTCCATTTCGATCACGGTATGCTTGTACGTCACCCCCTTGTTGACATATTGTGCATCAAAGTTGAGATGCTGAAACATATACGCATATACATGAAATATCACAGACAGTGTTCTGGGTTGATACATATCTTACGATCGGCGGGGATCTTTCGGCCGCTTACGTGTTACGACGTAAATTGTTTCCGCACTGTGATAAACGTTACATTAATTTTTCTCTTACGTCGATCGTTTTCTCGAAATACGATTTGCTCTCTTCGTTGGAGAGAACACCGCCGATCTTGTAGAACTTAGGATTGTCGTAGTTGGTGGCCAGCCCCGCAACGGCGACGAGTCCCGAACGCGGGATGCTATGTAGGACGATGAAGAGGAACGACAACGTGGTTCTCACGTGTAATCGCGTCATTGTGCAGCCACCCTGTAAAGAGAAACAGGTTGGTGAGTTAACGAGTTATTGACACTTCATCGCGCGAAGATGAAAATTTATTCACAGATCAAATGAGATGCCTGAGACATTTGTGTGATATTTTTTTTTCTGCAGAAATTTAATAAAAAGTAATTGTATAAAGTATAATTATTTGTAACATGTGATGATTATTTGTAATTCGAATGCTCAATCGTCAGTTTTTTTTCCGCAACGTACGCATCGACATTTAATTAGAAATGATATTCCTTTGTCGTATCTCGTTTATTATGTTCGAAATTGAAAAGTATTGAGAGAGAGAGAGAGAGAGAGAGAGAGATGAGTGTATATCCTTGTTAAGGATAATCGGCCTCCGCCCTTTTTCGTGACAAGAACACACCCAAATGAAATTAAAATAAATAACATTTATACACAAATTGTGAGGTCTAACTCGTTCTTTGCAAAATGGTGGGGAGGACTTTTTAGCGGTTAATTTCTCTATAACAAAATTGCAATATCGATGTCGATCGCAATTCGCGCGACGCAAAACGAAACAGTTCAAAGCAGTTTTCACTCACGTATATGTTTCAATTGATACTCCTCGATCCTTCGTTACTTTTACAGTCCGGGACGTGCCGAGTTCTTTTTCTCACGTTCACTCCTCTCTCCACCAAGCAGATTTTCTCGGATGGGAGACGGATATCCGAAGAATCCGCACGAGCTCGAGCCGTTTATCACGTATCGAGACTGATCCGCACCCTAGGAAAGCGCATCTTGGAACAGCCCAAGTGCTAATGAGCGCGCTCGAGATGGAGAGAACGGTGGGACGTGGTCGCAAATTCGTCATTGATCCAGTCGGATGCTGCGCGCAGAAGTCACCCCCGCCAAAACCTCCGTTGATCGAACAATCGCCAAATTCAAACTCTCACTGCCGAGACCGTGAGAGATGCAGTTTTTCCTAAATTTATCAATATTACTTCTCCATTGTTAAAGATTTCGCCGTTCGGTAGATTTTTCGGTAGATTTCAACGCCAACACAATTGTGAAACGTTCGATGGGCATACCGCGCATCTGTGATTAGACTTCGATCGGTATCTCTTTATTCATTGACAATTTTGCATCAGAATCGTTTCACGACTCTCGAACTTGTTACGCTATATCCGGTTGCAGCAATTGGCGAAACAGTCATCCCTACGTTGGGCTTTTTCTATGATTACTGTTACCAGGTAATTACGGCAATTTAGGCCGTACGGGGCACGCTAGTTGACGTAACGATCGGCGCGAAGGTCATCAGCGGGGAGACAATCGAGGTGATCCGCATTGCGAAAGTCTGCAAACAAAAAATTTGTTCATCGATACAAGCTCAAAATTTCTTATGCGAGAACTTGCTAAAAAGAGCGAGTGTTGTCGTTCTCATGTTGAAAGAAGCAGCATCGAATTAGTGGAATGGATAACGCGGCAGCAAGTTTCGTTTGATAATCGATATAGTTGCGCTAATGATCGCAATCACCGAACCGACGGAGCATTATAATTCGTTCGATCAAATATTCGTCCGAGAAAGTTTCGATCGTCGAAGCGAAGGAGACTTCCTAGACACATCGAAGTTTGCCTAATTGCCGATACTCTTCTATATATATGCAAAGTACACCGCTTCAGGATAGTGACTCATCTCCCTCTTTCCCTCATTAGAAAGCTTTGCGTCTCCTCACGTACACGTTACGCTATATTGAAATAGCATAAATCTATATTCTGCCCGAAGTTGCTCGCTCTTTCGATCGTAATCGAGACTTGTCCGATTACTGCGACTACTTTGTCTAATTATAGTACTAATTGCTAATTATTCCGAGCAAAGCGACACGCGCGGTTTTTCATTCTGACAAAAGACTTTGCATTTTCACGCAGTTGTAACGCAACGTTTGTTTATCGGAACAATTTGTTTGTTCAGTGCGGCCAATACTGCCAACACTCTGTTGCAAAGCACTTCGGGCATAGTGACATCATCAAGATTATTCTTATTTCTAAAAATTCGTTCGTATTTTTCCTCCATTTTTTTTTTTACGGGTACATCCGTCCCATGATGTTAAGCGGCGAATTCCGATCGGCGAATCGTCGGTTTTATCCGAAAGTTTCGCTCTCTTTCTTTTTCCACCCTTGGTGCGTTCGCGTGTGCGGTCTTCACGTGGCACGGGTGATTTCCGCGAAGATGGCCCTGCGCGTCACCACTGCTAGCGACGATGTATCGATCCCTCCGTGAATTTCCACGTAGTGGCAACCCTCGATGACTGCGTGCGCACCCTTCCTCGCGATATTTACCGAGAGGAGAGCTTACGCGACCGTCGCTCTCGAGTGCCAGCGAGATATCTTGGTGTTGTACATGAGGATACTGATTGTCCAGCTGCGATATTTCCGATCTCGATTCTCCGCGTCCAAGCACGTTAAGCCACCGAAGCCTTCAAGGTGCTCGCGCTACACGAGAAGTGGACGAAGAACGTGGAAGAAGGACGACGGCAACCGCGAGGGTTGCATGATTCCGAAGACCGTAACGTCAGCAGGACGGCTAGACCTTATTATTATTCCAACAAAAGTGGATCCATTCTCCATCAAGCGGAGAAGGGAAGAGGCAGGCGAAGCGGGTGGGCACCAGGTGGTAGCAAGTTGAGATTGAGAGACCGAGTGAGGTAACTCGAGGAGCCGTTAAACCAGAGAGAGCTGTAGAAGAAGAAGTAAAACCTCGAACGAATCAAGTAAATAACATAATCCAATGCATTACGGTCCCCACGGTGCCACCGAGGAAGTCGCCGCCGTCGCAGCCGCCGAGGAAAAGATATGTCGTTACCGCGGGAATGGAGCTTCCAGGATACGGCACAGTGCCGACCGTATCCGGGGCACGGCGGCTCGTCGTTGGCCGAGGTGCGCGACGTCGACGTCGACGTCGACCTCGGCGTCGATCGCACGGCCACCGCGGCAGTGTCGTCGTCGCAGGAGATGGTCGTCGGCGGTGGCGTCGCCGCCATCATCGACGAGAACATGAATCAGCCGGCTAACCAGCTGGGCTCGCTCTTCTCCATCCACTCGGCGCCGGTGTTCGACCTGAGCGGCGGCGCAATCGCCGGAGCACCGTCGCCGAAGCGGCCGGCTTCGCTCGCGGTGCAAACGACAGCGACGTCGACGCCGATCGTGCCGCCGCATCTGCAGAGTCCGGAGGGTACCGTCAACGATGACGATGACAACGACAACCTGCTGACGATATCCAGCCTCACTGCTCGCCCGCTCATCGCGAAATCGCGAGAGCTCAGGTCGGTGACTTGACTGTGATATATACCGGGTGTGCTATGACGTCAATCTCGTTCGTTTCACCAGCTCCGCTGTCGTGAAGATCGAGCTTCACCAGTTCACCTTCGCCTCATTAGTTGTGTCGTGAAGAACGCGCGTGCCGTTAATTAAAGGGACAGCTTTCTGGAAACGATCGTGAAGAGATATTATTTTTTTCTTCGGCGATGTTAATAATAAGAGATTATAAAGAAAACAAAAAGAAAAAAAGAAAAAACGAAAATTGCGCGGGTTGAGTTCCCCTTTAGCTTTTAATTATAGCCTTCGCTTATTAACAGCTGATCATCGTGATTGGTTTTGTATCTGTAATTGATCTGTGATTGATCGCATGCTCGAATAAAGACCTCCATCACAGGTCCGCCAGATGTACGGCCCCGAAGAGAAAAAAGTCCCAGAGGAGCGACATCAGGAAACCGCGAAACACCACGTACGTGCCGTTGGACGGCGGTTACGGCTGGGTGGTCGTGTTCGGCGCCTTCTTCGTGCAGTTCTGGGTTGCTGGTCTGGTCAAGTCCTACGGCGTGCTCTACGTCGAGGTCATGGAGACCTTCAAGGACTCGTCCGCCTCGGTCGCGTCTTGGATACCAGCGATTCTGACGTGCCTATGTCTGGCGCTCGGTGAGTCGTCAATAGCGATTTTCCGGTAGCCTTCGAATGTTCTCGCTTTGGACTCGTGAGTCTCTATTGAACTCGCTCGAACTGTTCCGTTTCCATGACCTTCACTCGAGGGTGAAAGTTGCCGGCGCGACGCTCGTGAGAAATCTACTTTATTTTAATCGATGCGCGAAGACGCGTATCGCTTCTACCACTTCGACCACTGTTTCTCTTTCTCCTTTCCTAAATAAAACACGAAGCGTAAATACAAGAGAGAAGTGGTTAAGCAAGAAGAATTGGAAATCGCTCTAAATGGAGGTCTAAAGATGCGAAAGTGCGGCGTAGAACTTTAACAATTTTGCGATCTCGGGGTCTCGGTTAGAAAGGTACTTGATAAGTACAGAATGGGATATCTGCCAAAACCTGCGGCAACCGCTTTCGATTATTCAGTTATTGCTACAGGGCAAAATCGACTGCGAATCCCGAGTTGTCGAGGTCTACAAACGAGAGATAACGTAATGAAATGTTCATGTTAATCTACCATTTTATCGGGTCGCGCTAACGATCGATGTCCCGTCCGCAGCTCCGGTGACGAGTATGCTCTGCCAGAAGTACAGCTGTCGGACGGTGGTTTTCGTGGGAGGACTTTTCTGCGCTCTAGGACTTACAACTAGTTACTTCGCCACGCGACTGATACACCTCTTTTTTACATTTGGCGTGCTGACAGGTTCGTGAGCAACTACGTTCGCCTTCAACTACTTGTTGTTTCCTGTCGATCATACATTTTGCATGTTGTCGGGACATCTCACGTTACATCGATTGATTTTAATTTTTGTCATTGAAAGATATGAAAAATAAAAAAAGAGTACTACTCTTCTCCGGCAGGTATCGGTGGCGGTTTGTCCACGACGCCGGGTATAATTCTGGTGTCGCAATACTTCGACAAGCATCGCGCCTTGGCGAACGGGATCTGCGTGTCTGGCACCGCCGCTGGTAGCTTCGTGTTCCCGCTCCTCATCGAGCTGCTGGTGAAGAACTTTGGTTTTCACGGCACGATCCTACTGTTGGGCGGCTGCATGTTGCACGTGTGCGTGAGCGCGACGCTGTACCGGCCGTTGGACGACAATTACGCGCCCGACGAGGAGCAGATCCAGCAGAGGGAAGAGAAGGAGGAGCAGGTAGAGTCGGGCTGTTCTTTAAACGCTAATTTCACTAACCCCGAGTAAAGCTCGACAGACTTGCGACTTGAAAATTCATCGATCATCTTCGTTTTCATGATTGGGACAAGTCAAAGCAGCAGAAGCTGGACCTGCTGTTCGCCAATGACCCGACCACTCGGCATAATATGCTAAACGAGCTGTTTCATCAAAACGGTGGCGGTGTGGTGGCAGTCGAGCTGACCGACAGTGACGAGGAAAAGGATGTGATGGGCGAAGGTTTACGCATGAAGCCCATCTCCAAGATCCGCAGCTCCAGCATCCTGCATAGCGTTGAGGACTTATCGACGGACTCCACGTGCGTCTACAAAGCCGCTCGGTCGTCCTTGAGATCTTTGAGATCATCAGCAACAGCGGTGGGTGCACCGGAACAGCAGCCGCCACCGCCGCCGCCTCCATCACCGCCCCCACCGGCGTCGTCGTCGTCGTTGACGCGAACAGCGTCGTCCATTGATGCGTCCAAAGTCACCCTGATGCAGCGGCTGACGCGCTACATCGATCTGTCGCTGTTGAAGAATCCGCAGTTCATCATGATGTGTTTCTCCGTCAGTCTCATGTCCACCGGCAGTCCGTACATGCTGTATTACCTGCCGGCGTATGTGCATGCCGCCGGCTACACCAAGTCGGAGGCGGGCTACTTAGTAGCCATCTCCGCCGTCCTCGACCTGTGCGGCAGACTCGGTCTTGGCTGGCTGTCCGATCTCAAGCTGTTCGACCGGCGGAAAGGATACATCGGCAGGTGAACACGATTCTGTCCGTGTATGCGTCCTATAATTATAAACAAATCAGATACATCAGATATAATTGCTAAAGATTGCATTTAGTGCGAGAGATATCACTTAAAATGTTACTTGATTACTTCTGTCGATATTCTCGTCAAGGTAACATCGAGGAGCCCAAATTGGCCGGCCAAGACTTAGCTGATGATGACTTTGCGCTTATTGATTCTTACGTTCATTGATTGATGACATATGAATCCTGTTTCATGTTGCTGAGAACAGCGTGGTTGGTGCCGGTGTGGCGGTCCTGGCGATCCCGATGGCTCATTCCTTTTATGTGCTGGCGTGTTCCGTTGGCATGTACGGACTGTGCTTGGGTTGTTGGTTCCTCCTAGTTCCCGTCCTGCTCGCCGACCAATACGGAACAGACAAGATATCGTCCAGTTATGGTCTCGTGAGGATGTTCCAAAGCGTCGGCGCGATCTCTATTCCACCTCTCGCAGGTACTCGTTCTCTTAATTCTAGACAGCAGAGCGCAGTTCACGATTATGTGTGTGTGATGTCAACAATATATTGTTTCCTTTTTTGCACAGATATTTTTACAAAATTACGATTACAATATGTTATGTTTCTGACAAAGATCACACGTATAAATATTTTCATACTTATATATATATATATATAAAAAGAGTTGCCTTTGCTAATGTACAACGCGCTTGAAATGCATCTTTCTTGTTACTTTGCTATCCAAGATCCCGACTTAAATATAAATATACAGCGCATATACAGTAGCATATGGCTTTTACTGTATAATATAAGAAAGAAAGATACGATCTCTCGCTTCTGACGTCATGATCCGTTATGGCTTTAGCGACGGGTCAGGAGCCTTAACATTGTAACACGATAGATAATAGAAAAACGTGCACTGTACGGCTTTCCGCAAAGAGCAACTCATGCACATTATATAAGTTTATGTTGTACATAGCTGGAGAAGGCTGACACTTCATCGCGTTATCAAGCGTACAGGGAAACGAGGGTACACGTCGTAGCTTTGTTATTAATAAATCGCACCTTATAGCGCTACGAAGCCACGTCTTTTCTCAAGTATAGCAGATGTGAATTCTGAATTTTCAATATAGTTTACATTCAAATTGGAGAATGTGTCGATATGAGTCTATATGATTTCTTATAAATTATATAATTGTATTCGCATATACAAGAACGTTTCAGAAATTGTTTCTCATTGTATTATTTTTACGTATCTTGCAATCAATATTTATCTATTCTACTGATCAATATCTATCTATTCTACTGATCGTGTAATAACGCAATAATATATATACATTTCAGGTTATTTGCGCGACGTAACCGGAAGTTACACCGTGTGTTTCCTGTGTATGGGCACGTGTATGGTCATAGGAGGTCTGCCTATGTTGTTGGTCTTCAACGAGGCATCAAACTCGACAACAAAGCTGCCCGTAAACGCTGAGAATAACAATCGTCAGAGGGACACTACCATGAAAGAGTAAATTATTTTGAAAATGTGATCGTTAACGAAGAGTGATATAATCTAATGTGTAATAGGAAGATAATAAATCACAACAGTTGTCACAAAACGCCACAAGCGCTTACTAAACTTTCCCAAGATCGATTGTTATCTCTTGAACCGTGATACAATTCCTTCACTTTCAAATAATTAAATATAAGTTGTAAATTATATTTATAACTATTTAGTTAAATATAATAAAAATATAGGAAGTAAAACATTCCAACAAACCTTTTCTTTAGAATTATATATTTGCTTATAAAAAGTTCTCAAATTAAACAGACATTAACTTCTTTATAAAAAATAGTGTATGTAATTTGAGGAATGTTTTACATAAAAAAAACTATTAATTCAAATTACTAATAATTTTATACGCAATATTGGAAATAGCTCGTTTACTTTAATTAGTGAGATTTTCTTTTATATCACATAAATTCGATTAAACGTCAACTAATAAAAAAAATGCATTTAAAATTTTAATTTATAACTGATAATATACTAATATAATCAAATAATGATTTATATGACGAACTATGTATAGAATAGTAACTTTCTTAAATGCATTTCTTTTAAAACAGTCTTCTTAGCCAGTCATCGCCTCAACTACTCATTACAATATTCAGAAACTCCTTGAATGTGTAAAATCAACTCTAAACACTGATTCATCATTTATTTTCTTGCACGTAATTCTTCCTGAAACATATCAAATACTTATAAAATCAAATTAAAGAATTGACTTCACATTTACTCTTTTATACATACTATTCTTCATATAACATAGACATGACATATATCATGCATTGTATGCTATTTACATATGTACAAATTCTGGTTGCTAACGTAATCTTTAACATATATCTGAAAACTTTTAGAAAATATAAATAAAATTAATATGTACAAAATATAAACCGTCCAAGAGATGTGTATATCCATGTTTCACGTAGGTTTCCAAGCTACCACTTTCATCTTGTTATTCAACTCTTGTAATATGAGTGAACATGTAAGCTGCTTCTCCGGTGATAGCCCATTAATGCCTTCCATCTCATCATCGTCATCACCTATACCATTGCTACTGCCATTCTTGCCCTTTCCCTTTCCTTTCCGTTTTTTCTTCTTGTTCAACTGTCGACAATCAATATCATTTGCAACATCTGTAGTCCTCCTGATCTAAGATAACAGAACAGCAAACTTTTAAATATATAATACGTAAAATATTTTATCCTATATTATTTTATATTTTGCAGAGTTGTATTTCTTAAATGAATTTTTAGAAAAGAAGAAACAGTATCGCAACCTACTAAAATTATATATTGAAGTTAATATAAAAAGTAACATATAATTTTGCTTATATTTTGCTTTCTAAAGTTTGTTTTTAAAGTTTTCTAAAATTGGTCTTTTAAAATGAAATATTGAGTATGTTACTTTGGCACTTTTTTTTGTCTGCTTATCATACTCCAAAGCATCATAATAATTTGGTTTCTCGCGTTTAATTCGATTTGTTCGCCTTGTCTTCATTACACCACTATCAGGACTAGGTGGACTTTTTATGGAATTGCGTCTTGCATTAAAGAAGGAATGTCCACAAGGACAAGCTTTACAGGCAACAGGTACCTTATAAAAAGATTAATAAAATTTATTATTAATATATATTTTAATTTAGAGTACATACATTATGCAATAAAATAATAAAATGACTCATATATTAATACAAATTCTTTCACAGACATAATTTGAAACTATTAATATTGGACATTTGTTCTTCAAACTGCTAGAATTTCACAATTTATTTTACTTTCACATACACACAGAATTTCATACATCTTTTTCATAATATTCTTTAATTTTTGTGGTTCTCCATTTTTAAAAATATTTATATCTCAAATATATACACCAAAAATATGTAAAGGTTAATTTTATGCAATAAATATATTTATTCATGAAGTTTAGGCATTGTGGCATATAAATAGCACATAATTTTATATGCATATGAATCATTCAAATGCATAAATAAGTGTAAATATGTACAAAATGTGACGAGATGTATTTAAATACCTGCTGCTCACACTTAGGACAACCTTTGCTAATTGTTTTGGTCTTTGCCATGTTAAAAGTAGTCGTATTTCAATAATACAAAATTATTTATAACTGTTTTCGATTTGAAGATAAAAGATGTGACATATCACAGTAGACATATTAGAAAACGATTATTTGGCTTGTTTCGATGCATACTCAGCGCCACCAACTAGGTTAACACGTGCTGCACTCTAATAGAACATATTCCCTTAGGTACTGTCTTGACAATAGAGAACACTTTCTTTGTTTTGATTACTTAGGCTACGTTCCGATATTCATTGCCAGCACTGAAAATCTATAGTATATGTGGCATAAACTATATATTTTCACTACTGGCAGTGAATATTAGGCCGCAGCTGTAAGAAAAAAGGAAAAATGTATTTGTTTCTTTCTCAGCCATATTTTCTCCCACTATATTGTCCTTTTTCAAAACATTATAACTAAAATATCTAATTTCCAAAAATTTTGTCACAATCTATGTCATAGAAACAATCTATTCTTTAAACTATGATATTCAAATAGGTTATTCAAAGAAATATACAATAGTATTACATACATTTTTTCGTAATATCTTTATTTAATTAAATAAAAAAATTAGAAGAAAAATCCAAGTATTTTTCCTCCCAGGTGCTTCCTCCTGGCTTCTTCATGGTCCATGATCCCTCCACTGGTGGTCAATACGACAAAGCTGAAAATTAAATGTCATGAACATCTTACAAAAATATATACATTAAAATAATGCATAGCAAGTTACAATCAAAAATTACAATAACAGACTTTATGATAAGCTGTTTCTCTCTCTCTCTCTCTCTCTCTCTCTCTCTCTCTCTCTCTCTCTCTCTCTCTCTCTCTCTCTCTCTCTCATAAATATATGAAAGTTTACTTCATTTTTTTTCTTATTATATGATAAATACTTATTATACCCAAATTGTCGAGAAGGAAGGAGATTGTTGGTCCATTTCTCAATGTCATTGATGGGTACATCAAATCTAGGTGAAATAACACCACATTTGTTCAACCTTCCAGTAAGATTCACCACTACTTTTCCACTACGGTGATCATCGACAATTTCAAATTCTCCAATGTAACCTAAATATGACAAAAATATTTTCTTGAAATATCATAAACTACTTCAAGAATCTTAAAAGATCATTAGTTTAACATAAATAAAAATTGATCTTTTAAGTAAATTTTAGAAAATTTTTAAGAGGATTTAAAAGATTTAATCAAAACATTTAATATTAAAATCATTAGGAGATAATATAAAACAAAGATAAGACCTTGATAAGAACAGTATACAGGTTAGAGAAAATATAATTGATTTAGAATATTTTACATATCATATTAAACAAGTTACTATGTTTCATACTTACCATGTTTCATCATGACAGTGAGGAATTTAACAATTACTTTTGAGCAGGGTCTCAACAACACCTGACGTTTGCCACGTTTCTCAGCATTGTTAATAGACTTCAGGGCATCACTTAAAACATTCATACGCACCATGGCTGAAATTAAGTTCATAAATATCATGCTCATGTATTTATACCCATAATTGAGGTGTTACTTTATTATTTTACAAAGATTATAATTTCTGGGAAATGTTGCAGATACTAATAAACTTATATATCCAATAAGCTTCCCTATAGTAAATGCTAACCTAACTTTCAATAAAGCTAGTAAATATATAATTACATTTTATATTACATAAAATATAAATCCAACAACTATACTAATATAAATGTTATATTTGTTTATGAAAAATATTTTTTATATTATTAAAATAAAACCACAATTCAGGTGATAGAAAGCGCGTACTGGTTGCTTCACACGTAAATATCTCACAAGAATTTTGTGCTAATAATAAAATATAACTGCTTGAATACGCAAAGAAACTTAAGACATTGTTTATACCATCAATAAAAATTTGATGGTTATTATGAGAAAAGATTACCTGCGATTTCTAATTTGTTTACTCCAGTACCAGCACGCTTGAACCACTCAACATGAGAAAGGACGACATAGAAAAGGGAACCAGAGAATTTGTCAGTGCTGCTAACTTCATAAAACGCCACCATACAGCCGAAAACTGTTCTCCCTAGGCGCACTTCGTTGTACCGAGAGAGAAACCTGAGAGGAGCGGCCACCGGGCCGATTACGCTGGGACGCTTTTTCTGCCGAATTTCGTCGCATCCCCTGAGAAAATATGGAAGAAAATGAGAAAAAAAAGTACAACAGCATTCTACACTCAAAATGAAATAAACGACACTACGGCCGTTTTCCAACAAAAAACACTGTATTAAATAAAAATACTTTATTGGCTAGTTGTTATCTAAAATATTTTAGATAATATGCAGCCAATAAAACACTTTTGTACAATACTTTTTAGCTGAAAAACGCACTACGCCTCTACGTCTCTTTCTAGAAAGCAACCAATAACCTCTTCTCAAACAGCACATTGTAGTCAGTTGTCATCTGTAAATGTGATTGAAATTTGAACTTTTGTGAAATATTTGTTGGTAAGAAAATATTAAATTTATAATTTTTTGAAGAACTTAATTATGTAACTTTACTTTTGCCTTGCTAATTATATTGTTCTTTGTACATGACGATAATATCAGATGATATGACAGTACAAATGATATTTCATATGTTATGATTGTTTACACTCACACAGAATCAAATTATAAAGTATATAATTGAATATTTTTATTTGATTTTTGATATTTAGAATGCAATTCTAGAAGTAAAAATATTCTTAATAATACAACTCAATTAATACTAAATTAATGAATAATTAAAAATAATCTTATTTTAGGAATGAAAGATTCATTATATAATATAATTTCGCTATATTAAAGATATTTTTATCAAATTCTATGTTTTGAACATTGTTTTATTTTATCGTAGATTATAAAAATACAAATGGGTTACAACATTGAATTTCAAGCTATTGTGCTTGCGGGAGGAAAAGGTTCTCGTATGACAGAACTTACAGCAGGTCAACCCAAATGTCTGCTCCCAATTGGAAATAGTCCAATGATTTGGTATCCATTGCAAGTTCTTGAACGTTTTGGATTTAAGGAAGCAATTGTTATTGTCTCTGAAACAATAAAATCTGACGTATTATCATCATTAGACAAATTAGGTCTAAAAATCAAATTGGATATTATAGGAATTCCAGGAGCTGAAGATCTTGGTACAGCTGATGCCATTAGACACATTCATGAAAAGATATACACAGATTTTGTAGTGATATCTTGTGATTTGATCACAGATATTGATCTATCAGATATTATAAATTTATATAGAATGCATAAAGCTAGTATAACTGCTTTGATGTTACCTACTCCAAGCATACCAGATAATTTTATAACTCCAGGCCCAAAAAATAAACAAAAACCAGAAACAGATCTGATTTGTATTGATGATGATACAAATCGGTTAATTTTACTGGCTTCTGCTTCTGACTTTGAAGAAACCATTAGTTTTTCACAGAAACTTCTTAGAAGAGGTAGTAAATATACTGTTTATTCTAAGCTATTAGATGCCCATTTATATATTATTAGTAAATGGGTGTTGGACTTCTTAGTATTTAATAAGTAAGTTATTTTATCGTTAAAATAAAAAAGAAACTAAATTAAAGCTTAATTATACATAAAAATATATTGCAGGACTTTTAGCACATTGAAAGGTGAATTATTGCCTTACGTAATTAGTAAGCAGTTATTAAAGCCTAAATCTATAGATGACAAAAATACTTCCATGGTACAAGTGGATTTAAAGCAAGATATCTTCCGTTTTGTATCAAAGAAACTTTTAGATAACACAATAAGTAAAAGGTCAGCTTTCAATGATCATAATACAGATTTGGAAGAAGCATATTATGGAGACATAATAAGATGTTATGCTTATGTGTCAAACAAGAGAAATGGCCTTAGAGCAAACACTGTGCAAATGTATCATCTTGCCAATACTAAGGTAGAGTAATGTATCTATTACATATAGTTCCTATATTATAATACAAAAAAAGTTCCTAATGCAAAAAAAGCTATGTATATATATTTTTTTAATTTAATTTTTTATATAAGCATTTATTAAAAGTGATTATAATATAGAACAAAAAAGAATATTTTACACAGGTACTAGAATGGTGGAATAATGAAAATAATAGCCAGTTGCTGCCTTTGTCAAATATTTCAAGCACAGCAATTGTACATAGTACACAAATGCAGGAATGTCGTATAGATAATAATTCGCAAATCCATGAGAAAACATCGTTAAAACATAGTTATATTGGGCCTAATAGCGTGGTGGAATCGAAAACTAGAATATCCCAAAGTGTAATAATGGGAAATGTAACTATTAAGCAAAGGTAAGTCTGAAATAAGTGTATTGTGCTTAATATTTCATATTTATTAAATGAAAATTTATAATCGCAGGTGTGTTATCCACAACTGCATACTATGTAATGGCTGTATTATCGAGGAAGGCAGTGAATTAAAAGATTGCTTAGTTGGAGCTCAACATGTTGTGACATCTGGTAGTCAGCATTCTCTTGAAGTACTCACGAACGCCGACACACTCATAGAAATTTAATCGATTGTAATCATTATTTTTCTGATTTGTTTTTGTCAAATGTATTAAAAATATAGTGAAAATAAATCGAATCATATATGAGGGTTGCCTTTTATATTTCGGGAATAGAGAAACAAAAAAAGGAAATTAATCATCGTACATGGGTTTATTGTTTTTCAAAATATTCTCCATGAAGATCAATATACTTTTGCATGCGCTTGAACCAATTTTCGAAGCACTTTTTCCACTCCGATTGAGGTACCTCCAAAACATGCATTTTGAACGCATCAACCGCTTCTTCAGGCGTCGAAAAACGTTGACCTCGTAATTTATTTTTGATTTACGGTAATAAAAAGAAGTTATTGGGTGCCAAATCAGGGCTGTACGGCAGATGACCCATCAATTCGACTTTTTCAGTCCTAGTGGAGAATGATGCGTCTTCGGCGGTTGGTTTCCCTTATTTTTCCGAAGACTTCTGACAAACAAATGGTTGTGTACCATTCAAAATTGACCGTCCGACATTGCACTAATGGTACAGTTGCCACATGTCCGGTTTTTCCGAAAAAAACAGGCGACCATTTGCTTCGAAGTGCTTCGTGCGCGAACAACTTTTGTTAGATTTGGCTCATCTTGAAAGACCCATACAGTCGACTGCTGTTTACTTTCGGGCTCATACGCATAGATCCATGATTCGTCACCTGTTACGATATCATAGACGTGTTTTGAAGCACCGCAATCGTATTTCTTGAGCATTTCTTTCGACCAATCGACACGAGCCTTTTTTTGAGCAATTGTTAAATTATATAGGATCCAACGCGAACAAATTTTTTTGACAGCCAAATGTTCATGAAATATTGAATGTATGCTGGTCCCACTAATGCCCAAGGATGCCTCAATCTCACGATAAGTCACATGACGATCTTGTAATATCAGTTCACGCACAGCATCAATGTTTTCTGGAACAACCAATTTTGGACGACCTTCACGAAATTCATCACTAAGCGAACTACGGCCACGATTGAATTCCGTTTACCATCGATATATAGTGATTTTTGATGGTGCTTCATCGCCAAAAGTCGAATTAAGTTCATCGATGCACTGTTGTTGAGATAATCCACGTCGAAACTTGTAAAAAATAATCGTACGGAAATGTTCACGACTTAATTCCATTTCTTGGCCGACATCAATTTTTCATGTCACTGTAAACAACACAAATGGCGCATGGACATCAAAACGTTCTGAGTAAGTATACTGACAAAAAGTCGAACTTTACGTTAGGGACGTCGGTTGTCAGATGGCAACACCTGGATCGTCCATTCCCGAAATATAAAAGGCAACCCTCGTAATTGATTGATTTTCACTGAATTAGTCTTATTTTTGTTCATTTGTGACTATCTTAATTGATAAAATTGATATAAGTTATGTAAACATACAATTTTTTCGATTTAGTACAACGTTATCTCAATATACTATTCTTTATATTTTTTCTTTTTGCAAATCTACGTAATTACCATTCAAGTAAAAATAATATTAAATTTGCTTGCGATATTACTTCTTGTTAACTACAGAGGTCGCTGGTCACGTCTTCCAAATAATGGCCATGCTATTGGCCAGGTTAAATTAAACGAAGGAACGCATTGACTCGAAACGCCATACTCCTTCCTTTTCAGAGTGCTCTTAAGGCAAGATGGTATGTATTTAAGTAATTCGAATCGTTTTATTTCATAGCGATCTTAATTTTCAGGCAGTTTATTGGTTCAAAAATGATATTTTAAGTTTTTACGGAATGCATATAATCGAATAGTATCTGATGGGAGAACGTAGATTCGCACAATTCGTATATAATTCAGACGTGTAGGTTATGATAAATGTTTACGTGTTACCACGTTGAAATTAGTGTTCTTATAGATTATATTTAATTTCTGTACGATTATTTATTATTTCTGATGTAATCACTAAGTTAATGTCTTTCATAACATTGGTTACTGCTATGGTTTTCTTTGTCTAATTGAAATTTCTGTTTCACCAAATGTAGATTATATTCATCATGCTGTTTTTCAATGTTCACAGACAAAAGGTACATCCAGCTTCGGTAAGCGGCGTAATAAGACGCACACATTGTGTAGGAGATGTGGTAATAGCTCGTACCACATTCAAAAATCACAATGTGCTCAGTGTGGTTATCCAAAAAAGAAAATGCGTTCATGTAAGTTGATACTTTGTACTGTTATAAAACATGCACATGAGAAATATACGTGTGTATTTTTTAGATATATTCATATATTGCAGGAATAAATTTTGATTAATTTAACTCATATTTATAATTTTATAGATAATTGGTCGGTCAAAGCTAAGAGGAGGAAGACTACTGGTACTGGTCGTATGCGTCGTCTTAAAATTGTTCGCCGCAAGTTTAAGTAAGTTGATTTAAATTTATAATTTTTGAATTCATATTTTATAAATTTTATAAATTGTAGAATATAATTAAACAATAAATACTAAAATCGACGAAGAGGGTGACCAGATTTTTTTAATAATTGTTTTTATATTTTTTATTAGATTATTAATGGATGAGAAAAATATATTATTTAACTTTTAACATGATTCATAAATGTTATGCATATACTGATAACCATGTGCTCTTCTAGGAATGGATTCAGAGAAGGTGTGCCAAAACCTAAAGCTGTTGCGGCAAAATAAACAATATTGTGTAATTAAGTTATACAATTTTGACTACTAATAAAAATCAGAAAATCCAAATGCTACGATATTGTTGTCTTAATAAGAATTCCTTGCAACTTTGTGTACAGAATAATTGTTACATCACTAGTAAATTTTCTTGTAAAATTAGAAATTAATACTTGCTTTGCCATTTCAATGCTCTTAAATTTTTTATTTCAGCACTCAGTTAATTTACAGAAACAGTTGCAACAAATTCTTATCGAGAGCTAACAATCTATTCAGATAAAAATAGTTTAAGTAGATAATTTCGATATTCCATCAAAAAACAATTGCGTTATAAACATGTAAGATTAGTTCTTGATAAAGCTACATATTGCTCTTGTGCATTATAATCCTATCTGTCAAGGAAATTAAAAAAAAATATTCGCGATAGGAAAGATAAGATGTATTGTTCACACTGCGCAACGACGGAATATTTGATCGTCGCGGCGTCCAATATATTTAGCGAGCTTTCGGCTTCGCTAAACAGTAACTTGCGACTCTCTCGATGCACGATGATAACTCGCAAAATCGTTGCTGCATAGTATATTTAGGTGTCCACCGCACTCGAGGAACATCGAGCATTTGGCCAGTTTGGAAGTTATGTCACGTAACAATATCCAACTAACGTACCGTCTTCACAAGCATCGAAGGATCAAGAATCACACGATTATTAATAGTAGTAAATAGCAAGAGACATTTCTACTTTGAACAATCTATCAGTTATTGTGATATTACGCGTATTGCTATCCAAACGTGGCCGAAACGAATCATTCTTTTCTGTAACGTATAATTTTTTAAAAATGAGTCTTTTACGTCAGCTATTATTTGGTAAGTGAGTTTCACTTCAAGATTACAATTTCTTTTGTAGCCCTATGATTTTATATATATTTACATATATATATATATATATATCCAGGTAAATATCTGTTTGTCACCAACACTGTGAGTTGTGGCTTGATGATGGCAGCGGGCGATGCGATTCAGCAGCGTAATGAGCATTGGAGGAAGCACTATTCCAACAAATACTTCTTGAATAGTGTTGTGGCAGCATCGTCGGAGGAAGACGAGGAAATGACAGTGGTTCCCAGCAACCCTGTGTATGGGCACGATTACTTGAGGACCAGGAACATGGCAGTCGTGGGACTACTTCAAGGTCCGTTTCACCATTGGTTTTACATGTTCTTGGATAGAGTATTCCCGGGTAAGAGTGCAAAGTCGGTCGTCAAGAAGACACTTCTCGACCAAACGATCGCGAGTCCCACGTGTCTGGCGATATTTTTCGTCGGTCTCGGGATACTAGAGCATCGCAAAATTGAAGAAATCTGCGAGGAGGTGAAAATGAAGTTTTGCACTACATGGAAAGTACGTGAGATACAGTTTTATGAATTGAATATTTAAATAACGATAAAAAACATAGCTATATAATTATAAATTATTAATTCAAAGAAAGGCGCTAAAAAGCTTCATCGAAACGTTTCTCTTGTAAGTAATTTGCTGAAACTCGTCTCGTTAGGTCGATTGTTGTTTCTGGCCTCCTACGCAATGCATCAATTTCCTCTTTGTGCCACTGCATTATCGAGTACTTTACACGAACGCTATGACTATGGTCTATGACATTTTTCTGTCGTATATGAAATATGTAAGTTTCGTCTGCATGTACTGTTTCTCATCACCGGTAATTGAAATGAAACGGAGTGTGTGTTACAAATAGAGCGACGAAACAACTTCGATATTTTTCACTTGCAGGATGTTCATCTCGAATGATGAAGAGAAATCTCACTAGTCAAAATGAAATAACAAATTAAATAAATCATGCTGTGAGTATACATTTATATGTGTATTATTATTCATTACGTGTAAAAAAACGTGCAATAAAACGCTATCGAAGGAAAATTCCAAGTAAAACTATTTTCTGATATCCTTATTGCGATTCATCAGCATCATTTGTTCTGTTTCCATGCGATTTAGAAAATAAAATATTGCCGATAACAGTAAAAACACACAGATATCATTGTAAACAGATATTTGGTTAACTTATTGTTTTATCGTAATAGCCATTCAGTTATTTAAAATCGACAGTTCTTATACTTGGCCAATCCTAAGCTTCTCGAGTGCACAGAAACTCGATTTTAAATTTGATTTCTATTTTTAACCGCGTTGATCGCAACTGTCACATTTAAAGTAAACACGTCAGATGCTCGTGTTTGTTTTCATCGCTCACATCGCTCGAACGAGACTGTAAAAGCAGAGCGTCCTACTCCACGACGTTGTTAATTTATATCCGACTAAATCTGGCATGTCATGTGTCAAAAGTTTACACACGCGAGGCTCGCGTTATTTGTACACCAAAAATGAAAAACCCGACGAAACTGTTGCGAAATCGGACACTAATTGTAATCGGCAAATTGGCTTTGGTGGATGCGCGCGCGCGCGTGCGTTCGCCGATCGCATATCGCGAAACGATACGCGGTAGTTCCCTTATCGCACGTAATAATCTCTCATCGAGTTTATTTATCGGCTCGACAGCTTTTGTTTGGCGTTTGGCGACGGCGAGATTACGCGGTCTCCTCTAACCAGTCAGACGCCATCGCGCAAACACGATTAACGGATATAAACACAAACAATAAATTAATCGTCGCGCAACCACGATATTTTGCAGCCTGCAGCCTGCAGACATGCAGAGCATGCGAGTCCTTCGCACGTGACGTACACAATTTGATAACAACATAGCACGCGTGTTCACAATCATGTTCCAATCCTTCCTTTATCTAATCAATAAACATTTTATAACCGAGAATCGCCTTTTATCTTTGCAACTGAACCACTTCTGTCTCTGAACATCTCTTTCTCACATTCTTTTTAGCAGAAAGCAACATATACATTCTTATCGACATACCTTGAAGGACTCGAAAAATTAGATTCACTCGCTGAAGAACACAATAATATAATAGCAATAATATGCGACGTCAATGTCAATTTGCAAATAGAGGCGCGCAAAAGTGAGCGCTCAATTTGCACACACGTGTGCATTTTGGAATAAGATTCTTCCGCTTGCACATCGTCGCGCTATAGTCAGTTCGTATAGTAGTGCAATGTAACCTGTTGCGCCTATGGAATCTAGAAGAGTGTATCGCGTTGGCATGCAACGTCCGTTCGCCGCATTCGAATCTCCCAGTTCGTTCCGTCTCACATCCTCATCGATAAAGCCCAGGTTGCAACGGCGAGAACCTTTACACCGCGATCTGCGACCTGCCGCCAATTGGCGCGTCGCGCTTCGAATTTTCCCGGTTCCGTCGCGGTCCGTTTCCGCCGCGTTCCGCCGCGGCCGGAACGTTCGGAAACACGGAGCGCGCCCCCGGCGATTTACAATCATAAACTGCGAGGTTCGCTTTGTATGTACACTATGTATGTATATACTTATCGCGGGAGCATGGTTTTATTATGATTTTTGAGCGCCAGGTGGCCGCGTTTTTGTTGTCGATTTGTCGGCGGCGCGGCACGGCTGCTCTAGCGCCATTACATCGATAAATGTCACCGTAGCTGTCCGCGTAAACGCCGCCGTCGAGCGTCAAAGCACCGATCAGCGAAGAGATCAGTGCCGAGAGACTTGTGTCACTTTCTCTCCGGGCGAGAGAGACAGAAAGGAAGAGACGAAGGGGATCTCATCATCGCACGTTGACGTTTCGGCAGGACGCTGCGCGCAGACAAGAACAACGATGTCAACCAAGCGGAAAAGCACGGGCGGCAAGAAGAGCCGTGCCAAGTCGCGCAAGGTCGAGTACGACGAAGAGGACATTTCCAGCGAGCACGACTCGGAGGTCGACGACGCCGCCGAGGCCGGCTCTAACGCCGGCGAGGACGCCGCCGAGGATATGCTCGCGGATGTCGCGAATATGCCTGAACTGCCGGCACCGGAGGTGATCCCCCGTTTTGTACCGTAGATATACGCAGGGATGCACTCGGTCGCGTGATGCAGCGCGTCCTCTTACATTGATGCTTGTAACTGTATGTCATTGAAGAGAAAAATTAGTCATCACGGTGTTTAAGATGAAACACTTGCACCAAGTTATATTGGATGATTTTGCTAATATTTGAATTGCATTATAATTATTTTGTAATCATCACTTGTGAGTCATTTACATTGTTGCTAACTGTGCAACCCTACTTGTAATGTAAGATACAAATTTTGAATTAGTGCAAGCAACATTGATGCAATGTATCATAGATAAATATATAAATGTAAAACTGATTATACATCTTTATTGATAAGATTTATTCGTTAATGTAAAATTTATATATATTTTTTTTTGATAACACATCTGTTTGAGCATTTTAAATAAAATGAATGATAATATCTGTCTTAGGGTGGCTGGGGCAAGCCTGGAACATTGCTCATGTGTGGCCTTACTAATTGGGAAATGGCTGGTCGTAAAGCACCACCTAAGGGGGTAAAGGCAAATGTAGGACGTAGCCTATGGACGCCGCACACCTTTAAAAATTTGAATAATGCAAGAGTACGTTTGATTGCATCTGGACCTGCTGCCTCCCACAATATTATTGTTACAGAGGATGATAGATGCCTCGTTTTTGGTAAAAATGATAAAGGTGAGCAAAAAGAAAAAATGTGTGACAATACATATCTTTTTACACAATTGTAAGATTATAAGATTTGTACTTATAAATCCGTATATCTTACCATAGTACTGGATTCTTTATAACATTTGTGAAAAATATTTTTTTCTCTAATAATGAATTAGTCGATGTCTAAGAATTTTTCTCTATATTTATTTACATTGGGTAAATTATTTCTTAATATGGAGAGAAAAAATTCAACTTGCAATATATCTTGGTTTATTTTCGGTTTACTGTGATTATAACAATATTTCTTGGATTTGTACAATCCTTGCAGGTCAATTGGGTATTGGAGACACAAAGCGTCGTGATGAACCCACTGAAGTCGAAGCCTTAAAAGGACACACGGTCATAGGAGCATCGTGTGGGCGCAACCATACTCTATTTTTAACAAGCCGAGGTATAGTTTTTGCTGCTGGCGACAACAAACTGGGTCAATGCGGAGTCGGAAAATCAGATGCCTGTATCGTCACCGCCACTAAAGTGAAATACTCAGGACCGCCGATAGTTAAAATAGGATGCGGTGCTGAATTCTCCATGATCTTAGACATCAAGGGTGGTCTGCACTCGTTCGGATGTCCGGAATATGGTGCTTTAGGTCATAACACCGATGGCAAATATTTCATTACGAATACAAAAATGGCATTTCACTACGAGAAAGTGCCTAAAAGAATCGTTCTATACGTTGAGAGGACTAAGGACGGCCATGTGACACCGTTGGATCGCGTCGAGATAACAGACTTTAGCTGCGGTCATTACCACACGGTTGCGATCGACAGCAAAAGCCGCGCGTTCTCCTGGGGATTTGGCGGAGTCGGCCGTCTCGGGCACAACGAGCAGCGCGACGAGTTGGTGCCGCGTCTGATCAAGTTCTTGGAGCCACCCAACCGTGGCGTTAGAACGGTACATTGCGGCAGCACATACAGCATCGCGATTAACGTGCATGGCTTTGCTTTGATGTTTGGCCAGTCAAAACGCACGGGCGAGGCCAACATGTATCCCAAGCCTATTCAGGATCTATCCGGCTGGGAAATTCGTTGCGTCGGTTGCTCACAGACAAGCGTAGTGGTCGCGGCTGATGATTCAGTTATCGCCTGGGGTGCCAGTCCTACGTTTGGAGAATTGGTAAGATATGCCTCGAGAGGACATCCTTTACAGAACATTCTAGAATTATAATTTGTTTGAACAACGATACGTTCGAAATAGTTTTAGAATATTCTATATTTCTTATATTTTATGCTTTATAAATCACACGAGTCATCGGTTAAATATTTCTTAGTGTAATTTATGATGTTTCTCAATCGTAGGGTTTTGGTGAAATGCGAAAGTCCTCGACAACCCCAATGGAGGTGAAAGCCTTAGAAGGTTTATATGTTACTGCTGTCACATGTGGTATGTCTCATACGCTTATGATCTGCCGAGATGACACAGAGGAGGAAAAAGCGAAGATTAATAAGCTACAGGTGTACTCTGTTTAAAGTACGACAAGAGATATTTTTCGGTTGCATAAAACGAGTTTCCATTACGTCACTATGCAGATGATTGAGTCGAAAAGAAAGAACGTCGTCGTTCCTTCGGCGAGCCACAGCTACGTTTTTTGATAAATTGAGACGAACGAATCCGAGAACAGTAGCGAGATAACAGTAGATCGTCACGAAACGTCCAAGAGAGACATAGGCTATTACTATACTTTGTACTTCCAATTTTTACTTAACGCGTGAATGAAAGTCGATCTGTGTAACATTTGAAAATCTATTCTGTTCAGCAGCTCAGGATATAGACCAAACGAGATAGATGCAAAAATATATTTTGATACGTTGCTATTTTATTGAAGTTCGCTGTAACTTTCATCAGAGAATGGAAATAGCTATTCGTACAGAGAAGCTGGAGGAGCCGCAAAGAGAACGTGGTTAGAATTTAGCAAGAACTACCCTTATTTTTATTACTTTTTAATCAATTTATATATTCGAATAGTTTATCCATTGATTCATCACAGTAGTACCTGAATCATTACATCTGCAGAAATCGTTTTGACAATGTGTATATATGGGGATGCTCCCTATATATAAATAATACGAGTGAGTCATTCAAGTAGATTATATTTTTAACAGTTATATATTGAATTAAATTTTGACGTATTTTCCAGACTCTTGATAGACGAGACTTGATAGAAAAATAATTTAACTATTGTCACTATCGATTGATTGTGAAACGTTACGATTGATGTCTCTTTTTTATATAAAATGATACGCATAATAAAATGATAAAATGATAGCATTTAATTTTATTTTTATTATAGTAAAACTTAATTTCTAAAGTTACAAATAACGAAGGCAAATCAGAAGCAACACCGGTCGCATAGCGAACTAAGTGACTACGTGTTTAATGGAACGAATAATTAAAATAGATTTAAAATTCACAAACGTTTTTCGGTTCATCGTTCGGGCTTTCTTCAGTGACGCAAAATTTAAGAATGCAAAACATTTGTGAACTTTAAATATATTTTAACTATTCATTCAATTGAATACGTGCTTGGTTCTGCTTGGTTCGCTGTTCCACTGGTGTTGACTTCAATCTACCTCCGTTTATTTGTAACATTATAAATCTTGTGAGCTCATATTAACTTCAACTTTTAAAGTTTTATATATGCGTATAAAAAATTAAGTTTTACGTAAATATAATGTATTTTGTTACGAAGTGATACACGCTGTGGAAGTTCCGAATTTAAATCTCGATTCAAATTTAGGCGTCCCGCCTGAGTATGTGCATTTTGTTTTTTAAGGTATTTTTTTTTTCGTAATAATTTATATAGTACATATTTTCTCGTATACTATTATCGTATAGAAACGCGATGAGAATGTTTGGTCGAGTACAACATGGTAAAACAAATTATAAAATACATTTAAATATCTCTTGAACTAAAGTTACAACTCCGATCACTGCCAGGATGTATTATGAACATCTTTTTATTGTGATGTCAAACATTCATTCCATTCCGTTCCATATAATACTCTCGTGCGACTTCTGCACTGAAATATTATTCTGATGAAAACAAAAAACTTGCGATAAATGTACAAGTCTAAATATGAAATAAACGAATTTTTTATGAATCTTGTGCTTTTAAAACGCCACCTAGATAATGTAAAGGATGTGAAAAATGTCGATTTGAGAAAATATTTGACTCTTGATTCTAGGAATTCACTTGTCGTATGTCGATATTGGGACTCTTGTACACTTCCAACAACGCTCTTTGATCCGATTAGATTTTTGTTTGTTTAAACACGTGTCGCAAATAATATCTTTTATCGCAGCTTCATTTAGACGTCTGATGTTATCTTCTTCTTCTAGTTTACGTTTCTCCTAATTAGCAAAAGCATCTAATCAACTGTCGTCCAAGAAATTTGTATCAGCATCGTCATCGTCGTAAAAGCAAGATGGTCGTATTTTACATAAAAAATATAAAATCTTATTACTATAAGCTTTCGATCCACCGTTGTTGTAGCAGAAACGACAAATTGTTGAACATTATCCATTTCTTCTTGTGGAACATTACCATATTTCCAACGTAACAATTGATGGGCCATGTAATGTTGAGGATTCGTTGGTTGATATCTTAAAGTTCTATTTATTGCCCATGTCAGTGGTACCATTACGTTTTGTCTACATTAACGCATTAAGTAATATTGCATTGCATAAGCAATGGTGTTACACATTAATCTATTTTTTTATATACTGTACAACAATTATATCAATTTATTACAATGCTGTGATTGCGTTATAGCGATATAATGTGTGATAGTTACCTTAAGTAATCATTTCTCTCAAGAGCCTCATTGCGTTGCTCTTTTGGCAACAAATTTAAACAGCACGTGCACATATGTGGAGCAAGATTGTATTGTGTACTTACGAGCGTAGGAGCTGCTTTACTTAAACTGGTGCAAAGAGATGTTCTTGTCATTAATGAAGACGCCGTAGATACCATTGTCGAACTGCACTCGCACAATATTTCCTGTACATTATTTCAGCTTCATTATAAATTGTCTGTTTTCTCCTCTAATCGATTGAAGGAATTATTACTTCTAAAGCTTGTTTCTCTTCATATTCACTATATCCAAGATCAATCAATATGTCTTCGGCTTCATCATCGATACCGTTCTCTTCTACATAACGAAGAGCATCTTCATCAATACCAAATTTCTTCAAAAAGCTAATTATTGTCGACGTAACTGGTTTAATTGGTCCTGGCCAATTTAAAATTCCTGGAACATCCACGCCACTCCACAGAAGCCGACAAAGCACACTTTTATTCTGGGACACTAACCCACAGATAACAATATTCCAGCACTGATTTTCAGTTAAATTGGCGACTATAAGATTCCATATCAATTTCGCGTCAAGTTTCCTTGACCACATATCCGCGTCATTCACTACGTCCACATCTACTCCAAAATCTTTGAAATATTTTAGTTCTTCAGGATTGAGACTAAGGAGACCATATTTTATCGCCTTCATGATTTTATGTGGAGACATACCTGAAATTTATTATTTAATGTACAAATAAATACGACACTATATGGAAAAAAGAAGTGTCCAGAAAAAGTCTTGATACCTTTTCTTTCTAGATTAGCTAAGATACATTCATTATATATTCCACTATGAATGATAGACCGACACAATTCAGGTGATATGTCACATAGTACATTGTTGTATGGATATTCAGGTGATAGTTCAATTTTGTGCTGTCGTATAAGTTTTTCCTTTAGCAAGCTGAGTAATTTTTCTTCACACCAACCGCCATAAAGAAATGTTCCTTTATTTGTTAATTTTATATGTGCCTTTATCTCGTGTAATTCTTCATCATCCATTACACCTGATTCCGACAGTTTTAAATGCGTAAATGAACCAAGTGAGATGTAAATTGAGGATTTCGTAAATATCGCAAATGTCAAAATACAAGCCGACTATTTCGGCAGTTGTTACGAATGTCTATTTCATATGTGTGAAGAGAAATTTGTTTTATATGTACATATATGTGGAATGAAATAATCTACATATCCAGAAAATGTTATATTTACAAACGAATAAATTTTAGTGTATAATATTATTTATATATCACCATCATATAGTTATGTAAAGGTCTCTTTATAAAATATATACTCGTCGCTATTGACGTAGTATATATTTCTAACGAGACATACGCCATAAAATCTAGAGGTTAGCACATAACATAGACAAAGTAGCAAGCAGAATCCTTAAATACATTTTTACAGTATAATACACGTTATCCGGATGTAAGTGACGTAACAACGATATGCGTCAAGCGCACGTATTGTGCATAATATAAAACGATGAAAACAATCGAAAGGATGAAAACTTTTAAGTTACTACTAATTGTACAAAAATTGTGAATAACGGAACACAGATTATGGTTCGTACAAACGTTTCATCAAACACTACGACCATTTCCTCACAGTACATCTGTTAATAAAATGTATTTACAAGGACGCGCAAAGTTCAGTCTAAAGACTCGTATTCCATATTTAGATAGTCTCTAACAGTAATCTATATGTGTTACGAGTACATGCATATCTTTCAATTATATTTTGATAAAATTTGAATATGTAGCATGTATGAAGCATGTATGATGTACTGTATCCAGTTTCCTTCGCGTCTGCACGCGGTCTCTCTCAGATTTATTTCCCACGTCAAATTAAACTTGTATAGTGCGCACAGGTTCATTGTAGCAACTTTTCACGGTCGATTATAGCAGGATACAGTAACAATTTGAATACACATCCTGCTGTTGGTGATCGTTGACAGTCAACTGCATTCCTCTTTTGCCAGTTCGATGCCTTGCACCACCCATGGTGCCATTATCATAAAATCGGGCTGAATGAGTGTCCCAAAGACCAGGTGTTTGTATTATCTATCAAGTGCAATGTCACATTGTGATACATTAATAACATGAGAGAAATAATATGCCTATAATTGTGTTAATAAAATATATACATTGTAATAGCTACCAGTATAAATTCAAACATACTTTTTGTACAAGTTCCTCAAAACAGCATTTCACACCATCTGCTGTTTTTGCACTGCTCTCAATATACAAGGTTTGATGTCTTCTGGCAAACTGCAGGCCTTCCTCAGTGCTCACTTCTCTGTTTGGTAAATCTATTTTGTTACCCACTACCATTTTGACAATATCTGTTTTATTGCAGTATGTGTTTAATTCATTGAGCCATGTCTCTAATTTCACAAAGGTATTTCGATCCGTAACGTCATACATTAAAATAGCACCTTGACCATCTCTGTAGTAGCTTGGTGTTAAAGTACGAAATCGTTCTTGACCTGCAGTATCCTATAACAAATACCGAGAGATTCGATAAATCTGAAATAATACTACTCGCTAAATTATTCCACTATTTTTTCCCGTAAATCAAACTACGATACAAACCCAAATTGCGAGTTTCACTATATTGCCATCGATGGAGATTTGCTTGGTTTTGTAGTCCATACCAACCGTGCTCTGCATATTCTCGTAGAATTCATCTTCGGTGAATCTCAGGAGTATACTGTAAACAACATAGTGTGTAATTAATCTTTCGTATCATGGCGTAGAAGCGCGACAATGACTCAGACACTCATACCTTGACTTTCCTACGTTCGATTCGCCTATCATAAGAATTTTCAATATCGTTAGGTAGTCCTCCTGATCCATGATGGCGTGATCACCTGACTGCACTGACGATAGTGACGTTTACACTCGAACGAGATTAATGTTCCGTTCTTTTTTGTCCCCTATAACTCGTCGTCAATTTATACACATTAACATTAAACACTGCTCTGCCCGGTCATAATTCTGACAATCAACAAAAAGTACGTCATAGAGTAAGAGCAATGGGGTGGGTAATGATCGAACGATGAATCGATGTTCGATTCTTATCTACTGTTGGAAAGGATCGATTGTCTTCGATTGCGAAAAGATCGTGACATTTTTGGTTTAGAGTCTTGTGAAATAAACTGCATGGCTTATAATCAATAAAAATAAATTTAGAGATATTAAACAGGTGAAAGTCATAAGACTGTACTTAGGATTTTCGTATCTTGTTTAAAAAAAGCATTAATAATAGGTGACTTTCATTACGAATGTTGGTTCATATAGCTAATCTGTTAATGTACAAAATTCACAATGCATATCAACGAAGATAATGACCATATTGTGTGCAGTGTTCTCTGTCGTTACAGCACTATAATTGCTGTTATTTTTAATTAATTACCGATACAAGTGCAGCACGGTGTAGTGGTGCAGTGCAGAGGAGGGACAAAAAGAGAAGATGGAGAAAGAGGAGCAGGAGGAGATTGGCAGGGGGAAGGGGTACGCGATGCGGGTGTGCGAGAAACGAATTTTTGTCACTATCTACGGGGAGTAGTAGCGACGATGTAGTGGCGAAGCTAACCACGAACTAAACAGAAGAAAAAAGATGGCTGCTGCGAGGCTGCCATGAAGGGGCCGCGTCGCTACTCGCGCTCGCGGAAATGGGACGTTGCGACATCCGAGTGTTATCGTCGTCTTAGTGAGAAGTGTCAAGCGAGTGATCAACGGCGAGGGTGACGTGCCGAGGAAGGAAGAAGCTGACGGTGGTGCGGAGCAAAGGAGTGAAGTGCGGCAGTACTTCGCACTGCATCGCACTCGACGACTACGACGACGACGACTGTAGCAACGGCAACGGTGGTGGCGACGACGACGACGACGGTGGTAACGGCGACGAAGAGGACGATAACGACTACGGACGACGGCGAGTCAGCCGGAAATACGCGAAATGGCATCCGACGGGTAAGATTTCGACGAAAAGAAATCCATACCGAAATGTGTGGCCTCTGTTGCACCCGACTGCACCCGAGGTGCAACGCGTTGTTCTAGGGAAAACGCGGTCGTGAACACGCACGCACGGATGGGCCGATGGTTCGCAGATCGATAGTGAATTTTTTTACAGTCACCCGTCCCAGTTTTCTCCCTCTCTCTCTCCGTCGTCGTCCGTCTCTCCATCTCCCGTGTTCTCTATCGCTCTTTCTCATTGTATGGAGAGTAAGACAGAGAGAGAGAGAGAGAGAGAGAGAAAAAAGACTCGCCATCACCTTCCTGACGATAAGCGAGCAATTTCCCGCTGCGCTTCCTTCGTGAGACGCGCTTTCGCGTTGAAGTTAGCCGTCGTCGCGATTGGGCGGGTCTCTCCTTTTTCTCTCTCCCTCTCTCGTACGTTCCGTTCGTCACACGCGCATTTTCACAGTCGTTTTCTTCGCAGTCCGCGGTTCAGACTTGTCCACGCGTTGGTTGGCGCGTACGCATTTTTCCACTCGAAATCGCGCCTTCGTATTTTCCCCCCTCTGGTCTTCGCTTCCCTCTCCGGAGCCGTCACTGTGTGTGTGTGTGTCTCCGTCTCTCTCGCTTTCCACTTTTTATTCTCCTCTCCCTTTCTCTCTCTCTTTTCTTCGCTACGCGAGCGAACGTGCGCTCTCGATCTACGCGCGGATGGATTTCCGCGGCCTATTTCAGCCAATTAAACGGCCAGCATGACATCAGAGCAGACGGCATCTCTCTCTCGTTGCACCGCGGCCCAGCATTCCTATCAATTTACGGGACCGCCAGGGGCAGGGTGGGGTAAAGCGGACGGGCGAAAGCACCCTCCTTCGTTCTCCCCGATTTATCGGTCCCGTACGCCTTCGTCGAGAATAATCGCGCACCACGAATCTTAAGCGGCCCCTTGTCGTCCTCTTTTCGCCCCCCTCCACCCTCTCTGTCTCTTCCCATCTATTTGCCCGTCCGTCCATCCATCCATCCATCCATCCATCCATCCATCCGTTCCGTTCCGTGGTAAGGGCAATTTTTTTCCCCGTGGCAGAGTCGTTGCGCGATCGCTCTCTCTCTTTCTCTCTCTCTCTCGCTCGCTCGCGTTCCACCCGACGTTCCAATTAGTTCCCCGATATTGCTATCGTGCTTGTTCAACGTGCACGTACTACGTGCTTTCCGTATTACGACGTACGATACCTTCCTCCTTTATTTCGCGTCCCGACCTCGAAGAGATAGATCGCCGAGAGACGTTCCCAGTCATCGCGGTTACGGCGCGCGGTGGATGTAAATAAAAAAAAATATGGACGCTGCGCTGCTACGAGTCTCGTTACATCGCAACGATGCTCCCGTTCGCGAATTACGCTCGAGATACTTTTGACATATCGATCCTGCCTTATGATACTTTATCTCTGTCTCCGAGTGTATGCTCGCCGTTTGCAAACGACGTAAGGACAGTCCGTGTACTCCGTAGCAAGTGAAAGTTTAAGGGAAAAGAGTGATTTAGAGCGGTTGCGTAAGATTCGATACAGTTTGTCACTGTGGCTATTAGGGTCCGATAGATTCGCGATTGGGAAATACCTGACTCCTTCACGGGAATGTTAACGGATGACAATTGCAGTAGGATGGAATGGGTGGAGATCATAGAGCCACGCACTAAGGAACATATGTATGCTAACCTGACCACGGGAGAATGTGTTTGGGATCCTCCACCAGGTGTACCAGTGTAAGTTATTCATTTATGCATATCGCTTCTTTAATAGCAGTCAGTTTCTGCACAGCATGTTGCAAAGCTGTCAGAGAACCTACCGAAGAAATTCATTCAATGTTTCAACCGACAAAGTATTTCTCTTAAAATGGTCCTCATCTTTTAGCGGATCTCTGCTTCACAAAATTGTTGACAGAAAATATACAATTTATATCTTGAAAGCTGATTAGATCAATGTCTGATATCATTACAGGTAGTATAGTGTATTAGAATTTGATTAGATGGGTATCTGATGCCATTATAATCAATGTGATGGATCGATATAATGAATTAGACTCAGTGCACTGGGTTTAGTTTTTATATATACATATCTATATATATATTATATATATATCAGTTAATTATCTGAAAGTATATTGTGGTGCTACTGTAATTATTTTAGAGAATGTTGTTCTAGAGAAAGTATCAAATCAATCCTGTATGTTGTAATATACAATACAATGTTCCGTTTAATAATTTGTAGAAAAAAGACGGACAACAATCAGTGGTGGGAGTTATTCGATCAGAACACTTCGCGGTTTTACTATTATAATGCGACATCACAGAAAACCGTGTGGCACCGCCCGACTGACTGTGACATCATACCGCTGGCGAAACTTCAGGTAAAGGGTAACGTTTGTTATCATTTTTTTATATGACTTAATACCTCTTACATATTTCGTACGTGAGCTTATGCGTGAGTCATGTTGAGTAGTTGATTATCAAACATCAGAGATAAGAACGTACTCTCTATTGGTAATCCATGGGAATCTGTTCTTGCCTGTGAATCATGTAAGATCTGTGAGTTTAGCGTACAAGTTTTAGCGTATGCGCGCGCGGTGTTTATAGACGTACGGAATGATTTGTGAGTTTCTCCGGATAACACACATTGCAGAACTCACGTATCTTAGAGTGCCGGAGATATAAGTGTGCAAGCGTCTGCTCTCTTCTCGGCTATAAATAGACGTTTGTAGCGGGGAGAAAAAAGCCTGGTTTACATTATACCGTGCCATACAACCACGAAGTTTCCTTCGCGATAATGTTATTTGTCCATTTAAAGCTTGAGGAAAAGAAAGAGCTTGACAAACGAGTGCCTGGATATCTCGCGGAATGTAATTGTAACGCCCACCTGTGTATCTAAACATACACTCCGTGTATTGTATGTTTTATCATGTTGAGATTAACGCGTTCTGTCAATATAGAAGTTATAGAACTTGTTGCATTATGTGGAATTGGTACATTCAACTCGAGTTGCATGTAAATAATTACGAATTGTGATCTTGTCATATTGTTGTGTGTGTGTGTGTGTGTATGTATGTTATATATACATATCTTATGTCATATTGTATGTAATTTGTATACTATCTTGTTTTACATAGATAAGACTTGTTACTTTGTTACTAAGGTGTCTTTAATCAGTCGTCGATAAGACGTGTTACTTTGCTATTAATATTTATATAAATATAAACTCATTCATTTATTTAGGTAATTATATACTTATCTTCGCGTACTTATATTCGCAATATAGACATTGAAGCAGAACACGGAGCCTCCGAGCGGCAGCACATCCGACGCTCAGAAAGTAACCGAGCCGAGGAAAAAAGAATCAGTCTCGACACAGACGCAAACCCCTTCGGTCAGTCGGTCGACGCGATTCAATCATCAAGAGAGTCCGAATTTGACCCCGACATTGGTAAATTTAATTTTCTCCACGATGACTACGCAATCTCGCGCATCTCGTGATTTCGCATGGAGACGTTTGCTCTTTCTCTTTCGCAGCAAGTTGGTAGCGCGAACAAAACGCGAACTTCTACGGTCGGCGTCGACCTTCAGACATCTCCACCCTCCCCGTCACCGTCTTCGAGGCGTCATCATCACCACCATCATCATCACAATAATAGGCACCACAGGCATCATGAAGTACCTACCGCACGCAGGCAACATAATCACTCGCAGGACTCCGGCAGATCTAGCGACAGTTCCGTCTCGCACAGTAGGACCTCTCTGGAATCGACCAGTTATCGTTTGCTGGACTCGCCTCACAGGCATCATCATCGTTCGGCCGCACAAACGCCGGCGAGCACCGCACAATCTTCCCCCCGGCAGCACAGCGGCACCTTGGAGACGAGATGCCACAAGAGCGGAACTCTGGAAAGCGTGAAGAACCAGAAGTCGGTATCGTTAGGGGAACCACCGCCATTAGGCCTGTCGCTTTCGACCAGTACGCCGCTTTTCAAGAAGAAGACGTTCACCGACTCGCAACGCGAAGGTAGGACGGGGAATTTGGACCTGGACAAGAGTAAAAATGGTAAGGGGGTTGTAATTCTGTCACGTGCGCATAACTACATAACATACACTCGAGCATTTGCAGTCTCATCACATGAAAGTAGCCTGTAGCATATCCTCAGCTGTGTGCTAAAATCGATTTCCCGATGTTTCAGGCAGGGAAAGTAGCAGAGGTTCGTACGGCCCCGAGCCGAGCACCTCGCCGTACCGCGAATCGATGATGGAATCTCGAGTCTTCAGGCAGGAAATGCCGCCGTATCGTCCGCCGGAAGTTCAGCTTAGTCATAGTTACAAGTCTCAAGGCGAGAAGTATGGTTCCTTGGTGGAGAGTAGCAATCGTTATCATAGGGATAGAGAGCGGGAGATGCAGCATCACCGTGAGCGCGTCAACAGTCTCGACAAGACGAACCCGCCAGCCTTTTATCCAAGTTCCATGCACACGAGAAACGTGAATAAGCAGGATAATACGGGTAGCATAGGTAGGAGGCACCACGGCTGTTCGGCGTCGCTCTCGGAAGCGAATGTCAGGGACATGTATGGTGCAATGCTGTCCGAGAGAAACGACCCGGCCAAGAGCCTCGGTCGAGCGGCCGGAGTGCACAGTAACTCATCGAAGCAGAGAGGAGGCCTTGAAGCGGTGGAGCGGGAGAGAGAGCGAGACCGCGACAGAGAGAAGGAGTACCGGAGGAACACAGCGTGCAATAATTCACTGGACTGTAAGCGAGATAATCTTTTAGCTTCTTTCGCCACCTTCCTGCAACACGTATCTGTGCACGCGTGCGTTTTGCAATACAATCGATCGTTATTTTGCAAGGTGTACCGCAGCCGTTGGGTCGCAGTTACAGTTTCGTGCAACAGCAGAAGCAGCAGCAGAAGATGCAGCAGCAGTTACATCAGCAGCAACAGCAGCAGCAGCAAGCTAGTAGAAGGAGGGAGCGGGACGATGATTCCATGCACGAGCGTTACTTGATAAGCCAGACTCACGATCAGTCTAGGCAGCGACTCAGTAGTAACACTAGCAGTAGCAACAGCAGCAATAGCAGCAGCAACAGCGCCGCGGGCGAAGAGACCGAGGGTCACGCCGAGGGAGATGACAGCAAGAAGAAAAGAAGCAATGGAAATCCCAGTCCGCCGCCGTCGCCCTTCTATGGCAACCTCCTGTCTGATGCCGATCATTTGTTACCACTGCAACATTATATCCTTCAACAAGCGAAATTATCAGGTAAAGCGTCCACGAGTCTTATGATTCTCGTAACTACACTGAATGGAGTTGTTGATTTTATCCTTTCCTTGCTTCCTCGTTCGTTGCGTAACAGGTTGTTACAAGTTCGGAGATCCTCTGTTAGTGGAGGAAGGAGAGGATTCTTTGGACGAAGAGGGTGGCAGGGGCGAAAGTATCGGCGGCAGAGCCGATGACGATTCCGACGATCAATTCGCTGATGACGAGGCGGCTAGCAATCAGGGTGATTCTTCCAGTCAAGAATATCTCGAGGATCATTATGCTGGTGAGAGAAGTTCTTTTCGAAAATGTGAGATAAGTGAGATAAATAAACCTGGTCTATCCATTTCCGTGATGCCACACTCTTCCTCTTTTAGACTTAAGAAACTACGATACCGCGGGCTTGGCGACTTACTACAACACAGCTGACACCTTAACAAGGCCACGACCGCCATCACCGCCGAATATCGTGGCCCAGATAGAAGCGAGAGATAGCGTAGTGACGACGAGACAAGTCTCCTTACCGACGTGTACCGTAACTTCGACCGCGACTCCGAGTATCTGCACGACGATCGATAACACTGATCTGGACGAAGCGCGACGGGATGACAGCACGGGCGGCGGCGACATCGAGAAGTACGCGCAGGATAATCTCAATTTGAACTGCGGCAGACCGAAGGGATTGAGGCTGTTGTTTCGAAAGAAGTTCAGCGTACGGGATATCCTTAGCTGGTCAAAGGATCCGATACCGCAGCCCATGCTCGCGATGGTGGACGGCGAGAAGTTACTCAAGAGGGAAGCGTGCAATCTCTTCCGACTGGTCCAGGTGTACATGGGCGATCGCAAAGCTAATGTTGGCATGACGCTGGACGGCGTCGCTATGGATATCGTGAATACCGCGTTCTCGAAGCCGCCCTTGCGGGACGAATTGTATGTTCAGATCTGTCGGCAAACGACGGAGAATCCGCGTAAGGAGAGCCTGCGACGCGGCTGGGAATTAATGGCTGTGTGTCTGGCCTTCGTGCCACCTAGCGCTACGTTCGAGCCTTATCTGGAAGGCTACATGAACAGGCATCGCGATCCCAACTTCCAATTCCCCGAGGTCGCCAAATGGCCGATACATGTGCAAGTCAGCCATTACGCGACCGTGGCTTGCAGACGATTGCAGCGGATCGGTGCGCACGGCAAACGACAACCTCGCAAAGCTACGGTAGAGGATATCGACCAAGCAAGGGTAATTGATTGTGCTAGTAACCTTCTGTGTCTCTCAGGTAGTATAGAATGACCTATGCTGACCTATATACCTTTTATCTTGAAAATCCAATAATATCTTCTTCGCGACATTTAAATACTTCTGGGTCTTAAGGTGCTACTAATGTTTTAGTTTCGTTTTTAATTTATCTAGTAACGGAGTGTGATGTTACAATTTTGACGCGTCGCTTCTCACGTAGATACAAATCTTCCGCGCATCCATGTTCGGGGCGACGCTCTCGGAAGTCATGGCTTTGCAAAGGGACCGCTACCCACTTAGAGAGTTACCATGGATACAGACTACGCTGACGCGTCAAGTGCTGGTGCGCGGTGGCACCTTGACCGAGGGTATCTTCCGAGTGTCCGCGGACGCCGATGAAGTTAGCTCATTGAAGTCTTGTCTGGACAAGTTCGAGGACGGCGCGATTCTGGCAGCTTCTCAGGACGCCCACGCGCCCGCCTCCCTGTTGAAATTGTGGGTGCGTGAATTGTACGAGCCGTTGATACCGGATTCCTTCTACGTGGAGTGCGTGTCAATGCGACACGACGACCCGGAAGCCTCTGCGGCGAACGTAGCTGCTCTCGTCGATCGTCTACCGGATCTTAACCGTCGCGTGCTATGTCATCTAATACGCTTCCTACAGGTGAGAGGATGACATTTAACTCGATTCAAATCTCGTTTAATTTGTTTTTCGAGTCTTCCGAGACAGTTTCACGAAATTTTGTCTCTAATTTTTATAACGCGCACTCAATCGTGTGTAAATGGTGTAATTCTAATTTCCTATTTATGCCGAGTGCGTTATTCGAGTGAAACTTGAAAAACAACGTAGTTACAATCGATATTTAACGCACGGTGAAAGTACGAGCCATTTGATTCGATAAAATATAATGTTGTGCGTTCAAACGAATAGGCTGATATATGAATATGTGAAATGATTTTGCAGATATTCGCTAGACCCGAGGTGGTTGCCCGCACTAAGATGGACGCTAATAATCTCGCGATGGTGATGGCACCGAATGTATTGCGATGCACCTCCCAAGATCCTCGAGTAATCTTAGAGAACGCACGGAAGGAAATGGCCTTCGTCCGTACTCTCATCGAGTCACTAGACACCGCTTGGGTCGATGATCTTCACTGACCATCCTATTGCGTTAGAGAAAAGTCCGCTCTAGACTATTATGCCAAATGAATCAGCTGTATAGTCACGTCTATTGTTAGTTATCTCACTGTTCTCGATTTGTCTTCACTCTTGTTTGTTCCACCGTCACAGAGATCCCCTTTATAGTCCCTATATAAATGTTCGTAATGGTAATTTAGTGCTAAAGTCTTACCAAGCTAATCACCAACCTGAGTCCTTGATTTTCCGATCCTTATTTTCTATTTATTATTTATATACAGATTCTATGTTATATGACAGATAGAGATTATTAGATTATATTATGTATATCGCTATATATCATATTATATATTTTACCAACCCTTGTTACCGCGTCGAACAAACGTGGACGGCTTTTTTACTCGATCATTGTTGAATCTCGTGTAAGATAAAAAAAATACATCATGTGTTACCGTGTATAGCTGCGCTCCGCGATGATCTTTTTGTATAAGCGACGGATTAACGTGTAAAGCGTTTATCGAGGAGTAAATACTGCGAAAGATTAGCAAGCTGTACTTGTAAGTGTTTTCTTCAACTTTCCTCTATCAATTTCCCTATGCTCGCTATGTACAAAATTAAAGCGTCGTAAATACTAATTACAATTGTACAATCGAAGAGTTACTTTTATTTGATTTCAAACAAATTCCAACAGGCTATAACTTCATTGCTTGTCGTTGATTTTGATGTATATTTTTACATTACCACTAGAGTGTAAATCGAGTTTTATTAAATGTTAAAATGTATATATTGCTTGAATGAGAAGTCATATATAAATAATCTTTACATCGTTCGAAGGGGAAAAAATACTTGACTACTCTGAAAATTCATCTTATAATTTCCGAGATAATAAATTTAGATCGTGGATTGTTAGAGTTATCGGTCACTTGGATAAGTGATCGATAAATGTTGATTGAAAAAGGTTCAAGTCTTTGATGTGGACATTGACTTTTAGTCCTAAAGTTTCCGCTATGAGACGCTATTGTACTTACCGAGGCTCAGCTTTTGATATGATTCAATATAAATCAGACATTTTCTTAAATAATATAACTCAACAGATAATTAACACTGCACTTTTCTCTTATATTAAGATACTATTAAAATACTGTATATATAAACAGGCAATATTAATAGACAAAATTGAGTAGGTTATAACTTCAGGAAAAATAATGACAAAAAAGTCGTTCGAGAAACATTTTAAAGTTTGCACTTCCTATTTTTCAGACAAAAATGACAAAGAATATAACACAATTTTTACCTTAGAACCTGTTTAATTTAAAAAATTATTTCAGTTTATTATAGTTGATAGCAATCTTATACCTCTTACATTTATAATAATTCCCTTGTAATTTGAAATAACAGAAACACAAGATTTAAATAAATTTAAGAGGAGTTTTATCTGAAAATAAATTATAAAATAAATAATTATATAAATATATTCACAATATATTTTTATATTTATTTTAACATATAAATATATTTATTTATATATTTATAAATATATAAATATGAATGTAAATATTAATATATGTGTACGTGTATATATTATATGTGTATATATTTATAACATAAATATATGATAAGTGTATTTAGAAATATTACTATGCCAAGAATCGTGGTCTTTTTCATAGTGATTAACAAACAAGCTATAAAAAGATATATTTATACATATACACAAGTTTTTAAAAGGAATTTAAGATTTTTGTAGGAAAAAACTTGGAAATATTTATTCCACATCGACTGTTATACACCGACAAACGAGGACGATAAAAAATAATAATAAATTATGCAGCAATATGTTTTAGTAAATTGCGATAATTATGGTAATTTCTTATTATTCGTTTGAAACTTATATTTTCTTAGGTTTTGTTGATTACTACAATACCGCGTTTTTTGTGCAATAGTATTCCTAACATTTATCAAATATATTTAAAAAATATATATACATATATACACATCTACAAATATATACATATATATTCATTTGTATATTTATAAATATACTTATGTATCTTATATGAGAGACAAGCAGCCTTCATCCTTTTTGAAATGATACATACATTTCAAATTTGAGATTGTTCAATATAAATATTAAATTATCCAGTTCTGCCTATTGAGCAGCGTCCATAATGGTTTAATTTTACATCTGTGAACATTAAATATCATATTCGTAAACGTTAAATATTACGTATATTAATGTATTGGTTTATTGTAAAATATCAACGTTATTAAAACTGCAGGTTTTGACTTGCATGTTTAGATATTTTAATTTTAGTTGCTCACAACATTAATCAAATGTATTATATCCTACCTTTTCCACATCTTTGTGCACAACCCAGTCCTCCTGGATTAGTGTAATCAGTATTGTCCGTTCCGCAAACAGGATTGTATTCTATTGTTACCTATTTTTTAAAATCATGTTTTTAGCATTTTTAATATTTTTAACATATTCATGAGAAGAATCGATTGATAAATATAAAAAATACAAATTAAAAAAAAAGAAATAGTGAGATAATAATTTTTTAATTTTTAAGATTTTTTTGAAGAAACAAAATATAAACCATAATTTTATATTTATGTCAACATTTTTCACTTATCAAAAGGAATTTGATAGTTTAGAGAAAAAGAATTATTCCCAGGTAGAACAGAAAATCATGATGACATCAAAATGAAATCAAAATGATGAGGAAAACTCTTTTTCTCATGATTCTCATGATTCGGTCATTTTCTGGTCATTTTGATATCATCATGATTTTTTGTTCTACTTGGGTTATTAAGTTACCGGACAAGATGAGATACAGGCAAATAATTGATCTTCAGGCACAGAAGTCGTAGTCGTTATACTCGTGCTTGTAGATGATGTAGTTGTAGTTGTAGTTGTAGTTGTAGTTTTTTGTCCTCCATCGGAACTTTGACCACCAGTTGCTGGTCCATCAAAAACAAAACCATCTGCCTGGGATATCTTATTCGAATCCTGCAAGGTATCTATGTGCGTTATCATTCTTAGATAATAAACATAAAAACTGTTATACATCATAACAAGGATAATGACTGGCATGACTCAGTTATTTTTCTTCTTTTATCTTTCTAATCTTCGTAGAGAACATTGATATTTCTTTATTGAATTAAATTAAAATATTTTTTATATTTAAAAATATAATCGTTTCTTTCGCTGTCACTTCTATTTATTCTGTCATTTAAAGTTGTTTTATTTAAAAATATTTTTCCTTACTTGCGGATATGCAGCAATGAGGTACGACAACATGGTAACTGTAAGAATCATTAAGCTTAACGATGTTGCACTAATGTATACTAATGTATATATGAAAAACAACACGTCACAAAAACGATTAAAAAGATCTCCTCACCTAGCAGCAAGTGAAACAACATTTTAGAAACGATCGATGCTTAAAAATCTGTTGGCTCTTCATACATACACCAGAATAATCCACCGAAAGTCGACGACTTACTGTTTGAAGATGTCAGTCGCGCTTCCTTTTATAGCACCAGTTGCCAACCAACAGTTCGGAGAGACGGAGAGATGTATGTCCTTATATGTGTGAATATAAGTAAACTGGTCTTTCCCAGTCTAGTATTGTTATTACCTATTCATTACATGCAAATTGTTAAGTTTTTTCCGAAGACTTACGTTCGCAAGGTCAAAAGTGGGAAATATGAGTCATAGAAGTCAATTATGTGCTTTACTATTGTCGGGAAGTTTAGAAACGTAATTTAAGTAGAGTTGTAAATATTAGCGATCATGACTTTAATTTCTTCCACAAATCAGTTTTCGAAGGAAATGTTATAATAATTATAGAGCGCTTAATACTTTCTAAATTTTTATTTTTTTCTGTTCAATAATTACTCTTTTAAAACTTAACATGATATCTTTCAGTTAGTTAAATTATATAACATGTTACATACTTACAAAGCGATACTTAAGATATGCATTAATAAACTTAAAAAATATAATCGTACGTAGATTACATCAGATTATGAGCAGCAGTTAACGAAACCACTATCAGTTATGCAAATTAAGATAAAAATGAAAATATCCTTTGTTATTATAAATTGTTGAATATGTATTTCAATAAAAAGTTGTTGCGATATTTTCAGTGTTGTGTGCTACATTATTATTACTACGTTGTTATCAGGATATCATGCATCTGTAACATGTGAAATATATGAATACGTATATAAATATATATGTGTACATTTATATATGTTTATAATTATTTTTGCAAATGGAAAAAGGTATAATATCGTATAACTAAATGTAATATGTATTCGTATCAACAATTTTCGTTTACTTACTTTTATTTATATGCTGCTATACAATATAAATCATATAAAAACAACAATAAACTGTTTGCTCAGTTACTGCTTATTTGGCTGTATGGCTCACAAGCTCTAATTACCCTTATTTCAAGCTCTTGAAAAAAAAAGTATTAAATTATTAGATTTGTCAAAACTTATAAAAATAGTAAAAGTAAGAGTTAATATAATTGTTGAAATTAAAATCGGAAAGTAGAAATCTGTGTGAATTTGGTAATATTTAAAAATTATGTCTTAATGAAATGTGATATGATGATAATAATATAAGAAAGCAAGAAAATCGAAATGCGATTCATTCAAAGAGTCTTACGTGGATTACAACTTTTCGCGCAGTTAAATCTTCCCATGTTCCAGTAAGTAACGTTGTCACTGCCACATACTGGATTGTATTCTGCTGTAGCTATACATGGACAATTGCTTGTTGTTGCTTGTGTAGTGCTACTGGCTGGATTATTGGAGTTACCAGAAATCCCGTTTGACCGGTCATTCTGCGGAAAGGCCAAGGCGATCAAGCAAACCAAGGACAATACTTGCGCAACTGCAAAGCAAAATAACGAATTATTAATTAAAATAAACACAAAATAAATATAATTGTAAAACCAACGATAGATACATATATGTAACAATTTTAATTTTGTAATTTTAATTTTTAAATTATATTATACCATATCTCTCATTGTCTTTGTATAAGTCATAAATTGTACACAGAGTGTATAAAAACTGCTCAATTTTTCATAATTACATATTCTTTTCTGTGAAAAATTCGAGTTAAGTTCTTAGATAAACGGACATGTTGGCAACAGTGTGTACATACGTGTTTAATATGGTTGCGTTCCGATATTCATTGTCAGTATTGAATATTTATAGTGTATATAACATATAAACATAAATTAAAATTTATAGTGTATATAACATATAAACATAAATTAAAAAAAAATAAGACATAGCTAGGTATAATAGCTAGTATATAAACTGTAAAGTTTTAATACTGGAAGTGAATTTCAAAATGTCTGTATATTTCATGATACCACTAGAGCGCAGCATATGCTTGTTGTAAAAAATATATATTTATTATCCTATATTTTACAGCAAAATATCAGCTTGTATTTAACTACTGACTTACTGACGTGTAGCCAAACTGACATATGCCGTAATTTTTATTTTTAGTTTGTTTCTTCTATGTGCTGCTGCAATGCTTTTTCCCAGTCAGAAAGCAAAACGGTGAGTTGAAATGATTGATAAACTGTTGAATCAAAGTTAATTCAACCTTTATATCGATGTCGAATTAACCTTGAGTTAACGATGTATTTCTGATTGGATATGAGGACGTATCTCTACGTGTTTATGCTATTTTAATTTTCGAATTCAGTTTCTAATGCAGACAATATGCCGAAATTTATCTATCTGCGCTGTTTTTAAAAATATCAGTAAATATTATACTCACATGCGACGATACGTTTCATGATTATTTTCGTACGATTTAAATAAGTCCGAAGTCCGAAAATGAGAAAAAGAACAAGAACGATAGCGTTTCGAGCGATAAAATGATATAGAGTTGAAGAGATCCAACTTATTCGATGATCTTTGACGAACTGTTTTCCATGCTGTTTGTCTATGTATTTATCTTATTTGTTCACGACTTGTTTCCTTATACGTAAAAAAATTGGCTCCCACCACTTTGTACCCCCACTATACGTATATTGATCTACATAATTACTGTTTGTGCGTAAATGCAATGCAATAACACGATAACAATAATCTTAAATTTATTCTTTTTAGCTAAATTAATGTTGTACTAAAATACTGTTCCTCTACAACATAAATTCATATACTTATCTCATTCTAATGACGAAATGTGTAATGTAGTTAAAAATAACAAATTCCTCCTATTGCTCAGTTATACTTATTTTTAATCACTTATATAATTATTTGTTTCCCGAGGCATTAATAGAAGAAATATTGATAAGTGTTAGATGTATTTATATGTACGATATGTTGGCTATAAATGCAAAAATCATTTGACAAATAGTTTATTATAACCGTTTATAAATTATATTATTTAAACAGAATGTATAACTCTTTTTAACATGTTTCATTTCTTTCCCGTGACAAGCTTAATAGTATAGGGAGTGATAATATCATGGTAAAATATATACGCTCCTGAGGAGAATCTTGCATCACCGAAAATGATATTAATATGGAAAATACATAACATACATTCCCGATCGCTTGTAACTGACGGGGATGTCCGTATTGCAATGTTCTCCGTACATAGCAACGTCATTATCATTATTATGTATGCGTATGCGTATATTACTTACTTACAATATTATAAACTTTACTTACTTTATATACAGTGTAATATACTTTACTTACAATAAACTTGGTCTCTCGCCTTCATTTGAGATCAGGAATGCGGCGTTTGAATCTAAATAGTAAATTATCTGTGCAAAGATTGCAGATAAGATTTTACCTTTGAAGTATATGTCACTGTCATATAAAGTTGTTCACTCAACTTTTTTTATAAGCATTTATTCAAACGAAATAATGTATTCAGTACTATGATGCTTTTAAAAATTAACACAATGTATAGATATACTACACTATAAATTATTTTTAAAACTATCACATTGTAGCATATATCATACATATTACGTTGCAATTTCCTAAATTTGTTGTCCTTCCTCTGTTTTTTGTACATTAATTCATACATTCATACATACGTACATACATACATAGAAATATACTACATATATACATACATAATATATACACATATATACTAAGTATTCTTACTCCTCCTAAAGCTCCAAACGACGGTCCGTTATTCACCTTGCGACTAGAATTAAACACAATATATAGCATAATAATAATAATCGACGATTCCGACATTTCATTTTCGAAATAAATATATATATATATGTAAATATTTAATTTTATAATTCTCTTATTGATGCTTTTATATAAATATATGATATATAATCAGAGTTTTGATTGTTCAGTTGAACTGCTTAAAAATTGAAAAAGAAAAAAAACATGCTAAAACAAACATTTCATATAATGATGTTTTAAACAATACATTTGTAGAAATTGCATAATTATACTAATTAACATTAATTTAAACTAAATATTAAAGGTATGATACTAAGTTTTTATACGGCACTAGGACATCAAAAAGGAATATTTAAATACATGTATAGAATAGTCTACCGAATGTTAAAAATTATTTTATTGATTCTATTCGGAGTAAAATTTTGTAATAAAATTAGCGACTAAAATTTTGTTTGACATTTTAAAATTTGTTTTGATATTTTTACGATGCAAATTAGATATTGTCAACTAGTTTATATAGGCATTTCTATACATAAAGAACAATGTGGTAAAATTGCAACAATGATATCCAAAATATATATTGACACAATAAAATTATGTTTCCCGATTAGTTGTATGAATTGAAACCTTATTTATATCGATAAAATATATTAAATATATTACATTATGAAGAAAATGTTATAAAAATTATATTGTTTTAAATGTTTTTATACAAGATTGATTTCTTTAACATTAATAATTAGAGATGAAATGCTGTGAATTGCATCTTTTGCAATTTTCGACTACAAGTTTATATAAATACAGACAATAAGCAACATTTGCAAATAAACATATGTATGTGCTTGTAAATATATATATATTGCAATGCTTTTCTCGTTTATGCATATATAAGAAATGTTACTTGGAAATTATTAAGAAGCTAGAAAATATCGTTTTGTACAAAATAAGTAATTTAATACATATTTCAGTTTGCATGTATCACATTTGATACATTTTACTATTAACAATCTGGCAGTTAGAAGGAATGGTAATATACAAGTAGACCTATCGCAAATTTTCATATGTTTCACATACACATTGCATTCTGTACTACCTGTAAATCTATCAGTGCCAGTAAATTGCAACAAATCTAACACCTCACACTCAAATATTTATCAATCAGCTTTCTATTTTTTGTAGTTATCTTGTATTCTTCCACTCATTAGTTAATGTGTAATACCTTGATATAATCTAAGGTACATTACAATTATACCATGATGTTATTCGTGACCATTTCACAAAATGACAAAACTTGTTCAATATGTCATAATTATTGTTTATGTGGAGCTTATGACTGGTTTGATTGATAAGCTACATATATTGGTCCTGCCTTTTGTTTTGCCAGATCTGTTGCTTTCTTAGCAGCATCTTTTACTTTTTCCGCTTTACCCTGTAAAGAATGTTGCAAATCTCCTGCAAGACTCTGTTTCGTCTGTGTAATACCATCATCCACAATACTATGGCCAGGTTGCATGGAAAAACTTGTTTGAATAAGTTGTGGATTTATGAATTGAGCTCTTTGAGGAAACATATTTGTGAGAACGTAATTAAAACCTTCTGACATTTTGACACAGTTTTTCTTAAATCGGTCTAATCCAAAAGCTTGAATGGCTCTGCTCAAACCAAAGACCTGACTGTCAATCCACGCTGACCTCTTGGCAACTGTCCATTCTGGATTTTCTTCAGAGATTTGGTAAACTACTTTCTCAACAATACTCTGCAAAATAACAAACTGTTAGATTTATATATATTCCTTTATTCTATCTATATTTTTTTGTATGTATTTTTATTATGAATATATATCTCAATACAATTACCAATTTTTTAAATATAACTAGTAACTAGATGATATTAATATGCAAGTTCTTAATCTCATGATAATATATGATACCACCGCATAGTAAATATTATGTCAACCTACCATAACTTTAGTATACCCTAGATTCCTTGTGTAAGTAGTCAAAGTTTTTGTTTCTGGATCAACAATACTTTCCTCTACTATTTTGACAATATTTTTGCTAACTAATCTTTCACCCCATTTTGGTATCCTGTTAGTCTTTGTTAATAATCGTTTGGAATAGAGTTTTCCATTTACGACTTCCCTTGAAATGGTATCCTCAGAAAGGACGTGTGAACTGTGAAACATATTAAACATATAAACTTATTAGCTAAATCATTTTATAACATGTTATGTAAGGTTCATGATTGAAGGGACAACATGACGTAATACATTTACATACCTGTGTGGGTTTGGATATCTTTGAAAGAAACCTCGTGCAACTTGAGTCCAATCGAATTGAAAGGTCATAGTGTTTTCATAGTACTTGACCATTGTATTGTGCTACCTTAATTTCGTAAGCTTTGGCTATGTAAGTTTGTAAAAGAGCCGGAGCGAACAGCGGAAATTTGTGTTTTATCAGTGAGGTTGATTGAGAAAATGGCAAATACAATCGGCAGTAACAACAAGAGTTTAGACTTGATAACAAAAACGCCGCATGTTGGATATAGGGCCTCTGAGCGCTCTACCAGAGAGAAGAACGAGAGATGCCATGGGTCGCTTTTAGCCGAGCCTGTGTGTGAGGCGTCCTCTATACAACCGTGCACATGAACTACGATGCCAATGTCCACGACTCTTTTCCGGGTACCTATTATGGAACTCGTCGGAATCGATTCCAATCGAATTTATTCCGTTATTTCCTAGATTTCTATTGTCTTTTCTAGGGGAAACGAAATTATTCCGGATCGAAATCGATTCCGACGAGTTCCACGATAGATACCCTGATTTCCCTCACCAAGCACGCACTATACTCGGCTCAGTCTATCCGTGTGGATTACTGTTAATCGGAGACGATGTAACATCATGCAACTCAAGCATTTGGGAGAAATTACAAATTGAAATTTCGCGATTTTAAGTATGTGTAGTTATTTTAACATTTGGAGAGTTATTTCTAAATGACAATGTAGCGTAGCAGACTGGGCGCGATGCTAGTATTCGACAGGTTGCGTGTTCGCGCCTAGCTATGTCTTATTTTTTTTTAATTTATGTTTTTTATTCTTACGAATAAAAATATATATATTACAGAAGAATAGAAATATAAATTCATTATACAAACAGCCTTTTCTATGTTTTATGAAGGAGAATGGACACACAATTCAAAAAGAGGTATACATGCAACATACTTATTCTGTAAAATAGTATTATTAATAAATTGATACACAAATTTATGCAATTAAATACTTCGTTTTGTTGTCTTTTAAACAAAAATATACATTTTATATTTGCTGCACAAATAAGCTCGAGTATATACAGAGTGTCCGAACTTAACGCTGATGTACAAATGAAATTCATCAAATTGAGTAAAAAAGTTCTTTACCATTTTGAAAATAATACTAATAATAATAATTACATTTTTTAAATATCTAACGAAATTAGCAAATCAATATGCATGATACGATATACATAGTCTGCAAGGAAGTCTGAAGAAATAATTTAAAGCTTGTTGCTTGTTTTCAAGTAACAGTAAATATAATATACAGGGTGTCCCATTTTAATGTCCCATCCCAAATAACTCTTCAGTATTGAAGTTTCAAGGAAAATGATCTCAATAAAAGTTGTAGAGATTTAAGTGAGCTACCTTATGATGACCTTGACCTCTATTTTCAAAGTCATTTAAAGGTCAACTTGCGTTTTTTAAATGGGAACCCTTATTTTTTACTGCACTGTTTTCTTCTACTAGTTAATTTGAACAACTTTTGTTCTAAAATATTTTTTTATTTATCTAACATTTTTTCAGATATTTGAGGAACTCTTGATAACTTTTTCAATATTTAATTTGTGATATCTCGCTAACCATTTGTCGGAAGAAAAAGTGGTACAAGACTTTTTTACTCTATTTGGTCTCAAGAATATATTGTTACAATAGTGCCTTGACTTTTGTTAACTTACTGATTTTTGGAAATTTCAAAATCAACAAATTAAAAAAAATCAGGGCGCTATTGTAACAATATATTCTTGAGACTAAATAAAGCAAGAAGTCTAGTACTTTTTCTTCCGAGAAATAGCGAGACATCGTAAATTAAATATTGAAAAAGTTATCAAGTTTTCCTCAAATATCTAAAAAAATATTAGATAAATAAAAAAATGTTTTAGACAAAAGTTGTTCAAATTAACTAGTAGAAAAAACAGTGTAATAAGAAATAAAGATTCCCATTTAAAAAACGCAAGTTGACCTTCAAGTGACCTTGAAAATAGGGGTCAAGGTCAAAGTCATCATAAGATAGTTCACTTAAATCTCTACAACTTTTATTCAGATCATTTTCCTTGAAACTTCAATACTGAAGAGTTATTTGGGGTGGGACATTAAAATGGGACACCCTGTATAATAACCAAAAGCAAAATGATAATGCAAGCAATAAGCTACGCGTGCCAACGTTATATGCTAGTTTATACATGTAATTCTTGCCTGAACGCCTATATTTAGATTAGGAGATTAAAAAATAAGTTCAAGATATGTCTATTGAAATTGCTCTACAGACCTCGTCGCATTGTATAACGTGAACTAATTTGTCAATATTTTTAATTGGTATTTCAAAAATTATGTTTGCTTGCAAAATAATAAAATATTCAATTTGATGAACTTTATTTGCACACAAGCGTTGTTACACTTAAGTCGAAATATCTCTGTATAATAATAAACTATATATACTTGTAAAATATATACAGTTAATATTCTTATAGATAATTATTCTAGATAATCTATAACTGGTGATATAAATGGGAAGATAATTTTATATAAAAAATAAGTGTCAAAATTTATTTTGTCTATTCTTACACATATTTATATAGAACAAAATTTGTTCACATATAAATCTACTTTTGCAGAAAAACAATTTAAAAAAATGAAGAATTAATAATATATGTTCCTTCCTTTATATTTAGATCCTTTATTCTGAATATTATTATGCAAATTATTGAATTCATTTCACAATATATATATTGACATATAAATAAACAATATAAAATTATATTGAACAAAATAAAAATTATAAATTAGTATTTTTCATAAATCTGTTAGTAACATAATTTTTACTTTTTTTCTTAAATTGTTAAAATGAATATATTCGAATTAAAACGAATCTATTAAGATACATCGACTTACTTCAATATATTTACCGCCAAATGTATTTCAATGTATTCAAAAGTATTTCATTGACTTTTCACTCACGCCAATTGCTTTAACAAAATTCAGCGTAATATACGCATGTAAATATTTAAAAAATTTTAATAAATAAATATATTATAACCTGTTTATGAACGCACTGTTATGCTTTCTCATTAAATATAACTATAATCTTATAAATAACTAATCTTATAAGTAAATAAAGTAAATAATCATTTGTTATATGTCTTAACATTCCACGTAAACGGGAAGCTCTATGACGATCATCAGTAATAGTCATAACAGTGAATGCAAATTGCGCTCTTAATGCGCAGTCGAGATAACTTCTTGATCAATCATTACACAAGCCATATTGAAAAAATTTATATATAGGGTGTCCCACTTTAAAGGATCCACTCAAATATCTTAGAAACCCTGTGTTAAATCGAAAAATGTTCCAGACAAAAGTTGTTTGGCTTGAAGGAAGACATAAGACAGAGATAGCATTTTGTTTATAGATGGCGCCACTTTCGAGATATTCACTGATCAACAATTTTCTTAACTGGAAATCCCGGACTGGATATTTTTTATTATATCATCTTTTTCTACCAATTAATTTGAACAACTTTTGTCTGAAACATTTTTTTATTTGCTTAATATTTTTCGAGATATTTAAGAAAAACTTGGTACATTTTTCAACATTTAACTTACGATATCTCGTGAACTATTCGTCAAAAGAAAAAATAGTATTAGACTTTTTTACTTTATTTATTATCAAGAATATATTACTATAAAAGTCCTAACTTTTGTTAATTCAATAATTTTGAAATTTCCAAAGGTCGATAAGTTAACAAAAGTTAGGGCACTATTATAATATTATATTCTTGATAGTAAATAAACTAAAAAAGTCTAATATTATTTTGTCTTTCCACGAATAGTTAGCGAGATATCGTAAGTTAAATGTTGAAAAAGTTACCAAGTTTCCCTTAAATATTTCAAAACATATTAAGCAAATAAAAAATGTTTCAGACAAAAGTTATTCAAATTAATTGGTAAAAAAAGATGATATAATAAAAAATTGGGATTTCTATTTAAGAAAATTGATGATCAGTGAATATCTCGAAAGTGGCGCTATCTACAAATAAAATACTATCGCTGTCTTATGTCCCCCTTCAAGCCAAACAACTTTTGTCTGAAACATTTTTCGATTTAACGCAGTGTTTCTGAGATATTTGAGTAGATCCTTTAAAATGGGACACCCTGTATATATATATTAAAGCACACATTAAATGTAAATATCTATATTTAAGAGAGATTACATTAGTGTCATGTAATATATTACATGTGATCGTTTGCAAGTCATTTAAACATAAAAGGATATTATCAATTTCCCAATTTTTAAAATCGATCTTAAATATTAAAAATATAAAAAAACAAAAAATATTCTAATTTTTCAAAATTTAAATAAATTTAAATATTTTATACTTTTTTGCATACTTTTATTTTTTATAGGTGATTATCTCATCAATTATATCACCAATTACAAGACACTATATCATTCATATATATTACCTATTCTATTACTGATATATTTTATTATATTCAAACCTATATTGTATTTTCGAATTATATAATTTTACGAAGTCGTTTCTAATGTCGAAGGCAATGCTGATGGCTGTTGTGGAGTAAAGTTTACAACTTCATGATATACGAGTTCTATAAATGGGAATACACATTAAACAAAACGTAAGATTTGAATTAACAAAGAATAAACAAAAAGGCGTTACCCTTCCATTTTTCCACTGGCAAATCCATATCTTCAAAACTTTGGTCATATGGTAGAGAAACGGGTTCATCAGTTGGATCTGCATATTGTGCTAAGTACGGATGCGCTAAAGCCTGTTCAGCGGTAATTCTTTTTTCAGCATCCAGTTCCAACATTAATTCTAACAAATTAATAGCTAAAAAAGACAAGTATTTTTTTATAGAACAATAAATTATTATATTTATATGTGTATTTGTTGAACGATATATATTTTGACATATTCAGGATGGCTCACATAAAATGTGACTCTAAAAACTCTAAAAATATTTTACCAAACGTCGCATCAAAAAAATATTCACGAGAAAGTTTCACATATTCGAGAGGTCTTTCTAACTATGTAAACAAAAATTCGCCTTCCCTTGAAGGAGGGCGGGTAACTTCGTAATTTTAAAGGGAATCTCCTATAAAATGTTACATATTTAGGTTCTACAAGAAAAAAATAAACTTTAGAAACTGGAAACATTTTTTTGAACAATGCTTCTATTAAAAATTAAAAACATTTAAACTTTAAAATAGAGTGCATTCGAACTAATATGATGAAACCATAAATGCAATAAGAAAACGTCTTAATTTTTCTGTTCTTGTTTTTTACTTTATTAAATATTCAAACTATTGATTATTCATATTTAAACATTTATTAATTCTTTAAGGTCTTTAACATATCTTTGTTGGGTAAAAAAAAATCGATTCCTTTTTATTGGCTTATTCAATTGTAGTTTCAAGAATCTAATATGATTAGAAGCGCATTAAGATATTGAAAAATTAAAGGAGATATGAATGAAAATGTGTGGAAACACGCATGACGACTTACGCGCTCTAGCGTCTGCAACGCATTGAGCTCGAGACAATACATATCTGTTTGGTATGATCTGCTTGCGACCAGCTTTAGGAAAAAAGAAAAAAAAAAAAAAAATGAAACGTCGGTCAATCAATCGAAAGAGTAGTGTGAAAAGCGACATACACGGATATATAAGAAAAAACAAAGTCAAAGTTGACGAATTTCGTCGAAGGTAAAGGAAAGTTAACAGCATCGTATAAGCTTTTATTTGAAAATTCGACTTTACAAAAACGGGGATCATAGGAATATGTCACTTTTCTACCCAAAATTGTTTATTCTCCTCCCATCATCTCTTCTTTTCCAAAACAAAACTATTCCAACACTCCGCCCATCTGACTCTCTTGCCGCCACCAAATATTCACATTAAATTAAACAGTTAATTTACATCAAAAACCATACATCATAAACAAAAGCAACAAAAAACATATAATAACAATACGCAATGATATCGCAAGCTTTATATCTAAAGAATAATCTGTTGGGAGAAATCACCTCACAGTTCGGCTTATTCTGACATTATAGTCGACCTCGATCATCACTCATCATTCATCTCACCATCACTCATTTCATTAATAACATTGTTTCGTTCTAATTCGGAGTTAAAGGTGTGTATTTATATCCAAGGTTTCATGCGATCAGGACTGAAGATGCCTGAAAATGGTTTCTGACTAAGTTGAAACCCTTCTATGTTCTTTATTACATAGCGGTCATTTTCGAGTATACTGTCTATAACGTATGGCCCTTTATATTTTGGCAATAACTTCGTGTTAATACCAAGAGTGAATACTGTATTCTTTACCATAATGTAATCACTTTTCTTATATTTGTGAGGTGCTTTCCGTATTTTATCGTACATTTGTTTATTATACTCTTGTACTTCACGAGTCTTAAGAGCGGCAGCTTCTCCTAACTGACCCCGGTCTGTTAGGAGAAGCGTAGATCATCATGTTCTTTGAAGTAGGCTCTGAGATCATCATCACTAGTCCATATTGTTCATAATCGAATAAGAGTAGACTAGGATAGGAAGTTCCGATATTTTTGTGATAAATATTGTTTATTGAAAATTGAACTCTTGGTAGAACTTTATTTCAAGGTTCGCCTATTGACAATTTAGCTAATACGGACCTCAAAAACGATTAATGCCTTCAACTAAACATTACTTTGAGGAGTAGCTGTTGGTATTTTTACATGTTTGATATTAAATTCAGTCATTAAATTTGAAAATGATTCAGAAGTGAAACAGATTTCTCTATCAGACACAATTCGTTTACACACATCAAAGTGTTGAAAATATTATCTTAGAGCAACATTAATTTCATTGGTTACTGTAGATTTTACTGGATACAATATAACATATCTTGTAAAGGCATCAATGACAATAAATATATGGCAATAACTTTGAGCCACTTTTTCAAGGGGTCCATAATGATTTATGTGTACAGTATCAAAGGGACAGATTTCCTTATTATAAATATACAATTCACCTTCTAATTTACCGGATAGTATAGAATAAGAAAGACATCTTAAACAGCCTCAATGTGATCCTTTGGTACGAATGCGCATAGAGGGAAACCAATAAATTTTAATTATTATTAATTCAAACGTTTTTTCCAATCTCATGTGTCCAACTTCATCATGACACGATTGTATTACACTTTGTGTCATGGTTTCGGGAACATAAAATAAGAGCCCATGATTATACTTTCTATGAACGACCATTTCGTAATTTATATTTATCATTTTCCTATGTTTCCAACATTTTATGGATTTAAAGCTATAATCGAAGTAAATCCATCCCAATCGGTACGAGAGATTGCTACGACATTGAATATATCCTACACAAGCGTAGAAAAGCATTTGCGCCAGCTGATACGTTTCTCGACAACAATTAACATTTTCCTATTCAAATTGGTCGATTATGGCTGCTTTCTCTTGGACCAAGTGTACATTGACATTTTAAATGAAGACTTAGAAGAATTAATTCTAAAAATGGATCTCGATAGGAAATGGATGTTTCAGCAAGACAATGATCCAAAGCACACAGCAAAGAAAACGAAACAATTTTTCCAGAATTGTAAAATAGAAGTTCTTAAATGGCCATCCACAAAGTCCGGACCCAATCGAAAATTTATGAAGTTTACTGGATGCAAAGATTCCATTAGAAAAACGCAATAGTAAAGAAGAGTTTTTAAATGAATTGCAACTAAAATTTCAAAGAATTGATAAACATTATCTGGAAAAACTTGTTGAAAGTATGCTACGACGTTTACAAGCGGTAATGAAAGTAAAAGGCTACAATACAAAGTATTAATACTTACTTTGTATTATGCCCACTTAATTTTGACTATGTGCAGTTTTATGTTATTATCATTAATCAATAAAAATTCTAATATATTATTTATTACAATTGATTTTTCTTTATATTCTGTCAAATTATACTTCGTTAATTTAAATAAGCAATAAAGGTTTAATTTTTTCACATTGTTAGTTAAATTAACCTTTTGTTATGTATGATACCTGTCCACTAAATTTTGTCCACGACTGTATATTTACTAAGTTTTCATGTCAACTTTAAACGCGTTTTTCTTGAAACGCTGTTTTTCATTAATATCTACATAATTCGCCGAGTTTTGAATACTTTTAAATACGACTTGAACAAAAATATTTATAAACAAATTTTATACAGTCTCTCGGGGCATTTCTCGATTTTCTATTTTATTTTTTTACAAAAAACAAATTTTTATAAACAAATTTTGCAGCAAAATCGTAACCTTTTTCTTTTCAAATTACATTATTTTGTTACTTTTGCGAAATTACAAAATTCCCTCCGAGAGACTATAACTATAACCTTTATTTATAAGAAAATATTTATGTTTTACAAATCGCACTAGCTTATAAAGCGAAATCATGCAGACACTGTAACCATCCATGCGAATTCCAGGTATACGCCACGTGGCGCCACAGTTACTATTTTATCAATCACTTTTATTAAAATTTTTACGTATTTAAATAGTTGTCAAGTAAACTAAAAAAATCCGCATTGATACCTCTGTTCAATAATGAGAAATAAATTCTCAAAATTAGAACAGTTTTATGCGCGGAAACTACTCCTTTAAAAAGAAAAATGTGACTTCAACAAAATGGTACACTTTCTTATTTTTCCAGTGCTACGCGTACTTTTTTAAACGAAATATTTAATGATAAGTCGGAGAAGTGCTGTTCAATAGTCTCTTTATTCATTTGATCCTAAACCTTAATTTATTTTTGATGGGAATATTTAGAAAAGTCATATTTAAATAATTTATGACGGAAGAAGATTTACAACGAAAAATATGTGAAGTTTGCGCTAACATGTCCCTAGAAATGTTGTTTAGACAAAAATTTGTAGAAAGAATTAATAAAGAATTAATAAATGTTTAAATATAGATAGTTAACAGTTCGAACATTTAATAAAATAAAAAATAAAAACTATGAAGTCTTTTATTGAATTTATTGATTTTATCATATTAATTTGAATACACTCTAAAGTTTAAATGTTTATAACGTTTAAGACGCATACGACACGCACATACCTATGCATATACTTTTCTGCTCTATTTAATCTCATGAATATATTGTTATAATAGTACCCTGACTTTTGTTAACTTACCAACTTTTGGAAATTTCAAAATCATCAAATTAACAAAAATGATAGCCCTGATATTTGTTAATTTGATGATTTTGAAATTTCTAAAGGTCGATAAGTTAACAAAAGTTAGGGCACTATTATAGTAATATATTCTTGATAGTAAATAAAATAAAAAAGTCTAATACTATTTTTTCTTTCGACGAATAGTTAGCAAGATATCGTAAGTTAGATGTTGATAAAGTTACCAAGTTTTCCTTAAATATCTCAAAATATATTGAAATAAAAAAATGTTTCAGACAAAAGTTGTTCAAATTAATTAATAGAAAAAGACGGTGTAATAAAAAATTGGGGGTTCTATTTAAAAAAAGTAATGATCAGTGAATATTTCGAAAGTGGTGCCATTTGTAAACAAAATAGTATAGTTGTTTTATGCCTCCCTTGAAATCATACAACTTTTGTCCGAAACATTTTTGCTGAAAACACTTCGTTGAAGAATTATCTAGGTGCGTTTTTTAAAATGGGGCATCCTATATACACATACAAATCTAGGCCTTGGACTTTATATTGGATTTTATATTTACCTAAAGGATTAGCTCCTCGAAATACATCCTTAAAATTCTTTTTCTTCAGTGGAGGTAAACTCTGAATATAATTTCTGGCCTATAATAAAAATACAAACGTAGTATAAGAATATTGTTATTCTATGCACATAATTTAAATAAATTTTACAGATTTTATATATTTTACTTTATTAATAGAATTAAACAAAGTAACACGAACGCACGAAATAGTAGGACGAATTCTGTAGACAAAGTCTCATCCAAGGTTACTCAAGTTTGTTGACAATCTTGTGGTAACAATAAGTGATATATGATGCTAACTCTACATCTGTTTTTCAGTATCATGAATCATTCGTGTTTTCCTCATTTAATTCGTCGTCAGACATCATGTATATATATATATATATATGATGCAAAATATATATATATATGTACATATGTATATATATATATATAGTAGACGCGGCACGAAATATTGTGTGCGTATGCGTGTATTATGTTTACTACATATATTACACAGTTAAATGTTGAAAAGTATTGCAATCTTTTTAGCTCAATGAATGTTACAACGCATCTCATATACAATAAGAAAAAATATATCTTGAACATACGCGCGCGCGCACGCACATATGCACACTAAAAAACATCTTAATAAATAAGGATAAAATGTTGCATTAATTATTTAACAGTACATTTTTTTATATATTTTTGATATATTTATTCTTGCGTATATAAATGTCCTAAAAGTTTTAATAAAAAAGCTTCCTTAATACACTTATAAAATTTGGATATATAAAATAAATATAAAGCAAAAATTGAAATAGGATATAAACAATATTTAAGATTTTAGATAACTCGCTGCAATCCTTTTCCTTGATGAAACAGTGAGATGAAACAGTGAGAAAATACGTGCAAAAATTTTGCAAAATACGTTAAAATAAAGACATTTATAAAATGACTCTTGCAATCGATCAAGCAAGTCTATAAAATAAAAATGGAAAAAATTTTCAAATTACTTTATAGACCTATTCAATTGATTACAAGTATCAATTTATGGATATCTTTATATTTCAACTCTCTCCGTGAGAATTATTAGGATATATTTTTCATCATTATCATTAATTAAAATGAATACCGTAAACAAAGAGAAGGTAAATAAACGCACACATTCGCAAATATTTCTATTAATGGCTACATTTCGTCTCTTAAAGTAGTATCTACCCGAGAAAATATAATTATATATAATTATACATGAATTTTGTATCTATAAAATGATATATTGTATAATAAATGATTATGTAACAATATAATCATATATAATTACATATATCTACACGGAAAAAATATTAGTGTACAAATATAATTAAAGTAATCGCTTACGTAATAGCAGTTTGCGATGTAGACATTAATTGAAAGATACCATTTTTTTTTCTTTATTTAACAGCATTTCTTCCGTGTGAACATATATAATGATAAATATGATTATATATAATAGAGATGAAATATGAATAAAATATGGTCATATAGAAATAAAATATAGATCATATATATACTATTGATCAACAATTTCCGGACATATGAATATTCCGATTTTTATTGTGCCTCAACATCAATAATATGCATTATATATTCAATAATCAATTAATTGGATGTTTCTTATATGTTTAAAGTCTTTAACTATTTAAATAACGTTTCACGCAGTAATTTTTTAAACGCTACTTCAATTAAATGCCATATTCCATGGGAACATCAACATTAGTTCTTAACTCTGCGTTGGTAGGCCTATGTAAGCATATTCATATGTTTTACAATTGTACGACACGAAATAAATGCAAACATTTGTAGAAGTAAATGTAATAATTAAAATTACTTACTATTTAGAGAACTTATAAGAAAATAAGTTCTCAAAACTTACTACTTGCAGACAAGTTTAAAAGAATATTTTGCAAGTTTAAAGGAATGCTTTACATGTGAAGGAATGCTTTTTTTTTTAAATACTTTTCAAGATATGAATAAAGCAATTTTAGATCGTGAAACGTTATTGTTAACGCTTTCTATAAAGGACTCTCTGTTCATCAAATAGCAAAGAAAATGCAAATCCTAAAGTCAACAGTCCAAGATATCATCCACGTTTTTACGAGGCGAATTCAAAGGCCGCAAGAGGACGAGAGCGAGCAAACGTAACAGACGACAGACAGAAATTCATGCCGATTTTAATTGCGATCATGATAAAAAGGTGGCTGTAACTATAATAAAAAGAAGATTGAGAAACTTAAGCCTTTTTGGTAGAATAGCTGTCTTGAAACCTCTTCTATATCGTGAAATCAGAATAAAATACGAAAATTTGACAGTTGATGACTGTATATTTGGACCGATGAGTCAGTTTGAAATTGTTGGTAGTAAGAGCACATTTATTTCTCAAAAGAAGTATTGTAATATCGCCTAATGCCTACAGTAAAATATAGGGAAGAACCAATATGGAACTACTTTAGTTTCAATGGTGTTGGTCCTTTGCATAAAAATGAAAAGATATTTGATCAACACAGCTATCATCGTATACTCCGTGACATCGCTGTACCAGCTGGAGCTTCTCTGATGGAAAGAGAATTTGTCTTTCAATAGGATAATGAAGCGTACTTCGAAACTGTGCCAAAATTATATATTGGAAAAGAAAGCATTTGGAGAAGCTAAATTATGTAATGGTCACCGCAATCTCCCGATTCGAACTCCATTGAATTATCATGAAGTTTATAAATGAAGTGGAGTGCAAAGTGAAGAAGCGCTATCGCGCCATCACCAACAGATATCACGAGCAAACTTGTGGGAGATCTTAGAAACAATTTAAGGACAATTATCCCATCATAAGTTGAAGAAACTTATAAAAAAATCGCAATTGATAATATTTTGTTTTATCAAAGCGAAAGGTGGTTTTTTTCTGAAAAGGTCTGCATTAAACTAGAATATTTGTACATCTGTAATTGTTATTAAAATAAATTAAATTTTTGTTTGAATCTGTGTTTTTTTTAAGTTAATTATTTATTTCACTTTATATATATATACACATATATAGGGTGTTTTATTTTAAATAATATGGTCGATTATCTCACGAATCAATAATTTTATTGAAAAATTTTTCGAACGAAAGTTGCATGGCTTGAAGGGGGACACATGATGGAAATATGGACTTGACCTTGAGTGACTTCGTCAAAATCAGGTCAAGGTCATTAATGTTTTTTTAAATGGAAACTCCTATTTTTTATTACATATTCTTGTAGTTTATCTCGAGAGCTTCCCAAAATACTATAACAAAGTTACCTTTCATTAAGTACTTTCCGAGTAATGAAGCTTGAAAGTTAAGGCAAGACCGATCACTGATCCGGCCAACTGAGGCAAGACTTATCAACGGCTAAAGACATATTCGAATTGATCTTGCTTTAGTTGGCCGGATCAGTGATCGGTTTTGCCTTTTAACTTTTGTTAACTTATCGACCTATGGAAATTTCGAAATCATTAAATTAACAAAAGTTAGAGTACTATTATAGTAATATATTCTTGATAGTAAATAAAGTAAAAAAGTCTAATACTATTTTTTCTTTCGACGAATAGTTAGCGAGATATCGTAAGTTAAATGTTGAAAAAGTTACCAAGTTTTCCTTAAATATCTCAAAAAATATTAAGCAAATAAAAAAATGTTTCAGACAAAAGTTGTCCAAATCAGTTGGTAGAAAAAGATGATATAATAAAAGATTGGGATTTCTATTTAAGAAAATTGATGATCAGTGAATATTTCGAAAGTGGCGCCATCTATAAATAAAATGCTATCGCTGTCTTATGTCCCCCTTCAAGCCAAACAACTTTTGTCTGGAACATTTTTCGATTTAACACAGTGTTTTTGAGATATTTGAGTGGATTCTTTAAAATGGTCAAAAAATAATTACTTTTACTTATTTTATCGTTCCTCAAAAAATGCACACTCATATCTGAATCACCCTGTGTATACACAATATTGCTAATATAAAAGATATCCGGAAACTTTTGACCGGCGATGTACATGCACGCACGTACACACATATATACATATATGTATGTATAATTTTATATAATTATATACAATCTTTTTTTGCTCGGGTAATTAACCCTTAAGTAGACGCATGGGGTCAAAGCAGACTAATTTTAAATAGTTTTTCAATATATATGCGGAAAACGTTAAGTTTTCTTTTAACTTAAGGAGAATCTTTTTTATTATTTGTTAAAGTAATAAACTTTAATTATCAAGCTGCATTGTTTTTGTTTTTGAATATCTCTTGATATGTTTAAATTTCAAAAAAGAAAATCGGGTCATTCCATGCGCCCACTTGTGTGATTTTGCTAGTGTGCCTACTTAAGGATTAATATAACAGGTTAAGAAAATTACCTCTTGACTAGTAATTTTGCTTAGTGTTTCTTCTGTGGGTGTGCCACAGAGTACTAAGACGCGTGTTAGATGATCAATATCTGCTTATCTGTATAGTTAAGGTATATTTAAAAGCAATATTAATCATACAATTGAAAAGCAATTTTAATTACACTGTATATACAAATAAAGTCATACCCATAAATACTATAAATCATTATGTTTAAAATAGCATTAAAAATTGCATATTTTTTGTAAAGTAATATATACAGGGTGTTTCAAAAATTGTGGGCTACCTATACGTATATTTTTTTCATTAAAACAAATAAAAATTTCTATAAACATAATATTGTAATTACAAAGCTAATGTGAAAATTAAGAAAATTAATGCCGATAATAAAATAACAATATAATAATATATAAATAACATATATAACAATATTTGAATAAATTTCATAAATTGGAAAACAAAATTTAAAGAAGATACTCAAAATATCTAATATATACAATCTAGAATTTTCGCATCATGTACTTTTTGTGTGTTCACTCATTTATACGAATTCCATATCGTACGACATCCTTTCTACTCTTTGTAAAAGTTGTTCGTTGTCAATTAGAACCAAGTAAACAATTGTTTTCAAATGGCTTCATAAAAGATAAAAGTCCAGTATATGAATTTAATAATTTAAATAAATATTATTGTGTATGTATTACGTTAGCATTGAAATTAATCTGAATTCGACATTAGCTTTATAACTACTTTATAATTGTTTTAGGCTATGTTCATTTGAATTTATTTATCTCGATAAGAATGTAATTATACAGGGTGTCCCATTTTAATGTCCCACCCCAAATAACTCTGCTGTATTGAAGTTTCAAGGAAATTGATCTGAATAAAAGTTGTAGGGATTTAAGTGAGCTACCTTATTTATGATGACCTTGATTTTGACCTTGACTTCTATTTTCAAGGTCATTTGAAGGTCAACTTGCATTTTTTAAAATAGGAATCTTTATTTTTTATTATACTGTTTTTTTCTACTAGTTAATTTGAACAACTTTTGTCAAAAACATTTTTTTATTTGTCTAATATTTTTTGAAATATTTGAAGAACACTTGATAACTTTTTCAATATTTAACTTACGATATTTCGCTAACTATTTGTCGGAAGAAAAAGTGGTACCAGACATTCTTGCTTTATTTAGTCTCAAAAATATATTGTTACAATAGCGTCTTGACTTTTGTTAACTTATTGATTTTTGGAAATTTCAAAATTATCAAATTAACAAAAATCAGGGCGCTATTGTAACAATATATTCTTGAAACTAAATAAAGCAAGAAAGTCTACTACTTTTTCTTCCGACAAATAATTAGCAAGATATCGTAAGTTAAATATTGAAAAAGTTATCAAGTTTTCCTCAAATATCTCAAAAAATATTAGACAAATAAAAAAATGTTTTAGACAAAAGTTGTTCAAATTAACTAAAAAAAAAAACAGTGTAATAAAAAATAAGGATTTCCAATTAAAAACGCAAGTTGACCTTCAAATGACCTTGAAAATAGAGGTCAAGGTCAAATTCATCATAAGGTAGCTAACTTAAATCTCTACAACTTTTATTGAGATCATTGTCCTTGAAACTTCAATACTGAAGAGCTATTAGGATAGTCCGTTACTTTTGCGATACCCTATATAATAAGATTTTTCTATATTAATTAATATCCTTAGATAATGACTTAAACATGCATTGTCATGATCACAAAAGTTGATACTTCCTCTTCCATGTAGTTCAAAATATAATTGACATGCACATAATGAAAGAACATTTTTTTTTTAATTCTCAGAAAATAGATTTTGTTATCAGATATCGAATATGTTCCTTGACATAAAAAAAAAATATATATTAAAAATATATATTTAAGACCAACTATATTGTCTTTAATCTTTATACATATACAATTCGTTTAAACGTATGTAATAAAAATTTATCTCCTTTTCCATTTTTCTTCTATAAAATATGAATACTTGGTTAAAATTATATATCGTGCATAGCATCGAAGACTTATTAAATCTATACATGAATTTTTCAAAAAATGTTATGGTATTTATATTATTTAATAATTTACATAAAATAATAAAATAAGAAAACAAATATCAATTTAAAATGTCATATAAAATATATAAATATATAAAAATATAAAACACATTAGTTTCTAATAATAAAGTAACAAAATGATAGAATCATTTAAACAATAAAATGTCATACCTACTGAAAGAAATCAAACTTAACTTAAAGAAATAACTTACCGATTCTGATGATATTTTTTTCATAAACTCGTCTCGTGGAGTTCCCAAAATTTCCATAATTAAGTTCAGTTGATGAATATCTGCTTTTGCTAAGGTTCCACTATATGTCTCCTCAAAGACATTAATTATCTTTGTATATTTTATTATTTTCAAAAACAAGATATATACAGGGTGAGAAAAAAAGATAAGAACCTTTAAAAACCTCAAAAAGATATAAGTTTTACAGAAAAGTATTTTAGACAAAAGTTATAAGGCTCAAAATAATGTATTTACTGATCCTATCAGTTTGACCTTGAGTGGCGTTGCCAAGGTCAGATCAAGGTTAACTTATTTTTTTTTAAACCCTCATTTTTTATTATATCATCTTTTTCTACCAATTAATTTGAACAACTTTTGTCTGAAATATTTTTTTTATTTGTCTCATATTTTTTGAGATATTTAAAGAAAACTCGGAAACTTTTTCAATATTTAACTTACAATATCTCGCCAACTATTTGTCGGAAGAAAAAATGCTATTAGACATTTTTACTCTACTTGGTTTCAAGAATATATTGTTACAATAGCACCCTGACTTTTGTTAATTTGATAATTTCGAAAATTCCAAAAGACCTGACTTTAGCAACGCCACTCGAGGTCAAACTGATAAGATCAGTAAATACATCGTTTTGAGCTTTGTAACTTTTGTCTGTAACACTTCTCTGTAAAACTTATATTTTTCGAGATTTTTAAGAGTTTCCATCTTTTTTCCTCATCCTGTATAAAAAGTATATTACCAATGTTATGTATGATGCATATGCATACGCACGTACATTTTATTTATATTCAATCTATAAACAATTTTTAACTTTGAAGTGTTATAAAATGTAAGCAAAGAATTGTCCAAAGCATGTTAAAACATGCAATAATATTAACTTTAATTATTTAATACAACAATAAAATATCAGCTACTAAGCAGTAGATCCTTAGCAAAAAGCGTATTAATAGACATTATAGACAAAAAAATTATAAAATTTAATTAACGATCACTTTGTTAGAAATATGAAATATACCTACTTCATAATTAATAAGAGAATATCATGTAAAAAAAATTTGAAAATTAACGAAGGATACGATCTGTTCCAGGAAATAATGTCCTGCCAGTTAACAGTTCTGCCATAATACATCCCACTGACCAAATATCAACTAAAAAATACAATAAGTATATAATAATGTTATATATAATATGACAGCTGTATTTTATACAAGGTAGTCCAAAACTCAGCATTAGTTTTAGAAATTCATAACTTTTTTTATAGTTAATATATATTTATAATCTTGTTTTGCAAATTGTACTAAAATTCTAGAAAATTTAAAATAATAATCAAGGCCAATAGTAATAAGGCCAAGTAACTAATTTTTGGATTACCATATAAAAAATATATGCTCTGATAATATATTTTCATCACCAATTCTTTATACTAAATTTATGTAAATTATGATTGCTAACCTGTCTGATTATAATGCATCCAATTAAGCATAATTTCGGGTGCTCTGTACCATCTAGTAGCAACATAGCCAGTCATCTCATGTTCTGTAGGCCTGGCCAAGCCAAAATCCAATATTTTCAACTCACAATCCTCATTGACAGCTATGTTAGATGGTTTCAAATCCTATGAGATTTAAAAAATTTACTTCATGGTTTTTACAGAAATATATATATATATATGTATATATATATATATATGTATATATATAATATATATATTATTATACCCTGTGTATAATTCCAGCAGAATGAATATATTTCAAACCACGAAGTATTTGATAGACAAGAAATTGCACATGATCATCAGAAAGTTTTTGTGTTCTTACAATATTGTTTAGATCAGCTCCCATTAAATGTGTAACTAAGTACCTATAAATATATATAAGTAATAAAACCACAAAATGTAAGATAAAATGATATAATAGTGCTTACACATTCTGAAAATCTTCTAAAGATAAAGAAGGATGAAAGACATCCAAGAGTCCTATTACCTGTAGAAATTAATATAACTTTTATAATTAATAAAAAACAAAATATCTAAACATATATCTATACAATTATATTTACTCACATTTTCATGATTCATATGTTTCAGCATACGAAGTTCCCTATACGTCCGTTTTGCATGCACAGCTGATTGAAATGGCCTAGCTAATTTTTTGATTGCCACTTTTTGTCCGGTAGTTGTATCAACAGCAGAACTAAAACATAAAAAATATATTTATTCTTGGAAAAACAATTATAATCATATTTCTTATTAATATTTTGATTAAATAATTTATATAAACATTCATAGATTTACGTTTACAAATCTAAATAATCACCTAAACATCATAACCTATTATTGATAATATATTGATAGTATATATTATATTACTAATTGTAATAACTTATAAAAGTTTATTTCAGTTGTTTTCTCCATGCTTTATTACATTTATTACTAATTCTTAAGTTAAAATATATATCTTTTTACAGCTAACCTGATCGCTTCAAATATGTAAAGTTAAGTTCAATTATATAGTCAGAGTGCTATTGTAACAATATATTTTTGAGGCAAAATAGAGAAAAAAAAGTCTAGTATCACTTTTTCTTCTGACAAATAGTTAGTGAGATATTGTGAGTTAAATATTTAAAAAGTTATCAAGTTTTCCTTAAATATCTCAAAAAATATTAGGCAAATAAAAAATGTTTTAGACAAATATTATTCAAATTAATTGATAGAAAAAGATAATATAATAAAAAATTGGGGTTTCCATTTAAAAAAAGTAATGATCAGTGAATATTTCGAAAATGGTGCCATTTGTAAACAAAATAGTATAGTTGTTTTATGTCCCCCTTGAAATCATATAACTTTTGCCCGAAACATTTTTGCTGAAAATGCTTCGTTGAAAAATTATCAAGGTGAATTTTTTAAAATGGGATATATGTATTACATATAATTAAAGATATTTACTCAAAAACAGATTAATAATTTTGTCATAAGTATTTATTTTATATCATACAACATTTAGTATCTATTAAAAGTAGAATATAAGATAAAGTTGAAGTATTATTGTAATAGTACTGTGATAGTACTGTACTGTACTATACTACTGTATAAGATAAAGTTAAAATATTAAGTAATGTGTTATACTAATAATATTGTTTTTGTCACATTTATCACTTACCACACTTGACCATAAGCACCCGAACCTACGGGTGTGAGCATTTGATAACGTTCCGGTACCTCCCATTCCGTTCTATTGATCTCTATCTTATGAAATTGTGGCATGCTCTTTCACACAAAGCAAAAACAGTTCGCTCTAGTTTTTGCTCGCAGTATTCAAAAATTACAACGTTTTTAAATGTATTTTAACAACGTACTCTTGAGTTGCCACTTCACCAACTACTGAACATAGCACTTCATTGCCAAATTAGACGTTCACTACGTCAAGTTGCTGTTGCGTATATACGAACTCATTGTGTATACTCATGAACAGGATCTTGCCAGCAGAGAAATGGAGAGGTGTTATGGGCCGCTTTTAGCCGGCCAAGTGCGAAGCGCTCTCTGTAGGATCGTGCATACGAACTAACGACGCCAGTGTCCACGATTCTTTACTGATTTCCCCCACCACGCACGCACCCATTGCCGACTCGGCTATTCGTGTGACACATGGTCTGTTCTTTTTAGCTGCACTACTGAACTGGTGCAATAAGTTAAAGAGAGAAAAAATATGGTTGTCTCATTCTAACTTATTGCACTAGTTCCGCAGTGCAGCTGAAAAGAACAGACCAACAGATGGTCCGAGTCGGGGGTCCCTGGTTCAAGGACTTTCAGAACACGGATACCAGGAACACCCTTACCCTAATAGCCAGATTCAGATCGTTCCACATTTCCACTGGTGATCACCTATTCAGTAAAAATATCGTCAACGACGAGTCTTGCCCATGTGGATGGCAACACAGGAGTTTGGAGCACATCCTTTTTAGATGCCCCAGATACAGTGAAGAATCAGATTTGCTACTCCTGCGCTTATTTTATTTGGATTGTTCTTTTGCCACAAGCAACTTACATGAAGCCGCTTTTTATATCGACAATATCTCTATGGCTGCGTTCCAAAATTCCCTGCCAGTCTGAAAATCTATAGTATACATACGTGACACAAACTATGTATTTTCAGTACTGGCAGTGAATTTCGGAACGCAGCCATTATTTGCAGAGATAGCTAGATTTCTCAAAGTCACTAAAGCCAGCGGCACACGGTGCTTGTTTTCGTGCTGGATTGCTTGCTGGATGAAAATACTGCGTTCTAATTGGTGCATTTCCGAAGATGGATGGAAATTCCATCCATCTTCGGAAATGCACCAATTAGAACGCAGTATTTTCATCCAGCAAGCAATCCAGCACGAAAACAAGCACCGTGTGCCGCTGGTTTAACCAAGTTATATAAAGCCTGTATATTGAACTGATCTGGAGAATGGCGTGTGGACGTACCCCAATTTGTCCGGAACCACATATTGAACTGAACTGAACTAAATGACGTGTTAGATTCCTGTAAGGTTGCTGTATTGTCATCGTAAAAAGATGAGCACGAATATAAATGAAAATGAAACTATTGAAGAATATGAATCTTCTATAAAAAATGTGATCGAACAACGTTCTCTTCGATGGATATTTGTGGGAGGCAAAGGTGGAGTTGGAAAAACAACTTGCAGGTATAACATAACCTGGTGATGCTATTTATTAATGATTTTTTCTTTTGTGAAATAAATCACAGTAAAAATCTAAACATTTCTATTCGTATTATTTCTCGTTTTTAATTAAGTTTATTTGTTTATGGATACAAATCTAATTTTTCTTTGTGTATAGAATGACAATTCAATAATGTGGAATAATACATCTCAAATATGTGTATATATAATGTATATAATATATATAATGTATATATGTATATATATGTGTATATGTATATATGTATATACACAATTCTTTTTTGATAATTTTTCTTATAAAATAAAACAAATGTGTGCTACATAAATAATATGAATATGTTTAAAGATACCATAGATTTGCCTAATTATTTGTTTAAGTAAAAAGTTAGGACTAATTCAACTCTTATTTTATAGTTGCTCTTTAGCAGTACAGCTGTCTAAGGTTAGGGAAAGCGTACTTATTATATCTACAGACCCAGCACATAACATTTCCGATGCTTTTGATCAAAAATTTAGCAAGATACCTACAAAAATAAAAGATTTTGATAACTTATTTGCAATGGAAGTTGATCCTAATGTAGGTATTACAGAATTACCAGAAGAATATTTTGATAGCGAAGGAGGTTTGTATTTGAAGTAATCTTATTTTATTTTTGTCTAGTATTTTATATTTTTGAATAAGAAGTTTAATTTTATATTAAAAACTATTAACAAAATCTTTATTAACCATAAGTTTGAAATTATAAATGAAAATATATGCAAAATATAAAATTCTTGTTTTTATCTTTAAATCATTGAATAACATATTAATTTTCTTTTTATTTGAAAATGTTTCAAATGTAATAAGAAATATACTAATAATTTATATTCAATTATTTGATATACATGCATAAAAAATCTTTTCTGTCATACAAAAGTTTCAGGAGGAGAAGCAATGAGGTTAAGCAAAAATGTTATGCAAGAAATTGTTGGTGCATTTCCTGGTATAGATGAGACGATGAGTTATGCAGAAGTTATGAAGTAAATAAACACATATATATCTATTTTTTTTATTTTTATGTAGGATATTAAGAGATTACATACATCTAGGCACGTTGCAAAACATCCAATATTTGAATTATTCTGTTAATTAAATTTTTGATTGATTTTATGAAGATATAAATTTTTAACATATATGACCTTTATGTTTTTATTTTTGTATTATATGAATCTCATTATAAAAAGTTAAATATATTTATTACTATTTTTCTAAAGCTAGTTATTGCTAGTCTTTTAGTATCAAATATTTTTAAGATCATTTATCTGAAACAAAGACTAAACTCGTTAAAATAGATAAACAAAACTAATTTTTGTTTTAATTGCTGCATAAAATATTGATTTTTGACAAATATATTAATGTTTATAATAGATCAATTTTTCACCAGGAATTTTTTTAATATTAGATAATATAGATAGGTGAGATAGGATAATTATACAGGATGTCCCATTTTAACTTTCGCATTAAAAAATCTCGAAAACTGTGAAAGATATTTAAAAAAGCTAAAACACAATTTCCATGATTTCGAAGGGAAAAGAGAATGGCATTGTCAGTTTTTTATTTGGAGGGCATTTTCAAGGTCAGTTGAAGGTCAACTTAATTTTTTAAAATAGAAAGCCCAATTTTTTATTATATCTTCTTTTTCTACCAATTAATTTTAACAACTTTTGTCTAAAATATTTTTTTATTTGCCTAATATTTTTTGAAATATTTAAGGAGAACTTGGTAACTCTTTTAACATTTAACTTCTAATATCTCGCTAACTATTCATCGAAAGAAAAAATAGTATTAGACTTTTTTACTTTATTTACTATCAAGAATATATTATTATAATAGTGCTCTAACTTTTGTTAATTTAATAATTTTGAAATTTCCAAAGGTCGATAAGTTAACAAAAGTTAGGGCACTATTATAGTAATATATTCTTGATAGTAAATAAACTAAAAAAGTCTAATACTATTTTTTCTTTCGACGAATAGTTAGCGAGATATCGTAAGTTAAATGTTGATAAAGTTACCAAATTTTCCTTAAATATCTCAAAATATATTAAACAAATAAAAAAATGTTTCAGACAAAAGTTCAAACAAAAGTTGTTCAAATTAATTGGTAGAGAAAGATGGTATAATAAAAGATTTGGATTTCTATTTAAGAAAATTGATGATCAGTGTATATCTCGAAAGTGGCGCCATCTGTAAACAAAGTGCTATCGCTGTTTTATGTCTTCCTTCAAGCCAAACAACTTTTGTCTGAAACATTTTTCGATTTAACGCAGTGTTTCTGAGATATTTGAGTGGATCCTTTAAAATGGGACACCCTGTATATAGATAAACTTATGAAAAGAATTATACTTTGGAAAATTCTACCATAAAGAGGAACTAGGTAATCTTATTAAAGTAATAATTATATAATATTCCAGTTATATATAAATCAATTCAATAATTTTTAAAATGTTCCTGATATTGATTTTAAGAATATAGTTCTGAGAAAAATATGTTTAAAAATTTTAGTAAGATTTAAATATTCTTAAAAATTCATACTTCTAATTCATACTCTAATTCATAAATTCATTAATTTCATATTTATGCAATATATCTTCCTTCAATGATTAAATTTCTTAAATATCTTTTCTCAGATCCTTGTAATAAGATCTGCCTCTCCTTGTTGAAATTTGTTTTCTAGTTTTTTGCAGTTTTTTGCTACCTTGTTTATGCATTTAGCCAAGCTAATATAATAGCTATCTTTCGAAAGAGTGAGTAGATAAATATGTCTTATAAATAGATATATGTCTATAGCCTGTTTTATTTTCAAGAAAGCCATGTTTTCTTCATTAAAATTGTAATGATATATGTGATTATTTTCATAATGATAGCTTCACAATTATGTACTTTTGCCGTGATTTTTCTTATAATATTGTTCAAACTTTCATTATATTTTTATATATTAATTGATGACAATAAGACGAATTTGATGAAAATAAGACGAAAAAACTATAACCAAATACATTTGCATACTAACCATGACTGACTCTGTCAGAAATGTCATAACTTTTATGCTTTCGAAAATTTTAACTTATATATTTAAAGAAATATTTTTAAATAATTATACTGTTAAAAAATATAATTTTTTGAAAAATAAATGTTTTAGTGTAAGTAGTCCTTATCTTATTAAAGTAATAATTAGCCCTTTAACTTTCCATACTGTGCGGATACCAGTGGCACTGAACTTTCTATTTAAGCCATTTGATATTTTGGCTTCAAAACAAATTATGAAATACTTTTCAAGTTATTATACAACAAATAAAATTTGGCTCATAAGATGACAACATAAACCACCGTTGGCCCATACAGTATGGACCACGAGTCACATCTTTATACTTTCATTTTTATTATTTCCTTTTCTTTTCCCTGTTTTGATTAGGTTTGCAAAATCTTGTAAAATTAAACAGTTACCTGTTAAGTTTATTATTCTATATTATTTTTGTTTATTCAGTTCTAAGTTTTTCACTACTTTACATAAATCAACGTTTGAATTATAAAGTAAATTTCAATTAATAACAGTTACACTTTTTTTAAATAAATTAATTAATATGCATCTATATCCATCTTAAAGATCTATTTTTATTCTAAGTTTTATATATTATCAGTTATAACAAGTTTTGGATAAAATTAAAATCCATAGTAAATGCTGGAATCATAATACATATATTGCCAATGGCAAAAGTTTGAACAATTATTAATATCTTAGAAGTTAGTAGTTAATATCAATATCAGATTTATTTTATAATATCAATATTAAGTATCTATTTTTATATCTCTGTTATTATTCTTTAATTTCTTTAAAACTAAGCCATCAATGAAAAAAATTACTTGAAGAAAATAAAATTATATTATGGGATGGTTATTCAATTATTTCTAAGAAAACAAATTAAAATCTTATCATGAATTAGAAAAAATATAATACAATTAAAACTTCAACTGCTCAAGTTTTTCAACAAAATCTATTTTAAATAACTTAGCTTAACTATATTAATACTATATTAAAACTATATTAAAACTATATTAAATATATTAATTTATTTTCGCGATGAGGTTACTTAGTTACTAATTAGGACATTTATTTTAATGTCGAATTAATATTTTATAAAAGCCATGTAATTAATCTTTTCTTATTTTTTGTTAACGTTGGTTTAATTATATATCTTTAGACTTGTGAAAGGAATGAATTTCTCTGTTGTGGTATTTGATACTGCACCTACTGGACATACTCTAAGACTGCTATCATTTCCACAAATAGTTGAGAAAGGATTGGGGAAATTAATGCGTCTGAAAATGAAGATTAATCCCTTCGTTACACAGGTTAGATAATTAATTACATCAATTTGAATTAATTTAGAGTTATCATATTCATTACTACGGACATCGAGCAATTTTGCAAAAAACGAACTAGTAAGAAATATCCACTAACAAGGAAAGGGTCGGAACTGTCCTTCACCGATTTTAATGGGCTTTGAATATGTTGTAGAGCAACAAAAACTATTAGACATGTATTTTTTTTGATCGGCGTATCTTAAGATTTAAGGAGTGGAACAACCCCTAAAAGAAACTAACATTTTCATTTTTCGCGAATATCTTCTAAAGTACGAGGTATATGAAAAAATGTTTCCTACAAAAATTGTACAGTACTTTATACTTATACTTTATACTTATACTTTATACTTATACTTTATACTTATACTTTATACTTATACTGTTTGCAACGATATATTCAGATTTTTCAAAAGTCAATATTTTTAACCTCCCCTCTCCCATACCTATTAATTTTGCAAAATTAAAAAATTTCCTATTAATTTTGCAAAATTAAAAAATTTCATGAGGACAAAAATTAAAGAGCATTAGATGTGGAAATTTAATATATTGATAATACATAAAGTTAATTTAAGGACGTTAAATTACTTATAAAGCACAACATAGTATAGCAAATGTTTATTCAGTAATTTAAGAGAAAGGATTTTAATTTTATAGATAAGTTCATTGTTGGGAATGACAGATTTCAATGTGGATACTTTCTCAAATAAAATAGAGGAAATGCTTGCTATTATTCGGCAAGTTAATGAACAATTTCGAAATCCTGATCAAACAACTTTTATATGTGTCTGCATAGCAGAATTTTTATCACTCTACGAAACAGAACGGCTTGTGCAAGAATTGACGAAATATGGTATCGACACCCACAACATTATAGTAAATCAGTTGTTATTCTTGAAGGAAGGAGATAATCCTTGTCGACTTTGTCTTGCTAGACACAGAATACAAAATAAATATTTAGATCAGGTAACTAGTAGTAAATATGTAATTATTACAATTTATAATACAATGTGTACAATATATTACAATAATCTATGTAATACAAGTATGGTGTAAGCCTTAATAATATATTTTGTCGTTTCATTAGAAGTAATAATGAGATACGTATTCATAACATGTGAAAGGCAGAGAGATTTTGATATAAATTATACTTTTGATATAAATTATAATTAAACATTTTCTTTTTTTTTTCTTTTTTTTAAGATAATGGATCTTTATGAGGAGTTCCACGTCACACGGCTTCCATTATTGGAGAGAGAAGTGCGCGGTGGTGCACAAGTCAGGGAATTTTCGGAAAACCTTGTTAAACCTTATAAGCCTTAGCATATGTGTAATTAATGTTTAACAATTAATTAATGTATTTACAATTAATGTATAACAATTAATTAATAACAGTAATTAATGTTTAACAATATAAGTAATATAATATACTTTACTTAAAAAATCTTAAGTTTTATATATTTGCGATCTAGCGTATTGTCTTTAAAACTGCACAAAAATAGCTATATGATATTTATGTAGTGCATTTAAAGCATTTCTTATTGCACATATTAATAAATTCATACAGTGTTACTTTGCACGTATTACATATGATTTTAACGTTTATTTTATGTTATATGACGTAATTTTTATTATAAACAACTTGGAAGATGATAGAAAATGTCTATACATACAGGATAATCTAATGCAAGCTGTATACAGGGTATCCCATTTTAATGTCCCACCCCAAATAACTCTTCAGTATTGAAGTTATAAGGAAAATGATCTGAATAAAAGTTGTAGGGATTTAAGTGAGCTACCTTATGATGACCTTGACCTCTATTTTCAAGGTCATTTGAAGGTCAACTTTTTTAAATGGGAAGCCTTATTTCTTATTATACTGTTTTTTTCTACTAGTTAATTTGAACAACTTTTGTCTAAAACATTTTTTATTTGTCTAATATTTTTTGAGGTATTTGAGGAAAACTTGATAACTTTTTCAATATTTAACTTACGATATCTCGCTAACCATTTGTCGGAAGAAAAAGTGGTATTAGACTTTCTTGCTTTATTTAGTCTCAAGAATATATTGTTACAGTAGCACCTTGACTTTTGTTAACTTACTGATTTTTGGAAATTTTAAAATCATCAAATTAACCAAAATCAGGGCGCTATAGTAACAATATATTCTTGAGACTAAATAAAGCAAAAAAGTCTAGTACCACTTTTTCTTCCGAGAAATAGCGAGACATCGTAAATTAAATATTGAAAAAGTTATCAAGTTTTCCTTAAATATCTCAAAAAATATTAGACAAATAAAAAAATGTTTTAGACAAAAGTTGTTCAAATTAACTAGTAGAAAAAAACAGTGTAATAAAAAATAAAGGTTCCCATTTAAAAAACGCAAGCATTAGCGTCATTTTGCGTCATTGCTAGAAGTCGTCCGCGCAGTTTCGAAATATTTCTTCCTGAATTGCGGGCAATGCGTTGCGTGAAAGATGAGAAGACGAAGGGGCAAGACGGGAGGGATTCTAGTTTAAAGCCAGCGGCACACGGTGCTTGTTTTCGTGCTGGATTGCTTGCTGGATGAAAATACTGCGTTCTGATTGGTATATTTTCGAAGATGGATGGAAATGCACCAATCAGAATGCAATATTTTCATCCAGCAAGCAATCCAGCACGAAAACAAGCACCGTGTGCCGCTGGCTTTAGCGATAAGTGATCTGTTCTTTGTAGCTGCACTGCTGAATTGCTGGTGCAATAAGCTAGAGTGAGAAAACCTATATTTGTCTCACTTTAACTTGTTGCACCAGTTCAACAGTGCAGCTACAAAGAACAGACCAAAGATCGCCGCCGCTGAGCCTTGTGTCTCTTCCTGCCGCGTGTCCACTCATCAGTGGTGAGACAAAGACGGAGAGCGATTGATCGTCTGTGCTTTTCTAACCTACTGTCTCTTGGGAAGAAAATAGAGTGAACAAAAGCCGTGCACGCTTTGCCGTTACCGTAAAGACGGATGTAGTGTATACACATTTTCTCAGGGAGCGCGACGGAAAAAGCGTTCCGGCGTAACCGGCCCGATGACCATTCTCAGGTTTCTCTCTGCTTATATATAGGCTGCGTTCCGATATTCTGTCAGCACTGAAAATCTATAGTATACGTGACACAAACTATGTATTTTCAGTACTGGCAGTGAATATCGAAACGCAGCTATAGAAGTCTGTGGTAAAGCTAAGACTCCATGCATGCGGTGAGCTCCGGCAAACGGCTGCGGTGACCAATCAGGAGACAGACGCATGCCGGAGCTTGCCGCAACCGGACTTGCGCCTCCCTCCTGATTGGTCACCGCAACCGTTTGCCGCAGCTCACCGCATGCATGGAGTCTTAGCTTAAGGCTGCGTTCCAATTTCCCCATCAGGATGCACTTTATTACTAGAAGTAATATAGTATATGTTACATATTCTATAGTATTTTCTCAGCCGAATGAGGAATTGGAATGTAGCTTTCGACCAATGGTCTTTATTAGTATGTTGTCGGTGGTAGAAGCCATATTAGGGCAAGAGCACAGGCTTTTGCATAACACATAATACATAACACATAAGAGAATAAACCAATTAATAGTTTTCTTCATTTCTCTCCTCAGGACAGAAATGAAGAACTCTGATTGGTTGATTCTCTTATGCGTTATGCAGAAGTCTGTGCTCTGGCCCTTAGGCTTCTCTTTAGGCTGCGTTCCGCTATTCACTGCCAGTACTGAAAATACATAGTTTGTGTCACCTATACTATAGATTTTCAGTGCTGGCAGTGAATATCGGTACGCAGCCTTGGTAAATATATCGATGATGTTACTGAATGTTTTATATTTTCTTCTGCAGATGGCACATCAATATTCAGTTGCAAAGAGTATCTATGGCGTGCTCATTCTTAGAGGTTTCCTTTTAACCTTGAATTTGGATTTTCGCGTTTTTGCCGCACGAGGTCTTCAAGATCAATTTTAGCAGACGACGGTGAGTGTAGCAGACAGCAGCGTGTAACAGCGTGTAACAGCGTCACTCGTTGGCGCTTGGTAGAGTGAACGTTTGAATCGGTAGGAGAGCAAATACACGTTCGAATTACGACGTGAGATCGTTTATTATTGAACAAACGAACGGAGGTTCATATTTTCTTACAATGGATCCTGAGGCATTCTTGGACATGGCTAATCAGGTCATTAAGCTGAAAATGTTCCCATACTTCGACATTGCACACTGCGTACTGTGCACGCTCCATGTCAGGGAAGATCTAGGACCCGGTAAGCTCATCGTAAATTGACCTATTCTAAATTTATAATGCTGCGGAGACCCGGCGCAACTTTCAAGCAATAGCTCTCTCTCTCTGTCGGCCTCGCTATACTCGAGATTGATGATGATCATATCCCACGCTCTTGCGATGTTTTATATTTATGCGAACGAGATCTTTTTTCTTTCTCATTTTTCTCTTCTAGGCGTGTGCGCATCATATACACACATAAACGCACACATGTATGCACGCGTGCATACATATATGCATGCGCACGTATATACGCACGCAACACATAGATAAAAGCTTATAACTATTATTTTTTCAAGCTATCAAACAAATATCAAGTCAATATCAAATAAATATAATATATAAGAATATAAAAATTCATCAGAATAAGAAACTGTTTTTATACGATCTTTTGGCACAGTTGATATAATTTTGTCTCGGGGTAATAACATAGGTCCCAGCTATTCTATTTTAGCATGTATTTTGCAAGTTACAACTAGAATTATCCAAATGTGACATGGATGATCTTTTTGAAATACAGTTACAATTTCTAAAACATGTTCTATATTACGTTATTTTAGAACGTTTATTATGTTAATTATGTTTATTATGTTATTATGTTAATCGTATTGCATCGTTTTCAAGTTGGTTCTTGGAAAAATTTTAATTAAATTTATACTTTATACATGTACAAAGAGATATATTATATACACATTAAATACATATTAAAATGACAGATATACTATTCGGGAGATAAAAGATCATATATTCAATCAAATTAAAATATAAATTAGGCCAGTAGGAGCTAACGCCGGTGAAAAAGTGCAAATAATAACGTCGTTGAACAGGTACAATTACAAAGTGTTTATTAAAATAATTACATACGTTTTGGTCCTTTTTTTGGATCCTCTTCAGTGTAAACAAATAAAAAAATATAAGAAGAATATCGCAAAGAAAAACCGTGTCTTTGAAAAGAAATAGATCTGGATGCAAAGGCTCAAACAAAAAAGCGTGAGAACTAAATAACGAAGAATTAATTATAAAAGGAGAAAAAGGAAATAGATCACATCCAAAAAATTCTTACTTAAAAATCACACTTCTACGCCAAGCGTCAACATCTAATCAAAAACCTTGTTCTATATTTCAACTTAATAATAGTAACATTGGTATTAATCTATTGTTTCAAATATGTCATTGCAATATAACCGAAATAAACGTAAATGAACTCAAAAAACGAAATAGGACCAGTAAAACACATTGTTACTAGCCAACGCAAAGGACAGTTAACAAAGCTTACAAAGATAACTAATCAAATTAAAATACAAATTAGGCCAGTAAGAGCTATAGATATCATGTATCAATTTTGTTCATACATGGCCATATATAATCATATATGTTCATAATGAAAAAAGTGTTGTATAACAACATGTTATTATACAAATGTTGTTATGCAACATTTTTCTTATTATGGATATATATGATTATGCACGAATATATATGGCCATACAGGGTACAATCGAAGTAAATACAATCGAAGTAAATGCTTATACCTCTGGCAGCACATGATATCAACGTTTATTTGAATAAAAACTTATTTCTTCCTTTTTTTATTTAACATTATTCTTTTTTTATATAGACATATCTACGGAAAACAGTTAAATATGTTTTAATATCATATTTGTTCTTTAAATAAATTTAGTTATTCACTCAAATAAAAACCAAGTTAAGTGTTAATTAAAATCTTATTTATTCCAAATATAAAATCAAATTTGGACTCAATTTTGGTTATATGCATATTAAATATTAACATGATCTATATATATGCCTGGACAAAGTTAATCTAATAGCAGGATTGTATTTAAATTTTATTTAAATGCATATTGAGAATATATTTGAACTAAATTACTTTTCAATTTAATATTTAAAATATATGTAACCGCTTTTCGATGGATATATGTTTATATACGTGACCATGTGTATATAGGCTAAAATAATCATATGTGACCATATATATATATAGACAAAATTTGTATATGATTTATATATAATCATGTATGATTATATATGATCTTTTTCCCCAAATATATATGTAAAGACAAATTTTCTATTAGGCATTGTTACAGAATATTGTTACAACGTTATATTAAAATCATGTATTTGTAATATTCTAGGAAATTGTAGAAATATCTCTTTGTTAACAGTATTTTATTATACATCTTAACTCTATATTAATAACAATTATAATATTAATTATAAGTATAATTAGAATTATAAATATAATTGGAAAACAATAATACTTTCCAGTAAGCAAATTAATCGCAAATTGCACGCAAAGAATGACCGTAAAAAATCAAAGTCTAAAAATAGCCCCTTTTTCCACCCTTGAATTTAGATTTCTACTTGCTACTAAACGATAGTTAATAATGAGTCATGAATCTTTAAAAAGTTTCAGATTGAACCGGCTTTTTATTCTCAAGATATGGAAGGTCAAAGTTGTTGATTTCATCAACTTGCATATTCGCTGTTTTAAAACGTTGAAATGGAAACTTACATAATAATAGATTCAAAAAACGTATTCGTTCGCTGTTATTATATGATTATTTAAAAGTATGCGTGAATATATATTAGTATAAATGTGTAGAAGATAAATAGTTACACAACATACACACATATATTGTTACAATAGCGCCCTGATTTTTGTTAATTTGATGATTTTGAAATTTCCAAAAATCAGTAAGTTAACAAAAGTCAAGATGCTATTGCAACAATATATTCTTGAGACTAAATAAAGCAAGAAAGTTTAGTACCACTTTTTCTTCCGACAAATAGTTAGCGAGATATCGTAAATTAAATATTGAAAAAGTTATCAAGTTTTCCTCAAATATTTCAAAAAATATTAGACAAATAAAAAAATGTTTTAGACAAAAGTTGTTCAAATTAACTAGTATAAAAAAAACAGTGTAATAAAAAATAAGGGTTCCCATTTAAAAAAACGCAAGTGGACCTTCAAATGACCTTGAAAATAGAAGTCAAGGTCATCATAAGGTAGCTCACTTAAATCCCTACCACTTTTATTCCGATCATTTTCCTTGAAACTTCAATACTGAAGAGTTATTTGGGGTGGGACATTAAAATGGGACACCCTGTATATGGTTATATATAAATATGAATGGGATACTCTAATAGATCCGCGTAAACTACTCGGAAGATATGATTGGCGAAAAATGTTTCAGACAAAAGTTGTAGGGTTGTTAAGGGACCGTTTAATGGTGATCATGCGTTTGACCTTGGGGTTAAGTGTGAGAGTCAAGATTCAAGGTGATTTTTTGAATTTGGAACTGTATTTTGACTTCAGAAATAAAAAGTGTGCTAAAATCTGTATTTGTATATGTTATCATATTGTGGAGTTAAAATGACGTCTGAAACTTATTTAAGGTCAAGTTTTTCATTCAATTAATTCACAGGGATTATTCCAAAGATTTGAGCGATAACCAAAAAAAGTTATATATTTATACTAACTATATTCGCGTATACCTGTAAATAATCACATAACAGCGATCTTGCCTTAACGCTAAGAGGTCAAAAACTTGCCTCGAAGAAATCATTTAAGCGATGTTTAACCAGCATTTTCAGTCTGATGGAGGCGGAATATAAAAAAAACATCAAAAATAAAGCTTTCTTAATTTTTCTTAATTTTTTATGTAAAATACAAATCTGCAATAAAAATAGGGGTTTCCATTTAAAAAAACGAAGTTGACTTTCAAATAACCAAAATGACCTCCAAGGTCAAGGTCAAGACCGTCATTAGATGGTTTTCTCTTAACCCAACAACTTTTATCTGAAACATTTGATCTGAAAATTTGATCATTCAGAGATCATATTCGTGTGAAGGTTCTCAAATGGGACCCCGTATATAGAAACTGATAACATTTTTAAGTTTGCATGCATGCGTTATATTTGTAAGGATTCTAGTTGATCTGCATTGAAACATTATAGACTTCATGTAATATTCTGTGCAAAAATTTCTTTTCTCTCTCTCTCTCTCTTTCTCTCTCTCTCTCTCTCTCTCTCTCTCTCTCTCTCTCTCTTTCTCTTCTTTTCTCTTTTTCTCTCTTTTCTTCTTTCTTTCTCTCCCTCTATTTTTTTCTCTCTCTTTTTCTTTGTCTGAAACATTCCATTCCAAAAAAATATCTAAAATTAATATTTTGCATATAGTGCACATTATATGCTATATTTCATATTTTTTTATTCAGGTGCCCAAACTTTTTCTCGAAAACATCCTTTATCATGTTGGCTGTCTACGATGCTGGTTGTTTTTGCAAGTGGTATGCTATGCAATGGATTATTAGGAGAACCAATTCTTGCACCACTAAAAAATAGTCCGCAAGTAATAGTTGCAACTATTGTTTGGTAATTATTATATTTAATTTACATTATTACATTTATATTTACATATAATATACATATTTACTTATGAATTTTACTTATGAATTTTGTATAATTTTAATAGTAAAGAATTACGCACGAAATAATTATTATGATATTCTGCAGGTATGTGATTTTTTACACACCATTTGATATTGGTTATAAAATAGCAAAATTTTTACCAGTAAAAATAGTGTGTGCAGCTATGAAGGAAATTTATAGGCAAGTAAACATACATATGCATTTCTTTCATGTGTGTTGGTGTGTGTGTGTGTGTGTATTTCCGCGCGCGCATGTGTGTGTACAGGGTGTTTGTTAATTCATGACCATAGCTAATGGAAGTATAGAGCTGATTGAGATAAAAAAAGAAGTCAAATAATATTTTGCAAAAATTGTAAATATTGCCAAGTTACGTGTGGAGAGTAACCGGATGAATTAGTATGCGTCGCGACGATAGTAGGAGGCGTGCTCAGTCATCCGAGCTCAGGGTCATTTGGCCATTTTGTGTAGTTTCTTACATTTTCATGTAGGAAATTATATAATACTGTATAAAACTGTATAAAACGTAGGAAACTGTATAAAACATAGGAAATATATTACATATGTTCTAAAAGCTCTTACATACAAGGAATTGATTGTGTATCACACAATTTAATGAAAATTATGAAAATTAGTGATTTTACTAGGTATGGACCAATAAAATTATAAACTCTAATAAATTCTTTGCTTAAATCCGGATCTATAATAGGTATAGTAAAATTTGCAATAGGTGTACAATAGATATAGTAATTTTTAAGAAATTAACCAATCGCAATCAACATTTACAAGAATAATTAACTGTAGTTCCAACTATAGTGGCAAATTTCTTAAAGCTTAAAACTTATTATCTATTGTAGATCCGAACTAAGGCTTAAGAAAAATAATGATCAGTGGATATTTTTAAAATGGTGCCATCTGTAAACAAGCTGATATAGTTATTTTATGTCTCCTTTAAAACCATACAACTTTTGTCTGAAATATTTTTCCATATCTTCTATATTTTTTGAGATATTTAACTGTAAAAAATAAAATGAGACACTCTATATATACAGGATGTCCAGTAATTAGCTGCTAACACGAAGTGTGAAGGTAGATTGAGTTAAGCTGAAAAGAAAAGTAAGATACAATTTTGCAAAAATTGCAATAATTATCGAGTTATTAATGATAATCGGGATAAATCGGGACTGTAAGGAGAGTGTTCAAGAGGTATCCAGTACATTTCTTCGAGTTTATCGCGGATTAAGGCTACTGTACGAGGCCGCGCGTTGTCATAGAGAAACAGAATGTCGCGAATGCATTGCCGGCGTCGTTTGTTGCGATAAGCAGTTTTCACGTTGTCCAGCAGTAAAATATGCTTTTTCCTCCGACAAATAGTTAGCGAGATATCGTAAGTTAAATATTGAAAAAGTTATCGTTTTCCTCAAATATCTCAAAAAATATTAGACAAATAAAAAAATGTTTTAGACAAGTTGTTCAAATTAACTAGTAGAAAAAAAACAGTGTAATAAAAAATGAGGGTTCCCATTTTAAAAACGCAAGTTGATCTTCAAATGACCTTGAAAATAGAGGTCAAGGTCATCATAAGGTAGCTTACTTAAATCCCTACAACTTTTATTCAGATAATTTTCCTTGAAACTTCAATACTAAAGAGTTATTAGGGTAGTCCGTTACTTTTGGGACACCCTGTATAAGATGTTACAGTATATAGTACTATCTTCCTCTTCCCACTAATGAAAGATGAAGCCACTTGATGCAACCCTCAAGCATACGCGAGAAAAATGAATTTAAAGTTTTCTGTGTTTGACATGTATTGAATAGTAAAGAAAGATTCTCAACGAACAGCCGTAGTCGAGGTTTAAAACGACGGACTAGTATGCTGTAGCAGTGCGTGTCGCAAGTGCGTGTTTGTGTATGTGTGACATAAATCAAGCTTGTCGAAATCAGAGGGGGCAAGTTCTGATCTTTCCCTTGTCAGTTAAATGCTTTAACATTAATAGCGCTTCTTATTTAATAGTATTAATAGCCCTGTTCTTTCTCTTTTTTCTCTCTTGCTTATCGATCCTCTTTATCTTTCTGCGTGGTTATACGTATGTCATGAGTGCGAGTGTGTGTACGTTATGTATTTGAAATGAAAGACTAATACACAAAAAGAAACTCATATATTTTTTTATATATTCTTTTACAGATGTAAAAAAGTATATGACGGTGTTACTCATGCAGGAAAACTTTACCCAAACGCATATCTTATTATGATATTGATAGGAACCTTGAAAGGTTAGTTGAAAAATATACACTAAATATATTTTTATACTATACAGGGCGTTTCATAACTAATGTTGTAGATCTCGTGGAGACATAGAGTGGGTTAAGACAAATATAAAAGTCCTATACCGTTTTGCGAGATTTGCAATAATTATCGAGTTATTAGTGACAGAAATCTGAGGAGTGGAGGCGCGCCGACATGGATGATTGGAGAAGCGTTGCAGCCATTTTGATAAGAACGCGGCCCAGTCGATCCGGCAACTATTGCCGGTGCGTGGCGAGGGGAAAAATAATGCTCCGCTATTCGTGTTTTATTTTACCGCATCTACGTCTCGCCGCACGCCGCCAACAGTTGCTTGGTCGATTGGGTCGCGCTGTGGCCCGAGAGGCTGCGACGCTCCTCCAATCATCCATTTTGGCGCGCGTTCACTCGTCAGATTTCTGTCACTAATAACTCGATAATTATTGCAAATCTCGCAAAACGGTACAGGACTTTTATATTTATCTTAACCCACTCTATGTCTCCACGAGATCTACAACATTAGTTATGAGACACCCTATATGTTTGTATAAATATACATGTGTGTGCGCGTGTGTGTGCGCGTGCGTGTGTCATATGTCATATACGAGGTGTTTCAGACCACCCGGGTCACCCGATTTTTTCGTAAACACAACATTTTAGAGAAAAATGTTTCAGACAAAAGTTGTAGAGTTTCAAAGGACCTATTTACTGACGTTATGAATTCTTAATAACTGACTTAACCACTCATCTCAATTCATTAAATTTAAAGCTGCAAAAGCCGAATCAAAATATTTCTGAATTGATTAGTAGTGTAGATTCTTTTCAAAGAAAATTAATAATACTAAAAAATCATTCAATACAACATATTTTCCATTCTTTCCATGTTGCCAGATTCTTGCAGAAGAACATAACAAAATTCATACGACATAATTCAAACGACACATTCACATTCTTGAGTCAGTAATAACTCAATTCGAAACGCGTTTCAGTGATATCGCAATACTTCGGAATGATTTAATTCTTTTTGAAAATCTTTTCACTGTTCAGATTGAGGAGCAGAAATTAGAATTTCAAGAGAAACTTTGCCGTCTTCAAACTGATATGTCCCTCAAGGCGCGGCCAGAAAAATGAATTGATTTTTTTAAGATTTTAAAGCAATCTTCTTATTCCTTTTTAATAAATTTTAATCTTCGTATTTTTTCTATGTTCGGCTCCACATATCTATGCGAGAGCTCTTTTTCTAAAATGAAATTAACAAGAAAGGATAAACGTTCTTCTTTAAATGATGCATCTTTATCCTCTTTAATGCTAGCAAGCACTTCAAACTTTGATGGTGATATTTCATCACTTGTGCAGTCGCACAATATTAGAAAATTGGTTTAATTTCTTCTTATTTTAAAGTTCCCATTGCCGATTAAAAGTTGCCGTTTTTCTCTTCTTCTTCAATGGAATAGGCTTACAGGTGATACCACTTAACCCTTTATATCCTAAATTAATTTACCCAAGACCTTATTAAATTTTTGCGTAATTAAATAACTCTTGGCATATCATAAACATAAGACAGGAAAATAAATTTTGTAACAATTTAATGATTAAATTTTGACGTGGTATTTGTAAGTACCGACAGGAATGTAGGGTAAGACACGGGAAAAAGGTTCAAGAGCGCATATATAGAGCGGTACTTTAAAGTACCATCAGGATACAAAGGGTTAAAAAAAACGCGTTGGCAATAGTATCTCATGGGTGACGCGGAAACCTGTTATGTTACCTTCTAATTATAAAAATATAAGATAAAAGATATATATACTTGTACAAGTATATATTTGTACAAGTTTGTACGAAATATTACACATATAATTTTATCGATACATTTATTTTTCAGCCTTTGAGGTGCGTTAAAGGCGCGCGCTGTCAACGCTAACACGTTATTCTATCTTTATCGCTCATCACATGTACAAGGATTGAATGCCGCGTTAGCACTGATCGACGCGCTCCCCGAACGCATCTTTAATAGGCACCACATAGATGCGCCTTATGATCTCAACGGTCCTGAGGCCGTGAGCAGCGACCTCAGTTGCGCGATTCACCGCGCGGCAAGGGGAGATAGGAGGCGTAGCTCCCGAGAATCGGCCGAAAGTTGCAAACTTTGTCCAGCTCTGGCTTATAGAATATGTCCCCTCGCAATCGCGCGTGTTAATTGGCCAATTTTACTTCATTAATATCTCAGTATTTTATGTGATAATTCACGAAGTGATAAAGATTTTGATATTTAGTTTAGTTTATCAAAAATTTTATACGAGCGATGGATACTTAAATACAAATACTGTACATATACATGCGCGCGTGTGCGCGCACACACACATTTATGTATGCATGTACGTGTGTATGCATGCATGTATGTATGTATACGTGTATGTATGTGTATATTTATATCTACCTATGTGTGTATGTGTACACATGCATGTATGTATATACATACATATTACATACATATATACATATACGTATATACATACATACATATATACATACATTATTTATGCTTAGGTAATGGAGCTGGATTTACCAAATTATTTGAACGTCTTATACGTGGCGTATGGACACCGACAGCGATGGAATTTATGCAACCTAGTTTGTATGTAAATTATAATATACTGATTATTTTATTAATATGTGGGATTCACTGCAAGAATGGATTCAGAGTTTAAAAATAAAATGTTTATATTATATAAGAATAATCCGAAATAACATTTATTTTAAATTACAGTAATTTTTTATATATTTCTCTAGAGTTTGACTGTGCAATACATACACACACAGATTTTATTGCTAAAGTTTATGATACTTCGTACATTATCTGATAATAGAAACTTATTTTGCGAAGTTGGTGATGGATATCTTTCATAAGATATTTTTAATATTTGACATACTTATTGATAATAAATAATTTTATTTTTTACAGCCCTACAAAAGCATCTATGGTTGCATCAATTATCTTTGTATTAGATAAAAAGACTGATCTTATTTCTGCACCTCATGCCCTTGTGTATTTTGGTATTGTCATCTTTTTCGTTTATTTCAAGGTAAAGTATAATATGTGTATTTGTGTGTGTGTGTGTGTATACAGGGTGTCTAAAAAATACCGGACCTCCCGGATAACTTTGCAGGATCAAATTTTCATGAAAAACTTTAAATACAAAAGTTGTAGGAAATCGAGTAACTGACTTGATGGTGACTTTGAATTTGACCTTGGTCATGACCTTCATCAAGGTCATTGGAAGTCAACTTGAAAAATTTAAATGGAAACCCCTATTTTTTATTATATTGTTTTTATTACACTGTTTTTTTCTACCAAGTAATTTGAACAACTTTTGTCTAAAACATTTTTTTATTTGCCTAATATTTTTTGAGATATTTGAGGAAAACTTGATAACTTTTTCAATATTTAACTTACGATATCTCGTTATTTGTCGGAAGTAAAATGGTTCTAGACTTTTTTACTCTACTTTGTCTCAAGAATATATTGTTACAATAACATGCCCTGATTTTGTTAATTTGATGATTTTGAAATTTCCAAAAAGTCGATAAGTTAATAAAAGTTAGGACACTATTGTAACAATATATTCTTGAGATCAAATAGAGTAAAAAAGTGTAGTACCATTTTTTCTTCTGATAAACAGTTAGCGAGATATCGTAAGTTAAATATAGAAAAAGTTATCAAATTTTCCTGAAATATCTCAAAAAATAAAAGCCAAATAAAAAGATGTTTCAGACAAAAGTTGTTCGAATTAATTGATAGAAAAATATGGTATAATAAAAAATTGGAATTTCTATTTAAGAAAAGTAATGATTAGTGAATATTTTGAAAGTGGTGCCATCTGTAAACAAACTGTTAGTTATTTTATGTCCCTCCTGAAATCATACAACTTTTGTCCGAAACATTTTTGCTGAAAATGCTTCGTTAAAGAATTATAGAAGAGGTAAGTTTTTAAAAATGGGACATCCTCTATATACACATACATGTGTCGTGTATACGCATGCGTACCAATATATACAAATTACGATATTAACTGTCACATTATTTTTTAGTTATCATCAATTTTACTTGGCATTCATGATCCATTTGTGCCATTTGAAAATCTATTTTGTGCCTTGTTCCTGGGAGGAATTTGGGATTCTCTAGCTAAATTATTGGGACATGGTCAAGCTAAAGATGAGAAGACGGATGCTAAGAAGACAAATTAAATAATAGTAGAAGAAATCTGGTATATTATTTAAAATATTTTAAGATATATATATATTTTCCCTTAAAATCTGTCAATTAAATTTTATGTATATCTTTTTTGCAGAAAAGTGGTTTATATAATAAAACATTAAAGAAAACTGTTTTATGTTATACAACTGGTTTGTCATATGATAATCATTTAACGAATTAATGAAATAAATCTGTATAATACTACTTAGATAGACAGATGTAAACTTGATCTTTATTGTGTATAAAATTAAGCAGCCTAAACGTCCCTTGAGAGTCGATTACATGTTAATCATACTAACAACATATGATGAAATGGAAAGACAAAAGAAATGATTAAAATATACTTAAAACAATATGTCAATTAGTTTATTTGGAAATAGTAACATATTTGTCATATTGCTTTTAATTAAGTATACGAGAAATTTATATCAAATTTGTATTGTAAGATGACAATTAAAAGTTTGTAGATTTCACATATTTTCTGCTCAAAACGTACCCGGAATTGTCATTTAAATGACACCTGTTCGTGATATTTCAAAATTCTTTTGTGATTAAGTTACTTTTGTGATTAAGCTACTACTGTACTTAACTTTTACACAGAATTAGAACACGATTTGTCAATTAGTTCGTTTGTGGCAGCTATTTATGTCAGTTGACTTCAATCTCCCACCCTCGATAGAGTCTCGACGCACAATCAAGCGCGAATTATGAAGATTCAAGTTTCCGCGAAGAAACTAGTCGGGGGACGTTCGCAGAGCCGCGGTCGAATTTAACGCTCGCGTTCACAAGGGCCTAACATTCTACTCGCGAAGGGACGCCATCGCCCCTCTTTTCACAACGGTGCGGATGTTTAACTCCTTTCTTCCTTATTTTTTTGCGACAATGATACCGCGACGAGGCCCTAACGAGGCAAGTTCGCTTATAACCAGTGTTTACGTCAAGAGTGCTTTTCGGGAACATTCCGCTCGAGGGGTCAGTCCGCGATAGAAAGTTTCCAGCGACCGGAGGCCGCTGTGGTTTAAAGTTAAATTGCAGCAATTGTTATCGAGCAGCCCTGAGACGGGCTACTGTCATCCGTCTGTGACGTCTGCCGCGCGCCTTTGCGATTATCGGTAAATTCAGTTTTGTCGATTGTTCGCGCGATTTCAAGTGGCCATAATATATGGCGATAAAACATGTCAATATCTGGCAATAATATATAGCAACAATATACAACAACAATATATGGCAATAATATATGGCCATAATATATGGCAATAAATCATGGAATATATTTTTCGTTACAAAAGTCAATGCAAATTTGCGGCATGATGTAATAATAAAAGAGCTCTCTGTGAGCATTGAGTCAAACGCTCACCGATGATGATGATCCGATATTGATGATGTCCCGTTGCATCCAACTAGATCCACCAATGTCCGCCCATGTCCGCGCTGCCGCTCTCCATGTCGCACAGCATCCATCTTCAGGTGCGTCCCACGTTGATTGCTACACTTTCGTCACACTTTCGCGACGCCGATACGTCGATACGCGGTATTAGAGCGGCGATATTTGCGTCAATTAACGAACGTTTTACGCCGACATCGGTGAAAACTTTTTACGCGCTGCGAAACGGACTCTATAAACTCGATCGGCGAGGAGCAAGAACCGTGTGAAAATTTATCGACTCGTCCAACGGATTTTTACGGCGTTTTTCGCGATCGCGCCTGAAAAGTCGCGAAAATGCGGCAGTATCGATATTTACGAGAATATTCGCGAATACATGCGAAGAAAGATTGGACAATTAGAAACCGGTCGCTCCGACGGAGCACAAAGAGAGGGAAAGAGAGAGAGAGAGAGAGCGGAGAAAATTTCACGCATTATAGTTCCGTCACGACGAAGCTTACGTTCGCGATACTTTGGCGAAACGAGAATTTAAGTTTTTTTGTTCGCAGCGCAGGTAAAAACGCGTATATTGATAACCGCGGTCGCGATATTCAAAGGCACGCGAGCGAGGATACCTCAAGCTCTGCGTGCGCTGGCGCAATTTCTGCGCAATTTCTGGTGCGTTATACGCTACTCGAGACAATAGGGATCGTAATGAATATTGCCAAATAATTTTACAGCCTGTTTTAAGGAAATAAAAGAAAAGTAGCCAACGGTATCGGCATTTATGCGTATGAATATATTTTACGCGGACAATTGAATATTGTCTAATAATTCTGTCGTTAAATATTTCTGCGGCCCGCTTGAAAAATAAAAATAATGTAACTGATGACGGTATCGCGTTTGTAGACATGAATATCTCTTATTCAGATAACTGAATATCAAAAAAGAATCATCATCATTCGGTATTTTAAATCTCGTATATAACGCAGGCTATACGATCAAGTAATCCCCTGATTGTTTCGAGCAATGTATTTTATTCAACGTTTCACAAACACACACATGCAAGAATCTATTTGCAATTTGCATTGACTCGAACGATATTTTTTAATCCTACATCCGTCATGCAGAATATAGTTTCTCTTTTCATTTTGACTCACCGAAACGACTTGCAGTCAGAGCCGGCCATATACCGCTTCAACTCTGTAACAAAAAATTCACATTCGCTCATCAGATTTGACCAACAAGTGCGGGCGAGTAAAAGAGTAGTTTACCCTCTGCGATCGTAATTCAAGTCGAGCCGAAAATAATATTTCAGCTCTAGATCGCCAAGGATCAAACAGAGGACTATATAAGTAAACTTGTAAACTTACCTTCAAGCCGACTCTGCTTGGCCCGAATCGGATCCTCCGATGCGGCATCCGCGTCCGCCGGATTGCTGTTGCATTCCACAACAACTGAAACAGAAAAATAATTTTGTCGGTTGATAACCTGCGGTAGAAAGAGAATATCTTTGATAGGGACGAATCGAAAATACAGAAATACTTTGATACGGAATTTTTATCTTTATATTTTTGTTCCAATATTGAAAATTTAAATAAGACTTGAAGCTTTCAAGAGAGCTGATGAGGAACAAGTTGCAAAGGCAAATATCGTAAAGGGTTGAATACAGATGTGTAGGAAACTTGTAAATTTTACCTTCCGACCGACTCTGCTTGGCCCGAACCGGATCCTCCGGTGCGGCATCCGCATCTGCCGGATTGTTGCTGCTTTCCGCAACAACTGAAACAGAAAAATAATTTTCCCGGTTGATAACCTGCGGTAGAAAGAGAATATCTTTGATCGGGACGAATCGAAAATACAGAAATACTTTGATACGGAATTTTTATCTTTATATTTTTGTTCCAATATTGAAAATTTAAATAAGACTTGAAGCTTTCAAGAGAGCTGATGAGGAACAAGTTGCAAAGCAAAGATCGTAAAGGGTTGAATACAGATGTGTAGGAAACTTGTAAATTTTACCTTCCGACCGATTCTGCTTGGCCCGAACCGGATCCTCTGGTGCGGCATCCGCATCTGCCGGATTGTTGCTGCTTTCCGCAACAACTGAAACAGAAAAGTAGTTTTCCTAGTTGATAATCTGTGGTAGAGTGAGAATATTTTTGATCTAGACTAATCGAAAATACGGAAATATTTTGATGTGGGATTTTTATCATTATATTTTTGTTCCAACATTGAAAATTTAAATGAGACATGAAACTTTCGAGAGAGCTGATGAGGAACAAGTTGCAAAAGCAAAGATTGTAAAGAGTTGAACACAGATGTGTAGGAAACTTGGAAACTTTACCTTCCGGCCGATCCTGCTGTGCCCGAACCGCATCCTCCGGTGCGGCATCCGCGTCCGCCGGACTTGCTTCCCGCAACGTCTGGAACAAAAATTTAGCGTTCTTGGTTGGTAAGCTACGGTAGAGAAAGAATGTTTGGTCGGGATGAGTGGAGAATATTCGTTACGATTTTTCTTCTTCATTGAAAGTCTAGATAGGAGCTCTTGAAAGAGCTGACGAAAAAACATGACAACAAGAAGCGGAGACAACAGTAGTGTGCTCTCGAAAATACTCTTTTACGAATTAACATTTAAATTTAGATCCCGTAATGGGAGTAAACAGACTTGAAAGAAGCGCTGACCGAAAACAAAAAAGGTCGCAGTCTAAGAAGCGGTATGACGTTGAATATTCTACACAAGACCGGTATACTCATACAGTTGGGAATTATTTAGAATGTTTGATTGAGAACATAATGAATGAATGAGAGATTCACGTTCATAGACCGTTATCCGCCTCTGTCTGGATCAATATATTTTGTATACAACAACGCAATAAATAGATAGACAGACAGAGATTGACGAGAGTAATTGCAGATTCATAAAGTCATGATTACTAGTCGGATGACGGAATGCCGAGCGCGAAATTTCGACTTCTTATTCTCGGAAAATTCGTCAAACGTCCGATCTCGTTATCGGAGACCTCCCGCATAATAAATGATTCCACATACCTGGAAACATGACGTATCGCTGCCGGCGTCCTGCTTCCCGGCTGCTGGAGTCCTTCGGATTTCACTCGCTCACACTTCTAATGCCGATATTCGCGATTCGTCCGTGCGGTTAATCAATGCGATGCCGATTAACTATCTCGAGGACCGACGAGATACATTTCTTGCGAAACGGAAGTGACGAGCGCGTCGCGCACGGCCGCTGTTGATGGAATGAAGTCGAATACACGAGGTGCGCGAGTATTATAATACGAAGGGCAAAAAGTCGTCGCTCGCGAGCCGATCAACACAATCGGCGCGATGTAAACATTGCGGGCCTCGGCGGCGGTTGAAGCAAGAGAGACTTGTCCTTGGGCGTCTTTTCTTTTCTCGAAGGTTCCCGAACGACGAAGGGAATGCGAGGAGGTCTTTCAACTGTACGCGACATTGATTTACTATTTATTGATTATTGAAAATAAAGAAAATTATTCTGTCGAAGCATCGGACATTTGTTAGCTTTATGTTAATTAAAGAGGAATGTGTACAATTAGAAAATGTATTAGCAATCAATTGTACAGAGTGTCAAAGTTGTTGTGACGCCGTTTTCGGAGAAAAGGTCA